GAGTTAGGGGTGGATTGCCATGTGGAGTGATCTGCCTTAGAATTTGGACTACAGGGCCTTCAGAAACAAATGGAACAGATGCTCCTTTGTTAGTTCCAATTTCTAGAGAAATACTTCCAAGTATATATGGACCAAGGACTAGTAATATTTCTATGGCAAGGTTTGATAACCTTCAACCCACCACATGTTGTTTGTCTCCAACTCCTGGCCAGCATGGGCCAATGGTCAGGGTCAATGGAAGTTGTGTTCCAACATCTGGAGCCTCACACATTAGCCACCCTTGCCCAATGGGAGAAGGGACAAGAATTTAAAGCTCTGCTCCAATGTTATTATTCATTTGTATCATGATGACTCAGGGCAGGCTACAATGTTGTCTTTATCTTTCACTCTGACTTCACAAGGCTGTTTAGGAGGCTAAGATGAGATAGAGCTGCTTCCCCAAGGCCACCTATTGAATTTCAAGATTTAACAAAGTTTTCAGTCTGTCAGCTATGTCCTGTTGAATTATAAATCCACGGTGCAACTCTTTTCTAAAATAATATTTCTGCAATAATTTCTAAGGTCTTAAATGTGGGGAAATTTCTTTGTGGGGTTTTACTGGGATCATGATCATGTTACGTAGCATACAACAACTTGTTGGGAACTTAGACCTTAAGGAACATAAGTTGATTTCTGTTTGGCTTTATCATAATCAAGAGGACAGATCATTATAGGCATACAATTTTAACTTTTACTAAATACTGTTGTTGTTTTATGTAGCCAAATAAAATTTAAACATGATTCTTTTCTTTATCTCCATGTGTTATATTAGCTGCTGCAAAATACAATTTCTTCACTCCTGGAGTCCTCCCCCTCTGAGAATGGGGTATGTATACTTAAAAACACATTGATTAAAGAAATTGAAATGTCATCATTCTAGTTGTAAAAAAGTGGGCTGAGTCACATGAAGGTGCAATGAACATGGGCAATTGATAATGGTTTAAGTTTACTGAAGCATCAATAAAAACAATTGTCTCTGTAGAAAACGCAAATATTAATTGATTCACCTTTTGGTCTAAAGATCCTTTCTCTTGGATGCTTGGAATGTTGCCTAGAGGCAGTTTGGTTTTCACTTAATTTGAACACAGACAGAACAATTCTGTACATGTCTACTCAGAATTAAGTCCCATTGCATTCAGTGGGACTTACTCCCAGGGAAGTGTATATATGATTAGCAAACCTGATTAAGCAATTTTTGTGATACTGTATTTATCACATTTTAATTCACATTTGTTTATCAAAGTGATTGTTTTTCAAACTCATTAGGAATGTAATAATAATAATGACAATAATAATAACATCCACCTGCCCTTCACGCTTGACCAAGGCTAGTTACAACAATTAAAACATGATCATAAAAGCAGTTGAAAACTACTTGCAGTTGCAGAAATGAGGTGTATGCATGCTACTTTTCTTTTTGAGCAAGGAAAAACAAGAAATTTTACTTTGGATATCACCTTGCACTGGGTATATTTCAGCTGTTTGGTGACTGGGACAAAATGTACAAGATTGTTTGTTTTAATGAATGTGCTTTATCATTACAGAGTTATGAAGTGAAGAGTGTGCTGGGAAAAGAGGTGGGGTTTTTATATTGTTATGTTCAGTCTGTAACCAGCCACCCAACTAGCTATGTTGGATTGGAAGAAATTGTTCTCCCAGATGCAGGAAGAAACTAAAGGAAATACCGTCTGCTACTCTGTCTATGAACTTTGTAATATAGTTATTTATGGACTATTCTTGTATATAATGTGTAATGCAGACATGATAAATACTGCATTTTAAAAAGAGATTACTCTGAAAAGAAACTGCTGTTTTTTTGAACGTGGACATTGGGCATGTGCCAGGCAATGTTAAGCATGTTCAGCTTCCATTGATTTTCATGAGAGAAGGTAAATGGATGTGCTTCTACATCTGCCATTGAAACCAGTGGAACTTGCAAATGCTTAACTGTGATGGGACTTTTTCTACTGTGTATGTTTTTCTGGTAATCCATAAGTAATTTTTGGAGCACTGAAGCGAAATGTATTTTTGTAACAATTGTCTTGATCTATCTGTAAGGTATTTTTTGTAACGGGTTTCCCAAGCTATCCTCCCCACCTCCTCCAGTAGATGTAAAAATCAATTATGCATGTTTGAAGAGGTATTTTAAAATAATTTATCTATACGTTTTAACATAAACTGTGGCTGTTACTCCAGTAACATATGTTCTAATGAAGCTTTCCTGAATGGTATGCATTGAAACAGTGTGTCTAATATTACATGGAGTAATGCTAATTTATATTTGTTACAAAAATTGATTAAATATTACAAAGAGTTAAAGAAGTCTTTTTTTCCTGCTGAGGTGATGAAGGGTGTCGGGGGCATGTGTGCAGCATTAACCATCATCTAAATATAAATACTGAACTGCTGTATCTTTAAAACAAATTCACATAAATGGGCTATATAGTTCATAAAAACTAAAGAACAGTGGCTTCAGAATAGTTTCTAACCATATCAGATATATTGTGATTTTAAACATATTGTCATTTTATCTACACACTTATTTCTCTAAGGAATCATAATAATTTTTTGCACCAAACAAAATAAAATAAGTTTGCTTTAAACTGTTTTTAATTGGACTTGAAATGTTTTAACCCAACCTAGGTAAAGGGCAGGTGCTGGTGATAATAATATATGTTAATAATACCACAATCCTACAAATATCAGGTGAAATCCTGGGAACAGCTAGACTTTCTTGTGATAGTTGTGATACAAAGTCTTGTACGTGTATGAACTGCTTTTGCAGAGAACAGGGAACTCCCTGCATACATTCGCATACTCAGGTGTTGAATTTCTGTATTGGAGGTGGAGAGAGATAGAGATAATATATTGGGATCTTGAATCCTAAGCATGCATACTTCAGGTTTGTTTGTTTGTGAATTATCAAATTCCAAAATTTTCAGAACAGTGCCTAGAGACTTCAAGTTTGTGCCTACCTATTTGTAATTCTAAAATGAGTAATAGTTCTGCCTTATTTGGGGCTTTTAGCCAAGAAGCAGTATGAAATCTAGGCATATTTTCTGTGGGCAACAAAAAGAAAGTGGCTCATGTTTTTATTGTTTTTAGCAGTGGAAAGGGGGGTTTCCTTGATGGACAGAAAGGTTGGATGTAAATGTTTTAAATGCTACCCTCTTGTGATGAAGCTACAGCTATGCGCATTGCTGTGCACTTGGAAGCCATCACTATGACGTCCCAACACACACACACACACATGGAACGAAATACATGCATGTGGTCATTGTGTATGACTATTTGGATGCAGATTGTACAGCAGTTCCTAAAAGTGTTTTGTGTGCCGGAATGCTGTCAACATTTGAAGTAACCCAGTAGCATGGCCCTGTAGCAACAACAATAAGGCCAAACCCCCTTTCCTCCCCTCCCCCCAACGATTTGTGTTAAGAGGTAATGAAAGTTCAAGATTTTGAAACCAAGCCAAGGTTATGTTTAGAGCTGGAAAAGTCCTACTAACACTACTCATATTTGTGTTCTTGTTTACAGGTTCAATCTTTCTGTGGCTTCATTTGCCTTCACAAGCGTCATTACAATCACTGCTTAAAATTACTTCTGCTAGCTATTCAATCTCCTAACCAAACCACCTTCTGTTTGCACTGAGATTTTACCACTTTGCAATGCTGCCCTCTGATGTAAAGATGGCATTTTCAGGAAACATGGTGTACATGTATCTGTTTGAAAACTAACATGTGGATCCAATGCTAGTCTTGCTCATGGTAGACCAAACAAAAATTAATGAACAGAAACAATTTAGGTGCATTAATTTAAAGAGGTGTAATCTGAGTAAAACTTAATTGGCTACAACCCTTTATGTATTCCCCCCAAATATATGTGTGTGTGCAGTTGCACTGAGTGTGTGCTTAAAGTTCAGCTTCTCTCTTAGAGGGTAGGGCAGCATTTCCCAAACTTGGGTCTCCAGCTGTTTTTGGACTGCAACTCCCAGCATTCCTAGCTAGGAGAGTCAATGGTCAGGGATGATGGGAACTGTAGTCCAAAAACAGCTGGAGACCCAAGTTTGGGAAACCCTGGGTTAGGAGCATACAGTTGGTTCTTATGCAGGGTTAACCTCCCACCCCGACTGCAGAAATCTGCAGCTAGTGTGTTTTTGCAATTAAAGAGCAGAGTACAATATGGATACCTTCCCTTTAACTCCCGTTTTATTAGCATCTGTCCACCGTAAAACTGGCATTTAAATGTCATTTAACACAGCATTAATCATGGTGCCTTTTTTTACATGCTTAAAGTCAAGAAACCGCACACTTAACTCTTGCATGGAGCACTATTTCTTGCTGCATCCCCTCAGCAGCTGCCCCCAGCATAATAAATACAAAGTCAAAAGTAAAATTCAAAAGTTTTTTTTTATTTTTAGAAATGCTGTAAAAATTTATATAAAAGTTTTGAGCATGCTCAGTCTGTTTCCCCCCTCTTGCTGTTTACAATAAAAAGTATTTGCAAATCATGTGCTTCTTACAAAGTACCGTAGCTGCATCCGTATAAGATAGATGTAGAAAAACGAAAACTATCATTACAAAAATAATTTAGGAAGATAAAAGGAGACATTTAGCTTTTTCTTTCACCCTTTTTTTGGCAAGTTTTGTGGTTAAAAGACCCAAGCTTAGCCCATATTCGAAGAAAGAAACGTGAAAGGCAACACATTTTCACGAGGCGTTTCTTTCCGGCCTTGTAGCTTAGGCTGCTTCTTCCTCAGCAGGGAAGAAGTCCGGAGAGGGGAAAGGCGCCCTTTGGCCCAGTCCGGGGCGCCGCCGCAGGCCTCTCCTCCCCGCAGCCCCCCGCCCCCTCCCTCCCGCGCAGCCCCCGCTGCAGTCCTGTGCGGCTCGCTCTGAGGTATTCTGAAGAAGTTCAAAGTCTGTGGCAGAGCCAGCCCGGGGGGCGGCTCCCTCTGCAGCCGGTTACCGGCAGTCCGTGGCCGCGGCCGCCTGCAGGAAAGGGTTGCTGGGCAGCTGCTTGAAGAAGTGCCTGAGGCTGGTGAGGTCCCTGGTGAGCTGCTCGCACTTCTTGTGCAGCCGCTCGTTCTCGGCCGACAGCTCCACCACCTTCTGCTGCATCTCCTGGTTGCGGCGCTTGGCCTTGTCGCGGCTCTTGCGCACGGCGATGTTGTTGCGCTCCCGCCGCTGACGGTACTCCGGGCTGAACCTGTCCACGCACTTCTTGGCGGCGCGCTCTTTGCCGCCGCCCGACGACGACGACCCGGACGAGCGGCTGCTGTAGCTGGACGGCGAGGCGCTGCCCGGAGGCTCCGGGGAGGTGGGCGGCGTGGGCTGCCCGCTCAGGTTGACGATGGTCTGGGCGCAGGTGGCGATCTGAGAGGGCAGCAGCGAGCCCGAGCCCGACGCCTCATCGCCCCAGTCGGGCTCCTGCTTGACGGCGCCGCGCAGCGGGCCCGGCGGGACGCTGGCGTGCAGCAGGCTGGCCAAGGCGCCGCCCGCGGGCGCGTGCTGAGCCGGAGGAGGAGGAGGCGGCGGCAGGTAGTCCCCGTAGGCGCCGCTGCTTCCTCCGCGCTCGCTGCCCTTGTGGTTGCTGTTGAAGAGGTCGGCGAACAGCTCGTCGTTGCACAGCTCCAAGTTGGGCACGGCCGCCATCGAGTCGATGTAGGAGCTAAAGTCGATGGCGCTCTCGTCCTCGTACATGGCCGGCGCGGCGGCGCTCAGCTCGGCCAGGTCGCGGCTGCCTCCGCCGCCGCCGCCGGGCGCTGCTGACGAGACCTCCTCGGCGCTGGCGCTCATGCCGCCCGCTTTGCACGAAGGACTCAGCGCGCCGCCCGCCTTGGCGTCGTAGAAATTGGCGGGCTCCAGGGAGGACCAGCTCCTGTAGCACGACAGCGAGTCCAGGCAGTCCAGGGTGGCGGCGCTCATGGAGGGCCCGGGGCCCGCGAGGTGAGTGAGCAGCGGGCGGAGAGCCCTTTTCCTCCCCGCTCGCAGGTGGAGGCGGCGCGCGCGTGTGTGAGCGGCGGCGCACCTGGCCGGGCGCGGACTTTGCCTCAGAGTCAGGCCCCTTGCTTTCGGCCTCCCCCGCCCGTCGGCTCCTCTTTGGGACGCTGCTTCACGCCGGACTTCGCCTCCTGTCCGGAGCTGCACGTGTGCGTGTGGGGCAGGGTGAACCTGGCAGCGAGGTGCCGCCTCGGCCCTTTATAGAGGAACCTCGGGCCCCACCTCCTGGCCCTTGTGACTGCGGGAGGGTGTTGCTGGAGAAGCCCCGCGGGGCGGGAAGGGAGGGCGGGGAGAGCCCTGCGCGCTCTCGGGCCTCGCTGCCAAGGGGGCGGCGGGAGCGGCAGCAGCCGCAGCCGTCAGGGATTGGTCTGGGCGGGATGTGCTTCAACGGCCCCCCCCCCCCCGCCTTGCCACCTTTGATCCGGAGGGCAGCGACCGGGGACTGCCGTTTCCTCCTCCCGCCCACTCTCTCCCCCCCCCCACTGCCGTACATCGAGGGCGCCCCCTGGAGGGAGGGAAAACCCGAACCCACCCGGGTTGGTGTCTTGCCGCGTCTGGGGAGCCGCGAGCAGCGAGAGTGTCGTCTCTCCGGCCCAGGGGCTTTGAAGCGGATTCCCTCCCCAGGTCAAATTCCTCAAGCCCTCCGCGCAGGAGAAAGTGGGGCGACACGCCGTCCTGCCAGGTGTAGCGAGGGCAGTTGGAGCAGGGACACCTGGGGCGCACGAAACTTACCCCCCCCCAGCTGCACGGGGCAGCACCTTCCGCTGGGAGCCGTGGTGGGATTTCCAATAATGTGCAGCGGGGGGGGGGGTTGGGATGGCGCAGGAGCCTTCCTAGCTTATTTCCTGGGGTGCCCCCCCCTTTTGTTTTCTTTTCTGGGCTTGCGTCCGGATTTGTAGGAATGGATCTGTTCCTAACAACCCCGCGCCTCCCCCCTTGGCTGTTGGGTTAGGCAGCGCAGCTACTGATGTCAGTGAGACGTCAAGGGAACCGACGGCAGCGTTTGAGAGAAGGGGAGCCCTAGCCCTGGGGCTTTGCTTCTGGCAGCCACATGTGGTTGCAGCTATTCCCGTTGGCGACTTCGCCTGACTTTGCCTCCCTTCCTGGAATCGTCGTAGATCGTTGCGACTCGCTGAAGGCTAGTTGAACCCAGTAGTGACATTTGAACACAGGCTTTGGACGTTAGTTTAGCAAGGCAGACTAGAGGCACATTTACTGTAACGTCAGAAGGGTCGGGGGTACGCTGATTAGAATAGCAGGAGGTGCCTTGAAAACACCCGAAAGTCAGCTTATCTTGCGTTTACCAACGTTGCCCTTAAAGCTGGATATCTGAGTCCATCGGAATTTTTTTAAAGTTAACTTCCCTTGCTATAGACTTGAGCGACATTTAGCGCCCATTTCATAGCTAGAAAAAATGGCCAAAATATGGACTGGCCTCCTCGTCAGTCCTCGACGTAAAGCTGGTCCATCTTTTAAAAACACAAAGTAATTGGACACAAAGTAATATTTCTCTTTTGCTTTGCCGTGCCAGTTTCCCCCTCTGTAGCTGCTTTTATGTTTACTTCACACAGAAAATACCCGCTGATTTATCTCAGTATAACCGTCAAAGCATTGCCCCCTTGTGGCTGAATATCGCAATAATACTGTACAGTAGTAATATTCTGGATGATAAAAATATGTGCAAACTGCAGGTAACAACAGGTGATTCTTTTTCCATATGACCATTAGAAATAGGCATGCATGAAGTAGAGGACAAAGAAATCATAAATTTAATGCTGAAAATGAACATCAGAAAGGGAGGAATATCTATAAAAACATTTAGTAAGCTTTTCCACAATTATTCCTCCAAGGAGGAAACATTTAAGGCCAGAAATAGCACAGACTGAAGTTTAAGTAGGAGGTATTTTTCAGGTAAAGTACCACAAATAATTTAGAGAATCACAACAACAAAGCATATTGAGCTTAGCACAGTTGGTTTATTAAAAAATGCAAGCTTCACAGCACTTTTGCCTTGTATGTTTTTTTTAGAGCAAGTTGACAGCTATTGCAAACAAATGAAAATGTTCAGCAACAAAACTCTAAAGTTGCACTGCAAGTCTCACAGCTTGCCTTGGGACACTTAATGACAACCTAGTATACTAACAGTGCAACTAACAATTTATTTATGAATATGGGTAAACAACAACAACAACAACAACAAAAAGTGAGCCTAGTGGCAACTGGTAAAATGTCTCAGTTAAGGGCAAGGATTAAAAAAATCCAGGCACCTACCTAGCAGGTAACCACTGATGAATAAAATCCTTGGTTTGGCATCTTGCACTTGGGCATCCACAGAGCTCAGCCTCCTGTTTAGCTCCTAGAAAAACCTCATAGGTTCTCCACTTCTCCTTCTGCTTAAGGGTATGATCCATAGGGAAATAATTTGGTGGCATTCAGGAGAGATGTGCATTCAACTGCCAGTGTGACGTAGAAGGTGCTTGGTATTTTGCTGAAATCTGTCCAATCAGTTATTCCCTCTCCTTGAGGGATACTGAGAATTGCAGTTTTATGAGACAGGTTGGGACTCTCCGGCAGATGTGTCTCAGTACCCTCACCAAGGTACAGGTCCCAGTTTTCTTAATACTGTACCATGTCAATGTCAGTCACGAAATGTGAGTTTAAAATGTAGATAGGTTCTCATTCACTGGTCAGCAAAGGGTTGTAGATAAGAGCACATGCTTTGCATTCAAAAGGTTATAGGTTCAATCCCTGGCATCTCCAGTCTGGGCTGGGAATGGCTGCTAGGCAGTACTGTCTAGACCATACTGGGCACCATGGATGAACAGTCTGACTTGGTATAAGGCGGCTTTCCATGTTCCTCCTAGGCTTTCAGTTACATCAGAAAACTACATTTATATATTTGTTCTGTTTTTTAAAAAAATAATTAAAAATTTATAACATACTAATAATAGTGGGACTAGGGCAGCACAACCAGTGAAATCTGCAGAGAAAAAACAAAACCCATTGGCCCTTATCCAGCAGAGGCTGAACTATGTATAGGAAATAGGTTTCTGGATGTGGATGCTTTCTGCCACATGTGCAGAAGGCTGCTGTAAGGTAAGGTGCTTGTATAGGGTTTAATTTTTTTTTTTATTGAGAGATTTTAATGGATAACAAAGGTACATATGTCTCTGTTTTAAGTTCATAAAGTCCTTTCTACAGGTCAGTTACATTTGCTGTAAGCCACTGCTATCATTGTGAAGTGCAGGGGAGGTGAGTAGGAGTGAGACGTGAGAGAAATAAGTGGGGTAATGATGGTTTATGTGTGGAGATTTGTGTCAGCGTCATGTGGTTAGTTAGGTTATTCATTTATTTGTTTTTGTTGGTGTGAGATAAAGGAGATCCCAGGGCCTGGTTGGCTGCATTTCATTGATTGTTGCAAGTTTTGGTTGTGTGCATGGGGGGTGGGTCGTTGGGTCAGGTTAGCCATATCAATTCATTTGCTGTTGGGGAGTTTAGGTTGTTGTCTTGAAGGGAAGCCACACCAGGGTGAAGGCATCCTCTTTTGTTTGTCCCAGTGTTAATTTCAATATGTTGCTTAGCTTTTCTAAGAGGCCTGACCATCATTCAAGGCACCTGAGGGTGCCACGGCACACTGGTTGAAAACCACTGGTTTAGACCATTGGGTAGGGCTTATTTCATATGCTATCTCATTCTCTCATTGGTCTTTATTGTGAGGGGTCATGGACTACTTTTTTGTATACTGTGAATACCATCCCCCTGCTGTGTTCCTCAGTTATTAGGAGGAGTTTTTCAAAGGCAGTCAGGCCTAGTGGCTGCTGCTTTTATTGCTGGATTATTTAAGCAGGTGTGTAGTTGGTTGTGAGTTAGCCAGGATATTTGAGTGTCTCTGTCATGGGCCAGGAGTCAGCTTTGCCTTCTGAACAGCAGCCCGAAGGGGGAGTGACTCCACCTGCAACTGATCAGCCATCAAGGACTCAGAGGAGAAAGCTGATGAGAACCAGCTGGCTTCAGCCTTCTTAAGCAGAGCTTCCAGCAGCAGTCAGGTGCTGGTAACTATGCTTGTAGTTTCTGGCCCTACCTTGTTGCTTCCTGCTTGTCTTGACCCTTGAGCATCCGATTCCCTAAGCCCCTGGACTGCCTGACCACATGGATTGCTGTTTGCCTGACCCCAGGACTGGACCTGACTTTGGCTACCGACTCTGCCTCCAGGCAAGTACACCTCAGAGACTCTTCTGGTTGGCCGGCCTCCCACTCCCCTGAGCTCTGCTTATTGTTGCTCAGCACAAGACTACAATAGTCTCCTAGTTTGTTTAGTATTTCCTGTGTTGGTTTGTCATTTTTGTAGATGTCTTGTTATGCAGTGTAGGCCTTTGGTGTGCCATGTTTTTATTTGGAAGCTCTGGGCTGCATGGTAGAATATTGGGTGGTGAGCCAGGGGGATTCATGGGGATTGGGGTTGGAGTAGTTTTCCTACTTTTTCTTTCCTGTGTGAACCTGTTTAGTGTTGTGGGAATTTTCCTTAGTTTGTGGGAGGAATGGGTACACTGTGGGAATTGTATCCATATGCACCTATTGTTTTGTTTCGTCTACTAGGTTGTATGGGATTGTGTGGCACATTTGGTTGGCGATGTAATACAGTTCTATGTTGGGAATTCATCCTCCTCCTCTGAGGAGAGGAGAGGAGATGCAGGTATTTGGGTATTATTCATGGCTTGTTGTGTGAGATCAATGAATGTAGCTTTTTTCTGCCATTTACGGAGTTGGGTTGGGGAAATTCACATTGGGAGAGTTTGGAATAGGTAGGTTACTTTTGGTTGCGTTATAAAATTTGATCATGGGTATTCTGAGAGGGTGAAGTTGGCTTTATTCCATTTCTTCAAGTCTTTGTTAATTTCCCCCCATATGGAGTTGTAGTTGTGGAGGTACAGTTAGGGGTACAAATAACCAAGAACCTTAACTATCTGGATTTGGTGCAGCAAGGTTGTGTTTTTTGTGTGTGGTGTCAGTGAATTCTTTTTGGATATGAGGGATCATAGTGCTGAAACACATGGCATCAGATTTTGTAAAGTTCACCTGTAGGCCCAACACCATTGCGAATGTGTTGAGTTCTTTGGTTAAGGTGGCTGTTCATGGGGTCTGGTGTTGTGACCATTAGGTTATCTGTGAAGAGCCCTAGTTTATAGGTTTTGCCTTTTATTTCTACTCCTTTCATGTTGGGGGTGGGGGATGCTTGTGTAGTTGAAAATGCCCTTGCCAGCTCAGAAATCCGCAAGTGCTACAGTAGCTACCATAGCCAGAGTTTTGGGGGAGTGCAGAGGAAAGAAAGGGTAGGGCTGAGTTTGGAAACATCAAACTGATAATCAGCTTGGTACAACTCTCATGCCTCACTGGCTTAGGATTGTGGAGGGCCTATTAATCAGTATGTATGAAAATGTTCCCCCACCCCATCCACCTACTATCTCATTATGAGTATTAGTTTCATTTTGGTTGTTATTGGAACTTAATGTGTTTCTGCTAATGTTGCTGCAGCCACTTAATACCAAAGCTTTGGTCTGACTGTCTTTGTGAGCACTAAAGAGTCAGTATCCTCACTGGAAAGGCCCCAAAGGTTTGTCACTTTACATAGCGGAAGGGATGAAATAGTGGAGTGTATGTTAGCAGCAGAGAATGTTTAGCTAGGTAGGTAGTTAAACTTTAATCATTTGCTCTGCCTGGAAAATGCATTGTCCTGTTAGAAAGGAGTGTGATTAATACTGGCTTGATATGCAGCAAATGTTATTTTTTGCTGCCTTCAAAGAACTGACCAACTATATGAAGTTACAATGCAAGACAATAATAATTAAAATGGATTAAATTCTAACAGAATAAACTGCCAATTTGCACTGGGTCTTTTATGCTCCAGAACATCACTGTGAAATATGCTGCCTTGTGTGGACATACTTCCACTGTTCCCTTTTTGAGGAGAGTTGCAAATAGTCACAACCATTGCTTGGCCATGGAGGCAGAAACATTGACAGAAAGGGCCCATTAAGGTAGCCTGAGCCATGGTCCTAGTGACTAACATTTCAGTGGAAACTTGGCCACAAGTTCTTTAGGCTGCAGCACATGACTTGTGATGAGACGCAGATCCTCACAGTCCCTGGAACTTGAGTGATTTATGACTGGTGGCATGGGAAAGCCTCTCCTCTTCCGTGAGGGGAGGGGTTGCGAGCGGGACTCACTTCCCATGCTTCGCAGGGGGCGTGGTTGGGCCCCCTGCATCACAGGGAGTCCTGGGCCCGCGTCATTCCCTCAGCCGGCCAATCCGGCTGGCTGGGGGGGGGGCATGGTTTTGCTGCATTTAAAGCTGCCCAGGGCTCCGAGCTCCGCCTGTTTGGATCCTGCACGCACGGATCTCCCGACCACTCTCCCTCTAATGTCATGCATTCAACACCTGACCTTGCTATGGACCTCGGTTCGTCGCCTGTTGAAGGGGCCTGGTAGAAATTTTTTCCACTTGGCAGATTGGCTAAAGCCACTTGGTTTTTCACCTACCTTGTTAGGTTTGGCATTTAGGCATTGGAAAGTGCGTTGTGTGTTGGAGGGGAGGTTGTGGCCATCACCTACCCCTCCCCTTGAAGGGTATTCCATTAAAGGAATCTGGCTGTGTGGTTCCTGTCTGATGCCCAGGTGGTGGGGTGACTCCTAGGGAAAAGCTTCCAGTTTATTTGCACTAGCAAGCTCCCCCTACAGGTTGTTAACCCTTGTGTGACTTCCTGCAGAGGCCTTTTTTAGCCCATTAACCTAAAATAATTGTGTCCATGTCTCTTATTTCACCATAAAGCGAGGCCTTGACTCGCAACCTGCTAGATTTCCCCTAACCTTGCAGATTTGGCCCTTGTGTGTGGATGGTGCTGTTTTGGCTGCATAACCACTAGCACTCAAGTGAATGAGTTTGAAATTTGTATATAGCATGATAGGCAGTGCGGGGGGGGGGGCTGGAACTGGAGCAACCTAGTAATACTGAGCAGGGGAGGCAAAGAGTAGGGGAACTAAACTGTAGCCTTGGACATTTAAACCTTTTGACAACCAGATCTTCCACCTTTGAAATCTTAATTATTGCTGGCTATGTCATTTCCACCAGACTGCCTGATTGAAAACGCTGCTATGCATACATGATATCAATTAAGGACTTGGTTAAATTATAAACTTGGAACTTTGACCTGTAAGGTTGGAGAGTAAAGTGCTCTGTAAGATGAGGGAATGAACAAAAGGATATCTGAGGCAGATACCTGATTTGTGAGTGGTTGCACCTTATCACATACCTGTGTGTTATCAAATTATATTTGCAATAATGCATTTATTTTACTTTATAAGAATTTTTAGTCCACCCTTAACCATGGAATCCCAGTTCATCATATAGTACAGGGTTGTCCAACAGGTCGTTCTGGTCCCCTAAATAAAGCTCAACAACTTTTACCTGAACTTCTCCCAAATGGGACTTTCCCCCCTAAAAAACCCTGGTATATGCCCCTAGAATAGTACAATAAAACCATAAAGGTTAAATCAGACAGATGTGCTGATCCCATCTTCTACTCCAAAAGGCCTGTGCAAAAAGGTGTCTTGCTCAGACTCTGAAATGTACATAATGACACAGACATGCAAGCACACTTGTTTGAAGTCATATATTGAAAACACTTTCACATCACTCTCCAATCTTGACATTTTTATTGATAACAAATATATAAAAGGTGAACAGTTCTATTGTGGAGATTTCTCTGTAAGTGGAAAGACTTTTTTTAAAAAGTGGTTTTAGGACATATCTAATTAATGTATTCTAAACTGTTTTTGCATTCTTATGCTTTTAAAATACAAAATGAAGCTACAGAAGTATTATTAGCTGCATTGTAACATTTGTTGAAATGAAGGTGATTTAAATAGGTTTGTCAAATAATCCCCATTCATTCAAAATATTGCACTAATCACAGAATATTTGTTCCAAGGTTTTCACCTTGCTTTTCCTTTGATAATGAACTATTGAAGAAAACCTCAGTGCAAAACCAAGTAAATGTATATCTTTTAAGAGAGAAATGTTTTTTTGCTGTGCTTCACAATGCACAGAAGTCATGAGAGAGTAAACAGAAGACTTCGTTTAGTAACATTTTACCAACATGCCTCAGTATCAAATATTCCCTAATCTTCCAAAAGCAGAGTTTGCCCCTCTCCAAGTTTGGGAGCAATAGAAGTTGTAACTTTGCCTGTTTCATTATTAGAATTACAGCCAAATTGGCAACAGAAAGAAAACATCTTCATGAGATACCGAATTTGTTGATAGTTCTTTATTGCCTAAGGACTACTGGCATGACTACTGCTGCTTATTTGGGGTATCACATATTCAAATGTCAGCTTAAGGTTAGCTGTTATAGAACCACACATCTGGTGCAGACAAAGTTGCACTAATTAACACAAATAATTGTGCAAGTCGCCTACTTACATCAATAGCAAATCACTAGAGAATGTAAGATTGTGATTCCTCTTCTGTCTATAGCAAAGTCACAACTTTAGTTTTTCTTTTGGCTTTTCCTAAGTTTTGGGGAGGCAGTGTTTGTTTTTTTATTTTCCTTCATTAGCAACAGCAATTAAATGTGTAATTACTGAGCTGTAAACATAATGATTTAAGTTTCCCTAATTTAATACCTCAAACAATGTGACATTAACAAATTGTCAGCATATATCATTGAAATTCTTCTGCTATGTCACAACTTCGACTCACGTGCATTAAATACCATCTTCTTTGTTACTAAGTACACAGTTGGATCAGTCTTCACTTCCAAGATAAACTGAAATATTCTGGTAATCTTAGCAGACAGGCACTGATGAGGATTCAGTTTTTCACATCCAGGGCTCCCATCCTTCCCAAACTCTGCCAAGGACATTTGGATCTCTGGCTTGGTCTATAAGGCACTTCACCTGTGTTTCTTCTGAAAGTCCATCCTCTGGTTCTCTGGCTCGTATGTTATATTCTTTACTTCCTCGTGCCACAGAAACATAATCCCTGTAGGCAGCTGATTTCTCATGGCCCAGCCGTAATTCATCGCTTTAAAAAATGATATTAAATCACTGATATTAAAATCAAGCAGTGTACCCAAGTTTCCCTATTCAGATGCAATACCGTATTGGCCTGAATATAAGCCTCACTTGTCCCCCAAATTCTGACGGTGAAAAGTTAAAGTGTGGTTTAAATTCGTGACCTTACAAAAATTGGCTTTTACGATATCGCTACTGAAACAGACATACGGTAAAATGGAATGGGTGTGAGTGTTTACGGAATTTTAAGGGAGCGGCTTTTACAGTGGTACCTCAGCTTACAAACACTTCAGGTTACAGACTCCGCTAACCTGGAAGTAGTACCTCGGGTTAAGAAATTGCCCCAGGATGAGAGCAGAAATCACGCGGTGGCGGTGGGATGCCCCATTAGCTAAAGTGGTACATCAGGTTAAGAACGGTTTCAGGTTAAGAACGGACCTCCAGAACGAATTACCGTATTTTTCGCACCATAGGACGCACCGGACAATAGGACGCACTTTGTTTTAGAGGGGGGAGAACAAGAAAAAAAAATTCTCCCCCTCTCTGCCCAGCGCCCCTTCAGCGAAGTGGCAGGAGGCGCTGTGCAGAGCGGGGGAGAACTTTCCCCCTCTTGTTTTCCCGCTCTAAAACAAGGTGCTGTTTAAGGTGCGTTCAGGCGGCTACCTTGGAAGCCTGGAGAGCGAGAGGGGGCGGGGTGCACAGACCCCACACGCTCTCCCGGCTTCAGGTTACATTAGACCAGCTCTTTGGGGCTGGCGGGGGGAAGCCCACCACCAGCCCCAAAGAGCAGGTCAGGGAGCAGCGGAAAGGCGCAGCGGAGAGGCTCCTGCCATAGCCGCGCGTCACCTCTCCAGCCGGGAGAACACTCGCGGGGCTAAAGCAGCCCCCCGCGACCCTCTCCCGGCTGGAGAGGTGACGGGCGGCTATGGCAGGAGCTTCTAGAGCCGCCCATCACCTCTCCAGCAGCCCGCGCGTGCTCTCCCGGCTGGAAGGTGACGGGCGGCTATGGCAAGAGCCTCAATAGCCGCGCGTCACCTCTCCAGCCGGGAGAGGGTCGCGGGTGCTTCTTAGCCCGCGCGCGCTCTCCTGGCTGGAGAGGTGACGCGGGGCTGTAGAGGCTCCTGCCATAGCCGCGCGTCACCTCTCCAGCCGGGAGAGGGTCGTGGGGCTATGGCGTCTTCGCTCCATAGGACGCACACACATTTTCCCTTCATTTTTGAAGGGAAAAAAGTGCGTCCTATAGAGCGAAAAATACGGTAAGTTCATAACCAGATTTACCACAGTATTTGGGTATTGTCTCACCCTCCCTTGAATTTTGAAGGTGTGGCTTATATTTGGGCCAATATGGTATTTCTCTCTCTCTTTAGCTCAAGAGCTGTATGCACAGGTCAGCTTTTCCCTTACTCAGTATTTATTGTTCAACTTCTGGTTTATCCGTTGTTGTTTTTAAAGAAGCCTGGCTTCTGGCAGCCCTGCCTTCAGACAATGGGGCTGCAGCGTTGACCCTGCTTGCTAAGTATGCTTTATTTTTTAATTTTTAAAATGTGGGCTTCCTTTCTGCAAATGCACCAAGGTGCTCAACTTCCAAATTTACCTAGATAATTACTGCAGGTCCCCAGCAATTATTCATTTTTGTTTCTATTCAATCACACACTTTATGAGTTCTGTGCTTGCACACAGCCTCATTTAGGAAAGCAAATCGACACGCTGAACATTTCAAAGCGCTTGAGAGAAACATATACCTGGTAATCACTGCTGGATTAGCACCTGCTAATTTTCTTCTTGCAAAATTTACTTTTTGAATGGGGTACCAATTAATCTCCTCTGTGTTTATTTCCTTAGTCCATGTGCCTCCTTTTTTCAGCTGCTTCAATTCAAAATTCTGGAAAGAAATGGCACATAGCCAATCATGAAAAACAATACTGCAGTCTTCACAGTATACATCACAGCATAAGGCATGATATTAAGTACAAGGCATGACAGACATGCCTGATATTTAGATATTTGAGGGGGCATGAATATGGTAAAAATGATAGGAAAATGGCATTATGGTTCTTTAGTATTGCTTAGATTTTCAATACAGAAAGTGCACACTTTTCTAATAACTGACTGGACGAGTAATGATGTAAAGATAACTATAGTAGTCGATCTTATTTTAAAATTTTGTTATAAGCTCCTTCAAAGGACTGTCATGCAATTCCTCCCTTCTGAAGGCCTTTTGATTGTTCACAGTGGGAACCCTGCAGTGTGTGCCCTTGCCATGCTGCTATAGTAGGTCATGGATGTATGGGAGTAGTCCTTATGGGGTGGCTCCTTCCCATGTTAGCTTTGTTCCAGATTATGGTAAAGATGCTGCTGCTGTCAAAAGGAACTGTGGGTGAGTGCCTGGATTTCTTACTTTATCAGGCTGGCATGGAATGAGAACTAACTTCATGAGTTCCGGCAGTACTAAGGTGGTATTGGAAGGCTGCACACTCTTAAATGAAGTGTTTTCTAAAAATGACTAATGTGCTACAAACTACTTTGTGTAACGAATCCCTTAAAAACATGAATTTTCATCCAACGTTTTGGCTAATACTTAAGCATGTACCATATTTTTCGCTCTATAGGATGCACTTTTTCACCTCCAAAAATTAAGGGGAAATGTGTGTGCATCCTGTGGAGCGAATGCAGGCTCCTTGGCTTCAGCGAAAGCAACGCGAAGCCTCCAAAGCACTACGGAGGCTATGCGTTGCTTTTGCTGAAGCCCGGAGCACCGACCCCCTCTCGCTCTCCAGGCTTCAGGGATAGCCGCCTGAAGCCTTTGGAGCGCAGCGGGACCTTGCGCTGCGTTCCAAAGGCTTCGGGGTTAGCTGCGCAAAGCCTCCACAGGGCAGCGGGGTGCCTTCTGGGCTGTCCCAGAAGCCTCCGCAGGGCATGGGGATGAAGGCTCCCCGTGCCCTGCGGAGGATTCACGCAATGCTAGACCAGCTACCCCAGCGGCTATCCCAGAAGCCAGAACAGCAAGAGGCTATCCCAGAAGCCAGATCCCTCTTGATGTTATGGCTTCTGGGATTCAGATTTTATTTTTTCTTGTTTCCTCCCCGCCAAACTATAGAGCAAAAAATACGGTAATTGTCCCCCTGACCTACCTCAAATCAATAGACTGTGGGGCATTCTTCGTTACATTCTGTCTCTGTTGATCAACAACTCACTTCTCAAACCATCCCCTACCTCTTCTAAGCCAGATCTTTCTTTCTTCCTCCCTCCATTATCTGACTCCTCCCTCCCTAAATCGCTGCTCTCAAGAATGGTATTCCCACCCATATTTTCTTTCCTCTCTTTCCCATCTCAATCCTCCTGGCATATGCACTGTTTGTGGCAAGCCTTCCCTGCCACAAACACAACAATGCAACCTAACATTGGGAAACTGCAACTATATCACTGTGTACCAAATAGGAAGTTTTACAAATCACTCTTTTCCTTACAGCAGAGGTAGCCAATGTTGCCGGACTCTAGTTCCCATCAGCCCCAGCTAGCATGGGCTGTAGCCCAGAATGATGGGAGTTGTAGTCCAACTATGTCTGGTGGTCACGACAACGGCTACCCCCTACCTTACAGCAGTCACATAACCATTCCTCTTCACTTTGTTTAGACAAACCAGGATGAAAAAAAGAACCTACTTTCCAATCTAAGGAAGGCTCCTTCACAAACACATCCATAGTATTAATGAGAAAATCTTGATCTGCACGGTAGGCTCTTAAGGAATGCACCATCACATTGTAAAGAAGACCCGATTCCTTCATGGGCAACATCAAATTAATGAACTGGCGAGTCAAACGGAAAGGCATCAACTCTGGCACTGGCAGAAACTGCATACAAGAAAAATCAAAAGTTTATGTATTTATGAATTTTTCAAGCACTAACAATTGCTCTTTTCCTTCATACACCAGGATTCATAATTCTTTCATACAGGTCATTTATGGAGAGGCAGTATTCAGTATAATATTTAAGGGAAATTGTTTTAATGAAACCAGTATATGTTTATCTTGCCTTTTCTTCAGGGAGCTTACAGCAGCTTTCAGCTTGCCATCTCTGTTTTTGGCCCATGTAAATCTTGCTCTCCTTTCTGCCTTTTTACTCAACAATTTAAGGTGATCCATTCTGTAGCCACCATAAATTGGAGACCCAGATCCTCACCATCTTGGTTTTACTAATACTGTATTATAGTGATAGAGGTGGTTTTGTTTGTTTTTTGTTTTAAAAAGATTGTCATGCTTCAACATGGGGGGGGGGGAGTTAGGGCCATTAACTTCAGTGGGTCTTCCTTGAATAAAACTTAGTTGAATACCATGTTTTGATTTTTCCAGTCTTCTGCTATGACAACAAGCTCTTGCTTAAAAATGGCTGGACTATTCCCTGAATGTTCCAGGTGAGTATGCATACTTTTAAAATATTACACTGAAGAAAAAGACAATTCAAACCTATCCTCATCAGTGATAATAAGGTCACTTCATCCACATACAGTAAATGTGGGCCTGGGTTTTGGTTAATTTGGGGGGGGGGGATGTGATTCTGTTTTTTGGATGTGCTATGGAAGATCTGATAAAAATAAAGAGGAAAGGGGCAGGAATACAACCTTGTTTTACATCTTTCGTGCTAGGGATATCTGAGGAGAGGTAATCTTTGATATTGAGTTTTATTTGGCAGATGTTACAATAAAATTCTGTATTAAGATCAACAAACTTGAAATTAATGTATAATTCTAGTGAACTATATATTTATAATATCTAAATTAGATTAAGGGATATTGAAAAACAAAACATTGAGTCAGCTGTAAAGAAAATCTGCTCCCCCAAGTTCTATGGGATAAATACAACCAATAACAGGATCACTTACTGTATTTTTCGCTCTATAGGACACACTTTTTCCCCTTCAAAAATTAAGGGGAAATGTGTGTGCGTCCTATGGAGCGAATGCAGGCTCCTTGGCTTCAGCTATAGCAACGCTAAGCCTCCGAAGCCTGCGCTCCGGAGGCTTCGCGTTGCTTTCACTGAAGCCAGGAGAGTCTGGTCTTTGAGGTTGGCGGTGGGGGAAAGCAGCGCTTCCGCCCAGTGCCAGCCCCACAAGCTGGGTTGAAAAGCCCGCAGGAGCCGTGCACTCTTTAAAGGGTGCACGGCTTCTGCGGGCATTTCTATGAGGTGGGGGAATTCCCCCACCTCGTAGAAAAGCCCGCAGGAGCCGCGCAGCCTTTAAAGGGCGTGCCGCTCTTGGGGGCTTTTCCCCAAGGAGCGAGAAGGGACCGACTGCCTGCGTTAGTCCCTTCTCCCTCCTGGTCGAAAAGCCCGCAGGAGTCGCGTGCGGGGGGAGGGGGAATAGCAGGGAGAAGGTCTGGGAGAAGCACACAGGCTGCGTGCAGCCTGTCCGCTTCTCCCAGAGCTGGGGGGGGGGGGGATCATATTTCTTTCCTTGATTTCCCTTTCTGAAAACTAGGTGCGCCCTATAGAGCGAAAAATACGGTATATCTCAAAGCTAATACCGTATTTTTCGCTCTATAGGACACACCTGACCATAGGAGGGGGAGAACAGGAAACAAAATATTCTCCCCCTCTCTGCTCAGTGCCCCTTCAGCAAAGCGGCAGGAGAAATGGAGCCCCTTCCATTTCTCCTCCCGCTTCGCTGAAGGGGCGCTGCGCAGAGTGGGGAAACTGCGCAGCGCCTCTCTAGCAAAGCGAAGCCTGGAGAGCAAGAGGGATCGGTGTGCACCGACCCCTCCCAGTCTCCAGGCTTCAGGCGGCTATCCGTGAGCCTTCTGAGCACAGCGAGAACTCCCGCTGCTCTCCGAAGGCTTGCGGATAGCTGCCTGAAAACCCCGGAGTGCAGTGCGAACTGCCGCTGAGCTCTGGGGGTTTCAGGCAGCCTTGCCTCCGCTCCCGGACCTGGGGGTGGGGGAAGCCCGAGCTTCCCCCATCCCCAGAACAGGTTGGGGAGTGGCGGTCCCTTCTCCCTCCTGGGGAAAAGCCCGCAAGAGCCGCGCGAAGCTTGTGTGCGGCTCTTGGGGGCTTTTACTGCCTGCCTCCCCCCTGCATTCGCTCCATAGGACGCACAAACTTTTCCCCTTAGCTTTTAAGAGGGAAAAAGTGCGTCCTATGGAGCGAAAAATATGGTAGTTCCAACCCAACACAGTGCATTTATGTTAGCCCAATTAATGTTTTCCCCTTAGCCTTTGTTAAGGGCAGATATTTAAACATCCCTAGAAATGATAGACATTGCGGATGTAGAACATATTCTTTTCTACTGTCCACTGTACAACCAGTACGGTTGTACTTAAACTATCCAAAAAGAGGGAAAATACATATTTAACATCATGGCACAATGAAAATATCAGATTCTACCTGTCTGATATTAACCTGGAGGTGCAAGGGTGGCTGAGTTTCTGTCAACAGTAACTCTTAGAGTGATGAATGGCATGATTTAACAGGAAGACACTCAAGATCTATTACTATATATCTTCTGTGGCTGCTGCTTTGTATATATTTTTAAAATTTTGCATAGGGATGTTTTAAGATGGTCTATATCTGTAACGCCTAATAAAGACTTTGAAGAAAAACAGAAAGTGTCATTAAGTAGTGTGCAAGGTTCAAAAAGTGGGGCGGGGGGACAGGCAGTATCATGCAAGATCCTGCTCCATCTGACTAACAAGCAAAATAAACAAATATCCCAAAGAGGAAGCAAGAGCGATTCTGAATCTTTACAGTCGCCCTGACCTATTAGCATTCAATTCAATTTAATATTTAAAAAAAACAGTTTGAAAAGGAGAATACCTGTGTGGCAGAACCGAACGCATGTCCAAAGTCTATTCCCACCATGCCACCTGTCTCCATGCTGATCATGAAGTTGGATAAGTGTCTGTCTCCAATACCAAGAATCCAGTGGCTGATGCACATCAACGCATGGGAGCTGGCGAAATGGGATCGCAGAGATAGCAAGGCCTCCGGTGTTGTACTCATCTTAACAAAGGCCCTCCTTAAGAAAAGCAATATATTTATACATATTAAGATTGGCTTCAGCTGTTTCTAAGAAGGGGAAACATTATGAATTCAGAACAAAGAGCTGCCCATCTTCCTCACTGTTCCACCCACATGCTAATAATCGGAAACTGGAGAAGGGGCTAGATGATTATCAGTGTGGCACAGGCTGAAGTTTGAAGGGCCCAAAGAGAGGGTTGGTGTTTTGTTTTGTTTCTAATAGGAATTGCGGGCCAGCAGCCTGCATGTGGAAAAATGAGGAGGCCATATGAGGATTACTGGAAGCAACCCTTCATTCAGCAACATTAATCCTCGGTACTATTTTGAAACCCATATTACACAAGAACACACCTTAACAGGTCTTCAGGAACACGGTTCTCTCGGCGATGGAAAGACATCACTGTTTCTTTACGATCAGCTCTCCTAGAAGTGAGCAAAGCAATGACAATTATAACCACATAATTAGAAAATGGGAATCAAGCAGAGACAACTGTTTCCCCACCCCCTTAGGTTGAATTGAACATTTTGGACCGGCCATATGCTCTCTTATATTCCCAAGCAGAGATGGTGGGCACGGCATGGTAGCAGCAGACCTGGCAGAGCTGCATGTCCACCTGCTTTGGTGGGTTCCACAACCTCTAGAGTAGGTTGGTTGGGTGGAGGGAGACTGCAGAAAGGAATTTCCTGTTTGTGCAAGCCGATATGTTATGCAAGCAGGTCAACACCATTTGATATTGCCCTTTAGCGTTGGTGCCCTGAGAAATGTTTTCTGTAAGAACTGGCTTCTTCAAGCCAATGCAGGAATGGGGAAGGGGCACCAGTATGTGCATGCAATCACTGCAGAATTTTTTTTTAAAAAAAAGGAAGAAGTGGGTTTGTAACTCCCAGTTTTTCTGTGGACATGAGTCAGTAGCCAGCAGCACAATCGGAATCTCTCTGCCACATTAGTAAGGGAAGAAACTTAATGATCACCATAATTTCGAATTTCTATACCACCCTTATCCAAGGAACATAGGGTGGGGTTACAATATAAAAGCACAAAAATACAAAACTTTGTGACAAACAGAAACAAAATAATCCACCCACACACAGTTTAAAAGGCCATGGATTGTTTAGTTGGCCAAAGGGGAAGAAGAAGAAGGTTTTTGCCTGGTAGCTAAAGATATGTAACAAAGGGGCCAGGCAACCCTCCCTGGGGAGAGCATTCCACAAGCAGGAAGCCACTGCAGAAAAGGCTTGCTCTAGTGTTGCCACCCTCCAGACCTCTCGTGGAGGAGGCAAATGAAGGGCCTCACATCATAGAATTGGTGGAACTGGTGCCACCCACCCCTGACTTGGACAGCTGTTGAAGAATAGCATGGTTGATGATATCACAAGCCACTGAGAGATAAATGGGTAACAATTATTTCTAAGACTCACTTGTACATGTATGTGTAGCGTGCAACAGGGCTTGTATTCTTCTCTGCCATCTTGGACAGCCAGTCAGTATAATCAGCACGAGGACCCTTGTAGCTGAATAAAAAGGGGGGAAAGCAAGTAATTTACTTCTATATTACCTGAAAGGAACACCACAAGCATTGGGGTACTGTGCTGTTAAAGAGCAATTAATGAATCAAACCATTTCTGAAAATGAACTTAGGGAGATGCTGTTTCCAAGCATCATTCAAGAACAAGCTCCTAGGAAGTACTGAGTCTACTATATTTTGTCCTTAATGTTTGTTTATAGCAAATTTCTATTTCAATAGGCACACTAGTATTACACAAGTTCCTGACTTGCAGAACACATTCGTGACCACATTAAGCAAGCTTTGTCATTTCCTTCTGTCTTCTTCCAAGTAACATACAGCTACTACAGCTTTATGAACCGATTCTTCAGCATTGAACACACTGGAAAGTTCTTCCTCAGTGAAAAACACTCCAAAGGAGGCACAATACATTTAAAGCACTGTTAATTCAATTCATTCCACAACTACCTCCTTAAAAGTGTAAACTTGTAAAGAATAACTTATAATTTGCTTCACTAGCTAAGAAATAGTTTCTGAATATTAGTACTTTCTACATGATTGTTATGTTTATCACTATTCTCTTTGAATACTGAGTGGTATTTAACTCACGTACTCAGAGCAGACTCACTGAAATATAATGGAACTAACTTAACTATGCTCCTTAATTTCAACACAGTGGTACTTTGGTTTATGAACTTAATCTGTTCCGGAAGTCCATTCTTAAACCAAAACATTCTTAAACTGCTTTCCCATACCAGCAGGGGACTCAATTTTACAAATGAAACACACTCAACAGGAAGCGAAACATGTTCTGCTTCCAAGGCAAAGTTCACTTCTAGAATCTAGTGTTCACACAAAGATAAACTTTCATCTTCTCCCATTTTTACTGCTATTGCACTATCTAGAGCTAAACTGTGGTTTGTCTCACTCTCAACAAACCATGATCTGTAAAAACCAAAGCTTGTTCTTGATTTGACAGCTCATGATTTGTTTGGAGAAGACAAACCACAAGCCTGGGTGCACACATAATGTTAAGCCAAACCATGGTTTAGTTCTGGAGCAGCGTAGCAACAGCAGGACAGAGGAAGAATAAAACAGCCACAATTCCCCCTCTGAAGTCACTGCCTGTCACTACACTTACTGGTTTGTTTTCAACATTATAGGGTTTGCTCATGTGAGTACAAGTTAGTCCCAAGATCAGAACAGGCTTTGGATATGGTTTCTGGTCACAATGACAAGTTAAGAGTTGTGGCTCTCCAGATTCTCCTTATTCTCCATCACAGGAATTATAATCCATTTCCATTGATTTCAATGCTGAACATGCATTTATACTACTCTCCATTCTGACTGAAGTTCACTTCCTAATTCAAACTAACATTTTAAAAAAATCCTTTGCTTGTAAAAAGCAATCTGTTGATAAGAAAATGATGAAGAAGCCACGGGTGATACATGCTCTTTGTTTAAAGAAGCAGACAGAAAATGTAGGTCAGAGGTGAAGTGTTACCCGTTAAAACAAATAGCTGCCAATTATTAATCTAAGATAGGAAGTACTTTGACTTCTGATGATTAATGCCAATTGTTCCTATGGATATTATTCTCACAATACTTCACCTATCTCCAAAGAATGCCATTAACATCTAAGAAACAGATTTATGCACCTTCATTACCTGTTATAATCATTTTTTTCCTGTTCAGACATGTTCTTCAGAAGGAACTCCTTTAAAGTGCAGGTATTCTCAAGCCACTCAATCAGCCCTAGTCTGAAAGAAAATATAGCCAAGGTAACAACAAACACAGAAAATTATTATTTAATAAAGGGGTAAAAAATGTAGAGGATGCAAACTAGTAGACACTTTTTTCGCTTCTTTTTAGCTTCACTACTTAAAGTGTATTAAAATGTCATTCACACAAGAATTAAAAAGGTAAGCAAGAGGTAAAGTTTGAAAAAAAAATCTGCTTCACTCAAGCAAATTATATGCATCCATTTATAAGGGGGTATAAAGCACCACAGAGGGACACGGGTGGCGCTGTGGGTTAAACCACAGAGCCTAGGGCTTGCCGATCAGAAGGTCGGCGGTACAAATCCCCGTGACGGGGTGAGCCCCCGTTGCTCGGTCCCTGCTCCTGCCAACCCAGCAGTTCGAAAGCACATCAAAGTGCAAGTAGATAAATAGGTACCGCTCAGGCAGGAAGGTAAACGGAGTTTCCGTGTGCTGCTCTGGTTCGCTAGAAGTGGCTTTGTCATGCTGGCCACATGACCTGGAAGCTGTACGCTGGCTCCCTCGGCCAATAAAGCGAGATGAGCGCCGCAACCCCAGAGTCGGTTATGACTGGACCTAATGGTCAGGGGTCCCTTTACCATTATAAAGCACCAGCTAAACATTATGATAAGCGTCTAATGCTGCTTCTTCCTTTCTTGCTGTGATGCATGGATTTACCTGGTTGTTACTGTTTCTCTATAGATAAATCTTCCCTATGTTCTATAGGCTCAGACAAGCAATGCATAGGAAATGGCCAAGGAAGATGGTTGGGTAGTGCAAAGATGCACAGCCTGCTCTTCAGGATATCTCACACGTTTAAAATTATGAGTTCACAGGAAGACACAGTAAACTTTGCAGTTAAACAAGCAACACAGCAAAGGTTTGCCGAAAAATTGCCAGTTTGTAATTAATGGTGTTGAGCAACCCTACAAAAGATGTTCCAAGGTTTTCCTTATATGGTGGGCCTGCTGTAAAGACATTTCTCCTCCTAATTCATGCAACGAAGACTGGAGCACATATACTATATTGGAAGGAGGTCAGGAAGCGCCTACCTGGTAGTCATTGGTATAACGTGGTAAGTTTTTAATTTCATGTTTCTTTGGCTGCAGGCAGCATCTCTTGAAAGGATGGTGTTCATAACATCAAAGAGCTGCTCAATGCGCTGGTCTTGCCGGAGATCCTCTCCTCCTTTCACAAGAAAGGGATATTCCCGCTCATCGCTACCTCTGATAATTATACGCTTTGGTTTCCGGATGGACTCCATAACTTTTATCTTAGACAAAATGGGGTGGAGAAAGGTTTTCACTCAAGAAAGGGTGAGAAAACATTGCAATATACAAACTATGTTATAGGAGAAAGTCCATCTGCATCTCTCTGCAGTGTGAGAATGCAGAAAAAAGTTACTATAGATATCACCCACATCTGGTGAAATTTTATATCTGTTTATATGCACAATGCACACTTACTAATATATCGGTAAGTGCACCTTTACCTTTCAATAGACACATGAAAAAATATGCACATTAATATAGTAACATACCCTCTCATCAAATCCAGAAATTTGTGCATGATATTCTGGCAATGGTTTTCCTTTACCATCATATTGACCTGAATAAATAAAATGTAATGCTTTAATGGAGCTTTCAAAACATTTATATGATTAACAGTGCATTCCTAGCCTACTGATCCAGTGGATGAAGGGGGGTGGGATTTGGATGCAGAGAAAGTGCCCCTTTACCACTGAGAGGGGGGGAAATCAGCTGCAGAGAGTTCCATGGATGTAAAGCTACTGCTGGTGGTGTTTTTGACATCTGTATCCTGCAGAATGGGGCATTCTGGAGCCAGGTTACAGGAAGTCTTAGATGCAAGGCCCCTTTAAGAGGCCCTGGGCTGTGCTAGGCATGGTTAATTTTCCCCCACTGGCTCCAACTGAGGGAAGGATTTAAAAAAGCAAAGATCTGTTGCTTGACCTCCTGTCCTGGTCAGCATGCCCTCCACCCTATCCACAATTGCTGAGTAAGGTAGAAACATTATACTGGCAGAAAATTCCTGTGGCTAAGAGACTCTTCTCATGATCTTGTTTGTGCTGGGTGTGCTCCCAACATTATTCTAACAATCCTGATCATGACAGCAAAACTGCCCTCAAAATAAGTTGCTGGTTATCAGCCTTGCTAACCATGTCAGACTCAGAGGAGGCAGGACAAAGACTGGTTTCAGGGAACAACCCCCAGCTCAGTTTCCTTTCTTTTAGAAAAGACTGTGGCTGCTAAGGATACATGGTGCCACTTGGTCCTGAACAGTGGCAAATAAGGAGCAAAAGTGTCTTGCACAGGAGCCCACATATTCTGTGCTTCAGACGTGTCACCAGCAAGACATTAACTTTGTGGCTCTTAGATCTACTACAGGTTTTAAAATAAATTCCAACCACAATCATTCATTGCAATTGGTACCGTATTTTTCACTCTATAGGACACACTTTTTCCCCTCCAAAAATTAAGGGGAAATGTGTGTGCGTCCTATGGAGCGAATGCAGGCTCCTTGGTGTCAGTGAGAGCAACGCGAAGCCTCCGAAGCGTGGAGGGAGCGCTCCCTCCGCGCTTCGGAGGCTTCGCATTGCTCCAGGCTTCAGGGATAGACTCCCCTGGCTTCAGCGAAAGGAACGTGAAGCCTCTGGAGCACAGCGGGAACTCGCGCTGCGCTCTGGAGGCTTCGGGTTCCTTTTGCTGAAGCCAGGAGAGCAAGACTCTCCTGGCTTCAGCAGAGAGAGAGCGCTGCGCAGCGCCCCTTCTGCGAAGCGGGAGGAGAAATGGAAGGGGCTCCGTTTCTCCTGCCGTTTCGCTGAAGGGGCGCTGAGCAGAGAAGGGGAGAATTTTTTTTCTTGTTCTCCCCCTCTAAAACAAGGTGCGTCCTATAGAGCGAAAAATACGGTATGTGTTTATTTTAACGTGAGCTATTAGATTTTGGTAATACATTTGGACGGAACTCCTAAATAAATGTTACATCCTGCAAAAGTTGCTTAGAAGATGTCATAATGGTCAGAAAGTATCTGCCAAAGAATAAAAGTTTATCTACTTTTAAGAATAGATAGTCAGTCAGTCACTCTGGAGGTCTTAACTATGCAGTGTATTAAACAAAAATGAACTTTAATAACCATTATTTCATTTAGCAATGGAAGAATATTCTCCAGATTACCAACTGAAACCATAGCTTACCAGGAACTTCCAGCTCAGTCCTCAAGAATTCTGGTTTGAAGTCACTCATCCAAGTTGAGCACTCCTTCAGATTTCCAGGTTCTTTTTGACAATCTCTCATCTTTAATAAAAGAGGCTCCACAATACTGTTGAAGTCCCTGTCTGTCATATTTAGCAGCTTGGAACCTCCTTTTCCAAAGTGTTTGTCAAATTCCTTCCCAAATTTCTGAAGCAGAAATTTAATCACACAATAATTTTTCATTCTTGTTAACAGCCAAAGTACTTAAACTAGTTTATCACTTGATATAGCTGAATGAGGAGGAAATACCACTTGGTGAAATGCCAGAACTTATTAAATTTCTCTTGCACCCTATCACAGGCAGGTGTTTGACATACTCCTATGCAATGCCTATAACATAGCAGCCAGCTACTAGTATCTCAAATTGGTAGAACCACAATTCTTACTAAGCTCTGGTCAGCACTGACTTACATATGCCTCAGCTGTTCCTATGGATAAACCCAGAAAACCTACAGAAGTTGTGAATGCAGATGAAGGACAACTCCTCTCCACTCAGTAGTACCAGTTACATCTCCGTAGTAGAACAAAAGTACCAGTGGCGATACTTGGGCTAGAACTGGAAATCATATTCCTGATCTTACGAACCACAGATTGCACTCCTTTCGAACTGTTTTAATTTTTGCTAATGTTCCATGACACAAAGGGTCAAGGACTGTGGTGGTAAATAATACACTTAACTACAACATCCATTTCTGAAGTCTATACAGATGTGCAGGGCATGTTCAGGGCCATAATAAAATGCAATTATTTAATTCAGGTTTTCCATATTATATTTTAACTTTCCTGCTATACATGTAAAACATTCAACCAAAGGTGCTATAATTAATACATGCCTGAATGAACTTCTTTCTGTACAACCCGAGACCTGGAGCCTGTAAATTTCCCAGATTCTGGAACATTCCATCATACAACTCCTGGATGTTATTTTTACTCCTCTTAGTTTTCCCCAGCTCATTTCTAACATCGTCGGTCCAATCCTGTGAATCCAGAATAACACCACTTTACCACGTCTCGCATCCAACCAAAGGACAAAAGTTAAAACATAGCAGCTACTAATGGAAACCGGGCTGCTTCGATAGTTATTCAGGTGTGCCCTCAACACTCAAAAAGCACATGCATGCATTTAAACATCACACATCCCCTCACAGTATGAAGAATTCAGTCATTGTACCTTGAAGAGCATTGCAGGGTTGGACAGCTGCTCGAGGGCATGGACAAAACCTTGCACCACTCCTCCTCTGTCCAATTTGGTCTTCAACCTATAAAGAATAAATCATCACAAAGGGAAGAGGAAATATAATCGCAGAAGCATTCTCTTCTGCTTTGTGAATAGATAATATAGCTCAATTCCTCCATAAAACACCAAAGAAGCTTTCTTAAACTGCAATACTCAAACAGAATTATTTATCACTTAATGGTGAGTGTGCTTGAGGTATTTAGGTAAAAAGGACCCCTCCAGTCATGAATGACTCTGGGGTTGTGGCGCTCATCTCGCTTTACTGGCTGAGGGAGCCAACGTTTGTCTGCAGACAGTTTTTCTGGGTCATGTGGCAAGCATGACTAAGCCACTTCTGGCGAACCAGAGCAGTGCACGGAAACGCCATTTACCTTCCTGCTGGAGCAGTACCTATTTATCTACTTGCACTTTGACGTGTTTTCGAACTGCTAGGCGGGCAGGAACTGGGACTGAACAACAGGAGCTCACCCCGTCACAGGGATTCGAACTGCCGACCTTCTGATCGGCAAGCCCTAGGCTCAGTGGTTTAGACCACAGCACCACCCGCATCCTCCTGATAATTTAGGTAAAAATGGGTTAAATGTCCCCCACCCCCCAGCCTAGGCAGTGAGGATATGTGATCCAGACTTGTACTGGCTAGACAAGGTTCCTCCCCATTTCCAACCTGCTGCTAAGCAGAAGAGAAGCAAAAGCAAGCATGCTCCTCTGAGCAAGCATGAAACAAAACATGTGAATCTAATTTATAGCCTGCAATAACTTAGAACAGCTCCCTCGGCAAATTAGGTGGGGCTGGATGCCTCCTGCACAAGCACCAGAAGTAAGCGTCACAATAAGTGACCAAGTGGTATCCAAGGCTTTCCTTCTACTGACAGAAAACACACCAACTGGTGGAATAGGGGCAGGAAGCAATTTATAGCAATTCCTGCTCTGCCTTGCCGCCTATCCCTCTCAAAATTTGCTCCAGAGGGTGGAGGGATTCTCCAGAACATACTGAAGGAAGTGTGGGGCTGCAGGGGAAAAGAAGCATCGCTGAAAATTGCCTCCCTCTACTATTCCACAAACAGGCTTTCTCTCAGTAGAAGGCAAGCACTGGACACCACCCAACGGAAGAGGAGGAAAATAAAAACAGTTGTTACTTTTAATTTTGCTGAGAAGTATGTTACAAAATTGGAACTCTTTAACAGCTAAGGAAGTGCAGAAAAGGGAAACGCCTATATTTCTTAAGACACAATGCTTACCTCCAACGCTTCAATTTAAAATGTACTATACTGTAAACTTGTGACTGATGTATGTGCTTTTTGGAATGTATAATTTCTTGTTACCAGCAATAAAGATTATTTGCTTCCAAAAATGTATCGCTCAACATCCTCACCTTGCTACAAACTCCTTATTCCTATGGCCCATGACAGTTTCCTGGAAAGAGAAGCTCTCACTGCTGATCATGAAAGGATACACTAAGGCCTGTGGGTAGTTGTTGGCAATTTCTTCCACTGCATGTTGTACGGCAATTGCTTCCTCCTTGTCAAGCATCGCCATCAACTGGCTGATCCAGCCAATGAACTGCCAACAGGGTACTGAGGAAATCTGTTTAAAAAACATGTAATGTATGTGAAGGTGGCGAAAAGCAAACAATACACATTTCTTCTACCCATCTCAGCTGAGCCAACAGAATAAAATGCAGCATTTACCCTCTTGTAACTTTCGTCTGGTAGTGTGCATGGATGATATCAAAATTGCATCAAGTGTTGACTTTGCCAAAGCACATTACAGCACATTTCCAAGAACGTTAACACAGAAATAAACAAGAATTCTTAACTAAACTGGGAATAAAAAAAGTAAATCTTGTGTTCAGCTGCTAAAGCAGTTTTACACTTCCTTACACTGAACTGCATTTGCACCATTTTACTGCCCACTCACCCAGTTTGGAGAGATCCTTTCAAAGCTCTTTGCAATCCCTTCTTATTTTTACTACCCTGAATAATTTTATGTCATATCAAAACCAACCTTATATTTTTGTTTGCCCACAGGGAAGGGAAGGCTCACCTCTTGTGCCATGAGGCCCAAAGTCTCTGTTGGGTACTTTTCTACAATTTGCAACAGCCTGGGAAATTTCAACCTGGCTTCTTCAGAATTCAGTTTTAGAGCTTTGATGACTTTCTCCACCACAATGGCTGGAAATGCCTGCAAATCCACAGCATTTATATCTGACAAGACACAAGAAGACAAACAGAAAGCCATAGTTTGCAAAGTTCAATGAAAAGCTGTATTTCAACGAAGTACCTTGTCAAAGCCTATATATTTAAAAACAAACAGCTAACTCTGTTTGGCCTTTTTCAGACATTTAGTCTGTGATAATGCAGCTCACTGCTCTAAGCATTTTGCATATGTGGGTATTATAACATTCTCTCCATGAGACAATAACCTCGGGACTCATCAATATTGATGGTTGGCCAGAATGAAGTTTACAAAACTGATGGTTTGGGGGCATCTAGCACTTTGGAGCACAGTACATGCTAAATCCATTTCTTTAATTGTAACCTGTTGTTTTTGTAACCATCTCAGGACTCAATTGGCAGTATCTCATTGTTGTTTTTTAAATAACTATTTTATCAGTTTTTACTTGTTTTAGTTGTATTGTTTTATTGTTGTATACCACTATGGTTTTTATAATGTTTAGTGGTTTATAAATATTCCAAATAAATTTTTTTATATAAGATTGAATAGCATGTGAATGAATGAATGAATCTTTATTTGCATCAGCCATCGGCCATAGCAATAAAACAACAATATGATATACAAAGAATAGAAATAAAAAGTCAATTATATAAAATACATTTTAGGGTTTTGAATCAGTAGTCAAATAGTAGATCTTATTCTAATTGCCCCAGCATCAAAACCTTGCAACCTTTGCTATCACCTGCTCATCTTGATCTGCCAAGAGAAAGGACACTGTGGCAGTGGCTGGGCGACCCGGAATGGACAATAAAAGAGGGGTGATAACCTCATTCCTCAAGTCTTTATAAAGAGTGCAAGCCAGAAGGGCATGTGCCACCGATTCAGTACTGCCATTTCCACAGGGACATAAGCATTTTTCGTTTGGAATCGTCTCTCAAGTACAGCGGAGGGCAATACATTCAATCTTGCAAGAGTAAAAGTGTCTATATTTTAGAATTGATAGGTGAATAACGTGTTATTTTCTGATGATGTAAAACCACCATGAGTTGATTTTACTTCTTCAGTTTTGGTTAGGGAAAACAGATCATTGTGGTAAGGGATGATATGTACCTTACCAGAACAAACATGAAAACTAAAATCCAACCTGATATTAGATATACTAGCTCTCATCATTATCAAAACGTTCAACTGGGGTAGATTTAACTGTCCAAGAAGAATGCATCACTGTGGCCTTAAATATATATCCACCCACCAATCTATCTTTGTCATAGCTGCATAACTGGCATGAACAACCCCTCTTTTATCTCACCTGCTGAGCTTTCTTCTTCCTTCCGGAGATGATTGTCACAGAAATTAGCCAATGTCATATAAGCATCTATGACACCCTTTGTATCTATGTGTTCAGATGAGATGGACTGTACCTCTTCTTCAGCTTTCCTTGCAGCCTTGCTGAAGCATTGGAACGCCCTCTTATTCAAACCTGCTATAACCTGAAATTACAACAAATCAGAAATCCCAGAACCAAGTTCAAGAGTCACAGAAGTGGGCACTTAAATTTAGAATCTAAATAAAAGCATGTTAAGGCAACAAGATTATAAATGATTTCTTAAATCAAGACTACAAAGTGCTTTTAAGGCAGACAGATACTAAGGCACAGGCACAGAAATTGGAGGAAGGAGGAAAGAAAAGGTTCAAAGAAGGAAAGCAGGAACAGCTTAAAAAGTGTGATACAGAACTGTTCATGGCCAGAGCACATTCCTCAAACCCCCCCCGCCCCCAAAAAACCTTGGGCTGTGGAAGTGTGCCCTCCTGCTGCTGCCAGCACCTAGAACTTGGGCCAGTAAATAAAATCAGTTGATAGAAATTAAAGTATGTACAACTGGAAAATACCGTTTCATGCAATGCAAAAATTAACTTACGGAGATTCATTGCTACAAGATGTGATGGCAACCACTGTGCTGCGTTTGTGAGATTCTTAATGGCATCTGGCTACTGCTAGGAACAGCAAGGAGGAGGAAGATGGAGAGCACAGGAGAAACATCATCCCTGCAAGTCCCTGCCTATTCCCGCTACAGGTATGGTGAGGCAGAAGCCTTAAGATGAACCAGTGCAACATAAAATTCACTGGTGCAGAGAGTGCCATCCAGAAACCAGTAAGAGGATTTCATGGCATGGAATTAGTAAGTTCCACTGAAATCACTATAACATTTTATTATTATATAATAGATATGATATAATCCAGTGGTTTTCAACCAGTGTGCTGTGGCACCCTGGGGTGCCTTGAATGATGGTCAGGGGTGCTGCCGGCAAGACTGGCCTCTGTTCCTCTTTCATTCCCTCCATTCCTCTGATGCCCTCTTGCATCTCTGCCTGTTAAAGGCTTGCACAGCTGTTTGTTGCAACAGCTCTAGTGACAAGCTCCCCAGCTGAATGGTGCCTCTGGGGCTGGCCAGGGGGTGCTTCCCATGCTCCTGGGGTAGGGAGGCAGCTCAGAGACCAGAGGCGGCAGCTGCAGCTGCCCAGAGGACTCCTAAGAAGAGGGGAGAGGAGAGGAGGCTGAGGGAAGACTCCACAAGGGAGGGTGTTTGAAAAAGCGTGAGAGGCTGCCAGCTCTGCAGGCAAGGGGTGACATAACTGGGCTCCTGCGCCCTACAGGCGTGCCGCGGAAAGAATGTAGTTGGTCAAGGGAGCCGTGGACCCAAAAAGGTTGAAAACCTCTGAGCTAATTGATTAGGGCAAGAAAGAAGAAAATCAAGTTGTACCTTCAGTCACTTGTTTAGCAATTCTGAGAGAAAAAGAACTTACCTTTTCAATATTATCAGGTTTTTCTCCTGAAAGCACTAAGACCTTTTTAGCTTTCTCTTCCTCGATTTGGTCAAGACACCCTGGATCCTTGCAAAGGGCACTGGCCATGATGTGGAAAGTGGTACCCAGGAGGTGGTTTTGGTTGCGGTAGGTTAAGGCACTGCTGCTCAAGCTGCCCAATTTATCCTCATCTGTTGGACCAAACATTGTAAAACCGACACTCTGTTACAAATATGATATATGCAGAAAGCACAGTTAAGATCCTCTCTTAACCAAGCACGATTGCATTATGCATAGTAGACCCCTTCATGAAACACATACCTAGAAGGGAGGTGGTTTTGAGTACTGTAAGTATTTGTTCAGGGCTACTCTGGCTTCGGCTTCGGCTGTGGCTGAAGCGACAATAGCTGTGGTTCCATCTCACAAGCCAGTCTTCTCTTGTCTTAGAATCTGCATGCAGGTCCTTCAGAAGTTTCATGGCTACCGAGAAGCTGTTCTGCATTAACATTTCAAAGGGAGGGTGTGGAGAGAAACATCAGTAAAAAACAGCAAAGGATATGGAGGAAAGGCAAATCTATTCAATATGAAGGTAAGAAAAGGGAAATAGAAGCATGCATTATCCAAATCTACTTTTAATGTTTTTTATAATGGATTAAGGGCTGCTAAACAGGACATAGGCACCTGTTTCCTGGCACTCTCTATCATTTTCATTTTCATGGTAAATTTGCAGTTTCTAATCAGTGAGTGTATATCTTCATCCTCATGGTCCACTTCCATTTTGAAACTAGCATCTCCCTCTCCATCCACTTCTATACTGTCTTCCAGACTCATTTTAGGAAGTCTCTCCTCAATTTTGTCAAGAAAGAAACATCTGCAGAAACATAAGGAAAATAATATAACGTTGACAGAAACAGAACTGGAACCACAGAAGACATTTCAGTCCTTACTCTTCTTTTTCTATATGAAAAGTTGGAAGAGAAGGAATATGCATTAAATAAACAACTGAATGTTGTGGGTATATAACATGCAAAACCCATCCTTGAACTGTCATGACTGTCTATCAACAGAAATGATTAATTACAGAAACAGTTGTAGACAGTGCAAGAACAATTTCACTGGGAACATATTAAATGACTGAATGTTTAATAGATATATGCAATCACAAATAATCAAGATCAACCTTTATTTACCGATTTGTAATGATATCATCCCAAATGTTCATAGGATCCATTTTGGTATCTGGATATCTGCTTGTCCAAATTCTAAGAAGTCTCTTAAGTGATGCCTGAGAACCTATATTACCTAAGAACCATTTGTTGGAGGAAAGAATACAAAGTTTAAAAATTACACCTGCAACCTGATAACGCAGCATAAGAAACACGTCAAAATCCTAAATAACTAGCATGGCCAGTTACTGATGTTGAATTGTTTGTATGCATATTTGTTTTATAAACAGGAGTTCAGTGGAAGCTGGTTCTGTCAGCTTCCGGAATGTCAAAACAGGTCATGATGTGGCATAGAAGAACAGTAGTTTAAAACAGAAGAGTAGCTTAAATATAGAAATACACTTGGATCAGAACATAAAAAAACCTGTAGTAGTAGCCACTATCAAGAAAAGGTGACATCCAACATCATTATAGCTATTCTGTAGATTTTTGTAGGTGCAAAATGAAAGATACATACCTCCGAGTTGGGATTAATTTCCCTCCAGAATTACAAGTCTACTACAACAATGTGAAAGCACTGCATGAAGTTGAAAAAACTTACCTGGCTTGCCTATAAAGTTGACAAAGTCCTGTATTTCTGTTAAAGCCTGAACGGACTGCAGCTTGGTCAGTCGACTCTGGTGCAACAGTGAATCGATATTGGAATAGTTCTGTGGAGTAGACAACATTTCCATTTGAATTCCTGTACAACAATTGGTGTATTTTCCTTTATGCTATGCTTTTCCTTACACATTCTGCAGTTAGCAAGCCCTGATCATCTCAGGGAATCAAGACTTTAAACCTGAACCCATTTTATCCCCTTTTAACTCCCAAGGAGGCAGTGGAGAGTGACATAATCCTGCAGTAGCAATGAACTTTTATCAGTTATCTACTGACTTTTCACACCAGATGTATGTGATCCTTACCTGCATGAAAACCTGCATAGCGTTATTGACATAATATTTGGCTCTGTCAAAATCATCCTGTAGAATGTAGAGAAGACTCAACTCTTGGCTGTAATACATTTCTATTAGAGCTTTCTTCTGTTCAGTCTTCATAGCTTCATCAATGAATGTCAGTAAAGACTGGTCATTAGCACCATGAAGGAGAAGCTTCAGTTTGCTGCGAATTATGTATGGCAGATAGGTTTCCTAAAGTGGTGGGAAATTGAAATTAGTTTTATTACATTGAAATAGCATTCATGACCTGATTGCATTATCTTGGATTATATTCACTTAATTATATTTATATTAAAACTTTAATGTCCTCTGCTGCATTTGGTGCTTTCGTTTAATATTTTAATACATACTAACAGTGAGATTCTTCCACACAAGACTAATATTAGGTTGAGAGCTCTTCCCACAGGGAAGGACCAAATGACACATTACACAGCAGATCCATGACTGATCTCAAAACCCTTTTTTTTAAAGAAAAGAATGAAAATAAATTGAAACACAGCTGGTACTAGGGTAGCCAGTTTTTCTGGAGCAGCAGCAGGGGGAGGAGAATACTTAACTCCCCCCCCCTGCAGCGCACGAACACACATACACACACAAACTTGCATACTCAAACCCCACAAACCCCAGAAGCTGCTGTTAGACCTGTCGTAGGAAAACACAGAGATGAATCACAAATCTCCATTATTGCATGCAGTTTGGCCCTGACATATAAGCAGACAGATGCAATGAACAAGTGCAATGTAGCCAGAATGGAAAATATATACGTATGTTTGAAAACCTGATAAAATGGATCACTCCATGTTTTATTTAGGTCTGAGGGCTGTCCATTATCAATGTTTACAGTCGAACAGTATTCCAGAGACTTCCATTCTGTCAAGCGGTTGTAACATTCAAGAGATGCAAGCTCCCAAAAATCTTTTTCCGCTTCTGTTGGTTCTTCATCAGGCCAGTCTTGCATAGAGAGTGCCTGTAGAAACAGATGCATGTGTATCTCAGTGTTTAGCTAGTCATTTATCTGTACGCAATTATGAATTCATAGCCAATTTGCTCTTCCATAACAGTTTTGATACCTGTGCAAAAACAACAACACCGCGTGACCTAGGAGCAAAGGAAGCTGCCGAATACCAAGCCCAACCATTGGCCCATCTAGATCACAACCGCCAATGCTGATTTTAGACAGGCATCTTTTCCAGCTGCACCTAGAGATGCCAAGGACCTTTTGGCATGCAAAGCTTGTGCTGCATGCATGAAAGACAGCCCCTCCCATAAAAGCAGAACTACCAGTCATATAATATTTCTGGATAACTGCCAAAATGGAGATGCTCCTTTAACAAAACTAATTTTTAAATACAGCAACACTCCTTTGTTTTTAAGCATATCCAACAATATATAGACTAACAAGTTAACAGACGAAACACTGAAAGCAAACTGTTAACTAATGAAAGAAAGGGATAAGAAGAAGAAGAGAACTCAGGAAACCACCTCAACCAGTTTAAGCAGGGAGGGTGTCGGGCAACAGGGAGGGTGGTACGCAAAATGCATCCCTGCTTTGTTTCTCTGGCCCAACACCAGGAGCAATCCCTGAAATTGAGTTCTCAGAATGGCTTCATGGGAGGGCTGATAGAATTCCTATCAATGGGATTCCCCACCACCACACACACACTGCACACCCTGCCCAGCCTTCCAACCTATGTTGGTGTTGCACCAATTACTCTGACCCTCCATTAATCAATACTCTGAGTACATCTTAGGGGTACCTTAGAGGTCAGCAAATCAAACTCTCTTCTACCTCTGCTAATGACTATAAAGCTGCATTGAAAAGCTTTCAAAGTCTTAACACATTTATGTGCAATTCATGCCTCTCCTTTTCCTCAGTCATGAAGAAAATTATCCTGGCTAAAGCAGAGAAATGATGATTAGAAGAACCTTTTAAAAAATCCATATTCAGCCTGAACAATTACTTATTTTTTCTTCAGACTTGAAAGCAAGTAAGACTTTTCTTCTTACTTGAAAGCAAGACTTCGTATGAAAAGCATACCTTATCATATTGCTTCGCTGCTTCAGCATAATCATTTTTTGCTTCTGCTAATAGAGCTTTCTGAGTAATTTCCTTAGTGTCAATCTTTCCACTAAAAATAGCCCGCAGAACATCATAATCTCCAACTGATCGATAAAGCCTAGAAAGTGAAAAAAAAAGTCCAGGATACAGCTGAATGCTTATTGCTTAAGTACACATTATCCTAACTTCCATAAGCAATGGCCCTGAGGTCATTTCACGCATGTATGTGAAATCGTGTAAAATGGGGAGCACCCTGGAGAGCCCTCCTCAACCAAGCCCCTCCATCCCTCTGGCCTTCAGGAGCCTGAGCTCTCGTGCACAGTTAAGCTTCTGCCCTGCACACGTCAGCTGGGCCAGCTACACCGCCCCTCCACTTCCCGTGTGTCGGAGGAATGGTGGGGCTTGGTTGAACATTTCTGGGTACCACTTCCAGGTACTTGGCACATGTGTGCATGGTCGCAAGCAAACAAAATGTACATAATTGGGGCATTGCCTGTATTTTTATGTGATTATTTCCCTCCTTCTTTCAGAACCTGTCTTCCCCATCCCTAATTCCCCCAAATACATTAAATTTGATAACCATTGCAATCAATAGGTGGTGCTGACTCCCTTACTTCTGATCACTGCTGCCTGCATTGTTTTTCCTGCTCTGGTGCCTTTGTGGGTAATCAAGAAGGATAGTTTGTCATCAGTTACTGAAGACATCATTGCACAACAAATGAAGAGAAGTGAAGAGAGTAGGCTAAAAAGTAGCACTGTTAATAGAGCAGCAGGAAAGATTCCATTAAAGGTTTTTTTTAGAAGCTCCAAATGACTTAGAAGTGGTGAAGGTTACACTAGGGTGCTTGGGGAAGGTAGGGGAGTTCCCCCTCGTATATATTTACACATATACACCACACAGAAGCTGGGAGGGGGGTTGTCCCTGAGGGCCACCCAAAACCTCTTGGCAGTCTGTATACACCCCATGGTTTAGCCACCCCAGGGCAGCTCAAAGTAATCCAGTGAGCATCAATGTTGAGTAAACATTAGAACCTGGGTTTGTTTTCAGTCCTAGTCCAACAGCATCACTATTGAGAAAATGCTAATTCAATAGGTGTTATATAAACAGCTGCAAAAATAGTACTACTTACAGTTTTTTTATAAAGTCAATTTAAAAACATACCATACAGTAACGTAACTCTAGAGAGGAAAGAAAAAAACTTACTTGGCAAGTTCAATCCATTTGATCACATTGGGTGAAAGTTCTGTCTTTCCACGCATCCTTTTGGAGGGTGGCTCCTCCTCCTCCTCCTCAGGGGAAAGGTGAATTAAAGATTGTTCAAGAAGCAGGATACCCACTGGCTGCTGCAAACTTGCTAAGCAGCTAGTGCTCACACTTGAAGGGCTGAGGTCCAGCAGCTCTCTGTGTTGGTAGCTCATTTCCTATCGCACCAAACCCATAATTAGCTATTGGAATTACTTTGAGGTTAGCTTAATATGTAATGTTTAATAAACCATGTCACTCTTTCTTTCTCTCTCTCTCTCTCTCTCTCTCTCACACACACACACACACACACATGCCCCCCCCCATTTAATCCAACAACCCCCTCTGTTATGTCTAGAACTAGAACAACTAGTGACATTATAATATTGTGCATTTCCCTAGCCTCAGTTCATAATATTATTATTAGCTGCAGAGACAGGGAGATGTACAACACTCATAATCGGACACAAGCAAATTGTTTTTGTAGTGACTGTTTGAAATGCTCCCCGTTTCATTGGTGTGAGCCACTTTGAGCATGGGTTTTTTTGCGTGTCTCCCAAGACAGATGGATGTTAACAGGTATACAAATAAAATGAATGAATGAATGAAATAGAAAGTGAGTGAATGGAGCCTGGCAGTTCTAGACACCTTTGTCTATAAAGAAATTAGCCAACTAGGTAAATTTTATAACGCAGAGAACAAGAATTAAGGCAACTTCACAGACCATTAGAAGAAGGAAGAACTAATACATCCCTGGGTAAATATTAACAAATTTAAGTAAGAATGGTGTCATCTTTAATCAATTTTAGCTTGTGCTCATTTATATCTTCTGTAAAAGTGGTGGAAATTTTCTGGTCTGCTGGTCAAATTTGGCCCACCAGCCTGTTTTGTTCAAGTCATATCAAGTGACACAAATATGTGGGAAGCACTGCAGAAGGGGCTTTGGCAAGTTTCTTTGGAAAGAAAAAAATGTGTCATCTTTCATTGGAGCATTTCTTTTTTTTCTGAAGGAAGTAGTTTGTTTTCAAAGCACTTCCCCTTCCTTTGCAGAGGGGGAACTGCTCCTGTGTTTCGGTCATTTTCCTCTGTGCAGAAACTTCAAAGGGGCTCCCTCTAACCGACCATCAGCCAACTGTCAATTAAGGGAGCCTATTTGAGATGTGTGTCTTTAAAGGTGGTTGCTGCACAGCAGAGCTTTCCAAACTGTACGTTGCGACACGTCAGTGTCTCAGCTGCAGTGTGTAGGAGTGTCGCGTAAACATTACCCGCGCTTCTCCTGGGGCTGGAAAGGGGTTAGTTTAACCTCCGGTTTGCTAGTAAAACTGAATTACTGTGTCACGAAATGATGCATGTCTAAAAAGTGTGTCACCAACATGAAAGTTTGGAAATCTCTGCTGTACAGGGACTTCCGTTGAACTTTGACATATGTCAATATCATTATGAAGCCAGATGAGTGGGTCCACCCACCGGTCAAAGATGCCTCATGGTGGGTGGAGGGAATAAAGATCTGGCCACTGGGCTAAAAAGGTTTCCTCCCAACCTGGTGTATATGCCTAAAAAGACAAAACAGGACAAAATTCAAAATGCAACGTAGAAAGCAATACCTGGATGCAAGCTATGAACGGTGGGAAATACAGCACAGATGTTGTCAGGAAGTGGTTGAAATCCTCAAGCAACTGCTGGACAACATTGTTCTTCTCAGGCAGAGTTTTCATTTTCTTCATTTCCTCCAGAATTCCACTAAACAAACTGCTGAAAAGCTGCTTAGCCAGTATAGGGTCTCTCTGTAATTGACAATGCAAGCAATGAATCCTTGGTACAGCTGCACTGGAGCTTCCACAGAGAATCATGTGTCTCTTCTGCAACTGGAGCGTAGGAGTTTACAGGAACAGCTTTACATTCGAGTACCTTATACAAATTTTGAAATGCGTTCACTGAAACTGTGTTACCAAAAAAAAAAAAAAGCAGTTAAGTAACACCGATAAAAGAGCATACCTGAGCTACGCCCTGCAGAGGGGTAATAAGACTGCTGTATTCAATCTGGATGTCAGGAAGGTCGCCTTGCCTGTACTTCCTGTACAGAGTGACCTGAGCATCATGTTTCATCTTCAGCTGGGTTTTAATTTCCTGCAACAATAGATCACTTCTGAATTAGTTTTGAGGTGAACAGGAAAAAAAAACAACAGCTTATCTTACAGTAACATTGAGAATGGATTACTACATTGAGCATGTAACACCTTTGCTGAGAGAGCTATATTATTGGCTGCTGATAAGCTACTAAGCCACGGGTTAAGGTTCTGCCAGTTGCATACAAAAGCCGTAACCAACCTGGGACCAGGTTACTTGCAAGATATTCTTGGGCCCTATATACCAGTTTGATCACAGCAGTCATCAGGACAGGCCGTCCTAATGGCGTCTGATTCCCCCAAGGTCCACTCCATTGTACTTAGAGCAGAATCTTTAAGTGATGCAGCACTTGCCTTGTGGAATTCCCTCCCTGGGTATATTAGACAGACATTGGCTGTGCTATGTTTTTCAATGCCTGCTGAATACTTCTGTATTTAGACAAGACTTTCCAGATGATTAACCCAAGCCATGAAAACAGATCACTGTAGAATTGTATTTTTATACAGCTTTACTGAATTACTGATGCTCTGATACTTTCTATATGTAAAGTAATTAAAAAATTTCCAAAATAAATAGATAAATAAATATACATTTCCTTTTTGTGGATCCCGCAAAGGGAGCGCTGACCACTCAAGAATGCTGATTCAGAAAATGCATGACCTCAAGTTTAAGTCACATATTCCAATTCTTCCCAAAAGTTCAATTCTAAGGTTTAGGCTTTGAGCTGAACTACATCAAGTAAGCAAGAAGAGCCCTGGATTGTGATGAAGAAGAGCAGATCTCAGGGAATGCATTTGCTTCAGAGTGGGTAAGACATGAAATGGGGTGTGTGTGTGTGTGTTCCTCTTCACTCAGGAAATATATTAGGCTAATTTGAGTGGCCCTGAGTTACTGAAGCAAGTGGGGCACACATGCCCCATGCAAGGATAGCTTCCTCCACAAGTCAGCCAACTTCTGTCCTCAGAAAAATCTTGATAGGCAAGCTTCCTGATCAGCTTTGGAAAAGCAAGCAACAAAACATGAAGATCATAACACAATCTCCTTGGAGGGGGGGAACCCCAACATCTCACATTTCTTTGAGAGAGAAAAAGAATGGAGCTTTGATACTCCAGTCCCATCTCTGTAGTGCCTCACACTGTCAAGAGCCCAGCTAGATACTTCACCACTTCTTAGGAAGGAGAGGAATTGTGTGCCTTGGTGGTCTCTCAACCCCACTGCTTATGAGGCACTTGAACAATCCTAGGCATGCGGGCACTCTGTTCCTAAAGCGGTACTTCAGTAGAAGCACTCTAAAAACAGTTTAGTCTCTGTTTATTATTTATACTATAGGAAACAAACCTTTTCTTTTTTCTGTTCGACAACGCCCTTCCTTGCATAAATCAAACTAAGCTTTTCTTTGTCTTTTAAGAACCGTCGCCTCAGTCTCAGAATCTCTGATCGTTCATCTATACCTAAGCAACAGAGAAGGAAAATTCTTTTTTAACTTATACATAAAGCTACTTTTTAATAACTTGCATACAACACTTTCCTAATTAAACAATGGGGTGGGAAAGTCTTACCCATAATATCATATAAGACCTGTAAAGGGATTTTGATGACATATGAACCCTTTGATTTAAGAACTTTCCTAATGTAAGGGCTTAAACTTTTGAAACCAATTTCTTCTGGTTGTTTGAGCAAAACTCATGTGTGATATTATGTAATTTGCTTATCTAGATAATACAGAAGGCTTCTTCTAACTAAGGATGTAAGGGAGAAATCTCCATTAACAGCTGTGGTACCTTGAGCTTTGCTGTCCACCTCATCACCGGGCAAACCCAGTCTTTTTTCTCCGAAATTAGGACCTATAGGTTTGAAGGCGGTTCTGTGTGATTTGTCAGCTCGTTTGTTAATGAACAACATCGAAGATGACAGGGATTCAGAAGATGAAGGAAATCTGTATTCTGAAAAAGTGTCAACGCTGTTTCCTATCAGCCAGTTGAAAGAGCTTCTCCCACCTGAAATAAGAAGAAAGCATTAATACTCACATATCTCTCCATTTAATATGTGTTGCCCCCCTCTCCGCCACTACTTTTCTTTTACTTGCCTAAGCTACAACCAGAAATAGATGTTAAAGAAACAGAATATCAGGGGAAGGTTCAGTATGAAAACCGAAATACTTAATATTTTTAGTATATGAGGCCAAAGATTTTACACACACACACACACACACACACACACACAAATAAATACAAAAGTATATGCAAGTACAGTGGTACCTTGGTTCCCAAATGGCTTAGCTGATGAACAAATCGGCTCACGAACGCCGCAAACCCAGAAATAAGTGTTCCGGTTTGCGAACTTTTTTGGAAGCCGAACATCCGTTTCGGCTGTCAACATTGTTTCTGGGGCCAATCAGCCAATCGGAAGCTGCACCTTGGTTTTTGAATGTTTTGGAAGTCGAAAAGACTTCCAGAATGGATTGAGTTCGAGAACCAAGGTACAAACCTCCATACACACAAGTTTTTGAATACGCATGGAAGCATGAATTCCATACACAAACCCTTTAAAGTTTTTCATTAAATACTACTGCTTCAGGAAAACTTACTGGCATTTTGTGTGGGAGTAAATTCATACTGTTGCTGTGTAGCCCTTATCTGGCCCCCCAGAGATCCTTCCTGTGAGCGATACCTGTTGGCATCTTGGGAAGCTTGAGACTCCGCAAACAAAGGTGTAAGAACAGTACTTCGGTACCGCCAACTTGAGTCAATAGCAAAATCCTAGGAAGTAAAAAACAACAATGACCCAGAGCTGAGACCATCTTTGCCCATTGAAGTCATCTAATTTGATTCAGCTGAGATACCACTAAATTCAGTGGGACAATGGAATAAATGTGCCTAGGATAGGTTTACATGTGAAACTAATAGACAAAATCTTAATGTACTTCTTTGTTTTAATATTTTGCTGTAAGTTACCCAGAGTGGCTGGGGAAACTCAGCTGGATGTGAGGAGTATAAAATTTTGCCCCCATGAGGCATTTATTTTTAAACTGGTGTCATTTCCTAATCCAAATTCCATTTTTTCCTCTGATTTCTATCCATTTCATTTTATAAAAATATCCTCCTTTCCCAATGTAATAATCAAAATGAATTCCTCAGTTTACATCTAATAAAGTATGAAACTGACCAATGTAAATTACAGCCAAATAGCTATTCAATGGATTTTACTGGCTCTGGACTAAAGGGTGATGGATCCTGAAGACTACCCCACAATTCTATATAAAAATACATAAGAAGAGCCTGCTGGATCAGGCCAATGGCCCATCTATTCCAACATCCTGCTCTCCCAGCAGCCAACCAAATGTCACGGGGAAGCCACAAAACAAAAATAAATTAAAGATATATAAATAAATTCACCTGAAATTTGCATTCCGAAAGTGGATACTCAAACATTTTTCTGGAGTAATCTGGGCTCTTGCTGGTCATCTCAAGCAGAAAATTCGTAGCCAAGCTCAAATACTGAGTTTCAATTTTGACAGAGTATAAAGAGCTTAACAAAGTCAACATTCGATCAAGGGTATTGGCTGGTAGCCTAGTTTCATCACTCCAAAAGTTCCTGACAATTATTCTGTAAAAGGAAATACAGAGCATAGTACAACAATGGCAAGCTCAATAATGTTTTATTTATTAAGCCATTATCACCATAAATGGCCCAGAGTGACCTCCACATGAACACACCCAGACCCTGAAATCATCCTATGAGCTCCTTCTTCATGTACCAACTCCACGAGAGGTCCGGGGGTTGCAACACGAGAATGGGCCTTTTTTGCAGTGGCTCCCCACTTGTGGAATGCCAACCTCAGGGAAGTTCGGCTGGTGCCATCATTAGGCAACAGGCAAAAACGTTCCTCTTCAACCAATGCCCTTTTAAATGTGTTGGGGGGGAAGGATTATTTGTTGTTTGTTCTTATTTTTATTATGTATTCTGTGGTTTTTATATTGTAACTTTATGCTGTGAAGCACCTTGAGATCTATGGATGAAGGGTGGTATACATATTTAATAAAACAAAACAAATATTGCAAAGCCATCTTCCCACCCCCTATTTTTCACCAGTAGATACCATTTCAAGATCCAATTCCTGATTTCTTACTTTATCAAGGCAAAATCAGGAAAACAAGGACTCGAACCTAGTGGTAAATTCCTTTGTTGTATCCAACTAAACTGTTCTGCCAATGCAATGACTTTTGGCTGTGCGATGGAACTTCCCTGCCCTCTCCTTCCCCTGTACAACCCCTAAATCTGTTCCAGGGGTTCCCCCAACCCTCCAGAGCTGATGTAGAGGTCATGCATTAGGCACAGTGGGGAAGTTCCATTGTTCAGTTAAAAGTCCTTACAGTAGTGGAACTGTTAGTTGGATATTACCGGACAGCACACTCCACTCATTGACAAAATGAATACATGATCCTCTCAGTTTGTTTTCATGTGATGGTGAGAGGCAAGTTGGTACTGACCAAAGGAAGACAGGAAAAGAAACTGAGATTCAGCAGGGGGAGAGACTTAAAAGCAAAAACAACCACCTTTACCTCATTTCCTTCCTTCCAAGCCGTCAAACCCAGACACCCAACACACTCAAGTTATAATTCTGATTTCTGAAATTAAATAGTTTTTAAGGCTTTGATTTTCAGTTAAACACACACACATACGGATTAACATTACTCACTGCAATCCAGAATTTTCATCAACCAGTCCTTGTAACAGAACTTCTTTCGCTAGTTTAAACACTTCTGAAGAGTCCTCATCTGCTTGGCTTTCAGGATCCCTGAGGAAAAAGAACAAGGAAAAACAGTTCAACTCTTCTACTGCCTTCTCACTAACACAAAAGGTTAGTGGAAAATCTGCAATACTTCACAGTATTCCATGATGATCACAAGGATATATGCCCATAAGTTTCTCTATCAGTCTCTTAAGACAGCTTCAGAATTCTCAAATGTCAAGAGCTGGAGTTTTTTTTTCCACATCATGACTTAAATGTGCGGCGCACTCGTGCAACAGGTGACACAATTTAATGGAGGATTTCTTTTTAAAACACCTGTGGTTGAATTCTTACCTGTAGTTATCATATAGCCACATGAGAATGTCATACATTCTCCCCCGACATACTGGTGACGGGTGAGAGATGAAGCCGGTTACTGCAGGAAGCAGCTCTTGTACCTCAGCTGGTTTCAGGTTAGGTAGCATCTTGTAGACTATATCCATACAAATGGTTTGCCTTTCGTCGTCTCTAGGAGAGAAAAACAAAAAAACATTTTAAAATTTGTCTATGATTTTAATTTCAAAAGGTTTTTTTTTAACATATAGTGCATTTTTATTCATTTGAAAAAGTGCAGTCAAACGGATTTTAAAAATAACTTCATTGCATCAACAATAAGTATGTATACAAAAAGTGCAGCAAAGCTAGACTTTTGATTGAACTTGCGAGGACTTTTCTCTGGAAAATGCCAACTGAAAAGTGATAACTGGGAAAAGCCTCCTTCTATCCTCAGCACCCAAAGGGAAAATGTGATTTTGAGCAACTCCCATTTGCTCAAATAGGGCTTGTGCAGAAAATAGGGTTTGTGCAGAGTTCCTATAGAAATATGGATAATTATGCCCCTATTTACCTGTGACTCATGACTTGTGTAAAATCCTTACTCTTCAACTGTAAATACAGATCCGCTATTTCTTGGGCACGACACATTACTACCTCCAGGCAGTAAGTTTTCATCACCCCATGAAGTTTTGGTATCAGGAAGAAGACTGTATTCATAAACCTTTCCATGAACAAGAACCAAAAAGAACAGGAAGTTATAACACTGCTAAGCTAACTGAACCTCTCTAGGGTATAGGCAATTGAGAGTTCTCAACTTACCTGTCAGCAAGAGAAGGGAAGTTCTTTGTCACTTTATTCAGACACACAATAAATTTGTCCTCTTTGGTATTCTGATGCTGCTTTAGCTGCTGTATGACCAAGTCATAAACCGGACCTTCAAATATCTGAAAAATTGAACATATCGTTAGGTACTTTCAAATGCCAAAGTCTCAATATCCTGACCAAAAAAATAGTAATAATTACTAATTATGTGAGTAGTGAGAGGCCTCCTCAGTCATTTTTATAAGATTAGATAAATATGTGAAAGCTAGCTCAGGCATAGGCAAATTCGGCCCTCCAGATGTTTTGGGACTACAACTCCCATCACCCCTAGCTAACAGGATCGGTGGTCAGGGATGATGGGAGTTGTAGTCCCAAAACATCTGGAGGGCCGAGTTTGCCTATGCTCTTTCAATGCCACTGTAGGAATGAGACTTTTATCTCAGAGGCAGTAAACTGCTGCCTACTGAAGGTTGGGAACAATCTGAGTATGGCAATCTTCACCGTAACTTCTAGCTAGCAGCTACTGGAATCATATTACTGGAATGGATGAGATCTAGTATGACAGTTCCAATGTTTCATTAAAAGGGCAATACTTTCTCCCCTGTCAAAATGTTATACAATGAACATGTTATACAATGAAATACAGTGGCTTAGCTAAGATAACAACACAGTTTTAATGTGTATTTTAGGAACCATCTTAAAAAAATAAAACTGCATAGAATACACTTAAAAAGCAAACTCCTGCTTTGGTTTTAGAAACTGTAAAATACATAGCCTGCTGTACCCACTTTTTCCTTCTCAGAAATATAGTGAAGAATAAGTCCCAGCACTTCGGCGGCAGCTGCATACACTTCCTTGTATTTTACTAAGGCCATGTTGTTAGTCAAAGCTTGGTAGTATCTAGCATGAAGAAGAAATATGCTTCGATAGTCTCAGAATGGTATTTTAATGTCTAATGTGCAATAAACAGATATCAGTAGGAGCATGTTTAGAAACCCTATACAGACCACTTGTTTTATCTGTAACCTAAACAAAGTGGATTACAAATAATTTAATGAAGGGATGGGGGAACTCTGGACTTTCATCAGCTCAGTGTCAGGGATAGTGGGAGTTGCAATCCAACATCTGGAGGATGAGAGATTCCCCATTCCTGGCCTCATGCATGCACTTTATACATATAGTGGTACCTCTAGATATGAACGGGATCCGTTCCGGAGCCCCGTCCACATCTAGAGGTAAACGTATCTAGCGACGGCATGTCTGTGCGCGCGTCGCTTTTCACCGCTTCTGCGCATGCGCGTGACGTCATTTTGAGAGTCCGTGCATGCGCAAGCGGCGAAACCCGAAAGTAACGCGCTTCGTTACTTCCGGGTTGCCGCGGAGCGCAACTCGAACGCGCTCAACTTGAAGCAAATTTAACCCGAGGTATGACTGTATCTACTTTCCTGTTTGCTGAAAATTTCAATGTCAGTCCCCAAAGTTCCAGTTTTCATTTTGGAAATTGATTACCATTCCTGTCTGTTTCTCCCTCCCCTCCAGTACATGAAGCTAGTTCTAATTCAGCATTATATGCATAATTTTTCCCATTTTCAGATGATCAACATGAATTCAGAGACTGAAGCATGCTTGAGTAACCTCATTTAACACCAAGTAAATTTCTGCATGATCTCACAGATGCATTACGCGATCATTGTAGTTCCTGATGCAATCCTTTGAATATAAAATGCTGCAAGGATCAATTTAATTGCTTTACTCAAAGCAATAAAACCACATCCAAATATGAACATTTGGAGGAGGAGATTAAACCTTCTGCAGTGAGAACACTATAAAGTTTTATGTTGAAATCAATTATCTTAAAATCCCACCACCAGCCTCCAAATTTATTGCGGGTTTTGTGTGTTGCGGTTAAGAATAAGTAACTGGTAGGAGAATTGCAAGCCAAAGATGAAAGTTTCATGTTTCCTTCTCTATTGGCCCCACTTCTTTTGTTCAGTACATTCCAGCTGAATTGCATAAAAATAATTTTCTTACTTCACACTGCCTATTTCACAGTTTGGATCATAGGGAGGCAGGTTATTAGCAAGTACAATTCCTAGTAACTGAATTCCCACGGAGTTGTCTTTTGTGTTGGCATCTCTACCAGAAAACCGTTCATATATTATCCTATAGTAAACAAAATCACAGAGATAATAAAAATAGTAACTTAGATTGAAAAATAGAAGTGGTCAAGTTCATACTGAATATTCAAATTGGAGCATTTTTAGAAACCCTGCATAGATAAACACCTGATCCCCAACTCCCACCCAGCCATGTTATAGGTTTGTCTTCTAAGAACAGGAGTAGCCAGTGTGCTGCTCTCCAGATGTTGTTGGACTCCATCAGCCCCAGGCAGCATGGTCCATGATCAGGGATGATGAGTTGCAACCCAGTAACATCTGGAGAGAACCATGTTTGCCATCTGTGTCTAAGGCATGAAACACATTGATCCTTAATGTCTCCAGGTTAAATACTAGAGAACTGGCAACAGGTGTATTCTATCATTGCTAGACATGTATGATGACAACAGGATTTAGTATAAATGCAACAGTCCACCTACCCAAACTAGCTTTTAAAAAGAAGCCTTCATGCTACTAGGTTGATTTTTATGTATACTGCAACTACAAAGAGTACCTTTATTAAGATTATTTACCTGTAAGGTATGCTGAGACAATCTTTCCAGCACTCTACTACTGTCTTGACAATTTCTAAGTTATGTCTGAACACTGCTTTTTTCTGGTGAAATACATTCTTCATCAAGAACTCAAGCAACCGGTTAGCTAGGATTTCATCCTTGATATTTCCCTAGTGTAAAGCAAATCACAAAGCACTGAGTTAGCTATTTAACTAAGTTAATTAGTTATTAAGTTAGCTAATTAATAGCTGAGTTTGCTCTTTTAACTAAGGAATATGCTTTAAAAATTAATCTTCAATTTTCTGGAGTAGGAGACAATATTTTTTAACAATGTGAGACTGCAGAAGGCAAATCACACTTCCAAATTAAATAACACTTTAAATTTATAAATACATTATGAGAATACATTTATAGTACAGTATCACTAACAGTTATTTAGTGACAATAGCCACATACGTTCATCTAAAGTGTCTCCACAGGAAATCATGTAAAACTAAAGGTGTTCTAAAAATCATCGTACCTGAATTGCCAGAGACATTTCTCATTATGAACTTACAATAATTACACCTTGCATCAGATCATTACGACCTAAATATGCGCACGCATGCACGCGCACACACACACATATTTCTTAGTTCCTTACTTTGGGTGTAGCAACACTAGTCCAGGAAAGTAGGGTGACCACTATCTCCACCACCATGTAATGAATCCCTTCTCCTCCGTTATCTCCAGAGACAACCAGCTGCAGTAAGGGGCCCAGCCAGTGCTTTGTGTAAGGTTGGAAAACCTAGAGAAGAAATGCAGAATGCCATCTATACAGCACTGCCACTTTGGAAACTGCTGCACAATATTGAAAAAGTAAAGTACTTCTTTTTGCAAAGTACTTCTTACAAATGCCCAACATTTCATGCTTCGCTGATAAATAATCACACAATACTTAGGAAAGTAAACAAGGTACTGATATTTGAACAGTTGGATTTATATGAACACCCTGAACGTGCCACTCAGATATTTTTCTCCCCCCACCATTAGCACATTCCAATTAGAGGCAGTAGATCAGATTCCATGTCTCTTACATGAAAAGTTGCCTATACCTTAGAAGTGCTACTTTTATTCACCTGGAGGTTTCAAAACTACAATTCCAATCCATCATACAACACTAGTGCTTATATATGTATATGATGGCTGGTTTATGGAAGTCCGGGGATTAACACATTAATTTAGGTGCTATTTATTTTATTTTATTTATTTATTTATTTATTTTATTTTATTTATTTTATTTCTAAAAATACTTATATACTACCATCACATCAAGGCATCATGCAGCAATATGAAAATAAAACAAGGAGAACCATTAAAAACAGAACAAAATCATCATCAAAATGCCCGGTTGATTAAGATTTTAATCAGCTCTGTATGCCAATCTTCATTAGCTTCTTAAACTTTGAGTTTCAACCTACTTTACTCATACTGTAGAAAATTATTACAACAACCAGTGCCCATTTACAGTCTCATTTTTTAAAAAAATGACTCACTTCTTCTGTATTCACGATGAGTTTTGCCACAAAGAGGCGAATATTTAATGGTACAGATGGATTTCCTAGTTTGCTGTGTAGAAACTTCATCCATGGAGGAAGATCTGGTGAATCTGTACCCTAAGTCCCCAGAAGATTATAAGTACACAGACACACACAGCCAATTATATTACAAGGCATAATTAAAAGGCAACAAAAACACAGTGTTAAACCACAATCCTTCCTCAGTTACCAGTAGAGGTGCATCCCAAATCGGGCGGGGAGGGGGGAGGATTGGGGGGGGGTTACAGGGAAACAGATGCTTTACAGGAAGTAGAGTATGTCACTTTGTTTCCTATCTAGAGTAAGACAATACTTCTAAATGAACACAAGTATGTGTTCATTTGAGTTCATGTGCTCAATATGAAATCAAACTTCATACCATGGAAAATGTTTGTTCAACAAGCAATTTAAATTAAGGGTAAGGAACAGGATCCAGCTGGCAGGCCAGATCCCAAGCTTCCCCACAGGCCACTTTTTATAGGTGGGTAGGGCTGCCCATCTGTCAATCACATAATGTTACCAGGGGATCAAGTCATTCCACTTCAAAGGAAAGAATCAAGGGGCCTCTACTCCCTGGTTTTCCTTTCCAGGTGCACCTTGCACTTTTGAAGTCAGGCTTGAATTCAAGCCAGGGAAGCAAATAAAGAATCAGAACCACACTTCTGAGTGCAAAACATTTTTCCATTGAGCTTGAGGTTTTACGCTGCAGCTCAAACTTTTCTGCATCTGATATGTCTCAGACCTGAGTACACTGGGTGCATTTTGCCCACAAACAGCCTGATGGCTGCATCTATAATGACTTAAATCAGTACAACTTTTTATATAAAATATTATCTATCATCTATCTATCTATCTATCTATCTATCTATCTATCTATCTATCTCACACACATTTCTTTCACAGATCAACTCATCTAGTTGAGCTTATTTCCTGTAGTAACTGGGGATAAACCACAGGTAGGACAAGATCTTGCAGAATATGGAGTATCTGCACACAATGCTAAAGTCTTCACAAAAACAGAAAACGTTCACCTAGTTGAATGCTGAATCTTCAAGCATTTATGTGGCAATACATTGACATCTTTCTAAACAATTAAACCTAGAAAGACCTAGGAAAAGATTATGTTAGCAACATATGAAGTCATGCCAACACTTACCTTTTCTACCGTGGGTGTGATTTTATTTCTGTGCATGTGTTTGATCAGGGTTGTCATAGAGGCCATACATTCATGCTGGTTCAGCTCATCCATCTCCAGTTCCATAAAATCATCTGAAACTATAGGTTCTGTGGGCTCCTTTTTAAACAAGCAAAAACTGCCAATTAGTTCTGAAAATGTCATACTTACTTTTTTAAAAAAAGTGAAATTAAACATGAATTTCATTTTATCCTTTCGTTTTTCTCTTCATAATATTGCATTCCTACAGTTAAGCGCTTGGTAGTAGTAGCAAAAATTATGAGGCTCTATACCAGGCTTCCTCAAACTCGGCCCTCCAGATGTTTTTTGCCTACAACTCCCATGACCCCTAGCTAGCAAGACCAGTGGTCAGGGATGATGGGAATTGTAGTCTCAAAATGTCTGGAGGGCAGAGTTTGAGGAAGCCTGCTTTGTACATTGATATATCCTCTACAGCTCCTACATGGTTAAAAAGACCAAAGCTGTAACATTTGAAAGTACATGTTGATCTTTTAGAAGGAAATGGAACACAAACGTGTGTGTATGTGTGTGTGTGTGTGTGTGTGAACATACTTGCAGCTTTCATACACAATAGACAAGTCAACTCACCTTTCTCCTGAAGCGAGAACCAGAGGCAATACGGTCTTGGGAATTATATGAAAAACTCTGTACTCCAGTGGAGAAATCAAATTGGCTCATCTCTTCACTCAGACTGCTATCTGCCATATACGATGCAGAAGCTAAATAGTGTGGCTCGACTAAAAGGGAAAGGCATAATCTGGTTATACGACTGCACAGATATTTATGCACATCTCCAGTGAAGAACTTCTAAGTAAACTGGTTTCATGTGTCAACTCTCAGGCTTCCTACAAACTTCTCCTCACATTCATTCCTGTTTAAAACAAACTTAAGGATGTGTATCTGCATCTATGCCTTTTTTCACATTTTAAAAATTAATGCTAACATTCAGATTACAAAAAAGAGAAAGATCACAGTTATTTTTATGTTACTCTGTAAAGCTCCATCATCATCATCAATACAGTTAAAAAAAGAAGTAGTAACAAATAATACCTGAATCCTCACTCATTGCTTCCCTTGCTTCTTTCCTAATGGCAATGTATTGTTTCTTTCTTTCTAGTGGGACCTAAAATACAAAAAAGTTTTCAAAGCTCATTAGCTTAAATAGCACATAGTGCTACCAAATCTAGAGGGATCGAATGGAAGCAAAATTTATAAAATATGGAAGAGAAGTTAGCTCCAGGCAAAGGGTGAATGCTGCCTTGTGCTCGTTTTTTTATATTGCCCCACTTCCTTTGTAGACTATGATCAAATATTTTTCCATTTCTTGTGCTCTCTGAGCATCAGGCAACCATTTTGTCTGCCATTTCCTCCATTCACCTTGCAGTGAAGGAACCATCCCCACTAATCTCAGTCTTGCTGTTGTGACATCATGTATCACCATCACACATTCCTCGCTATCATCATCTTGCATCTCTCAAAACTTGAGCAAGCACATACTGTGTTGTATTTTCTTCTAAGACCTGCTTCCCTCCATGATCAGAGCACCACAGTGGGCCCACAAATTCCTACAGAAAAACTCCCCCACTACCTGAAACCACCACAGCAGAGACTGTGTGCAGTGGCGGAGGAACCCTCTCCAGCACCCAGGGCAGGACGCCAAGCGGCAGGGCGAACCGCCCAGTGGTGCAAGCACAAAGTCCGTACAGATTGCGCTCACGTAGCAACCATACCGGATGCCACTCGCGCATGCCATCCATACAGGCATCTGTACAGAATTCCGCTTGCACAGCAACTGTACAGACTGCGCATGTGTGGCATACTGTATAGAGTGCGCACACGTGGCAGCCCATATGGTCACAGTGCGAGGGCGGCAGCTCGTATGGATGGTGCGCAAGAGCGGCAGCCCACACAGACGTTACGCAAGCAGCGCCCATACTGACTGCGCACACCCTCGACTGCTCTACAGCTGAGGGGAGGCAGGGGCCATTTTGTCACATACAACCCAGAGTGGCCCGCCCCCTCCGCACCCCACTTCGTACGCCCCTGTGTGGCAAGTTTACTGCTACAGCTACCTGCTTGGTTAGCAAAATAAGATACACAGCAGGATCTGGAATAAAATCTGGCCAAAGCACAGAATCTATGAAGGCTACCAAGGATCACCATGGAAGCAATAATTCTACTAGGCATGCCTTTATACAGTGGAACCTCGGTCATTGAACGCTTTGGAAGTTGAATGTTTCAGCTTTCTATTGAAAGCCGACAACCCGGAAGTTGTTTTTTAACATACCTCAGAAGTTGAACGGCTTCCGAGGCGCATTTCTCCATTTTTTCAATGCATTTTGCTGACTAGCAATTGCGCCTCAGTTGTCGAACGTTTCAGAAGTCAAATGCTCTTCCAGAACAGATTATGTTCAACAACCAAGGTTCCATGGTTCTATGATTTAACCACAACTCTTAACTTGGTCTAGAACTCTTGAGCTTGTTTGGAGGTTCTAGCAGGGGAGCGCAGCTATTGTATACCCTTGACCGAAGAACGGTACACTCCTTCTATCTGGGATGGTCGTCCTCTTCCACTGATCGTGCAGCTTCGGGAGGGACGCACATGGAGCGGTGAGGGAGGAAGGGGACACCTGCCTAGCCAGCCAGATCAGCCGAATCAACCCTGTCGATCAATGGGGTGACAGATGTCGCAGCCAGATCACCCTCACATCCTAGAACTCTTAAGGAAGTAAGATCTTCTCTTAATAGGGAGGTAACTTCATTTTACCTTCTCAAAACTGAAAGAGTATGTTATTTCATAGTATTATTGTTGATGTTGCTTCCATTGTATTTGATTTATTGTTGTCAGAAATAATACATTAGTAGTGAAAATTAAAAAGGAACCTTTTCCTACCTCAACCTCTATAGGAAATGAATAATGGTGCTGTAAATCCAGCAAGTTTTCAAGAATAAAGAGATTCTGCAGAAAAAGAAGACATGCAAATTTTAAATGAACAATTATGCTGCAATTTACAAAATGTTAATTACCCAGTTAGCTGTATGTTCCAAGAATACATTTATAAGTAATTGCCATCACAAAAAGTTCAATAAAAATACAATATATTAATTGCTCTTATTAAAATCTAAATTCCACAAATCTCACCACTGAAAGCAGATATTCCCAAGAGACATAAGCCCACACAATGTATTCCAAGCCCTGACAGAAGACAGTCAACTTGTCCCTTCTGCCTAGTGCAAGCAGCAGGACAGCTTAGATAGGAGAATCTCCTGCACCTATGGTAAAGAGTTCTGTCCTGGGCCCGTTGATGTTCGACATCTTTATAAATGATTTGGATAGAGGTATTGCAGGGATGACACCCATCTCCTCTATAAATATACTGTCTCAAGTTACTCAGTAGATCTGTTATGTTGTATAGCAATCACCCACCAATCTCTTTATACAATGGTATCTCGTGTTACGTACCGTCCCCCTGACGAATGCTGTGGGTTACGTGCTCCACTAACCCGGAAGTAGATGTTCCTTGTTGCGACCTTTGCCCTGGGATGCGAGCGGAAGTCACGCTCCGGCGGTGTGGCAGCAGTGGGTGGCGCCATTAGAGAAAGCGCACCTCATGTTACAAGAGGTTTCCTGTTACGAACGGACCTCCGGAATGGAATAAGTACATAACACGAGGTACCACTGTACTTCCAATAAAATAGGAAGGGCTATTAATTTATCCAGTTTCCCTGAACAGGTACCATGTTGAATGAACTGACTTGAAACTACAGTAGCATCAGTAAGCGTATGGCTCTTACTTGATTGGTGGGCCAACTGATAAAGCCAAATTGGATCTCAGAGCCAACCACTATTAACCTCTAGCCTGGGTGACATTTCAATATATACACACCTTTTCTGGTTTTTCTGTGAAAAGAAAGCCTTGGTAAAATTTACTTTCGCTGAACACACAGCTAATAACAGCAATGGCACAATTATATGCAGCACAATGATACTGTCTCCTCTTTTCCAATAGCTGAGTTTCACCAGACATGTTTTCTGTAAAGGCATCATGGCAGGACCTTGAATCAAAACAGATAAAGAGCACTTTTACAGGAAATCGTGCAGTCTGTGAAACAGTTAAAACGAATGTTTAAAACATGTTTTAAAAATAAAAATCAATATGCTAAAACCACAAAAAAACACATGGCAGCTTCTGTATGTCCACATAGACTTCGCTAAACATGGGCATTTTTTAGCAGTTGCCGAAAAGAGTACAGTGGAAGTGCCTGCCTGATGTCAACAGGCAGGAGTTTCAAAATGTTCCAAGTTGGGAATTGGATAAAACTTTAGCTGATGGGACTGACCTACAGCCTAACATGAGTTGGGGAATCATGTGAAACTAAGCTAAATGGTGGCACACTGGTTTAAAGGAGAAGTGAGAAATTCTTACTTTATTAGCACCTTCGTAAGTTCATTTCCTTCTGCACATGTGGACCCCTTGAAAGCTTGGTTAATTCTAGAGTCTTTAGAATATACTTCTTCTTTAGAAAGACGTGAATACATCACTTTCAGAATTTTGTAATAGCTCATTTTCTTGCTGAGTTGTGTTTCAAAAGCAGTTTCATTTGACTGGAAAAAATATAAAAAAGTAGAAAAAGATTCTAGGTGATGACTCAGCAAGAATGCTTAAGCAGCTTCAAAGATAAGTGTACCATTATTCAGTTATTTGAAATGTCAGTTTCAGAAGGCACAGATTAAACTTTACCTTGGTAAATCTAGATTTCAGAGTCTCCATAGCCTCCACAATAATCTTACTTAAAAAAACTTTCAGGGCATCCAAGCTGCAGTGAAGCAACAGGATGAGAAGAGAGCGATCCACATAGGCTTGACGAGTTGCATTTGAGAGAAGGGCTTCATTCTGGAACATTTTGTGAATGGTGTCCAGCAACGTTACTTGTTTGTCCCAGCTGCCCCTAAACATAGTGAAAAATTTAGAATGATGTTCAATCACATTCCTAGTTAAAACTCAAATCCAATCCCAAATCTCTTCTAGAAGCATCTTAAGAAGCGATTTAACTATGACAATAAATTAAAAAAAACAGGCTCTGCAGGGATATTTTCAAATAAAAACTTTGGGCATATATGCCATGTAAGTAAAATATTTTTGTACACCAATCACACAAAGCAGCCTACAGGAAATATAGACAACCAAGAAAAGCTTAAATGGCTGCAACTAAAGGAATCTGAAATTAAACAAATTTCCCTGCATTCTCAATAATCCTTCGCTTCAATGCTTGAGTTCAACTAGTTACCAACTCTTGTCTTTTAAACTGTGTGATTTGTAAAAACTGGGAGATACACTACCACTTTAAAGCACTACCTTCTGGCAATTCTTTTGAAGCTGAGTTCAAATAATTCTTCCATTATATGTCTCTGGTCCCTGCAAAGAATTTCTGTCATCAGCTGCAACAACATGGGACTCTGGGATAATTCAAGTGCATCTAGGAACTAGAGTTTGGCAGGGGGCGGAGAGTGGGAGGAGAAGAGATAAACAGAGTATATGCAAAATCTGATTAGAACTAAAGATACATATGAAAGTGAAAACAAAATATAATATATATTCTATAAAAAACATATAATAGAAATCATTTTTACTTTAGCCTACACAGATGCAGCATTTCTGCTTGCAACTTGTTTCACAGGATTGGATCCAACCAAATCTTCCCATTAGCACAAGGACTTTGAATCATTGCACAAGCAGAATTTCTTGTGAAAATGGAACAACTTCGTTTGATACGATAATTTTTGTTTGTTTTTCATTTTTAAAAGTGTATTACTTAGGGCTCAGAACAGGTAAAAGCCATTCTAAAATGCCTATGAGTAAATCACAGATCTTTTCACTTACTTTTTTCGTGCAATCCACATAGTTATTGTATCTCAAGGTTCCTTTAGGAAACTCATCCGATCTCAAAGGGAAATTAAAGACTACAAGCTGGTCAAGTGCATTCTTAAGGTCATCAAGCCTTTCTCCAACGAGATTAGTAAAGAATGGAAGAATAATAACAGCTTGACTCTGAAATACATATGCAACTTAGAATCAATTGTATTATATGTTCAGGCATATCTAAAAATCTTTATTCTTCCAATAAAATTTTGAGGAAGGAGCGGATATCTGCCAAGTACAAGTTAGGCATGCTGAATTCTATCACAGCCAACACTAACCATATTTCACTGTTAACAAGTGAGATGAAATTACTGTAATGCTCTAATTTTGAATCTTGGGTAATTGCAAGCAGTAAATACAGTTAAAGCTGTGTAGGGAGGACAGGGGGAATGGGTGTGGTATGGAAATGGGTCATCTGCAGGATGAAGCAAGGCATCCCCCTAGTCTAGTTAAGATGCAATTGTAATCCATGTCTGTTTAGCTTAGCTCTGGGTTGATTGTATATGCAAACCTGTTCAGGCTCACTAACTATGGCTTGTTTGGGGCCGACAAACCACAATCCAGAACCATGGTTCAAATTCAGCTGTGAAAACTGGTTTACATCAACTGTCGTGTTGTTGTTCGATCCAAACATGGTATCCTGGGCTTACTCCAAAGTTTGTTGCATTGCTCTGTGCCCACTGCCCATCCTGGCTACAGAGTGTGTGGAAACAACGGCTTGAAAACAAAACTGTTCATGTGGTGAGAAGCAACATTCGTTGAGGCTTTTGCAGACCTCTCTGAGGGTACTTTGCAAGTTTCTTTAAGAATGAATGAATGAATGATTGTGTGTGTGGACAAAGTTCTCTGCTAACTCTGCAAATAGTAAAAAAAAATTAACTTACCTTGAGATTTAGACCTAACATCTGGTCAGTAAGTAGACTTGTATATGTATTAAAAACCATAGAAAATGCCTCATGGTGTGTATTGAATGACACAGAAGAGTCAATCTGGAGAAAGGAAATAAATTTAACCCCAAATTTTCACTTAGAATTAATTCATGTATACAACTACATCAGTCAAAAAAGTTGTTAAAGTATGTTTCAACGGACACCACATGCAAGGAAGTTCGGATTGAATATTTATTTATTTATTATATCCTAAACCTTTTGTGGAATAAGATTCTCTAGGTGGATAGCATCCAGCAACAAAGAAACAAAGAAAATGATAATGATGCAAATTAAGAAGAGGAGCAATCAGAAGAAACCCTTCCCTACATCAGAACACACACCCTCAGAGAAAAACAAGGTCCAATCATTCAGAAAGACTAATGTTACCAGACATGTTTTCAAGTTAGCCCAGGACCTGATCCAACCATTATTGCACAGAGTCCAGGAAATGCATCTGATTAGCTGTGCAACATCCAGGTAAGGAATACAGCTGTTGTTGTTAAAACATGTATAGACCACTTCACAGCATAAAATCATCAAAGGCGTATACACAGTAAAAACAGAATAATATAGGGAGGGGTGCTGTAATAATTACTAGGGTGTAATAGGAATGCTGAAAGAGGTGTAGATAGACCAGAATGCTCTGGTCATCTTAATTCAGCACCCTGAAAACAACTGCAGGGTGCGGAACAACCCAGTGCTGCTGGCCTTATTGCACATCTTCAGTTTCCTCCAAATACCCAGGATGCCTGCAGTGTTTCCCTAAGCGACAGCCAGGGTTGAGTTGCATGTTTCAACTGTCCTAGGCCACTGAATTAGGATATGCATAGGCTTTTCACTGCTGCGCTGCACAGCAGAGAAAGAGGCTGCAGATATATACAGAACATAAGGACTGGATCTGGGTGCTAGCAGCACCACATAACCAGACCTTGGGATCATTTCTGTACTGGAGACAGCTCTCTGAACAAAACCCCCCAAATATTTCCATGCTCATATTTTGCACACTTTCCAAAATACAGTTCCAATAAAAAATGTTAAACCTCAAGAATAAACATTTCAAAATTAGAAGAATATCATCTAGATTTTTCTTAAATGTTTCACACCTGGGATATGTTGTGATATCACCGACTCTGTAAAACTAACCAGAGTGGGCCTTGGCTCCCTCACATGCCCTGAACTCAGCTATTACAGTTGTAGCTTTACCTGCAGAACTTTAGCTAGCAGGGTTAGGACAGCCATTTTGCTTTCAGGAGCAGAATCTTTGGTCCACCAGTGGTCAAGCTGTCTCCAGTTTTTCAAGATAGCCACCACCAGTTTCACTCCTTGTTGCTTGCGAACAGCACGGTCTCTAAAGCTCTGGTCCAACATACCATTCAAAACAGTACCAACCTGAAAGCAGAGTACGGGTACCATGAAATATTGATGTAATTCAACACCCAGACTAAAGCATAATGTTTTCAAGATTAGCAGCCAAATGAATCATTACAGTAGTCCTAAGCTTTTCTGTGGCCATTTCTGCCAAAGATGGCCTTCCACAAAGAATGGCTGAAATTAAGCATCTGAGAAAATGAAAATGCAATGTCAAAATTCCACATAGATTACCAGTGCTTACGATGCATTAAATTTTTCTCAGACATTTAAGCTGCATTAAATTTGCAACACAGCAAAGTGTAATTCATTATTTCAGGCTCTGCACAAAACCTGAAATAAGAATGTATAAGTTAAATGGTCTCAAGATGTCAGTACCAGGGGAAAATCCTTACAATCACTGTTTGTAGTACAGTAGGAGAGAGAAAAATTATATCTTTCCCATTTTGTCGCTAGGCACAGACTTTGGAAGTGCTGGGGCAGCCGTATACAAACATTCACAGGGATTATGCTTACTGCATTAAAACTGGAAACATAATATTCCTTGCTGCAACAAGAAGGTAGGGTTACTGCTCTCTCTCTCTTTTATTTCAGTTGCTCAGGAGTAAAACGTGAGAGATATTAAGTTTGCCAGCTAAAAGTAGAAGTACATTACCATTTTGGGGCTGTCTTGAGCTGATTTCATAAGCTGAAGGACTGCTATATCCATATTTTCCAGCAACTCTTCATTAATGGTTTCCCCAAACAAGCTGTAGAAATACTCTCCATGAGAAAAACTGATAAGGTTTCTTTGAGATGTTCCAGATAATGGCACAGATAACATTAATGTGTTCAGCAGGAGACTCACCAGCTCTATGCACTATAGAGAAATGAATATAAAAGCGTTAAATTTGTGTATCTTAACATCATTAGCAAACCTTTCAGTCAAAAAATGTATACCTTTCCCCATCTTTACAACTCTGGAGCATCCTCAGTTCCACACAAACGGAGGAAGGGCTAAGAATCCTGTTTGGGTGGAGGAGTCCCACCCAGTTTGAGGAGCTATTCAAAAAAACTCCAACATTAGAACAAAAATCTAGTAAACAATGAGCATCCTGGACACCAAACCAGAGAAGAGAAAAAGAGGAATTAATATGATGAGCTCTCTTCAACTACGGTGCCTTCTTGGGTCCTGAGGTAACTGTGGGTCTAGGAATTAACAACCTTAAAAAAATAACCTTGGGTGAATCAGGATATCCTCCATCCATTGAGAAAAATGAATATTTATGCTGAGCAATAGCATCCTGCTTTTTGTCTATCTCAGAGAGATTAATTATTGGGATTAACTGTCAATAAATTTATGTAATAAATTAATTAAACAGATCAATTAGTAAAATAAATTGGGATTATTGTTATTAAAAACCACCATTCAATCTATTACCTACCCTTTGTCATAAGGCCCAAGGGTGGGTGTCATCAATTTAAAATGCAATATTAAAAAAATACATCTTTGGACCCAGCCTATGCTTCTGACTGTATCTGAGGTGTCAAAGGCTAGGGTCAAGAGCTGTACGTTCAGCATATGATGCATATGAAACAGCAGGACCCACGTAGAAGAATCAACCTGCTTGGAATGTTCTGCTCAAGAGTTGTGCCAGAGTAGCATCAGTATCTGCTAGTATAAGGTGATTCTGGGTTGCAGCTACCAGCCAATCACTCTGGAGGACCGTGATCTAGGTCCTCCTTTCTCTTTTGCTACTGTTGGTATTTTGATTTGTTTCTCTTTCTTAAATGAACACTATGGTGGAGGGAGGGAGGGAGGGAGGGAGGGAGGAAGGAAGGAAGGAAGGAAGGAAAGGTCTCCTGAGCATTGCTGTTCAGGTGTAGATGTTCCAACATCAATGTTCCCTCAGTGGAAAGGGTGAGAGGGGAGAGATTTTGAATGTACAGTGGTACCTTGGGTTACAGAAGCTTCAGGTTACAGGCTCCACTAACCCAGAAATAGTACCTCGGGTTAAGAACTTTACTTCAGGATGAGAACAGAAATTGTGTGGCGGCGGCAGCAGAAGGCTCCATTAGCTAAAGTGTTACCTCAGGTTAAGAACAGTTTCAGGTTAAGAATGGACCTCCAGAACGAATTAAGTTCTTAACCCAAGCTACCACTGTACAGGATCCTGGTTCCCTTGTGCGAAAGCCAGGGTCCAAGAGCGTTCTCCTCCACTTAGAGAGACAGAATGTGCTCATCACAGAGTTTAAGTGAAATCTATATCTACACACACACCTACGTAGAAAGATATGAATGAAGGACATGATTAAACTTATTCATGACAGAAGAAGCCATTTGAATTTTTCTCCTCTGTAACACAATGGTGCCTCGCAAGACGAAATTAATCCGTTTCGTGAGTCTCTTCGTCTTGCGGTTTTTTCATCTTGTGAAGCACGGCTATTAGCGGCTTAGCGGCTATTAACGGCTTAGCGGCTATTAACGGCTTAGCGGCTTTAAGAAAAAGGAAACAAACTCGCAAGAACTCGCAAGACGTTTCGTCTTGCGAAGCAAGCCCATAGGGAAATTCGTCTTGCGGAACGACTCAAAAAACGCAAAACCCTTTCGTCTAGCGAGTTTTTCGTCTTGCGAGGCATTCGTCTTGCGGGGCACCACTGTACTGATAACAACTTGGGTGGCTAACCAAAGTCACAGGTAGCAGCTATCAGAAAATCGGATAATCTGAAATATCAGGGACATGAACATCAGAAAATACATGCATGGCATCAACAAGGCCTGGCTCCTACCTGTACACCGAAAGCAAAAGCCAGATGCAGCAGACTCTCAGCTAATCGTTTACTGTTGATGTCCAACAAGGGTAGGGACTGCCTTTCGTCTCCTGGTGCAATACCTTTGTATACAACTAACATGAGTTTAGAGCCAGTCTCGCAATGCAGAGCTGAAACCTTAGGGAGGAGGAAAAGAAAAAAAAATGCAGTAGAAAAAAAAAGTTCAGAATCATTGGGGGGGACGACAATAAAAGTTTTTAAGCTGAAGTTACGATGTGCCTTTTCTTCTCTTGCCACTTGCAAACTCTTCTTAAGAGATTCTTCTGGAGTTAAGCAATCATCAGGAATGAAGGAAATGCCTTCCTCCTGCAAGCATACCTTGCCCCCCCAAATAACCAAGAATCGGAACACCATGGTTTTAATGCCACCAGAACAGCAATATCTCATGAGCAGCTGTCATTACGAGAACCTCAATGTGAACAAAATTAGATTCACCCAACAGTGCACAAATTCAAACATGTGATAGCAATCTTCTTAAGGAGGCAGAAGAGAGGAAGCATCTGCTCCATTTTTGCAAAGGAAATGCACTCCGTTTATCCTCCAGTCAAGAAGCATGGTTACTGGTAACTGCATAACGTACAGCACCTTATATTGAATTTTTGTTATGCTATAATAGGTTGGCAGTGTAGTTACTGCAAAACTACTCTAGTGAACTTACGTTATACTACTTCTAATAAATAAATATTTTTTGCTTTACAAAGTGCTGATGCCAATACAAATGACAAGCTGTGTTTTTACCTCATGCTGCAAGGTACAATGAAGAAGGCCGGCGTTATGAAGCTGTTTGCATGCAGACAGGATGGAACCAATCCTAACGTGATCCAACCGTGCATCTGGATTGTATAGCTCAACACTGCAAAGTTCCTCAATGCTGGCAAAACAAAAGAGAATTGATACTAAGCATGTGGCTCGAGCAATAAGTCATTTGTTTTGTTTTATGCATTTATTAGATCCTTATGTTCAGAGACATCCTACCTTTTTGATGTTATTATTTTCTTTATGCTGATCTCCAAAGGTTCTCTATAAGGAGATCTCATCAAAGCTTTTATAAGCCTGACGCAAACATCCGGAAGCTTTTCCATAACTTGTACATCAGCTATATTAAACCCTATGCTTCTGGGGTCACAGACGGTCCTCACAACGAGCTCTATCAGATTCTCATTAAGCAACTGTCTCTCAAGCAGCTAGGAATTACAAGATAAAAATGAGACAAGAAGTTTTAATTTCATAATCCAACCATTGTCACTTACATTCAAGGTTTCATCATTCAAGATTTTATCTGCCTGCACCTCTCAACAGAAGCAAAACAGTCCCTTTGATCCTCACACCTTACTTCTTGGTTTTGCTGTCTTAATGTAATCCACTTACCTTGCCTGGTAATTAACCCCATGTAACAGGATCCGCAGCTCATTCATCAGTAGGGTCAGAGGACATGTTTTACAATGTGCAAAGGCAATCTGGGATCCAAAGAGTTTTTTTAGGTTGCAGCAAATGGCTTATTGCAGCAAATGGCTTATACTGGATTTTCTTATTTTGAACTCCTCGGTGTAACAAACAGCTTTGTTCCATTTAGCAAATAATTTGCCACTTAAGGGAAGCATCCAGTGCTGCCGGGGAATTTTTAGAAACCCAAAAATATTGTGATTTTTAAACGGACGGTATAATTTGTGAGTTTTCACCCATCACACCAAAAATCAGGTAAAGTCATGACAAAGTCACATTTTGGTCTGCCATCTTGATTCAAAATGGTGCCCGGAATCCAAACCTCAAAAAAGACTGCTTCCCCAACTTCTGGAACACTTGTGCCAAGTTGGCAGTGCTTAAGCCCTGGGGAGGTCACTTCGGTGCTGCTAACACAGTGGTTTGGCTTCACCCTCAGAGGCACACTCCATTGTCTCTCAGGACAGGGAGATGCCAATAACAACAAAATGCCAAAATCAAGTTTCAGTCCACCATCTTGAATCAAAATAGCTCCTGGCATCCCAACATTGCAAAAGACTACCCCCACCCTCAGAAACCATCATGCTGAGTTTGGCGATGGTATTTCAAGAGGTTGCCAAACCTAGACAAAAAAGATTGAAGTTGCACCAAAGCCATGTTTTAGCACACAATCTTGATTCCAAACAATGGCAAACATCCAAACACCAATGGAGAGGCACTGCCCCCACTTGGGAAACCCTCATGCCAAGTTTGAAATCTCAAGAGGCATCTCAACATATAAAGAACAAACGAAAAGACAAACAGACAGACAAATCACATTCCAAACTATATAGTAGATGATGCATGAGGAGCAGGGACTGTTCAAAAAACACATATTATTGAGCACAGGTAACTAACAGCACTTTTGTTTAGACCTTGGGCAACAAACACAAGCTTACCTTCCAGAATTCCTGCTGGTGGGTCTCCAAAACCATGCTTACAAAAATCATAATTCGAACTACAATGGTACATTTGCTGTAATTGTACTCTTCTCTTTCTTGTGGACTGAACATGTTGCCTTTGGACCCAGTGCTAAAACACTGTTCTGCACCAGACACATCATGCAAGGCCATTTTTTCCAGGAAGAAGCCCAACGATGTCAGGAATGAAGACCCTATATTTGAAGCTTGGAGGGGAAAAATGCACTAGCATAGAAATAGTTTCCTCAGAATATAAAATACAACCTTGTTTTGTTAGACATAAGAATTATGTGAAGGGAATAAATAGCAAAACCAACATACTTTTTGCCCCCAATGGTCTAGAACTATGCTTCACTCAATTTCCCTTCCCTTCTATCGCACCACTAACATTATATTTTAGATACATATTTTGATAATACTAAAATAGCAAAAGAGTAATAAAAAAAATCAGCTGAATGTTATTTCAAGTAATGTGGCCTACAGTGGTTAACAGCAAAGATGACCGTAAGAGCTTGTGGAGGTAAGACAACTCCAGATGACAAAGGCTGCTATAGAAGAGTACTTCGAACTTTCTGTGGGAGAGTAAGACAAACATTGTAAAGGAGAAACGGGGCGCTGGGATAAAACAAGGGAACATCTGAACATGAAGACATGCCTGCACAATGTGTGGAACAGTGGGTATCCCACTATTATGCACTTTGCTCTAATGGATTATGAAAGACAACTAATCAAAAAAGCTGCTTCTGTAGTTTACTTACCCAGCATCTCATTTGGTTTGATCATTCCCTGCTCGATAAAAGTATTGTAACAGTCCAAAGAAGCCAGAAGCATATCCATCCATTGCACAACAGCGCGCAAACTAAAGGTCTCTTGCAAATCATGAAGAGTTGGGTGGGCCAGTATTCCGGATATATTTTCACCCTCACAACCACCTCCTTCAATTTTTTTAATGAGGAAAGAGATTCCTTGTTTCTGAAGGACATCACCCAACCAAGAAGATGGGGACTTGTTATCTGATGAAGAAACAGAAGTAGGACCTTTGAATGGTATATAGCCTATGACTTGGCAGATTTGAACAAATTCTTAATGGAAACTGTGGCTAAATCTCTCTTTTCTGGCCGCAAAAGCATGAAAGAAAATTTTCCCATTAAAACCATCCTGTCCAGCTGATGTTCTCATACATTACAATTTTTAATTTGGTTATGTTATTCACCTTTAAACTCACTCCTACATTTTAAGGTATAGTGTTATAGATCTTATTTTAGCCATGTTTTAGATATTCCTGATATTCTGTATCATTTATGTATCACAACTCTGAAGAAAATTGAAAGATAATTTCACAGTACTTTTATCTAGCAAAAGAAAGAAAAAAGACCTTAGCAAATTCTTAGGCTACAATCCTGAGCTATTTAAATCCCATAATGTTAACAAGGTACCCACATACCTTATTTCAGATCCAACTTTTCACCAGTGAATGAAGACTTCATGTGGATTCATATGGGGGACTCAAGCTAAAAAGAACACTGACTTGCCTAAAACCATTTGATGAGCTCAAGGCAAAGGTTACAGCTCAACTGAAGAATCCTTGATTCACCACACAGACTGCATTCAGATGTTTTTATTTCAGTTTAATAAGCCAAGCTATAAGCCAAGTCCCTTACAACTCTACAATTCTGTGGTCTATGATTTATGACTGCACATGCAGCCCCTTTGTTCCTTCCTGCATGCAAACAAGCAGGCAAGCAAGCCAACCAAGAAGGGTTCCATCAAGCATAGTTTTGTTTTGCTTTTTGTCCAAACTAGGAAACTATGGCTAACAACTCTGAAACAAGTCAGGATATAAAGCCAACTTCAAACCACGGCTTTTCCAAAGGAGTTGACCATAGATTCCAAGTTCGGAAAAAACAGGCAACAATAGTTAATGGAAGACTTCCTGGTTCGTTTGGTTGTTCTCACAAAGGGACAAGTGAAGATACTATGCACACAGTCAAAAGACCACAAAAGCAAGAAGTCACTCACTGTCTCACAGCCACCATATTTACACCAGCAGTATATTGCTCACATATGCGGCAGCATACAAACCTGGCAGCAAGGGAACTAATTCGAAGAAAAGCTCCATAACTTTATGCCGGCATTCTGTTTGGGGTCGTCCACACTGCATCAAAAGCCACATGACAACATCCTCCAAGCATATGGATGTCTGTGGAAATCCCCTATATAAGGTGGTTACAAAAAAGAAGTCTGAAGTTATTGGCCAAATAATAATAATTTATTATTTATACCCAGCCCATCTGGCTGGGTTTCCCCAGCCACTCTGGGTGGCTTCCAACAAAATATTAAAATACAGTGGTCTGTTAAACATTAAAAGCTTCCCTAAACAGAGCTGCCTTCAGATGCCTTCTAAAAGTCTGTTAGTTGTTTTTTCCTTTGACATCTGGTGGGAGGGCGTTCCACAGGGCAGGTGCCACTACCAAGAAGGCCCTCTGCCTGGTTCCCTGTAACTTGGCTTCTCGAAGCAAGGGAACCGCCAGAAGGCCCTCGGCGCTGGGCATCAGTGGTTGGGCAGAATAATGGGGGTGGAGATGCTCCTTCAGGTATACTGGACCGAGGCCGTTTAGGCAGTCAGTTACTTAAAACATTGCTCTGCTTATAAATTTGAAAGAAAAAGAAGTATTTCAAATCTACATTATATGTGTTGTGTTGTTTCCCACAACAAACATACCTCTCAGAACTCCAAAGAGATTACTAACCTAGGTATCCGCCGTTGATTTTCTTTGTTGAGGCTTGATGCTTTATGCTTAATTATACGCTTCAGGTGATCAATAGCATCACAACATTGTTGAGTTGTGCCTGTTTTAAATTTTTTGAAAATATGATATGGTAACTGGCCCAAAATAAAATTTCTAAAAGGCCATGTCTGTTTCTGGCCCTGTAGACAATGCTAAAAATACACTTTACTTCACAAATTTACACTTTTTAAAAAGTGCATAATAATGAAAAAGTAAATTAACATAAAACGTGGAACATGAGAAGCATTTTAAAGGGATATCATTTCAAATTTGCCCTTCCAAGCATGTTTCTTTATTTTTATTACAAGGCAGACATTTTAGCAGTTTCCAAAACTTAAACATTTTAACTAAAAACTCCAAATATATAGGTCTGCATTTCTTCAAGATTTGAAGCACCAAGTACGAAGCCTATCAAACAAACTTTGAAACAAGCTTTCAACATATACCTAAAGATTTCTCATCTCCATGTGTTAAGGCCAGACTTTCCAGGTACACAACCAATGCTTCAAAAACGAACTGGTCCACCAAAGCACTTTCTTCCCTATGAAACATGAAAAAATTAGATAAGCAAACTAATATTTTCAGCATTAGACAAGAAAGCATCCTTTTCTGTTGCCAGAAATATCACACCATTTTTCAGCCAGAGTATAAAAATACTGTTTTGATCTCTGTGGAAGCTTTAGTAAACACTGCATTCTCTCTCTCCTCAAAGTATGGACATTCCCTTTATTATTTTCATGCAGCATAGCAAAAATACAAACTCTGTTGCTTACCTAAATTCTCTGTAGATGTTGTTAAAAGCAAGAGAACTTCCCAACCGCTTGAAAGCATTGGGATGGAGAGCAAGACTGTATAGTCTCTTGAAGAGCGACTTGGTATTTACTGGACTTCTCTCCTGCTGCTGCGGCGTACTCTGCTTAATAGACCATTTCAAAAATTCTCGGACACACTGACCACAGAAGTCTCTCAGAGCACTGTCCACAGGGTCTACTATCCCTTCCTGAAACAGAGAATGGGCTTGGTTCACCATAAAGGAATTCTGTGATAAGAGTTTATTTCCTCAACCCCTGTACTGCACACTTCATTCGATGAGTAATGAAGAATTAGTTGATAAGTGTCAGGGAACTGACATCGGAGCTAGAGGTGGAGGGGAGGCTCTCTAATGATGCTGGAGAAGGGCCCAGCAGGGAGAGAGGCAGCTCAGCAGATGGGGAAGCAATTCAGTGCAACACCAGGAATAAGGAGGGGCAGATGGGGGAATCGGAGAGAGGGCTCCCAGACTCTTCACCAGACACCAGCGGGGAGAGCACTGGTCCTCCGCTACCCACGCCCTCCCTGCGCAGAAGACTTCCGCGCAGAGAAAATAGGAAGAGACTGGGTGTCAAACAACTTTTATGTTGGAAAAGGTTTAAGAAACGCCCACTGACGGATTCTGCTAGCGACTGAGGCAGCCACGAATTGAAGGGCTGTCCAGACAGAAAGGTTTAACAAGGCAACATAGCCAGGAGAGGTGGCAACTTACGCACGAGCAACCCCATACCATTATAATAAGGAAAAAAGTAGAGAGATTCTCATACTTTTCACCCTAAATTTATACAGGAAAATATCTCAAGGTCTACTTTGAGAGTGTCTTATGGGTCTAATAATTGTCCAAAATTTCTTTCACATTCTGCTTGCAAACAGACTGAAAACAGGTTTCTGGTTGTTTTTTTTAAAGGATTATTTTGTGATTAGCGTAATACAGATTTTTTTAAAAATAAAACTTAGCTGGAATCCTGCATGCTTCGAGACAGTAAAAAACAAATCAAAAAACAAATCAAAGAACAAGATTGCCCACATCACTGAACTGAAAGTGAATCAATGGTATATGCCAAGACAAATAAAATCTTCTCACCAAAAAAGCCTGAGAATTAGAGCATGAAGTGTTTATAAACATCTTTGATGAAAAATATTGATTATTCATCTTGCATATACTGATTACCTACCAAAATTGCTTCCAGTAATGCCACAGTATCTTGACTTTCAAACTTTTTGTTGTTTGTGAACCAGTGAATTAACTCCATAACTAGTGTCCCGTAGAGTTGTCTTGTAACCTAAAAGGTGGGGGAAAACATTGTGTTTTATGTTTGACAGGCACACTGTAGATCAGAGGTTTTCAACCTTTATGAGTCCACAGCTCCCTTGACCAACTATATTCTTTCTGTGGCACCTCTGTGGGGCTCAGGAGCCCAGTTATGTCACCCCTTGCATGCAGAGCTGGCAGCCTCTGACCCTTTTCAAACACCCTCCCTTGTGGAGTCTTCCCTCAACCTCCTCTTCTTGGGAGTCCTTTGGGCAGCTGCTTCCATCCCTGGTCTTTGAGCGACCCCCCACCGCCCTGCCCCAAAGAGAGGTGCCTCCCAGAGGCACCATTAGCTTCTGGTGCCTGTAGCAAGGGCTGCCACAATAAACAGCTGTGAAAGCCTTTGGGAGGCAGAGACACAAGAGGGCATCAGAGGAGGGAGGGAGGGAAGGAAAGAGGGACAGAGGCCAGTGTTGCCTGCGGCACCCTTGACCATCATTCAAGGCACCCCAGGCTGCCATAGCACACTGGTTGAAAACCACAGCTGTAGATGATTTCTCATCAACTAATTCCCAGCACACCTTGGGGCTTTTCCCAGAAGTTCATGTTTAGCAACCTGAATAAAAGACTGAACAGTCTTGACATAACTGAAATGTTTTTTTTTGTTGTTGTTTTTTATCTAAAGCAATCCAGACAAACCATGAGCTATAGTCAAGGTGTTTGTGGTTTGGTTGGAGGAATCAAAAGCCCAGGTTCATACACAATGTGTATGAACCCCAAACCCCAGTTCAGCTTCAGGAAGCATTACAGGCATTACAGTAGCAGGACCAGGGAGGAGTGAAGTGGCCACAATTTTTGCCACAAGGACTTGCAAACTCATGCTTAGCTGTTCTTTGTCTTAAGTGTCACATGTAAACTGGACCTCTGTGTATTTCCATTATTGCCGTTTTGGATAAAGGTTTGTTGATATAAATCAGAACACAGCTTTTCCTTTTCAGTTTCATAAGTTTACAATTTGTATTCTACCGCTACATAAAACTTCAAAAAATGCCTTTATGATAACTGTAGGAAAATGTGTTTCACTCCACAGGTATTTGAAGAAGAAAAAAAGTGTTATTTTTAAACAAAATTGCAACTTCTTTTAGCCATAAGGCATCTTGAATTCCATGCAGATTTGTGAATGTTTTCATATGGTTCTTGATTCATCCATCTATCTTAATCATTTCAAGGGACTGAGTTTTATAAAGAAGCAAGCCAAAAAATAAGAGAGATACTCCAAAAAGTACAGGAATTTCCTGAAGGCTAAGAGGCCTTTGTGTGTTATACAGAACACCTGAGCATTTGGGAGTATGAGTGTTTTTGGGGCAACTCCTTTGAGATTAAACCATGTATTGCCTAGACTATTCAAAATATCTTTATTTTGAGAGTTGATCTCTCAGTCTCTTGTATCCTAGTATGACACTCTAACAATTACACCACATTGGATCTCTATTATGGCACACTGGCTCTATCTATACTGCGAGTATCCTCTAAATTTTAAATACATTTCCCCCTTCTCCCCAGTTTCCATGGTTCACAAGATATAAAACACACACAAAAACTGGTTTATGGGGGAGGTGGCTGAAAAATATACTGAAATCCAAAATAACCCCAACAGCTTCTACCAAATATTTAAACAGAAATAAAGAGCTAACCATCTAAAATTGATTTCAAGCAACAAAAGTTCTTTAACTTGCCTGGTCCACATCACAGGCAAGTCGAAGCAATACAGGAAATGTATGTTTATACAGGTGAAACATTGGTGGAGAAGCCTGTTGTCCTTCGGGTATTTGAGCAGCTTTCCCCAGCATACACACAACTATGCTGTGTAAGAGCTCACAAGCTGCAACCTGGAAAAGGAGATCTAATCAGTCATCTCAGTTAAATACTTCCACAAAAAAATAAACACAGAACAAGGAGACTTCCAGGGATAATTTCCAGGCCTTTGTTAAAAAGAAGCCAGTGGAATTTCCAGTCATGCCCCATTGCTTGGAAAATGTACTTTACTAATCCAAGATTGGGTTGGATTCTCAATTAAGCTGTAGTTATTAAAATTGAGGGCTGATCAAAGACTCTGAGCTAATGCTAAACACTAAGAAGCTAAAACCCCTTTCTTATTTTAACAAGAGCTGTCTTACACTTTGCAGAAATTGATAACTTAAATATTATCTTTATTTGTTACATTTCTATCCCACCTTTCCTCCAATGCATATACCGTAACAAGAGAGAGAGAAATAAAGAATAGCAGGGTCATTATGTTATGCCAAGGTTTCACAAACTTGGGTCATCGTCAGTTTTTGGACTACAATTCCCATCATCCCTGACCACTGGTCCTGCTAGTTAGGGATGATGGGAGTTGTAGCCCAACAACAGCTGGAGACCAAAGTTTGGGAAACCCTGTATTATGGTACGGTATATTAAGCACAATTCAGTGTTTTCTCCATAGCTCATTAAAAACATCAGTTTGATTGCATAAGCAGCAATCCTAATACCTTTGTCTGCCTGTCACTAGCAGAAAGAGCCAATTCAGTGACACGGGGCAAGAATAAATCCAAGTAGATAACAGGCTTCATATCAGCAAATGGAACTGCAAAGCTCAGGCGTTTCTCTGTGTCCCAAGATACAAATTTCTTCATATTTTCCTCTGTAGAAGCAGCTAGTATATTTGGAAAAGAGCACCGAAAAAAACTCAGTTGTTTTAAGCAGATAACAAGACATTTCAACCTAAGCTTAAAACAGTCAGGTTTTATCAGATGCTATTCTGAAGCAGAGCTGTATCCTAAATATTTCAATATCTATTTAAATTCTTGAATCATTCTTCAATAATAGCAAAGGTTCTGTTACTTACAAAGCAGAATATATTAGGTGCACATTTGCCATGTTGTTGACTGAATACTAGACATTCAATAAGATTAAGGATGGTTTTCCAGTTCAGCCAGAAGCAAAGTTTGTTTGGCTTTTTTAGATCACCTTAATAACATTTTTGAAATTGCTCTAAGTTGTTTATCCTAAAGCAATGACCATACTTCAGGTTGAAGGTTTGCGGAAAAATGCTAAAATACACTTCCAACCATTTTTATTTTGCAATGGTCATGTTAATTTAGTATGATCTTTGTTGCAAAAAACAAGTTTTAGACACATCTTGGTCATAGTACAAATTCTGGAAGAGGGGAAAAAGCAAAGAATTTGGACAAATTTCTGAGCATAAATGTTGAACATCAAATGAAAAACCAAAGACAATTAGAAGATTAAGTCTCAGGACCTAGGTCAGATTCAAGTATCAAAGCAACACGGCAAGTCCAACAGAATGCACAAGCCAATCACATTTAATCTGAACCAATTTAACAATCTTGAGGCTCATGCAGACCCAATTCCAACTTCATATTTGGCATGCATTAATGGTTTTGAAAATACTTCTATGGATGGACACACATGAAATCATTTCCAGGAACACATCATCCATGCATCTTGTCCAAAAACAGTCTTGTGAACTAATCCCACGAAGAATCCAGCATTCTGCTCATGGGCTTATCTTTGACAAAAGGGCATGAGACAGCATTTACTAGCACACACTTTCATCAATGTAACACCATGGGGATAATTTCCAAAGTCATCCTGTAGAATCTACAATGTAGATGCATACAGAACTACCATCCAAAGCATGATGGTAGTCATGCAACATGTTTAGGATCTTTCCCATAATGAACACAAAGGTAGTCAAGCTGTGGTCCAACCACCAAGTGTACATGAGCCCAAAGATTCACCTTGTAGCTATGTTTGAATTTTTAAAAACTCTAATCTGAGTTGTTCCTGAGTCACTCTGTAACCCTCCTCTCTGTAATTCAGATTCTGAGCTGCTCTGTGCTCCCCCATTCACTATAGTAAGAATGTAAAAACAGCTATTTCCCTTTTGGCCAAAGTGAATCAAATTTATAGGCAGAGGAGCCCCTCCAGAAAGGATCAAGTCTGCCAAATTGCAGACAAATGGGTTCAGGGGCTTTTGGTGGGGTAAGTCAAGTGCATTGATTTCGTTCTTAATATACTGATAGAGAGGAGGGGGAAGCAGGGGGTCTGTCTCTTGCTCTGACTTATTTAAAAACAATGAAGAGGTAGCTGAGTGATGTGTACTCTTCCTTGTACATTTAAAACTCTGCAGCTTCTGATGGACCTCAAAGGCGTCTAATAAGTTTTATAAACTGAAGCTGTCCATAACACTGCCTGTAGAATTCTGAAGAGCTGGGAGGGGGGCTGTTAAAGCAAAGCAAACTTTTTATTAAAGAAAAGAAAAGAAAATTTTAAGCTGCTGCACTTAAAAATTAAATTAAATAAACCTTTGAACAGACTCACTTCTTGGAAAGCCCATGGACCTACACAGTAAAGTACAGAAACAGAGGAACACAAAGCTTGGGGGGGCGGCCCTGATCCAATCCAAGGGGGTTTTATTGACATTCAATATGGACTCATAGGGAGGAAAGAATCACCTTGTTATTCAGTCCCTGGACAGAGAAGATGTAAACCTTTACTACCCACATTTCTCTCATGGGCACCCTGAAGCATAGAAGCCAACATGTCTCAAAAGCATACTTGCCTACCAGACAAATCAGAATGTCATTTACTTTTAGCATTTCAAAACAGATTTAGCACTCACCAGTAACTAAATTCCGATTAATCTGTCCCCCCAGAAATCCAAGAAGGCGTACAACTCTAGCCCGTACTGCTTCCAATGACAGATCCTCCTCCTAGATAAAATATGATTGCAAGAAGGAATTCCTCAAAAGTTGTTTTTGTTTAAAGGCATTTTTTTGTACATTTTTTAAAAAGAAAGAAAATAATTCAGAATTTGCATTTTAACCTGTATTTTAAATTGCCCCCCCCCATTATGTTTTTACTGTAATTTTACTGGTGTTAGCTGCCCTGAGACCAGCTCTGGCTGGGGAGGGCAGGGTATAAATAAAATTTATTATTATTATTAATTCTACAAGACTCCAATATTTCACAACAAAGCTGTCAAAAGAAAGAAAAGAAGAAGGAAAGAGACGCTGTTGTATGGTAGTTCTTGCTGGGAAACACTGAAATCTCACAGAATTTTAATTCTTAGCAGTGTGGACTATTTATCTGTTCCTGAAAGAACACCGTAATCCTATGCATACTTACCCTGGAGTATGTTCCATTGAACTCGATGGAACTTCTGAGTAGACACACACAGAATTGCTTAGTAAGCACACTTTTCTTGAAGCCCAGACTCTCAAAATTAGCATCCAGCCTTCAAATTAATTTAACCAGCAAAGCGCTGCTGAAATCAGTACAGCTCTAGATAATACAATGCATTTATCTTCCAACCATTATTATACCATGATATCAATTCATTTTTTCTTCGTTAACTGCTAGAATTTTCAGACTGCTGACTATAAAATTGAAATTTCACTGAAAACTGGATTACACTGTTTGGATCTGGTAAATAGTTGCAGGACTGACCTTAAAGTATTTTGGAAATCATACAGGTTAAAAATCTGTAAATCAAGGTGGACAGTTGAGCAGAGTTCTGCAGCAAGAACCTCTTTCAGTATCGAAAACAACAAATTGTGGACTTGCATGTTCCAAAGCTAATTACATAAAACATATGACACGTCGTAACTGTGATTCAAATACTGTATTCTGCATTCACAAGCAAATATCACATTGTGATTATCCGACTATATAAACAAATTAAGTATAAGTCAGCTATGTGTGAGCCCGGCTTCGGCTGGGGAGGGCGGGATACAAATAAAATTTATTATTATTGTTATTGTTGTTGTTGTTGTTATTATTATTATTATTGTTTCTTTTAAGTAACTGTGGGTAAGTATATCCACTTGAGTATTTATCCGATACACAAAAAATTATCTTTGTAATAAGACTATGCATAATTATATAATGTATAAAAACACGTATGTCTAAATAAGAAAAAGTATGCTTTGATCTTCCGATGGAAAATTTAATTATTTTTAAAGGGTAGCAGGGAACTTTACCAATGCAAGACTCTTTGCTTTCTTCAGACGCTGGATGACTACTTTGTTCAATCCCTTCTGAACTGCCCGAGAAAGTTTCTTCACCTCCCAATTACTCTGAGATTCATCTAATTTTCAAGAAACAATATATTAATGCTCACTTATTGTATTTATGAAAGTACAGTAGGTGTATTTTAAAACATTTCTGAGAACCAGAGAACCACTGTCTGTCAGAATAGGCAATATTGGGCTAGATGAAGGAACAGTCTGACCTGGTATAATGCAGCTTCCTAACGTATATTACTACTTGCCATTTATTTGTTTTCTATTTATAACTTCAACTAAAATCTCTCAACTGCAAGGTGACAAAAGAGCAGGTTGTCCAGCTGTTGTTGGACTACAAATCCCATCATCCTTAGCTAGCAGGACCAGTGGTCAGGGATGTTGGGAACTGTAGTCCAAAAACAGCTGGAGAGCCAAGTTTGGGAACCCCTGCACTACAGTATATAACAATGAATGATTAAAAAAAAATCCCAAATTCAAACCACTCCACAATATGGTTAGTCCAACACTGGTATGTTTAACACCTTAACACCTTTAAAAAGTCTTACCATTTTGCTGTATTCATTTTTAGCATGTACCTGTCAATGTAGAAATTTTCAAATAGCCATCAAGGCAAGGCAAGATGTCCTTGTAGTAAGGCTGTATTATATATCTGGGAATATGGGCTGACCAATCTTCCAGGGCATCCAGTGCTGCATCAGCCATTGGGGTATAGCTAAGGCCCTGTTTAAAAGCATTCTGCACAGACAGCATAAAGAAAACAGATATTTAGAGCTCCAAATATATCCCTTTTACAATATATTTGTATCTTTGGATGTAAGTATCCTATTGGCCAATATTACAAAGTGCATACAAAGTTATAGTTTTAATACACTTACTCCTAGAATGAGATACAGCTTAAGTATGGTGGTCAGCACAGACAAATAAAACTATGAACAGCACACATGGTTGCCATACTAATCTGACATTCAAACTTTGGGTTTCCCCACTAATTCACCAATGAATGGTGACAATGCAGATGTTAAAGGCTGTAATTCGATACACACTTACCTCTCATTTAGTTCAGTGGGACTGACATCTGAGTAAACATACATAGGATCATGCTGCAAACAAGTATATATGCAAGGGGAAAATGACTGTATTGCTTATTCACCATACTGACCCACCTGCAAAGCAGGAATGTATGCTTTAATATCCAGCATGATGATGTCATGCGGCAAGGAAAGCACAAAAATAAGACAGGATGCCAATAGTTCATCTTTGTACTGCTTCATTTTTGCTGTTACCTAAATTGAGAAAAATGGAATAATGTTAAGAACTACCTGACGTTCAAATCATCTTGACAAATGTCTTATGTTGGACAAGCAAGTACACCAATCTTTTGAAATGAATTGATTTAAATACAAATTTACTTATTACACGTAACTCAAAAGACTCAACAAATATTTCAAAGAAATATCACAGAGAACGTCTCACCTCTTTTCCAAATTTTGCAAATAAAGCAAAGCAGGAACTCTTCTCTGGATCTTCATGACATTTCTTTTCACTCTTTGGACCGACACCCTGAGAAACAAAAAAACATGCAGAATTGTACAAATTGGGTCAGTCCTCTTAGTGTTCCATTTTTTAAAAAAGAACCAATTGAATAATGTCATATAATTGAGGGAATCCATGCACCCACTAATGTATGCAGGATTAATAGATTATGTCCTTTACATGGGGCTGGTTTTGAAGACTATATGGGAACTGCAACTGGTTCAGAACACAGCAAACAGCGCCAGCAGTAAAGGATGTATCCTGCCAGTCCTCAAGATAGAATCTCTTAGAGTTAAGTTGTTTCTGGGCAAAATGTCAAGTGCTGCTGTTCACCTATAAAGTCCTGTGTTCCTGACACAGTCAAGACAGATTAGGGATTCTGATGGTTTACCGCTGATCTCACTGCCCAGATGTTCTCAGATGCAGTGTTGAGGACTCCCAGACTTCTGGGGAACTTTAACATCCATGCTTAAATGACTGGCTCTGGGGTGGCTCAGGACTTCATGGCTGCCAAGACAACTGTAGGGATGGCCCAACATGTCATTGGCCCAACACATGTAACAGGCCGCATTCTGGACCTTGCTTTCTCAACTGGGCAGGAAAAGGGTGATCTGAAAGTGGGGGATATTGACATCAGCCCCTTGTCATGGCCAGATCACTTCCTGTTGAGATTTAGGCTTTCAGCACCTTTTCCCTTCTGCAGAGGCAGAGGACTTATTGAGATGGTTGACCCTTGAAGGCTAATGGATCCAATGGGTTTCCAGAAGGCTGTGTGGTTTTTTCCTGGCTGGTATGACTGGTGTTCCTGTTAAAACCCTGGAATGTGTGCAGGTGGTCCAATAAATAACTTGGGCTCAATCTGTTTAGGGCTTTAAAAGGTCAAAACCAGCAGTTTAATTGGGCCCAGGAATGCACAGATAACCAGCTCAGCTGATATACTAAAGAGGTGTTACAGATGCTGTCTGCCTTGCCCCCAGTATGACTCTAGCAGCCATGTTCTGGAGCGTCTGAAGTTTCTGAACAGCCCCAAATAGGGCACACTACAGCTGTACAGTCCAGTCATACCCAGAGCATAAACCACTGTGGTAAGGTTAGTCCCTTTCCAATAGGCGTGCAGTAGGCATACCCACTGACGCTGGCAAAAAGCACTCCTGGTTACTGATGCCACCTGGGCTTATCCAATCAGCATCAAATCCAGGAGCACTCCTAAACTGTATACTTGGTTTTTCAGGCAGAGTGCCGCCCTATTCAACCCAAGCTAAAAACCACCTTTCACAGCTGAAGGATCTCCCTAAACACACCATCCCTCCATGTTGCATTTTTGCCCATTTCCATCCCAGAACCACCGCCAGGTATAAAAATACAAAAAAATTCTTAACTATTAAAATGAAAAAAATCACAATTATATCAAGCACATATGCAGCGCAGGTACAAAGCAGCATAACATTAACTTTATCTTGAACATATAACAGGTAATTACCCTCCTTACAAGAGTTATCTCACCTGAAAGTATTTTGTTTTTTTAGCAATTTTCATGGCAATAGACAGCATTTTGTAAAATCCACTAATAAAGGGTAACCGCGTTGACTGTATAATTAGCTCATAAGCAAATGAATAAACCCAAGGCACAAAATACTCAACGTGCTTCTCTGGGAGGATGTCTCTGCAGAGATAAAGAGAACAGCAAGCAATGAATTGAAGTCATCCCCCTCCCCCCCATAAAGCTAAAGGCCCAGGGTGCCCTGTCCTAAGCAGGAGATTGCTATGTCTATTCCACCCATTCACAAACACTGCCAGCAAACAATGAATAGGCCATGCCATTTCCAGACAGGAGTTTGGCTGCCCACTGGCCCCAGCATAATATAAACTGTACCAGCACAATGTAACTGAATTATATGTCTCACATATGTTCTGCATTTCCTTGAACTACACACAACAGAACATACCTGCAAAACTCCACTAGGTTAATGAAGGCTGTAAAGTCTTTAGGCTTGTTTGGCTGAAGGTTTGCAGCTGGATCGGAAGTAGGAATGGTGAGATCAACATCAGCTACACTTCCATCCTGAGAAAAGAAAATCAGAAGTATGCACAGTCTTTGCAACCAGGTTAGGCTGGATAGCGTTTGCATGTATCTCTCCTACTTGTCTCTATTTTTCTTTAATTTAACATGTATACAATCTCTTTGATGAAGGCATGTTGGAAAAAAATGAATTATTCTACAATTAATTAGAATCCTATAGAAAAGCAGTGCTGCAAAAAGTATCCTATTTGTTGAATTTTATTGCTACTTATGGTATTTTAATCTAGCGGGAATTTTGTGGATGTTTATTTTAAATACGATGGGTTCTTTAAATGAAGTATCAGTTCATTTTTAGGACTCCCTTAAATATAATGGGCCAAATTCACCTAACAAGACCCATCCACACTAGATCTGTATAAGGACTTCCCCTTACACAATGCAACTTCCCCACTTCACATATCCTCTCAGTAACTGGGTCTGGGAAGATTGGGAGAACTCCTGGAACAACGTGGGAGGGGGAGGGGGGATAATTCTGCCTGGCAAGTTGAAATACATTCGTAGACGGGACAGCTAGACATTGAATTCCATGCACTATAACATTCTCACAAACGCCTTCAGGAAAGGAGAAATAAAAATTGAAATATCTGATATTTATGGCAATTTGCACTTCTACAAATTATATCTGCTTATGTCTCCACTCCCATAAAGTAACTCAATTCAGCATCTGATCATGTATACTTTCTTCCTAAACCCTCCTGTTGTTGGATTCTACAATGCAGTATATAATTTAGATTATCAGCTTTTTAGTCTTAAGAACTGTTATAAATATTGCACTCGGTTTTACAGCCCTACCCATCCTAATGGCTTTTTAAAGATGGGCTATAAAACTTTAATGAAAACTATGGCTGCATCTAGATGTAACACTAAACCAGTTTAGCGCTATGTGAGCAATCTCCAAACTCTTGTGCTTCTCCTTTGACACATGTTCTGACTCTGCTTTGTCTAGACAAAGCCAAGTTAAAAGTAACCACATGATAGTCCCAACTCAGACAAAATTAAACTTCAGTTAGTCGAAAACGAAAATGGATGCATCTGATTCCCACCTAAAGGTTGTACCAGGGAAAGCACAAGCTCAAAGCTCATTTATGCTGGGAAGGCCAATGTGGTGCCCTCCAAATGATACTGGACTAAAATTGCCATTATCTCTAGAAAACATGGCAAATGGTCAGAGATGATGGGAGATGCTGTAGCCCAACAACATCTGGTGGGCACCACATGGACTATCCTTATGCATCACTAAATTATTGTTTACTGTTGTGTCTGAACATGATAATCAGATACATGTATGAATAATATAACAGTAAATCAGTTTTCATTTGTTGAAAGTGCACCCTGAACCTGTTACATGGGCAGAAATGCAAAAGGTGAGAAGGTGAGAGAGACTATTTTCAAATATCCAGTCTTACCTTCTCTTCCCTAATGTTCTGTTTCTGAACTGTAAGATCCAACTTTTCAATTACTTTTAGGATAGACTTTATGAGTTCATCATATAACAACCGATTTAGAGACTGTAGAGGTGAATTTGCAATTAGAAACATTTCATCTGTGAACAGAGAGTCCTACATTGGAGAACAGAAGAACATATTTTTAGTTATGTCAGAGTTTATTCCGAAATTACAGACCAAGTAGTTTCCAGTACAAGCCAAGCCAATGTTTAAGAACTTCTGAGGAAGTTCTGCTGATTGTTCCACAACCTACTGTCACTTAATGACAGTGTAGAAGCAGGCCTTCTTGACAATAGCACTTACTACCTGAAATGTCCTCCCTCAGGTAATTTTTGAAGTAGAGTCAGCAATGGCCTTTAAACATCTCTTAAAAACATATACGTATGCCCAAGCTTCCCTACTCTTAACTGTTTATTTTTTTGTTTTATAACTTGGACTGCTGCAAAGCACTGCACATGGGGCTGTCACTGAAGGAGGTCCAGAGGCTGCAGCTAATGCAGAATGTGGCAGCCAGCATGCCAAGTGGGACAGTCTGATGGATCATGGATCAACGGTCCTGGCTGCCAGTAAGCTACGAGGCCCAATTCAAGATGTTAGTAGCAGCATATAAAAACCCTAAACAGCTTGAGATCCCATTACCCAAAAAAGAACCTCTCTCAGCATAAACCATATTAGGACCTACAATCAGTAGAGGTCCTGTTGTTACTAGAGCTGCCCAGCTGTTGGCGAACCATGACAGGTCCTTTTGGGTGGCAGTTACCTCACCAAGAAGGGCATTTCACAAATGGGTATCCATGTCTCCCTTATTAACAACATTTAGGAGGAAGTTTAGCATATTCCTGTTCACTGAGGCATGAGCAGGCAGAAAGAGACTGCACCTGGCAACCTTGAAATTATTCACTGTGAGGGTATGACTGTATTTTAAAATATTTTTATTTTCTTTTAATCGGTATTGTTTTGTGAGAAAATGCATACAAGGGAAATGAAAAGCATTTAAGTAAAGCTTAAGTAAATCATAAATTTTTAATTAAAGATCCAGCATTAGTGGTTTTTTTACCTTCATTGTGTCACAGCTCAGTAAACTTCTAAAAAGATCCAAGTAATCCTTGTATGTAGGCACCTTCCATTTCCCAGCTCGAACTTCTCCAGATGTAGGAGGCTCTTCTGAACTAGAAACGTTTTTTCCAGAATATTCCTAGAAGGCAACATAATACTGAATATCTCTACATAGCTTATCCTAGGATAGCAAAAATGAACACTGCCTAATTCAGAAGCATACATAAGTGATAGAAGAGCACACAGGACCACTGTACTAAGACATGTCAAGGGCATTCTCATGTTAAGTGCCCCATCTTAGGAATGTATAGTATTTCAAATAATACACATTCAGATACTTAAAACAAGATAAAACAAGGTATTTCAAGTGATCAGCAGGAAATTTCACTTCATATGGTATTTTAATGCTTAACATTCAAGCAAGACCCACTTCTTTAGTCCCCAAAGTTTTCTACAATTATAGTATTAACCAAATGATTTACCGTATTTTTCACTCCATAAGGCGCACCGGACCATAAGGCGCACCTCTCCCCTGCATTCGCTCCATAAGACGCATACACATTTCCCCTTACGTTTTAGGAGGGAAAAAGTGTGTCTTATGAAGCGAAAAATACAGTAATGTTTGACCTCTCACTCAGTCCCTCTGATACTTCCAGTAAACAAAGAAAGGGCATTTGAGAAGGGGAAACCCAAGTAGTGTTCATCAAGAGGAAAAAAAGAACAGTTACTGAAGAAAATATATAGGTTACATTCCTGGTGGGTGAGCACTATAGGGCACCATGTAAAAAAGGATGCACATTTTCATGAGGGGACTATGGCAAGTGAGGGGAAACCCTAGCAATTTATGAAGCTGGCAATTTGTTAATAAATGCACCCCCTTGGAAGAAAAAGAGGGCAACAAAACGTTTTTGTACAGAACACAAGTAATAAGGATACACAAACACAAAACCTAATTCAGCAAAACTTCAACAACACTTACCGATGAGAAGACAACTGGCTTAGAACAGACTCTGATTAAACCTTGATGCACTGAAAAAGAAGGTATTTCAATATTTAAGAAAACACATCAAAAAGGTGGACTAAAAAGTGTCTGAATATTCTAGAATCTTTCTGGCACTGAAAATGAACCCCAAATCAGCAACTGATGTCATTACCAAGTTGCTTTATTAGTTACCAGGTTACACTGAGGCCTAATTATGTGCAGTGGTTTGTTTTTTTTAAAAAAAAGTTCAAAAGTTTAAAAGAAAACAAAATAAATACAAACAGCGACACACACACACAACCCCCCCCCCACCTCCAGACCAAAGGAAGGATCTGGCAAGACAGCTGAGCTATTGTAAGATTCATTCTTGTTATGGGTCCAATCACTGCATTTCTTCTAGGAAAAAAGGGTGCAGGTACTGTGTGCCCTTGAGAACCCCCAGAAAAAAAAGCACTGGGTCCAACGCAGAAGACACCATATTAGTCCTACATAGGACATGAGGCTGTTGAATGGTTTCTTTAAATGTAAAGGTTCATCATTGTTCCACCCGATGTGTATGTCTTTAAGGGGCCAGAGCAAGGGCCAGAGCAAAATAACGAGACCCAGCTTTACAGCTGTGAAACATAGCAGGTGCTGCTGAGTTGTACTGATTAAGCTGTGTCAGCAATTGGGTGTAGTATACAAGGAGCAGCACCTAGCTCTCCCATTACCCTGGGGGATGGGTTGGTGGTTGGGTCTGGTTTGTTGTTGATGTATTTAGTGTATAAGGAGTTTTTGTTTTTGTTATTAAAACCTTGTTTAAGTTATTTTTGAGTCCCCTTTTAATGCATGGTCTCCCCAGCAAGCTCTCCGCAGCGCTACTAAACTGCAAATAGCCAACATCTTTATCCATAACATTAACTGATATTTACCACATTTTAAAAATACCTTTTGCATCAATGTAAATTTGATTACAAGTGAAACTAAAATAGTAAAATTATACTTAGGCGCGTACATTTGTATTAGGCACTGCAGAAAAGTTAACAAATGAATTCTGTTTCTTGCCAAATTCAGTTTCCAATTCACTTTCAAGCAGAATCACATATGAATTGCCCACATATGCAATATAACCTAAAAAGTCATTGTGAATAAGGGTGCAGTCTCATTACACTGACTGCGACACAGCAGAATATGACAGAAACTCCACTGGCATAATTTTCTATTACCCTTACTTTTCATGTTTCTCAAACCTGAACTAGTCCTGCAATAAAGAAGAAAGCTTGTTTTGAGACAATCGACAAAACTCACCCACAGTGCTCATAAAACTCCACAGTACAGGGCCTTTTCCTGCCAGGGCTAAAAAAACCTTTATAATGGATTTACAACACTGAAACTGCATTTTCACACTGTATTGTGGGAAGCTATCTATTTGCACCACAATCAGACGTTCCAGAACTGGAGTATATACTTCAGGAATCTAGAAGAACAACAGTGGCATATTAGGAGATAGCAGCTACACATTCACTAAAAATCTTCAAGATTTTTTTTTCCAAGTGGGAGGGGTTGTAGGTTTTGTTTTTTAGTGAGAGAGAAAATTTGCATCACCTTCATCACAAATAAGAGTCATACAAGTACAGTGGCGCCCCGCAAGACGAATGCCTCGCAAGACGGAAAACCCGCTAGACGAAAGGGTTTTCCGTTTTCAATGCGCTTCGCAGGACGAATTTCCCTATGGGCTTGCTTCGCAAGACGAAAATGTCTTGCGAGTCTAGAGATTTTTTTTTCGCTTTTCCCCCCCTTTATCTAATCTGCTAAGCCTTTAATAGCCTTTAATAGCCTATAGTAGCTAATCCCCTAAGCCTTTAAGCCTTTAATAGCCGCTAAACCGCTAATAGCGCTAATCCGTTAAGCCGCTAATAGGGTTGCTTCGCAAGACGAAAAAACCGCTAGACGAAGACTCTCGCGGAACGGATTAATTTCGTCTTGCGAGGCACCACTGTAGAGTCATTCTCCATCCTCCCCTCTACACATGTTCTATTTCCCCCCTCCACAACAGTTAGGGTACATTTGGTGGTCACTGAGCATGCTCAGTTCTCACTAAGCTGTTTTCGTTCTGCCCGCTCCATAAAGATCTGCGGTGCTTCTGCAAACCTTGGGGTTACCCCTGATGATGTCTCAAGCCTGCTGATATTCCATCCCACCCACCCCCACCACGTAATGAACCGAAAGATTAGCACTTGAAGAACAAGTTCGCTATCAGGACATACGCAATGCCTTCTACTTTATACAAATAAAAGCCTCACAAATGTGATTCAAACTAGTCACTTACAGTATCTAAGTGCAGTATGACACTAGCAATAGATTGAAGGAAACTTGGTAGCTGATACACGTGGTCATCTACAGTTTCTGCCTCGGTGAGATACATTTGCTTACAGCGCTGAAGGAGTTCAACATACATGAAGTCAACATCCTTGGAATTGATAGCTTTGCATGGCTTTGAAAGAGAGAGAAATAACACTAGATTAAAATAAAGAATTGGTCTGCCAATAAAATGCAGAGAGGGAGTAATCCATTTCTCTTTGCCTGCAGACCTCTGGACCTTCTGAAAAACTGCTCTGGCCCTATGGAGCCGGTCTGAGATTATTAGGGCGCAAAGGAAGTCAGCAAGCTTTGGTCATGTTACAAGAACTGCCTTCCATTCATGGCAAGATTATCAAGTCCAAGCCATTATTACAGTCTAAGTTATTTGATTTACTAACTGCAATTTCTAAGCACCAAGGGCAAATTCAAACATTAATTCTGTAAACCTAAATATCTGCAAAAAGCCACCACATTAAAGATCATGGAAATGCTATTTCTGAGCTGAGGTGCAACTCACTTATTGCAACATTCTGTGATTTAAGTTCACTTTTTCTAAACATTGTATTCAACTCAATTTGCGACTCACTTGCAACCTATTATAAGGTTTCATTTATCCCAAATGATGCAGCTAAGATTTCTGCACAAGGATCATGAAAAATCTTTATAAAATAAATGTCTTATTCACTCTAACATTAAACCTTTCCAACATCAGAGTACCAGGAGAGGTTGCACCCAGAATCTGGCTGCCCATTGGTTTTTTAGTCTCTCGGGTCCAAGAAGTGGGATAGGAAATGATTCCTGCATTACAGTGGGTTGGACTAAATGACCGTTGGGGGTCATCCAACTCCAACTCTACAATTCTATGATTCTATTATGTCAGGAACTAAAATACATACCGCTGCAAAAAGCCCATATCCACGAATAGCAATGGACAATTCCTTGTTGCTGGCATCCATCTTTCTGATGATACCATAAAACTGTTCCATGAAGTAGCGCAGCTTGCTCTTATGCATTTCTGCATCCTTCGCAACCATTGCAGAGATCTGCGTATTATGTATAATATAGGATATTTATAAATTAGATAGCTCATACAAAATAAATTCATCATGAATTCATATCTATGCTACTTAGCAGCTTCTTCAAACCAAGCTGATATAAAGACAATATCATCAACATACAATAATAAAGAAAACTTTTAGAGTCACGATGAAAGGAACAAAAAGACTGTGGTCCCATTGGTTCAGACACTATACTAATATAGAATAGCAATCTATATGTCAATATGTATGTAGAGTCTTTAACCCCACATAAAAAAATACATTATGCGCGTGGCAGTAAGACCTTGCTGCCATAAGCACTTGCATCAAGAAGAACGACTGTGGGAACAGCCAGGCATGGGAAAAAAGTCCCATGCAGAAGGAAGGGAAAGCAAAACAAAGAGAGAGAAAACCAGACATGGGAGACAAGGTGGTTATTTTACCTGTTTAAAAAACGCATCCAAAGCTGAATGGCCAGCTTTCTTCAGTTCTATATTCTGATGGCCACACCATTTGGACATTACTTCATATAGTGCGATATAGTTGTCAAGAAGGCATGTGCTGAATTGAGCAGCATGGATACTAAACAAACGCAGTCCAGCTGAAAAGTAAAATTTTGAATTTAAATTTGACTTTTTGTTCCAGCTGATAACTGATGCAAGTGTTATCTTTCTTGAATAATTTTACAAGAGCCATTTGTTTATATAATCACTCCAAGAAATTAGGATTGAAATTAGTAATTATCTTGCCTTTATTTTTTTTGTTTATTCTTGTAGACAAAAAATAGATTACATGCATTACATCTTATCCAATAGAGAAGAAATATGCTATCAGAGATACTGTTGCAGCCAACTATTTTACATGAAACAAAGTTCTTACCAAGAGGAACTGCGTATCGCTTTAAGTCAATCTGCAATGTCAAAATATTTTGTATAAGAAGATTTGTTTGTCAGATCTAATTAACAAATTTAAAGAATGATTGTTTTGAAGGCAAAAAAAAATCCATTATACCTGTGGACTTATTGCCTTCATTGCAAAATCAAAGATTTCTTTAGATGTTTGAGGATCTGTAGAGGAAAAAAAAATGTAAATAAGGTCATGAGGTGGCATCATTTTAAACTTCTCATATGACACAAAAGTTCAGATCATCACAAAAGCCAATTCAACCACAGTGTATCAGTGTCACTCCAAAACGACCTTCTATTAAATAAAACTCAACTGATCCTCTGTGTATCTAAATGGCAGATCATACAGACATTAGATCTATGGAAAGATGGAGCAATGCCACATGCTACTTTGAGCAAACTATGCATTGATTCTTCACCACAGAAAGTATGCCATATAGACATACCTCAGGACCCTGAAAGTTATCAGAACTGAGTAGAGTACAACTGCAAGACCAAATTTAGAAAGAAACTATTCCCTATTGCTGAAAATGTCACAAATAGAAACAGACAAAAAGGGCAAAAGGCTGTTCAAGTTGAAAGAGTAGCATTTCCAATTAAAACTACCCAGACCACAGAGGTTATAAAATCTCATTTAGTGATTTCCAAGAAAGACAGGCCAAAAGTCTGGAGAATTGTTTTATGTGCAGCAGATACCAGTTCTCAGGACAGCGAGCTGAACTAATTGATCCACTGGGAACATTCAGCTAGGTGTATCAGCATTCCTCAAATTTATAGAACAGCTCCAACACCACCACATGGAGCAAAGCAGAGAAGGAATGTACAAAAAAAATCTGTTTATACTAGCCCTATAAACTTATTGTTCCCAAAAATGTGGGCTAAAAGGGAAGATGGAGATAGTGGATTACTTGCCAAAGTAATAGGACTTGCAGCCATAACTGATTGCCTACACTGATGTAAAATCTGGACAAGTATATCCAACAATGCTTCTGGTTCTGGGTGTAGAAATCAAAAGTCTAGCGAATTCAGAAAGAGAGGCAATTTCCTGCAGTTTGACAGAACTGTGCTACTTATAAATTTTAATAAAAGAAATACTACACCTTCTTCCATGGACTTAGTAAAGTTACTCATGAGCGCCGTCAGTCCTTTCAGACACCCAGCTACTACTGCAAACTTAGGCTCTCTTGTTGCAGAAGTCATCTGAAAACAAGGAAGTGATGTATTTAATACGGAAGGGGACCAGGTATCCCGAGATATCAACATGCAATGCAAGACATGATTTCTCAAATGAACTTAAACATAGTAGCTATATCCTCTGATTATAAAACAAATCTGTAATTTGTTTCCAGTATAGCATATAATATATAGAATGCAGTTAATCATTCTATATATCTCACTAGGTTTCTTAGAAAAACTGGGCACAATCCAGCAAAAATAAATAAATAAATGAGTAGGTACTCTGTATGCACTGCAACTCTGTACCAGCACTTTTTTTTTCTTGAGCAACATTATGTTAAGAAGACTCGCAACAATGACACAGAAGTCTGGTCTGGGGCATGGAGAGGAAGGAGCAGCTTAGCTTCTTGACGACCTTCAGCCAGGTGGAACCAACTACAGGTGCTTCCTTTGCCCCTTGTAGGGGCTTTAAAAAGAAAAGAAAAAAAGCTGAAAGAATAAAACAGTAGCAGGCCCTTGGACTGGATTGTTCATTGCCCGCCTGCCACATGCAGCTAAAAAAGATTTGCTTGCCTTGCCCCTTAAAGAGGATTTCCTGAGTGTTGGTGCAGCAAGAAGCAACCGTCTTCCTTGTTTGTTGCCTGCTGCCAGTCGCATGCTTCACCCAGTAAAAAGGCTTTCCTGATTGTTGAGCGAGGGGATGAAGGCACAACAGCTCCACCACCACCCCTTCTTGACCGTCCTTTGCCTGCTATCATGAGCTGTTAGCAGTGACTTGCTTCCCTTGCCCCTGAAAGCTTTCCTGATTTGGGAGAGGGGTCACTTAGGTGTAAGAGGAAAATCAGTAGGGTGATTTCTACAATCTGCATTAGCAAGGCATAGCTGACTATCAGAAATTAATTCTGGTAGGTAACTCCTAGCAGTGAGCCAACAAGGAAATATTGCAGAACAGCATGAGCCGGTGAAGGGAAACACTATGCTATAGACGTGGGTAAAGGCAGGAAAACCCACCATCTTGGAAATAAAAGCAAAAACGGGGCCCTATGATGAAAAGGGCTTTCCAAGCCATAGTGGTAAAGGTCCCACCAGGCAGTCTGTGAGGCAAAGAGGCCGCCTGGATTTCTAAGTATCTAGAGAGCTATAGGAGGAAAATCTGACACACACCAAGACAGAACATCAAGGAAAAGCTTTTGCTGATATCCCACAAGAAGTCCTTACTTTACCTGTGTTCTGAGTTCTCCCAAATAAGCTCGATATAGTTTTTCAGAGTTGGCAAGCATATCACTAGGTTGGACTTCTCCCAAAACTCCCAGGAGTTCATAAATCCTTTCCAACACTTAAAAAAAAGAATATTTAGCACCCTAATTATGTGTTCACATTTTATTTTAATCCAGCTACACACAAAAATATCTCTCCTAAACAATGAAGGATTTAATAAATCACCCAAGTGTTATTATAGATCCGAAACGTCTTATTCAGTCTCACCCATATTATCCTAATATTTAGTCATTGTCACTGCCAGCTGCGCTGTCAATGTTCCGCAGACAGACACAAGGTGGTTACTGATTAATGTGCCACAAGACTTAAGGTCTTTGTTATTGGGGGAAACAGTGAAAGCGTACATACATAGTTACTACTTCTTGCTATCCTAATCATAGATAAGTTGGGCCCCAAAGGAAGAAATTAGCACATGTGGAAATAGTTCTGAAAGAAGCTACCTCACATCTAGCTCCAAGAGCTCACACTAATGTAACAGTCGAAAGAGAAATAAGTTTAAAAGTACACCACTCCAGTTATGTACAAATGGATAAAAAGCTTCATCTCAGTGGGGAGGGAATGAGAAGGGGGGGAATTAAGGAAAGCATAATGTTCCAAAATTATCTGTGGATGAACAGAATTCTTATGTGTGAAGGCACAGAGATGATGGGGAGCAGTATTTTGAGGGGAAGTGAAAGTAAGTATGAACCTCAGAGGCGGCTCATGGATAGCTAAGGTCTGCAGTGTGCTTAGGTCTGGATTCAAGAGATGCAAGTCTTTATTTTAAGGATTTATACACATTCCTTAGATAAAGGAATCATGCAATAAGATGACCCCCAAGGCAACTTACACCACACTATAACTATACAAAGAATACCCAGTATTAGTTCCTGCACCTAGTGGCAGAAACCAAAGTTTCATTTCCCTTGCTTCTGCAGTCCCAGGGCAATTGGTGGGAAGTTAAGAGTTCTTTCTGGCAGGGAACTCCTCACAGCTTCGTCTTTAGTGCCCAATGGCTGGGGCCATGCTCCCTTTCCCTGATGTTCTTTCTGGGACAAAGGCAGTATAACCTCCCAGTGGCACTTGTTCCTCTGGTAGCATATTGCAGAGTTCCCTTCCCCTCACTTTTGCAGTCTCAGGGCAGCAAAGGCTTGACTTAATGACATTCCCACTGTTGAACTGGAAATGAGGTTATTCCAGCAACAGTTAATAAGGACTAGGTTCTACTGAAGTCAAGTTACTCGTTACTAGATTCCATTTTCTTGCTCTCAAAGGGATTTGCAGGCTAATCCAAGGTAGACGCAAGCATTCAATATGACTTTCTCCCTAGTCACAATTAACTTTCGTTGGATTATTCTCAAATCCGTTAGCAATTTAGAGTAGTGACCCATCATCCCCTAGCTGTGTATGTTTGCTAATACAAGTATAAATAAATAAAAATTACTAACAGTAAACGTAAGTAGTAATATAGTTAAGATACCTGTATCAGACACTTTACTTTTTATAGCAAGTTCACTATAGAATTTGGTAAAGATTTCTCTGACTTTCATGTCTTCCATCACATAAGATGACCGTAAGCTGTGAAGCAGCTGAAAGGATATTGATGTTAACCAATGACAATTCTTTAAAAAATCTTCTAAAAGCACTCAAAACAGTATTGTAAAATACATTATTTTTTTCCTAGCTAAATAAGAGTCCTTCAGAGTTTTGGAAGGTAGAGCAAGCTTGTTTTCTCCTACTCTGGAGGGTAGGACCCAAACCAATGAATTCAAGTTACAAGAAAGGAAATTTTTACTAAACCCCAGGAAGAAGTTTCTGACGGTAAGAGCTGTTCAACAGGCTCCCTCAGAAGATGGTGGACTCTACTTCATTGGAGGTGTTTAAGCAGACGCTGGGTGGCAATCTGTCATGAATGTTTTAGTTGAGATCCATGCACTGCAGAGGGTTGGACTAGATGACCCTTGTGGTCCCTTCCAACTCTACAATTCTATTTTATCTTTTATTTTTTAGATTTATATACTGCCCTTCATCATACAATCTTAGGGCAGTTCACAGAATAAAGTGCAGGATAAAAACAAGTAAATAAGTAAAACAAAAAAGCAAAACCATGATTCCCCTTCTATTATTCTGATTCTATGGTAAATAAACTAGGTAGAATGTATGTTAGCCCCTTAATAGGAAACACATTATCATTTTTATTATATTGTTCTGATGTATTCTTCTGTAAAATTAGATAAGAATCTTACTGTGAATATTATTTACTTTTAAAACACTTTTGTGACATACAAACATGCATAATTACTGGAAACAGTTGACAATCATAAAGACCTATAAGTTTTACCTTAATCAGTAGATCTAGTGCTGGGATTCTGCACTTTGCCAGTTTGTCTTTTGTATAAACGCTAAGACACATCCGCTGCATTTTTAAAAGACAAAATATAATAGTGTTGATGTACAGCATTTGTAGTGCAGTATCTTGCACTGTTTTAACATTTGTTCCCTATTTTATAGCATAAAAGCGTAAACAAACTGCCCACGTAAAGCAAACTCAGTCAATATTTCTGCATAATAAGGATTCTCCACATTAGAATATTCTGTCTTCCTCTATTTACTCTTGTCAAAGGCCACATCAGTGAACAACTTCCCCAACAGAATCTGGATGCACTACAAATGGGCTCAGGGCTGAGAAAGACTTCAGATCTGAGAGACTGTACACAGCTAGATGGACCAGTGTGTCTGTCCCAGGTTCTTACATCCACTAAAGAAGAGTAGCTAGAATGTGAAAGTTACAGTGAACACGAAAAACAAGTGCCTCGTGCCTTCTCTTCCTTTATAACAGTGTCCAAAATATAATTTTCACTTTCTCCTGCCTTGGTGATGTGAAACTCCTAATTCAGAACAGTTGCATCTTCTAGGAAATGAAAATACACAAAAAGATGCATTTTGAACATGATGGTGCTGCAGAGGAAAAGGAAGCAGTCTAATGCAAGCATTTAATATACAAAGGATTGCTAGTTTCTCATTGCTGATAATGGATCACATGTATTATTATACTAGCTGCATTATTTTATCTGTCTAAACTATCTAGTTTTGTTTGCAATTTTAATTAATTGACCCACCTTTACATCTTGTGCATAAGGGTGAACTTTCTGGCCAATCTTTTCCAAAAAGGCAACAAGAAATTTTAATGCTTCTTCTCTGCATTCTCGAAACTGAAAACAAGACATTGAAAGCATTTTTAGCAAAAGACACAGTAAGAGACCTTGTTGGAGAAGGCAATATATAAAGCAAAGAAAATAAATATATAAAATTATAATTACTAAGACATCAAAGGATGCTTCAGCCTACGATTATCAACTTACTTCTTCACTGTTCAGTGATTTATGGATAAATGCAAGTAGTCCATCTTCTTTGGAAAACACCAGTGAAATCTGCAAAGCTGTGGGAACATGGGTGAAAATAGTATGAATCAAAGCAAATAATATCTTTCCAAACATATGGTCTTACAACACATACGATTAACCCCTTGACATGAAATGCTGTTTAAACATGTGAAGATCAGGACTGGCAAGCACAATCTTCCCGCCCCCCGCCCCTGCCCCCCGCATCCTGTATGCAACATGTGGTGCGAACCGGGTTATCATACAAATAAAAGCAGCACTCAAGCTGTAAACATTGAATGACAACCAAAATACCAATTACTCCAAGTACAAATTAGCTCAAGGGCTTAGTTGTAGAATCTCTGCACACATCAACATGTCACTGAATCGAAAGAGACAACAGAATCCCATCTAAGTAGACCACCTACAGGGATATGAAATTTATCTGCGAAGTGTCTACTGTAGTCACAACTCATGATGTTTCTCACTAAGAACATTAGGCAGTAATTAATCCTTGCCTGTAGAGAAGGAATGCTTGAGGTGTCAAACAGATTTAAAGGAAATACATTTTCCCCAAGCCTTATTCACACACTATCCTTGACAATGTATTCATTGCAAAGAAATGACAGCATCAGAAATATCTCAAAGTATTATTCTGTTTGTATAGATTTCTGAAGAAAGGACAGTGCTATTTCTTTGATATAAAGTAAGGCATTTCACACAGCAAGACACAACTGACAGTCAATAAAATATAGCACTGACCTATTATTTCAGTAAACCTGATTTTCAAACTTGCAGCAGTATTGTGAATATGATTTCAAATTAAAAAGTAATTTGTGAGTCTATCTAATATCATGTTTTTTTCTTATATGGCTATACTCTAATGTAGGGGGAAAGAGAGTGTACATCTTCCAAAACATCTGTTTTGCAGTATGTATATTTTTTAGTGGCTTCACAGTTTAATGTACATGTAGTGTAGAGGCTAAGGGTGTGAGCTGGAAAAGTATTGAGTCTATCTCAGCTCTGCAACAATTGTTAGCATACCTACCTAGAATTAAGTCCCACTGTGTTCAGTGTTGGAGGAGGCATACTAACAGCAGGTGAGGACTACTGTCGAGCAACATACACACATTTAACTTGTGTGCATTCAGTTTTACACGCAAGGGATGAATAAATAAGTAAAAGTGGGTGGGAAGTGGGGTTTCGGGGAAAATGACTTCTGAAGGGAAGTTCTCTTTCTGCAGTTCTCTTACTGCACATAACTGTGAAGTCTTACTATGAGAACTATTGCTTCTTTTCTCTTGCACGCTGGGAAGTTTTTGCCTCTGCACATGAGTCTGAGAATGTTCTGAACAGTTCCCATTGAGTTCATGAAACAGTGTATCCTGACCTGTTCTTAATGCATTGCTGACCACATCTACGGAACGTGATTGTTGTATTCCTTCATGTTATGTTCTCTCAATATTAATCTTTAGTTATAATTTAATTAGGAGGTTTCATGCCTGTCTAGTTCCAGCTCCGATTCTCAGTCTTTGATCTATCAGTGATAAATTGATATATGTAATTCCCGCCTTGTACCTATGTTAACCAATCAGCAACAAGATGCTTTGTGTTTGTATCAACCAATCAGCCACAAGCACACCTGTGGCAATGTTTGTAATATTCAATAAAAGAGAGTTCCCGGGGCTCGCCCCGGCAGACGCCTCTCATATGACACCTACCACTCGTCTGTCGTGATTTTCAACCCAACATCTGGTGACCCCGACGTGATCTTATCACCAGGAGATTGATGGCCTTTTAAGGCTGAAAAAAGCGGCCGTAAAACTTCAAGGGGAATTTTAAAATAGGGTCTTATCCAGTTGATATTGCCCAGCAATTGCTGCAGCTGGACATATTTCATTGTTTTGGAACATGAAGTTCAGGGACAATAGGAATAGAATAGCTAGCTATCATTTTGTGTCCCAAATAATGAAAGGGAGAGGATTCCTGAACCTTTTCTGGGGCAATTTTCAAACCATAACGTGACAAACAGGCTGTCATATCATGCTTCCATGGAGGGGGGAGGCGTGGCCCCATGATCAGCACATCATGGTATAGGCGGATGCAGCGTGCGGGAACCCAGCGAGCACCCTGTGGAGTAGAAACTGCAGCGTAACCCTTTCCCCAGGTGATCAGTTTTACAGGTTCACTCCATTCGTTGGGGGGTAATATCTTATAGCGGACCAGTGGGGCTGGGAGTATCTCTGTTTGTTGAAAATGCTTCTGCAGGCAAGTATAAGATTGATGATGCTGTATGGAAACATTCAAATGGTTGAGAGTAAAGAGAACACTGGCCAGCCAGCCTTCCTTTTCGGAAAGTGAGGCTGGGACACCGGCCTTCTTATCCTGGCGGATACTTCACAATCTCACCCACCATTGAAACCCAATGTGTTTTGACTATATGTCACTTTGGCTTTAGACAGGATCCCTGGGACATCAACCCCCGTGTAAGCTGTGGCCTTACTGTACTCCTTTCCTGTTGTGGGCTTCTCACAGGCACCTGGTTGGCTGCTGTGAAACAAAATGCTGGACCAAAGAGGTGTTTAGTCTAATCCAATAGGGCTGTTCTTCTGTTCTGAATAGACACATACAAACTTGTACTGTTGCTCCTCAGTAAGGATGCTTAGGACTGAAGAGCTACCTTGAACGTGCTTACTAGAACAGACGCAAACCTCACTGAACACACTAAACATGCATAGGAGAAGCAAGGCTGTGCAAGCATGCAACCTCTTGCATGCCTTATATGGGAATAATATCCATAAAACCGAATGGAATTTACTTATGCATTCAGTACCAGGCAACACAGCTGTCAACTTATGCACTAACGAAAAAGCCTCACTGAACAAACAGCGAGATGGGTCCCGTTACTGATACTGTTGGCCCTTTGTACTTCAGGTGGCAGGGAGTTCCGCCGGTCAGGAACTGCAACTCGCGAGGGGAAAGAAAGCTTATTTCACATGAAACCCGTTCAAGTCTCACACGGCGCCTTAAATCACAGCAAGGGGCAGCCCCACCCGAGCCCTCAGGCTGCTACGCACCCAGGACGCTGTCGCCGCTGCTGGTCACGCAGGCCTCCGCCAAGGAGCGGATGAAGATGTGGGCGTGAAGCGCCGCGTTCCCAGGGTCCGGGCTCCGCAGGGCGCTGTGCAGCTGGAGCAAGCAGTCGTGCGGCCCCCCGCCAGAGGCTGGGAACAGGGCGGTCATGGTGCCCGCGCGCCCGCTCAGCCGCCTCGGTCAGCAGGACGAAGGCGCCGCCGGGTCTCCCTCTCCCTCACCCGGGACTAGGGAGGAGAGCGGGCAGAACCAACACCTCCGACGGGAAGGGGGTGGAAAGAGAGGAAACTTCCGTGGCAGGAACCAGTTCTTTCGTAGGGCAGGAAAGTCGACGCAATTGGCTGCAGGAGGTGCGGGGAGGGGGGAGAGGAACGAGGCCGCCAAATGTTGGGCGAAACCATCATTGCCTCCAGCTTACCGGGCGGGGGGGGAGAGGGCGTTCCCGGCCTTTAAACAGCGTTGTGCCGCTTGCCCCGCAAGCACCAATCCGGGGAACGCAGAGTTAACCCCCGCCCCTCTCGCCATAGATCCCCGTCCGAGCGTGAGCGATACCATTCGAGAACGGGGCCTCGACGTTGAAGAAAAAAGCGTTTGGAAAGCCTCGTGTAGTTTTCGTCAGCTACGTCAGTTTGACAAGCTTCTCCTCCTCCTCCATATCACCCGCACCTCTCAGTTCAAGCCCTCGGCAGAAAACGTACAAGGAGCGGCACTTGCTCACCCCTTCCCCCCCCCGTGCAAAGTTGGAGTTTCCCACTTCCCATTGGCGGCGAAAGCCCGCGAAGACTGGAGGTCACGTGATCCTTTTGGCGCGGAATTTCCTTCCCTACTCCTTCCTCTGTTGTGTCTCGCGCTCAGAGAAGCTGCCGCGGTCGCCGTCGTCTTGCGCGCGCTCGCCGGGCTTTGCTGCTTCCTTGTCCCGCGGCCCTTCTTGCCCTTAGGAGGATTGCGCTGAGCTATGTCCTCACCGGCGTCCACCCCGAGCCGCCGCGGCAGTAAGCGCCGCAGAGGCGGAACTGCCCCAACCGATGGCGGCGCCAATCCCGCTACGCGTAAGTCACTCGACAGCTTGCCGACGCGCCTGCCTGCCCCTGGGCTTCTGCACTTTTCAGGTTCCCTTTGATAATAATAAATAATAATAATAATAATAATAATAATAATTTATTATTTATACCCCGCCCATCTGGCTGGGTTTCCCCAGCCACTCTGGGCGGCTTCCAACAAAACACTAAAATACAATAACCAATAATGTTTGCCCGGCGTTGTAATTTATTCAAGGTTGCGTGTGCGCGCCTCTCCTCTTCCTAGATCTTACAAAAGGGCTCCGCAGGACAGCTTCACATGCTCTTGGTTAGGATGCTGCACGGGGGGGCGGGGGGGAGCCCGTGTTATACCGGTGCTTCTCGCAACGATTGTGTAAGACGCCTGGTGCACGCTCGTCTGGGGTAGGCAAATTCCGGTGACAGTACATTATACGCTTGCCTAGGAATAAGCCTTGTTAGATCCAGTGCAACCAGCTTCTGCTTAGAGAAGAATAAGGCACTGGTGTGGGTCTCCCAGGTGCCTGTACGCTGTTTTTTATTTTTGTTTCTAAGAGACCTGCACATAGGGATAGGGAGTCTTGTGGCCCTTCCTACACTGTTGTACTCCATCTCCCCATTGGACTCTGGCCTGGCCAGTTGTTGGGGAAGATGGGAATTATAGTCCAAAACATTGAAAAGTGTAGTGGTTCCACACTACTTCTATGCGCTTGTGTGACATCTTCATGTTCTGTGTTTGCTGCTTGAAATGTAATGCCTGGAACTGCCTGTTGTTCAGTGCCCCATCTTTTCTTAAATTCCTTGTGCAATTTTGAGCAGCTGTTGTGACACTAGCTGGTGCCAAATGACTGTCTGAACAGGGACTTAATCCAAGACCTTGTTGTGATAGTGAAGCTAATCAAGATTGAATCTGAATATATGCATTGTTTTTGTTTTGAGGGTGGGAAAAGGGAATATGTTTCTTATTAGTCTGAAAAATGAGAGATGTATAACAGTGTAGGCAAAAGTTCAAACTTTCACTTTGTTACAGCTCTTTCTGAAGATGTACAGTCTCCGCCTTCGCAACGACGTCACACAGAAGACTCTACAGGAGACTTACAACCAATGCCCACTTCTCCACCAATTGACTCACAAAGCCCAAATGTTCAAGATGCTCTGTTTTCCAGTCCACCACAATTCCAAAATTCAGGTATCTTTGACTTTGGATTGGGCAGTTGGCAATAGTATCAAACTGCTCATTTTTATCTTATCAATATTGTATGTAAATTGCAGACACAGTGTCTACAATGCTGCTGATCAGCCAGTGCAGAAGTTCCTAATGTGGTGCCCAATGTGGCTAGCATTGATGGGAGGTAGAGTCCAAAGTATCTGGAGGTCACAACATTCGCCCCGACTGAACTAGTGTGTCTATTTTAATTTCCATGTGTTACCAGACTTGGAGTAGATTCAGATGATAGTATTATTAATCCTCTGTGGACAGATTGTGATAATTTTTTATTTGGTATCTGATGCCTCACAGACTTGAAATAATATTGCAGTTCAGTATCTCCCCAAAAATTATCCTGTATTATTTTTACTCTTAATTCCAAAAGATCACTTGAGATGTTTCTTCCCACTTCTAGCAATTTTCAAGCTACCCAAGTAATTTTATTAACACTTAACAAATAGTCTTGTTGAGTTGGATGAGACTCATCCACTTTGGGAGCAAATGTGCCAGCTGGTGCAGTATACTAGTTTTAAAGCTACTTTGTATAATTCTGTAAACACCTGTCTTCTGCTGGGGAAAACAAAAGGGCAAGCTTCTGTCACAAATGCATTAACATTTATATTTCTAAAACAATAATCACATTTTATTTGATACAGTTCCAATGGACTTTGATATTAGTTCACCACTTACCTATGGCACACCCAGTTCTAGAATAGAAGGAACCCCAAGGAGTGGTGTGCGAGGAACTCCAGTGCGACAGAGGCCTGATCTTGGCTCTGTCCGGAAGGCTAGGCAAGTGGATCTGCATTCTGATGTGGTAGGTATTTCAGATTTTGCAAGTGACATTTCAGTCATTGTATATTTACTCAAAGGAAGTTTCACTAGTAGAACTTTTTATCTGATTGTGGCCAAGCATAGATTGTGGCCTTAAATGTAATATTGATAGGTTACTCTTGTACTTAGCCTACAGCAGAAGACGCAGTGGCTAGTGAACAGTCTCTTGGACAAAAGCTAGTGATATGGGGAACAGATGTCAATGTGGCCTCATGCAAAGAAAAATTTCAGGTGAGTGGACAGTGGTTTACACACTTGTATATATTTGTTTGTTTTTAAATGTTTCTACTTTGGAGTGAGATGATGAGGTCTGGAGCAAGAAGAAGAATAATATCTGGCAGTTCTTGGGAAAATCTTTTTTTTTTCAAGAGACAATTTGTCTAATTCTTCCACCTAGTGATGTTAAATTGTAATACTCTATTGAGATAACATAAAATCAGTATAATTCATGGAGGAATAACTTGTGCGTGAAAATTAATAGCATTTTATTTATGCCTGCCACAGTTCTAATGGAGACTGAAATTGTATTCTTGTCTTGTTCTTTTAACGTTCAGAGATTTCTTCAGCGTTTTATTGATCCAACAGCCAAAGAAGAAGAAAATATTGGCTTGGACCTTAACGAGCCTCTGTATCTGCAGCGACTGGAAGAGGTACCGTATTTTTCGCACCATAGGGCGCACCGGACCATAGGGCGCACCCAGTTTTTAGGGGGGGAAATCAAGGAAAAAAATATTTTTCCCCCACAGCCCCAAAGAGCAGCGTACAGGCTGCACACAACCTCTCCCTGCCAGAGGGGTTGTGCGCAGCTATGGAAGAAGGCAAGGCAGCAAGCGGGATGGATCCCGCTCGCTGCCTTGCCTTCCCCTTTAGCCCGTGCAGCCTCTCCTTGCCGGGAGAGGCTGCGTGGGGCTAAGAAGCCATAGCCCCGTGCAGCCTCTCCTTGCGGAGGGGTTGCGCGCAGCTATGGAAGAAGGCAAGGCAGCGAGCGGGATGGATCCCGCTCGCTGTTTTGCCTTCCCCTTTAGCCCCATGCAGCCTCTCCTTGCCGGGAGAGGCTGCGTGGGGCTAAAGAAGCCATAGCCCCGTGCAGCCTCTCCTTGCGGAGGGGTTGCGCGCAGCTATGGAAGAAGGCAAGGCAGCGAGCGGGATGGATCCCGCTCGCTGTTTTGCCTTCCCTTTAGCCCCGTGCAGCCTCTCCTTGCCGGGAGAGGCTGCGTGGGGCTAGAAGCCATAGCCCCGTGCAGCCTCTCCTTGCGGAGGGGTTGCGCGCAGCTATGGAAGAAGGCAAGGCAGCGAGCGGGATGGATCCCGCTCGCTGTTTTGCCTTCCCTTTAGCCCGTGCAGCCTCTCCTTGCCGGGAGAGGCTGCGTGGGGCTAAGAGCCATAGCCCGTGCAGCCTCTCCCTGCCGGAGGGGTTGCGCGCGGCTATGGCACAAGCCTGCATTCGCTCTATAGGACGCACACACATTTCCTCTCAATTTTTGGAGAGGAAAAACTGCGTCCAATAGAGCGAAAAATACGGTATGTTATGGCAGTATTGTTTAAACCTGGCTTGCATTTTTAGATTTAAATGCTTATTTATTAATGTGTGACTAAATATCTTCCAGATAAGCTTGATTGGGGAGCCATTTCTGAATATAAACTGTGACCATCTGAAAACATTCGATGAAAATCTTTACAGACAACTGATGTGCTATCCTCAGGTAAGGCAAATGTTTTCAATAGGCTCTTCAGTGCAAGAGCTGTGAGAGCCAAAAGTTCAAGTTCAGTGTGCCTAATTTCGTATTAGTTAATTTAGTTACTTCACATCTGCAGAATGGTATTAGGATCTAAGGAAATTTGAATATTGCTGTCATATAAAATTGCTCAGTTCACAATTCTAATAAGTAACTCTCCTTATTTTTGAAAGAAATTAGCTAAGCAACATGAAGCGTTACTGTTTGAAAAACAAATTCAAAGCTTTCTTGGATAGGTAAAGCTAATTGTTTTGTTCTTTGGATTCAAGCATCTACATGTTTAAAAAATGACAACAGTTTGGCACAACACAAAAAGAAGACCCTAGCCTTGGACACAAGCTTCTATTCTTAACAGACATTAAAACACTACAATCATTAGTAAAGCCAGCGCTGTTGTTATTTAGCAGTCAATAGGCTTAGAAAGTCTGCTAATTCTGCTAATGAGTTCTGTCAGTGTAAGGACTTATACTTGCGCAACAGGACTTCATTCACTGTTTTCCACCTATTCATGACCTCCACAAATCTGCCCCAGAGGGTTAGTGAAACCCCTAGGACAGATTTAGGGGGCACACAGGAGGAGGAGAAGAGGAGAAAATTCCATTGCACAAGCAGAAATCCTGGAACAATTGCCTTAGTGCTGTGTTAGATTCCACCCTTTGTTTTCATAATGTTTTGTGCAGGTGTGGAAGCAACTATTGATGTATACTTAAGGTTTATATTTGTCTCCTTTGTACAGGAAGTTATTCCAACATTTGATATGGCTGCTAATGAAATTTTCTTTGACCGCTACCCTGATTCAGTATTGGAGCATCAAATTCAAGTGAGACCTTATAATGCTGTAAAAACTAGAAGCATGAGGAGCCTGAACCCAGAAGGTAAGGTGCTTTAGGTACAGCATCTTTAATAAGTTATCTGATAAACTGTTACATAAACTGCTTGGTCTTGGGCAAATAAATGCTAGAAGGATGGTCGTCTTTGAGTCGCACTGAACCTGAGTCCCAATATTATGTGGTCTTATACTGGTCAATACCTCTGTCTGCTTCAGAAAAAAATCAAGAACTAGTAAATGCATCTCAGTCCTCCCTAATTTACTAGCAAATGACTGAAATGGAAGAACTTGCATTCCTTACATAAACATGTAATTCCATAATTCATATCACACATTTTTTGCTCTTTAGAATTGTTGACTTATGTGATGCCAGGTAGCCATTTTATGCTAATCGCTTTTTAACAATTTATGCATTTCTTAGTTACCGTATTTTTCGCTCCATAAGACGCACTTTTCCCCTCCTAAAAAGTAAGGGGAGATGTGTGTGCGTCTTATGGAGCGAATGCAGGAGGGAAGCTCTGCTCAGCGCTCCCTTTAAAGAAGATTTTTTTCCTTGCATTCCCCCTCTAAAAACTAGGTGCGTCTTATGGTCAGGACGTCATATGGAGCGAAAAATACGGTATATTGATAAAACATGATTTGGTTTTTCTTCTCTTTTAATATTAGACATTGACCAGCTTATCACTATAAATGGCATGGTAATCAGGAGCTCCCAGTTAATTCCAGAAATGCAAGAAGCTTTCTTCAAGTGCCAGGTGTGCGCTTTCACAGCAAGAGTAGAAATCGATCGCGGTAGGATTGCTGAACCATCAGCATGCAAGAACTGTAATACCACGCATAGTATGGCATTGGTTCACAACCGCTCAATGTTCTCGGATAAACAGATGGTATGTTCTTTTATTAAATTATAGGTTGAAACGTTCTGATGTGTTAAATTTTCTGCAATGAATGGTTTTGCAAAAATATTAAAATAGTCCCTATGGTTTTCATTACTAGACAACTAGAAATTTTGCAGTTCCCCACCACACTTCCTCAGGCTGCATGCATATTAAACCCCTTCTATTAATGCATGGTTACATAAGAAGTTAGTTTTACAGGATGGATTTTCCTAATAAATCTAGTGTATTACAGTATGTTATGTTGCTATCGCTGTTACAGATAGTGCTTTTTAAAAATTGTCTGCTATCAGTTGCTGGATTCATTTCTCAAGACTAATTGCTTCCACCTTGCTTTAACTCCTTGTGGGAGTTGATACATGTTAATTAAGTCACATGTAGCTATATCCACACCTGGAACAAAGGTTGGTTCTCCATTTGAGAAATGGCTTAGCACTGTTTGTTTCCCCAGATTCACAGAGATGAACCTAAATGTTTAAAAAGAGCAGCAGCAAAAACCACAAAAATATTGTCGCAACTTTATGACAGATGTGTATACAAGTGTTGCCTCCACCAAAATAGTACAGAGGGTGAGATAGGAGTCACTTGTTGGAAAGTCTACTCTGATTCAAAAATTATGATAGCCCCTGTGGACACCTCATCAAACGCACCCCAAAACTCCATTAGATAGTCCCAATATATTGGAGTAGGGCACACCTGTAACCTAATTACCATAACCTTTGGGAAACTGGACCACATCATCCTACTTAGAGGGGAGATACAGTGTTGCCAGAAGAGTCCTGAGAAAAAGGCTGAGATGCTCCGGTTCTTTTTAATCTAGCAGAAAGGCAAGTGGGCAAACAGTTGTGTCTACTATTCAACAGGTTCCTTTGGGCAGTTGCTACTTGCCCAGACCAAGGAAGCACAGTTGCATGCCTCAACTAGACAGTGCTCTGGTACATCCTCTAAAGCAGGGGTCGGCAAGCTTACCAAACAATGGGCCGGTCCACGCTCCATCCATCGGAGGATGGGCTGAAGCTTGTGCGCTCTTCTGGGTCGGAGGAGTGTGCGTGCACACATGCTATTTCCAGTGCTCCTCCGACCCAGATGTGCGCCTGAAATAGCGTGTTCACATGCACACGGGCGCTTCTCCGTCCCGCACACATGCGCACACGCTATTTCTGGCACACATCCGGGTTGGAGGAGTGCCCGTGCGCATGCACACAGGTGCCATCAACCCGGAAGTCACCAAGCTGCGCCATGCTGGTAAGAGCGGGGGGCAGCAGGGGTCTCCATGGGCCAGATAGACAAGCCCTGTGGGCCGCTACCGGCCCATGGGCCTTAGGTTGCCGGCCCCTGCTCTAAAGTGACGTGTAGTTTCAACAAGCAATATTGTTTACTGGTTTTTATCTCATCAATTGCCTGAACAAATACATAGTTAGGAAAGTTTATGTCTAGTATTTCCAACAGATAGTCGGTATGATTAAAAATATTGTTGCACTTTAACTAAGGATTGTTCTTTTACCAGATCAAGCTGCAGGAGTCTCCAGAAGACATGCCAGCTGGTCAGACACCATATACTATTGTGCTCTTTGCTCACAATGATCTAGTGGATAAGGTTCAGCCAGGTGACAGAGTTAATGTTACAGGTAAGATAAATGTTTCGGCATCATTTCTTGTCTTTAAGTAAAAATGAGCCTAGTATAGAATACTGGCTCCTATAGATAAAATAGTAAGATGAGAGAAAGCAGTGAAATTATGGGTGTATGGAGGAATTTCCTGTTTTCTTTTACTGTAGCAGCTTCTACACTTTTTTGTGACAGCTATTGATACAGGCGTAGTTGGAAGAACGTGCAGCATTGGCTTTGCTTGTCAAGCTATCAACATTAATGTTGTGGTTATTTCCATTTATATTCTGGCGTTCCTTCCTAAGGAGTCTAGAGTGGCATTAATGTACATATAAATATTGTACTGAGCTTTTCAATTTTAAAGTCCTGTAAATTACATACCAGGTGTTATGAGTTACATTGGGCTTGCATGTGTTCAGGGTTAAATGATACAATCTAGCACTGGGTAACTTTTAACGAGGGCTGCACAGCCTGCCAAAATCTAAACTTGTCTGGTTAGTGTATTGGGGAAGAGGGGGAAGAGATGAATGTTGCCTTTTAATCTGGGAGATCTAATAACGGCTTTATGTTTCTTCAGGTATCTACAGAGCAGTCCCTGTTCGTGTCATTCCAAGAATGAGCAGTGTGAGATCTGTCTATAAGACCCATATTGATGTTATTCATTATTGCAAAACTGATTCAAAACGCTTGCATGGCATTGAAGAAGGAACTGAACAGAAAATGTTTACAGAGGAACGTGAGACAATGCTTCAAGAGCTTTCGAGGAAACCTGATATTTATGACAGGCTTTCTTCTGCACTTGCCCCAAGTATTTATGAGCATGAAGATATTAAAAAGGTACGGAATACTTAAAATTACACATTTGCCTCACTGACTAAATACATCAAACTTTGCATACCTATCTTGGTATATAGTATACGTACTAATACATAAAAGTAATTTATTCTGAAAATATTACTCTTATTTTGAGTTCATAAAGTACTTAAAGCTGGTATATTTTAGCACATCGTTTAGAATACACAGTGGGTATATGTGAAATAGATGCAAACAAATACTTTAATTATATAGACATCACCTTTTTTCTCTACTAAGATTGAGCTAATGGATATGACTTTCATCCATTAATTTCAGTTCATTAATTTCTACACTGCATATAACTTAGTTGGATAGAACCCATAATTTCTAAAGAAAGATAGTAATGTTGTCCACCTGCCGTAAAGCACACATCCTTATTTTTTATACTGCCAATTAAAAACTTCCCACTATAGCTGAAATTTAATTGGTAGCTAAATAAAAATGAATCGAAGCAACTAATGTAGAACACGGTAATTTTAAAGCAGAACAGGGGAAGACTTTGAATAATCCCTTAACTCTTGTGCCTATCTTGCTGTCAGGTCAGAAATGAGCAATTGACTAAAAAGAACAAGATTAATTGCATTGTGAAGATTAATTACAATTTGTAGTGTGTTTCAGTGTTGATTGGAAAAAGAAGATTTTAGTTTGCTAGGTCTGAAAATCTGGACTGGTTCTTCTGCACATGTGTGTATGTCTGCAGCTTTGTGGGAGCTTCTGTGAAGCTTTGTCAATTTTGTGCAAGAGATCCATGTCATCATGTTCACCTGTGTGGCTGCATCATATAGACATGTATCTAACATCTCGCAGAAATCAGTGTTCAGAACTCCCATTGTTCTAGTTGCATTTTTGCAACAGGGAATTTAATTAGCGCAAGCAGTTTCTGAGCTGTGGCCACAGTACTGCGCCTGAGATTTCAGATTAAAACTGCAGAGTGGAAGGAAAGGGGGACTTTTTTCTGCCTCCCCACTTCCAGCTACTCTCTGAAGACTGGAGCAGAGACCCTCTTTAGAATATTGGGGTGGGCAGGGGAAGGACAAGACCATGTGAAAAATGAACTTAATATTTTAGCTGCAGTTCCTTCATTTTCAGCTTTGCATTCTTGTTATAAAGAAAAAGCCTAGACATTCTGTTGTTGCACCCATAACCTAAGTTTAAGGTGCCATTTAGCTCCTGGCTTTCACATCTCAGTTTCTAACACGGACAGAAATGCTGCTTCCACATAGCAGTGGAGTTACCTAAAGGGCACCCAGATCCTTGTGAGTCATCCTTGAATCATGCCTGTGCATACAGTATATTCACAAATTGGATTTCCCTTTTTTAAGAAAAGCAGCTGTGATCATTTAAACTCCTCCTTTTGCAGGGCATTCTTCTTCAGCTGTTTGGAGGATCAAGGAAAGATTTCAGCCACACTGGCCGAGGCAATTTTCGTGCTGAGATCAACATTCTCCTTTGTGGAGATCCTGGTACCAGCAAGTCTCAGTTGCTTCAGTATGTCTATAACCTGGTTCCAAGAGGCCAGTATACTTCTGGGAAGGGCTCCAGTGCAGTTGGCCTTACGGCTTATGTGATGAAGGATCCCGAAACAAAACAGCTGGTTCTGCAGACTGGAGCCTTGGTCCTCAGTGACAATGGCATTTGCTGTATTGATGAGTTTGATAAAATGAACGAAAGTACAAGGTCGATGCTTCATGAAGTCATGGAACAACAAACATTGTCAATTGCCAAGGTAAAGACTTTCCCCCAAATAAATCCTTTTCTTTTGATCTATGGGAGATTCTGATATTGGCATTTGCATCATTGTATTTCATGTTTATATGTGAACACTTATGTTTATGAAGCCAAAATGGTGCCACATATGCACACACACACAGAAAGAGAGAGAGAGCTATAACAGGCTTAGTGAGGTTCAGAAAATCTCACTTTTAAAAAATCTCATAAAGGGATCGAATCTCACAACACAGTTTAATATTTGCACTCATGACTACAGCCTGCACATAAATGGATGCTCAGCTTTCCCACTACTAGAGTTGTAAATGAATTTCAAATCTTTACTTCCTGACAGGCTGGAATTATTTGCCAACTGAATGCTCGTACCTCTATTCTGGCTGCTGCTAATCCAATAGAATCCCAGTGGAATCCAAAGAAAACAACCATCGAAAACATCCAGCTTCCCCATACACTGCTATCTAGGTATCTCTTGAGACATTTTATTGCTGTGTGTTAGCTGTGCCTGAAATAGTCCTATTTGGAAACTTCCCATGAAGTCGCCAACTTCCATATTGTGCGGGTTTTGGAACATAAATATCAGAACCATTTTCGCTGCCTCATAAATATTTAAAGACTTTTAAATTGAATTGGCATTGAAATCCACTGATGCCTCTTTGTGTATGTATTCATGGAAGCCTATGTAGGCTGCCAGAGCTAGCTGACAACCTGAGGTTTTTCCCTTGGTCCACAGAATGAGCAGGGTTCCATGCGATTTATTTACAGATTGTGGGGCAGAGACTTAATAGAAAACATATAGTTTGCTTTCCAGAAATGGCAGTTGTGTTAGAGCCTGAATATACCACCATCTATGACTGATATTAACAACAGTGTCAGTTTCTGACAACTTAATTATATATCCATGAGGCAACAGTTCCAATGGTGCAGCAGTTGTTCATGTTGCAGCAGTATTATTGTTGTTGTTATTATTATTGTTGTTGTCGTTATTGTTATTATACATAGGTTTGATCTCATTTTCCTAATGCTGGACCCTCGAGATGAAGCATATGACAGACGTTTGGCTCATCACTTGGTTGCCTTATACTACCAAACTGAAGAGCAGGTGGAAGAAGAGCACATGGATATGGCAGTTTTAAGGGATTATATTGCTTATGCTCGTAGTTATGTTAACCCAAGACTAAGCGAAGAAGCAAGTCAAGCTCTCATTGAAGTAAGTACGGGTTAAGACTAAAAATATGACTAAAAAAACCAAAAAACAGTTCCAGCATTTAACCCAAATAGTGCTTGGATTTTTTAAAAAACGTTCACTTCTCAAAATGCCCTCAGTGATGGCTGCACATATCTGCCTACCTAAGTAACATTCTTAGATTTAACAATCCTTGAAAACATATTTACAGTGTACTTTTCATTTTCTCTTCACACTAGGCATATGTGGATATGAGGAAGATTGGAAGTGGTAGAGGAATGGTTTCTGCATATCCTCGGCAGCTGGAATCTTTGATTCGTCTGGCGGAAGCGCATGCTAAAGTACGATTTTCTAAGAAAGTAGAGACAGTGGATGTTGAAGAAGCAAAGCGTCTTCACCGTGAAGCTCTGAAACAGTCCGCTACGGATCCAAGGACTGGAATTGTGGACATATCTATTCTCACCACAGGTGAGATCAGCCTGAAACTTGCTGATACAGTCTATGGGGGGGAGGTCTGATTTGTAGCCTTGGAAGACTTCTTTTAAAGAGGTCACTCAAATGATTTTTTATATTGTGGGGAAAACATTGTGACTCTTTCTTTTTTAAGGGATGAGTGCCACTGCCCGTAAACGCAAAGAAGAACTGGCTCAGGCTTTGAAGAAGGTTATTCAGTCTAAGGGTAAAACACCAGCTCTAAGATATCAACAGCTCTTTGAGGATCTTCGCGCACAATCTGAAACAGTAAGTTTGTTGTAAGGCTTGCATGCTGTGTTTGTTCTATTCACTTTCACAAGTACAAAATATCTAAGGAATGTCTCCTTCCCCACCCTGCATTCCTCCTCTGGGTTTTCCAATGCTGTACCATGAGTTGTTCATTAGGTATAATTTTATTTGTTGTGATTAGGCAGATAAGTGTATTGATGAAGTTTCAGGATTGAACAACATGAAGGCTCTTTAGTCGTTGCAGTACTGCCTTATTGCACTCAAGCCTGAGCCTCTAAAAGAGTTAGTTACATGGCACTTCGTACATGCACAATCTTCCTTCCACCTCTTATTTTCCTCATTATCTTCTTACTGATCTGACTCAAAACTGGACTGGATTTGCAATAATCCTAAAGGTGCTTGAAACTAAATCTGTACTGTACTTTTCTTTCTCAGGGTTGTCTACCACCTAAAGGGGTGATCTTTTCCACATTTTGTCATAATCATTTATTTAGATTTGTTGTTACTGACTGTTAAAAATATTGAAAAATCTCTATCGTTCCAAAACATGGAATATCATCTTGCTCATCTGCCACAGAACCCTAGTACATTGCAGAATGTAGTGGCCTATTCGAGGGTGCATGCTTGGTTCATGCATGGCAATGATGAGCAATTAGGCCTCACAGTTGCCATGCATGAACTGAGGATGTGGCAAAAGCATCTTCAGTGTTTCCCCTTCAGCTGCATGTTGCAGATGGGGCTCAGTAGTGACAGAAAATCTTTCTTTCCGGCATGTTTCGCTGCTTTTACTCATCATCTCCCTGAAAGCCCCTTAATAAGCTCCCAAGAAACTCCTGGATGCCCAAGGAAAACCACTAATTTGAAAACCACTAATAGATTTTAGCTTCACACTGGAACTTAATATTTTATTTCTTATTTCATTGTTGAAGTATAATGGCTTCAAGGTGCGCAAAAATAATACAATCCCTACAGTCTGGGTTGTTGTACATAGTATTTGTATGTTAATGTCAGTATTTACTTTTTTCTTTAAAGGCTGTCACTAAAGAAATGTTTGAAGAAGCACTGCATGCATTGGCTGATGACGACTTCTTGACTGTGACTGGGAAGACTGTTAGACTTCTCTAAATAAACGCTAACTTTACAGGAATGGAACTGTAAAACTAACTTCTTGGTGTAACTTTGCTTTAATACAATATGCTTACATCATACTTGTTAGACTGGAATTGGACCAGGAGGTCATCACTATCAGCATGGAAAATTACTGTTAAGATTTTGCTTATTAAGGAATGCTAATTCTTTCAGCACAGTTAGTTTTAGCACATTTTTTCTCAGCATCTTTTAAAGAGTAAGCTCTATACATAAAATTTCAAATTATAAAAACTTATTGTTACAATTTTTGAATTCAGGTTCATATGAATGTCTCCTATAGCACTATTTCTGCATATTAGATAATGCTTGTGAAGATTTTGTTTGTAATAAAATGCAGATTACTTATTCTACTTCATTGTGCATTTCGAAAATTCAAAAAGTTTGTTATGCTGAACCTGGTCAGTTGATACTTTGTGTATAATTCTCTGTCTCTGATATAGAAAACAGTAAGGCTTATTAAATCATACTAAGCCATGATTTTTGCTAATCAGTACTTAAAAACTCACACATGGTTTCCGTTTCCAGACATATACAGAAGGTAACCATGGATCAGAGCTCCTTCTCTGCTTCCATTTTTCATCTTGTCAACACCTAAGCTTCATAAGTTTATTCTGTTTTGCATATAGCAGCAGCTCTTTCGATGAAGCAACAGCCCTAACCGTAATCTGAAAGCTTGGTTTCTCAGCACCTCACAACATTGACATTTCTTAATGAGGGGATGAAGGCATTGGGGACTCAAATGCTGATGGAAAGCTCTTTGATTCTGTGGAGGCTTTCTTCAACAAGAAAGGCAAATTTTGCCAATTCCCTCTCCCATTTGAAGCCTATCAAAATCTGTTTCAGAGGGATGGAGGACCATTTGGAACAGCATGGTAAGGGAAGTACAGTGGTACCTCAGTTTACGAACTTAATCCATTCTTAAACCGCAATGTTTTTTAAACCAAGGCGCACTTTCCCTAATGAGGCTTCCTGCTGCTGGTGCCCTTCCGCCGTTCGAATTCCATTCTTAGACCAAGGTAAAGTTCGCAAACTGGGACACTACTTCCGGTTTTGCATAGTTCATAAACCAAATCATTTGTAAACAGGACTGTTCTGAAACCGAGGTACCACTGTATTGTCAGAAAAATGCCTTCTTTTTGTTGTACTAGCAGAAGATTTCACTGAATCAAAGAACCTTCCAACATAGCAATAAATGAAATTGGACAAAACCTGAGCTTTCTAAAGTTTAGTTCTTGACAATAAAGCTGTAATCCTGTTTATGCTTACTTGAATTTAACTTGCAGTAATGTACAGGAGTATCAGCTGGTGATCTGGGGCTTCAGAAGTCTGACTAATTATTTATGTTACCCTAAATCTATCCCTTGACATGTTTTCTTACTTATGAATTAGCATTATATCAACAAAAGAAGTTTAGTGTGACTGATTTGCATGTGTTGCATATTACTAGTTGCACACCCTTTTAAAAAAATACTGCTTATAGCTTTTTAAAAATAGAAAGCTCATGTTTCAGAGAAAACAAAAGATAACTAACCAATACCATATTTTAGAGGCACAAATAGGCTACAAACTTAATCATCATTCCAGTTATGAAATCTCCCTTTAGTTGGAGTGCCATGGCTGCAAGAGAAACACTGGAAGAAGTTTCCATAGTACCTAAGTAAGAAAAGCTTTGAAAGCATTAAGCTGGTCCATGCTCTGCCTGCTGCCATAGGAGCTTTAAAGTACACCAGCAACATGCATCTAAATAAGGCTTGACACAAACAGGAACCCTATTAATTTAGGAGGCCCTATTCATGCACATGCTGGCCATGTTCTACAGGCACGCATTTCTTCATGCAGTTGTAGAACCTGTCCCAGTCTATATGTTCACTCTATAGAAAAAGAAGCCGAAATATATATTGAGAGCCATGATGAGTGTGGAAGGAGGTCATATATAGACGGGCAACAACCTGGGTGCATGGTATCTTTAAAAACACGACACATCCTGTCGGGTTCCTGACAGTGAGCAAGCATAATAATAGCAATGTGCTTAAATGGCAACCATTCATTATATGAAAAAAGGAATACAGTTGGAAATGACAAAATGTAGAGGTTCAATACAATACTAGCAGGTGGTTAACCCCCACTTTGGAACCTGACCTGGTCCCAAAAGATCACCACCACCACCACCCCCATTGTGGGAAGTGAACAAGTGTCCTGCAAATTGCTTCCTCCCTGGTCATCAGAATTGGATCATTTGATGAGCACAGAGACAACAACCCCCTCAGCTGTTGTGCATGGGTCATCTGAAGGGAATGCTGTGTGCAAGTAGCCACATTCATAACTGGTATTCAGCCCCCAGGGAATGGGTCAAGGGTGAATATTATTCCCAACCCCAAAAAAAATTGCTGCCCCTGATTTACATATTAGAGCCAGGACACTTTCAAATTACAATTCCAGGTGCATAGCAGCTAGCCCAGCCATCTTTTCCTGCAGCAAACGAACCACATTTTGCCACCAGCTGGGGAAGTAAGCCTTTGTATGTTGTAATAAATATAACCACAAGGAGGAGACGAAGGCAAAGACTGGAGCCTATTCTAGACTACCAGCTGTTGGTAATATAGCAGTATTAGTCAATTATGTATAATAATTGTTTTTTAAAGGAAATGTTAAGGAAAACAGCATATAATGGAGACAATGCAGGGACATTAATCTTGTTGGTAAAACATGCATAGGTCTGCCTAGTTGTGTTTATTTAATTCTGCATCGAAAATATGCAAAAGATGGACACAACTTCAGCTCCTCTGAGCTTCAAATAAAAAACAATTGTTTTGATAGCTAAATGGATATATTCTGTTCCTGCTGAAATAGATTGTCAACTTGCAACAGAAAAAAGCGTTAGCTTTCAAGTCTGTTCCCTATTTAGAGTTTTAAGTTTCTTTCCAGTTTTAACTTTGTTTCCAGTGCTTTCCTAGCATCTTTAAATAATATTGTAATAGGGGAAATGTTTGCGTTTTTAAACCCTCACAAGCATGAAACCATTCTGCGTTGGAAATTGAGAGTTCAAGAACATAATGAGGGCCACAAATTAGCCCTTCCTGGGTGTAAGGCAGTGGCCAACAAATTTGTTGTCAACCCAGCAAAATCAATACCCATCAAGCCAGCAAAATAATAACGCAGGCCAAGGCTAACTGGAAGCCAAACGACAGGAAAAGAAGTATGGAAATCTTCTCTTTTCCGCCTCCCACTCCATGAATGGATATGCATTAAAAAATAGTAACAGGAACTCTTCCAGGCTCATTCATGTAGTTGTAACAATTAACAGTAGCTGATCTCTATAATTTGAAAGAGACACGGGCAACAGTGTTTCATTTGTTATTATCACGTCTTAGAATCAGTTTCAACGGGACAATATTATATATTATATATATATATATTGTTCAGTCTGACTCCCTCTCCCCTTTCATAAGAACTTGCATGAAAGTGGCCTCCCAATTTTTCTCACAGGCCCATAGAAGTTCAGCACAAACAGTTGGGCCTGGTGAGCATTTAAGGTTCCCAACCCTAATCTGTGGGTTGCCATCTGATTGGATTTTATTCTGATCCTGATCTGATTTGAGGATGTATTTTAATTGATTGTCTGATTTTATGTTAATGTGTTATACATTTGATGTTAGCCGCTCTGAGCCCGGCTTCGGCTGGGGAGGGCGGGATATAAATAAAAATTATTATTATTATTGTTATTACTACTATTATTATTATTTTGTTACCTATTCAAGCAAACTGAAGTACGGTTGTATTCAACTAACGTTTACTCAGAATATTGAAATTAATGACTGACATGTGTTCTTTAATTTCAATGGATCTACTCCAAACCAAAGTTATCATAGTGTTTACAACTTTGTAAGTAATGATTAACTTTATGCAAATTGATTTAGAGTTGTTTCACTACTATTTCTGGCTTTTGAGGGGAAAAAATTAAACCTCCAGTTGTAGGTACACATAATGGAGAGTAAGTACCTTTGCAAAACTTACTTTTGAGTAAACATGCATGGGGTAAGGACGGAGTTAGTTCCTGAAAACGCACAAAATAAAGAATTAGAAGATGCAGAATGACAACCCCACTTTTTTTCTCCCTTTCATTCTGCGTGAGGAGCTGTAATTGAACAACCTTTTTTATTAGACGTGTCCCACAAACGTTTCAAAACCACAACCCTCTATTAATTTCTTCTTATTAAAAGCGCAAGCCCGCACAAAAACCCAGCTGGAGAATGCGGGCATCGATCCCGCTACCTCTCGCATGCTAAGCGAGCGCTCTACCATTTGAGCTAATTCCCCCTCTGCAGGCAATTGTGAAATTCTACAATGGAAAGTCTCCTCTTGAAACAGCTTATGGCATGAGTCTTTACTGAGTCAGGAATGGGGGCAGGATCATTTTTGAACAACAAGCTGAAGAGGAGTTTCTGGCAGGTACTCTATAAAGCCACTCTCCCCCTCATTGCTAGATGGAGAGTTGGAGGCAGGAAGTCACAAAAGTGCAAGTGCTAAAGCGGCAGTCTTTGCGATGCCCCCTGCTGTACGTCTTCCGAAGGTTCCCATTCCCACCATGAAAAATAATTTGGGGGAAAAGCATGCATTGACATCTGACTTTCTAATTAAGGGATCTGCCTTCTGAGCTCCCATTTACCTTATCCTGCTTAGCAGAGTCATAAGCAACAGGTTGGTGGTGGGGTTCCAGCTATCCTCTTTCATTCTTACATACAAGCCCTCGATTGTATGGGGCAATTCCCCTGTTTATTTCGTTTGACAGACTGTGATAAAAAAAGCCTTTATTTCAAATAAAATAAAAAACACACCAGGGAATGTTAAACATTTTTTTTTATCTTGCTGATTATTTTTCCTGCTAAAATAAACAAAGGGAAAAGCATTGATTGGAGAATGCGGGCATCGATCCCGCTACCTCTCGCATGCTAAGCGAGCGCTCTACCATTTGAGCTAATTCCCCGCGCTGGGCAATGTTTGTTGCTTAGCCTATGGTGAATCGCCGCAGGAAATGGGATTTCTTTAAAATAAAATTCTGCAGTTTACTTTCTAAGTGGTAAAAAATCCCAGGTTTAACTCTATTTGGAAGAGGATTGAGGAAGTGGAAGGGGTGCATAAGCAGCGGCAAAGAGATGATCCCAAAAGATCCGTCACCAAACAACTGCGGCAGCCTGCACCATCCATCTCAGACAGCTCCAGCTTCACTCTCTCTCACCTGTCTGGTTCCCTCCCTTTGGCTGGAAGAGCATCGCCCCTTCTAAACCCTGGCTGCGCATTTCATTCACAAATACTGATCAGGTTACAGCTATCGGGTAACCTGCTCTATCTAAGCCATTAGTTTTCGCGTTATTAAGCAGCAATGTGTCCAACAACGGATTGGTTCTCGTTTGGCCAGCAGCTATAAGGAAGGGAAATAAATATGTGACATAAAGAGAGCACAACCTGGAGAATGCGGGCATCGATCCCGCTACCTCTCGCATGCTAAGCGAGCGCTCTACCATTTGAGCTAATTCCCCTTCCTAGCGGTGTTATGCAGTCGTCACCCTTAGGAGTGCCATCGCAGGAAATGAGCTGCCTGGTCTTATGCACTGGCATATTTTGCTAAAACACTTCTTTCTTGGAATCGTCCTTTCACAACCTACTATAAGCATAGTATCCCATACCAGTCCTACTCAGAGTAGACCCATTGAAATGCATGATCATGACTTAGGTTAATAGCTCAGCCGGTACAGCAGGACACTCTTTAATCTCACTGTCATGGGCTCGAACCTCACATTTGTGCAGTGCAGGGAGTTGGACCAGATGATTCCTTGCGATGGTCCCTTCCAGCTCCATGATTGATTTCAATGAGTCTCCTCTAAATAACTTAGCTGGATAAAGCTCAGTGTGGTGCATTCAGTTTTTAGGATTTCAATACACAATACTGCAATTTTGAATATATTTTTATTTGTCTTAGGCATTGGATAGTCAACTTATTTTCTTACTCCTCTGTTTCCTGCTTCCCACTAGCAGCAGCATCCCACATCCACAAAAATAAAATAAAATAACACTGGAGAATGCGGGCATCGATCCCGCGACCTCTCACATGCTAAGCGAGCGCTCTACCATTTGAGCTAATTCCCCTTCGCTCCCAGCTTCTTCAGCGCTCACCCTTCAGTGCGTCATCGCAGGAAATGAACTGTCTAGCAAACATTCACGCAGTTGTTCCCTAGCCGGCAGTTCGCGCAAGCAAGCAGTGAAACAACGCGGTGCTGAACATCTGTGCTTTTAATCCTCTCCTTCCGGGAGTTTAACTCTCTGGACTTGGACAGAAGGCAGATATTTTATTCTTCTGCAGTGAATTAGCAACATCAGGTTTCAAAGCATTTCAATACTGTTACAGGCACGGATCGAATCTCTGGAAGAGCCACGTGCAAGAGCAGCCAACGAAACCCCAGCCAGGCCAATTAAAGAAGGAGAGACGGAGCAGAGAAAGGGGAAAGATGAGAAAGGGGTGTGCTGAAAACCCAGCCCAAATCTGGAGAGCACTATTTTAAAGAGAGGACATCTGCGGGGGGTGCTGCGCTCACAAGGAATTAACCCCCCCCCCTTGGCAAGAGAGACAAACCGGGGCAGAGATAGAACTGTTACAGAGATATCCCAAGGAAGTTTATTGTCACAGGCTATGTAAAAGAAAGGCAGTTTAATCATCATCAGTATTCTGTATTGATTGCATGAAGGGAGGCACAAGCTAAAATGAGGATTCCCTAGGATACTTGTGTCACAGCCCAATCTAAGGGACATCACCATCACTATTTGTATGTTTGTTTGTTTGGCTTTCTTTTTAGATGGAAGGAAGGAAACAAGAGACAGGAGAAGGTGCATCTGCAATGGTCCCTTTCATAGTTGTGTGCAGAAGATACTTTGGTAGGTCTAGCTTTTTCCCCTTGGCTTGTCCGACGGCACCTGTCAAAATGCCCTCTTCTATGCAACAATTTAAAACAAAGGAGCCCTGCCCTCCTTTTCATCTGGATCGCCCGAAGAGGAAAAAAGGAGCAAAACGGGCATATGAGGTCAAAAATAAATTCAGAATAAAACTGATCTCCATACTGTAGTTTGGAGTTAAAGGCAGGTTTGATTAAGCTGGACACTACTACGCCAGAATACTTAGGCTGCTGGGGAGTAAGTCCAATTAGACTCAGTAGGGATCTACTTCTGAGTAGAAGTGCCTTGGTTTGTACTGATAATCCTCTAGTCTAAACTGCAGCCCTATGTCTGCAGGCTGAAACAGTGCAGCTCAAATTTCAGTGGAACTTCTCCCAATCTGCCAGCCAAGGAGATGAATCACCAAGGAGAGATGAGTCACCAAAGGTTAAACTCTTCATCTTGTGAGGGGAATTAGCTCAAATGGTAGAGCGCTCGCTTAGCATGTGAGAGGTAGCGGGATCGATGCCCGCATTCTCCAATTTATGCTTGTCTTTTGTGTATTTTAATAGAATATTCAAAAGTAAGGTAAGTTTGGTTAAAATTCTGTGGTGTGTTTTAATACTGTTAAAAGTTGAGGGGAGTTTCAGTCTGGTCACCTCACCTCAAAAATAATATTGTAGAGTTGGAAAAGGTTCAGAAAAGGGCAACCAAAATTATCAAGGAGATGGAGCAACCGTGATATTTGAACCATGGGTGGTCAGATTCCAAGAATGCCTGCAACTGATCTCCAACACATGTTCAGCAATCTTGCTCAAGAAGAAATGTTAGAAACAGGTCAAAACTTATATTTAAGTACCTTGTATCAAGGAGAATTCCAAAATCCTTATTAGGGCAAATCCTTTATCTGGCTGTCCAAAATGTCAGAAAACAAACGGTTGCGAAAGAAAGGGAGGGGGGAAAAAAGGATGATGGCGAAGCCATGGATTACAATCTTAAAATGGAATGTGGGAGTAGTAGTTCTGGAGAACTTTGAAAGCTTGCACACTGTTTTGTGATATTTTCATTTGTCTAATAAAAGCATTGTCCTGGTATACATGTTTTCTTATGGATCAAGATCGATACTTTTAATTCTTGTATCAAGGACCAGATTTCCAGCACATAGGGTTGTATGCAACAAAGTTGTTCCATTTGTGCAAAAACATCCACCTGCACAATGGAATTTCCTTCTCTCCTCTCCCTGTATGCCCCCTCCCCCAGATCTGCTCAAGAGGCTTGGGAGAACTCCCAGAAGAGATTTTCGGTGCACATCGAACAGAGCCTCTGGTGAGGATCTTAATGTTCAAACATGTATATATGAGAGAAAATTATCTTTCAAGTATCCTGGTCCTAAGCTGTTAGGAATTAAGAGGTTAAAATCAGCTCTTTAAATTGGGCCAGAAACAAAATGAGAGCCAGTTCAGCTGGCAAGCACTGACAGGTTTAATATGATCAAAACATCCAGTCCCAGTAAAACAATATTGTAGTCCTATTTTGCATCAACTATTTTAGATCTACTGACTGTTTTTAAATAAATCTCCATGTATAATGCATTGCAGTAGTCTAAATGTGTGTGTGCACCAGAGCATGGTCCATCCAGGTACGGTTGCAGCTAGTGTATCAACTGAAGCTGATAAAAACTGTTTCAGGCTCTAATGACAGCACTGGACTAAGCACCCTCAGACAACAATTTTTAAATTACATTTCTCTTCCATCCATATAACTGAGTTCCCTTAGCAGTTTACAGTTAAAAATATAATATACAATACAAAATGTAAATTATAAAAACCTTCAATTATAAATAAATCAAAGCAGCCAAAGCTAACACAAGCACAGAAGTTATTTCTCTCTTTACAGGGAAGGAAGGATGAGGAATATATGGCCTTCCAGATGTTGTTGGAATTTAACTCCCATCATCCCTGACCATGAGTCTTGCTGGCTGGGATTGATAGGTGTTGTAATGTCCAGCAACATCCTAAGAGCCATAGACTCCCCATTTGTTCTCTACAGTCAGGAAGGAGGGTAACATGCAGGGCTTGAGTTATGGTATGAATTCAACCTATAGCCTTGTCTTTCTGTTTTGAGCAGGAAATAAATTCCCTTGCATGAAACACAATAGTATTGTATTAAATACTGTAGTATTTAATGTTGGAGCAACTGGAAATGAAAAGGGGTAATGTCCTTTATGAGCATAAATCACTCCATGGATGAACTAATAGCAGGTGCAAGGTCAGCCAAGCCAGTTACTATGGCAACAGCCTAGTGCTCCAACTATATATGTGATTAAAATATATCAGCTCAGTTAGTCTGTGAGTCATCAGTTCATTGGTGTTACTAGTCCAGTGTTACATGTTGAAATGTTGGAGTTTACAGTATTTGGAGCAACAGAGAAACTTTTTACTTGTATGTATCTGTATATATCTGCATCTGCAAAAGCCTACAAGCTGTATAACTCTACATCTAGAACCGTTTTACTGAGCCTTATCTTCTGCCATAGTAAAGTATTTGGATCTTAAGCTGCTTCTGTGTGGTGACTGGTACTGTGAGCAACTATCACTGCCTGTGCATTTCGTATCAGTTTCCCAACATTTAATACACCAAACCAGCCTCTGTAGGTTAAGGTTTTATTCGACTACAGCTCCATCATCCCTGACTATTGGCCATACTGGCCGGGGCTGATGGGAGTTGGAGTCCTCCACCACCTGGAGGCCACCCCATTGGCTACCTCCGCAAACTCCATAATTAACCCTTTCGCAGCCTCACTTCCCGACACTAGCGCGACAAATGCCCGCGAGGGCTCCCTTCGCCTGTCAATTGCTTCGCGTAGCCACCTCCCTCCTTCCCTCCCTCTCCACCCACCCCGGTCAGTCGGTATTTTCCCTTCCCTTATCTGCAGCCGCCTTAGCCCCCACCCTCTCGACGCGCAGAAGCAACAAACGCCAGCGCGAGGCGGGGCTAGTTTCCAGGAAGTGACGTAGGGCGCAAGGCAGAAGTCACGTGCTCGGCGGCCGTGTGTTTCCTGGCTGGTGGGGGAGGGGTTTGGACAAGATGGCCGGATCCACAGGTCTGTGTTGAGAGGAAGGCGGGGGGCGCCTTGGAAGGGCTGGCGGGGGGCTTTCGCCGGGGAGGGGGGGGTTCTCTCCCTAGAGACCCCGGTGGCGGGTCCCCGGCGCGGCTCATTCCGTGGAGAGCGGTCGGCGCCAGCGCAGCCGGGCCAAGGTTCCGGCGCCGGCGGGAGAGGAGGGCGGGGAGGCCGCGGGGGTTGGCGCTGGGGCCGGAGTCTTCCTCTTGGTGCTGCAAGGGATGCGGGGAGGAGACGCCTGCGGGGCTGGCAGAGGCAGGCGGTGCAGCCGGGAGGTGGGGAGGCCGAGGCAGCTTTCCGCTCCTGGGGTCGGTTTTTGTTCAGGGGAAGGTGGAATTCGGGGTCTTCGGACCTCCTTCTCACGCTCGGGTTGGGTTTGGGTGAGAGGAAATGTGGCGTTTCTTGAGTCTCTCTTCCGCCCTCCCCCCGCAACGTAATACTGATAAATATTCCCCTTCTCTTCGAAAACGAAGCCGACCCCAGTGGCATTTAGGTGGCTTTTAATATCGCCGATTCCGAAGTGCAGGCGTTGCTGGTTGCTGAGGGTAAGACAGATACGTTCAACAAAAAACACGCAAAGTGTGTATGGGGGCGTGTAATTAAGTTCTGTCTTGGTCTTTTTGCTGATGAGGTCCGTTGTTAATCTTGCGTATGAATTTTGGTTACTGGCACGCTTCCCTCCTTTCCCGGTTGTGATCTTGTCGAAGTATTTCCAGCAAAACTCCAGAAGGAAATTAGCGATGAGCTTTGAGGCTTTGTATTGAATTTACTTTCTGTTTATTTAATCGTATTGCTGAGGCAGTAGGCTAAGGGAAACCAAAACCTTTAATACTTGGACCTTACAGTTCCCGTTTTCCTGACCTTCTGTTTCTTTTCCTCCCTACATCCCCTTTTATCCCAATCCCATTTCTTGTCTTTTTTGTATACTGCCCACTTTTCAGCATCCCCACTTACCTAATTCCCCGCACCCTTCTTCCCACTTTCAGTTTATTCTAGTTCCTACCACAATTTTTCAGTACTATGTCTCAATTCTCCCCACTTCTCATAAAATGGTAGAAATGCAAATGTTTATCAGTCTTCCAGTTCATGCGGTTATTGGTGAAGTGGAAATATTGCAGCTGAGTAGTGCTTATGAACGAGGGGTGGCAGTTATTCAAAATTAATGTGAAGTAAAATCCATAACTTATACTATGGATTATGTTACAAAGTTCATTTGAGATTTAAACATGTCAAATTATTATGGCATGTTGTCCTTGAAGTCTGTTGTTGATCATAGATGGTGTTACCAAAGAATTTTACTTGAAAATAATAACCTTTAATAATTCTTTAATAACCTGGGTCTACTTGCTTGAACTGTAATTATCTTCCTTTTCATCGTTGGCAATATGTTTCTCACCTGGATCTTTCACAGCACTGATAGGTACTGAATTTGAAAGGGTATTTAAATAATTTTGACTTTGTGTTCCTGTATTCCAGCCTTTTATTTAAACACCGTTAATAGGTGATTGTTTTTGTAACTGTGGTTGGTACCTTGTGCTGAATAAACTGTAAATAATTTTAAACCTGGAAGCTGTGCATATTGTTCAATTATCTTGAAAAGGCATTTTCTTTCAGATTCACAACATGTATCTATTAGTCTAATTATTTTTAATTGTGTTACAGCCACATAGGAATTAGCCAAATAAAGCCATACATTAATAAAAATTAAAACTTCTTAATAATATCAAACCCACCCATAGCCCTGTTTTAACATTTGTCACAAAATACCTTCATAAGTCAGGCTTGATGGGGGATGGGTGGAGTTTCAAACCTAGTGGGGGAACACTTGCTTGATCTTAATATTCTGTGATGGGACACAGAATACAAGCTGCTAAGACAGTCGGTCCCAAACCATTTAGTGGTTTAAAGATCAAAACCAGTTCTACTGGGAAATACATTGTACATACTTATGGCTCTCTGTGTGGAGCAGGTTGCTATGCACAGATCTGGTTAATATTACAACTCACTTTTTCAACTTTATATGTTGTGCTTTCCCAATAATCATGAAATCTGGATTTAAAAGTATTGTTAGCATGAACATAATTGCTGTTTTGCATTGAAGTTCTTGAGTGACAATCAAAATATAGGATGTCGTATTGGATCCCATGATCTTCAGTTACCTGTATTTGTGCCAACGCAGAAAAAACAAAATAAGCAGTACAGTATTTCTATGTCCAGACATATGACTGCTTGGCTGTTTTTACTCGTTTAATAAATGCAGTCAACAATACCTCCACAGTATTTTAAATAGCAACTCCTTTCAGTTATTTTTTACTGATGAAATACAAAACATAAACTGATACATAATTTATTTTTTCCATTAAACATTTACAACTTATTTATAACAAAACTATTCAGAATTTTGCCAGAGTTTGCTGCAATTCAGGCCAGAATTTTGTTTTTAGCAGCATGTCTTTCCATGAAAACTAGGGTGTTGTAGGATAGTCTCTGGGCATCACTGACATGCCTTTCTTAATTTGTCCATTAACCATAAACTGCCTTGCATAGCTCCCATCAAACGTCATACAAAAACAGTTTCCAAGCTATGTTCTCTTAAGGGAACCGTAAGCTTCTGCAGCAAATGTAAACAGCTAATGAGAGTTCATTTCATACTCTCATTATGAATCTGCCTCTGGGCGAGGAAAAGCTCCTTTCAAAGATAACACTCAGCACAGAAAATCCACTAATTTGGGGTTATTATTTTAATTTACTAAATCTTTATTGGCACATTTTCGAAGCAAAAGGAAGAACAAGCAAGTATAGGTCCTCTGCATGGAGAAGATGGAGAAATGCTATAGGGTCACAGAGAGAAGGCAGAATTGCTTAACACCTGCTTTGCCTCTGTCTTCACCCAAAAGGAAAGCAATGACCAACCCAGTGATAACAGAATAAACAATGCAAGGAGGGAGCTGCAGCCCAAGATAGGAAAAGAGTGGCAAGGGAACACTTAGTTACTAAATGAATTCAAATCTCCAGTGCTTGATGGGCTGCACTCAAGGGTAATAAAAGAGCTTGCAGATGTGATCTCCAAGTCTCTGCCTATAATAATTGAGAAATTTGTAGAACAGGTGAGGTCTCTGCAGATTCTCCCCATCTTCAAAAATGTGAGAAAAGAAGACCTGGTATATAGATAGCAGTAAAGGGTTGGTCTTTGAGAATTTAAGAAATAGTGCTTTGATTACTAAGACTTTGCATGGGTTTCTATAAACAAGTCATGCCAGACAGAGTTAAAAGTGTGGTTGATCATGAGAATGGTGGGGGCATAGTGTATCTTGTTTTCAGTAAGGCTTTTGACATAGTGCCCCATAATATTCTTGCAGGGAAGTTGGTGGATTGTGGACTGGATTGGGTGACTGTTAGGTGGATTTGTAGCTGGTTGACTGAGTGAACCCGAATGGTTCCTCATCTTGGGGAAAAAGTGAAAAGTGGGATGCAACAGCATTGTTCAGTGTCTTTATAAATGACTTGGATGAAGGAATTGAGGGGATGCTCATCAAATTTATAGATGACACCAAACTGGGATGGGTAGCTGCAGAAGACAGAATCAGGACTCAAGATAATCTTAACAGATTAGAGAACTGGGCCAAAACTAACAAAATGAATTTCAGCAGGGACAAATGCTGTGTTCTACAATTAGGCAGCAAGAACCAGCTGCACAAATATAAGATAGGGGAGTCCTGGCTTGCCAGTAGTGCATGTGAAATAGATGACAAACTTAATAGGAATCCACAGTGTGATGAAGCAGCAAAAGAAGTATAGTGGCCAGATCAAGGGAAGTCACAATACCACACTATTTTGCCTTGGTCAGACGACACCTAGAATACCATGGCCAGTTCTGGGTGCCAGATTTAAGAAGGATATTGACAAACTGGTAGGTGGACAAAGTAGGGCAACCAAGATTACCACAGGTCTGGAAACTAAGCCATATGAGGAATGGTTGAGGGAGTTGGCTATGTTTAGCCTGGAAAAGAGGAGACTGAGAGGAGAGATGATAGGCATCTTCACATATTGAAAGGGATACCACATGGAAGATGGGGGCAAACTTGTTTTCTCCTGCTCTGGAGGGTAGGACCTGAACCAATGGCTTCAAGTTACAAGAAGAGGGATTCTGACAAAACGCCAAGAAGAACTTTCTGACAGTAAGAGCTTTTTGACAGTACAACAGACTACCTTGAAAGGTGGTATACTCCCCTTCCTTGGAAGTTTTTGAGCAAAAGTTGTATGGCCACCTGTCATGGATGCTTTAGTTGAGATTCCTGCATTGCACGGTGTTGGACTAGATTACCCTTGGGGTACCTTCTACTCTATAATTCTGTGTTTTCATTATGCACATGGATATAATATTTAATGCTGCAGTTAGGGGAGGTAATTATTGGTCCAAAAGGGGGGTATTTTTGTAGTCAACTAATCATGCAGAAAGAAATGGTTCTGGCCTTTATCAGATGCTAAATGTAGTTTTGCATGTTTAGAAATATCTGTTCTTCTTTGTACAATAACACTGTACAGAATGTGAGTCTGAGGCTGCACAGCAATACAGACAAATGTTTTGTGTATTATCCAAATGTTCACCATTTGGTAATGGTGATATGGTTCTATACAAACAAAGGTAGTGAGCAGCTACAGCATGTGAGCAATTTAAAAATTTAGTCTGCAATACATTGCTGTATTGTGAGGGGTTCTAATTCAAAAACTGTTTTCCATGGCAACCATTGGGCATTCTTAATCTTAGCTGGAAACTATAGCAGGGCACTTATGGAAAGGAGATCTTTTGGTGTGTAAGGGGAAACTGCTTATTGGCTAGTGTAAAGCATGCTTTTGGTTGTGTGTATGCTCAAGCTGATTTTAGTCATATGTCCTGGAGTGAGTGCATAGGGAATTACTGCTTTGCTTATAGTGGGGCAAATCCTGGTTTATTTAACTTCCCTTTTTCTTTTAAAGCCAAATATATTTGTAGTCCTGCTTGAAGCAGAGTGCGGTGGGGAAGCTTTTACTCTAAGAATGAAAAATGGTCAGTAATGGTGATAACCTTCCCATGGTTAGGATTTCCTGCTCTGTTTTTTTGTAATTATAAAAGGCAACCACTTTATTGGAATCTACAGTGTATTCCTTTACAGGTTGTGTGATATCACAGTATGGCATAGGTCAACTAATTATCTCCCATTGCTGTATTTCAGCATAATGAATACACATTTAGATCTCCAGCATCTCTGGTATTTAGAAGTCTTGAAGATATTATCTGTTAAAATCCCTTAGCACTTTTCTCTCCCAAAATAGCCACCTGAGCATGCTTGTGGTCAAAGCAACTTAGGGCAGGCATTGCATGCTTGCATAATTGTTCGACCTATGCAAGGGATCAGATATGTACAAACCTGCTTTAGTAACCTGATACAGTTGTTTGAGCTGCCAGTACAGTTTGTGGATTTGGATCATATTTTGAAATGCATCCTTTTATTTGTAGGAAAATGGTGTATTTTCATACAACCAGTCCTCCGCGAGAAATGAATGCTTTCCTGTATTCTTATTTTTGTTATGAAATGGGAAGTAACTGATTTCTACTCTGAACTGTTGTTTAGTTAGACAATTGCAAAGAGCAATATTTCTTAAATGCCTTAAATGCCTAGTTCTGAAGTTCATCTCAATTAGAATTTGTGTGCACAATATTCTTATTTAATATGCAGTATGTGTGACTAGGACCAGTTCAAATGATTATATTGGCTTTATAATAAAAGATAACGAACAATATCATTGATTTTCTGTAAATTGTTGTGAGACATATAGTGAAAAGCAGGATTAAGTGCTAAACAAACAAGCCCGTACCCCATGCACTGAGCCCCTTTGTTCATCCGTTTGCAATGTAAGCAATCAAACCAGGAAGCACCTAATGAACCATAGTGCCCTCGGAAACTAGGCTTACGAGCTTTGGAACAAGCTAAGACAGTTAACCCACTTAAAGTATGGTTTAATATTCTAGCTTGTTTCAAATGTGGTGACCATAATTTTTTGGGTTTGCTTATGCTGCAGAGGGAGGAGCAAATAAGCTGAGTGTTTGGGCAAAGTCTCATATTTATTACTACTATAATAATTATATATTTATTTATATCCCACCTTTTCCTCTAATGGTACTCAAGATGACTTACAGCTAAAAATAAGAGTCGCTTATTTCATCTTAAACTCATAAAGGATTGTCTGAATGTAACCAGTATTCCACAGAGAAGTAATGACTGAGTAGTGCTTACTGTTGTAACGCTGAGGTAACTGTCATATATTAAAACTTACTTTCTGAAGCAGAAAATTGATGAACTAAATGGTGAAAATTATGGCTGTATATGACTTCCAGATATGAAATTTGATCATTTAATTTAGACTGTCACTTTAAAAAAAAACAACCATAAGAAAATCAAATCTGCATCCAAATAATTTGATGTTGCTGAGGAATTTAAGATTCCAAGTTGTATGATACTTCATAAGTGGAAATAAGTTTGTTTTTCACATTGGTTGCAATTCAATATGTATATCAGTAAAATGTGTTATATGCATAAATTCTCAGGTGTGGATTTTTTAGTTGGCTCAACCAGGCTTTCATACTAAGACGTGACAAGAGATCAGCTGTGATTTTGAACATTGCTATTTACATTGCTTTACTTTTTTTCAAATAGTTAAAGTCCCTCGTAATTTTCGCTTGTTGGAAGAACTTGAAGAAGGTCAGAAAGGAGTAGGAGATGGTACAGTAAGCTGGGGCCTCGAAGATGACGAAGACATGACACTTACAAGGTGGACGGGCATGATTATTGGACCACCAAGGGTCAGTACTATAAGTTAAATCTTCATTTAGCGGAACTTTTCAGACATTTGCAATGCATGGTTGTTAACTATGGGTTATGCTATGGGGTGAATCAACTAAGTCAAAGAGTAGACTCATCAATTTCAGGGGATTATTCTGAGAACTATATAACTTAATTGGATTCAGCCCAAAGATTGATGAATATCATAATTCAATTAGGAATCTTATAAGCTATAACAGAAGTTAGCCCTATAGCTAACCTTGCTTTTTCACAATTGGTAACAATCATAGAAAGGTGTGGAATGGTTTCTTATAGGCCCAGGTCAATATGGGGGCCACATAATTGTAACATTAAGGACAATGGTATTTTTTTTTACATTTTATTGAATACTATCAAATCTGTATTCAGATGACAGTGTCTCATGGTGACTTCTGCTCAAGTTGAAGTGTTCCAAATGCATATTCAGTAGTATGCAATTGTGGCCCAGCACAGATGCATAGTTCTGTTGTGTGCATTCAAACAACACATTGATGATATTAGCTATCCCTCATTAAACAATAATTTCAGCTCTGCCAAGAAACAGTTTGGACCTTTAGAAACATGAGATGTTCTATTTTGGTTTTTAACTTATAATATACCACTTCAGTGTGTGCCTGTTAGTCACACTGAGCTTATGGCACCAAATATTCTCCCTTCCTTTAGTTTTATGTGTGCTTGTGTGTGCAGGGATAACAAACAAAGTAACTTGATGTGGATGGTGACAATTGACATGGCTATCCAGTGTACACAGAGTTCTGTTGCCTTCCCCTCCTTTCCCTTTAAGACCTGCATGTTGGCAGCAGAGCCTGGTATCATGCTAGTCACATCTCATTTGTTTTGTATTATAACCCCAGGATCTACTCCCAGCAGCTTAGTGTGAAAGAGATTCAGCCATTAATAAAGAACCCAGTATGCCCTAATGACATTCTGAACCTTTCAAATTTGTTTTCAGTACTGGAACTGAACTGAGCTCAGTTTTTAACACAAGTCCATGCCTGATTAGATTTCAGCAGCCTACTGTAGGTGGGAAAAGTATTTTTATTTTATTTTATGCTGTTAGGAGGCAGAAGCCTTTGCCAATCTATTGCAAATTAGCTAGAGATCCACCAGTTAAAGCCTGGTCTACCTTCTCTCCACCCCTTCCATAAGCCAACAATCGGCTCTGGCTTTCCCTTTGAACCTTGGCTTGAGAAGGTTGGAGTACCAGCAACATCTGGATCACTTCAGGATACTGTGGCTTTTTGGCTTGGCTGCTCTTGCCATGCACTCCAAAGGCAGCCCCTACCCTTGCATTACACCAGACACAATTAGTCTTTGAAAATCAGGTATCTGCATATTGTATGGCTGACATATTGCTAAGGGTGGCGCTGTGGGTAAAACCTCAGTGCCTAGGACTTGTCGATCGCATGGTCGGCGGTTCGAATCCCCGCGGCGGGGTGAGCTCCCGTCGTTCGGTCCCAGCTCCTGCCCACCTAGCAGTTCGAAAGCACAATTAAGTGCAAGTAGATAAATAGGTACCGCTTTATAGCGGGGAGGTAAACGGTGTTCCGTGTGCTGCTCTGGTGCCAGTTCGCCAGAGCAGCTTCGTCACGCTGCCCACGTGACCCGGAAGTGTCTGCGGACAGCGCTGGCTCCCGGCCTCTAGAGTGAGATGAGCACACAACCCTAGAGTTTGTCAAGACTGGCCCGTACGGGCAGGGGTACCTTTACCTTTACCTAATAGGAGTATTCTGGGCATCCAGGAATTGGACAGAAATATAATTGCTTTCTGCCCCTAGGCAAAGTTAAGATTGATTGTATTTCTTTGCCGCTTTACATTCAAATGAATCGCAAAGTGGCTTATAAGCAATTAATATCAATAACATGATAGAGCATAATAGAACAACATAAGTACAGCATAAATCATATAAAATAATTATCAAACCAATATACCATTACAGTCTATACAACACTATTAACAAAGCAGCAACTAAAAAATAAGGTAAACATCACAATTACAGCAAAAGTCATATGATTAACAAATCAATTTGTCATTTATAATCTATAAATAGCAGCTAAAAAATAAGCTAAGCACTGTTAAGTTCATACACAGACTCTCCACACCCCTATGACTCATAGTATTGCATTCTATTCAGTTCATTAAAATAAACACAATGCCTGTTGCTAAGCCAGCTCAGCTAGATGCTGCACTTGATGGGGTTTTCGGTTAGTGAGCCATGGTGCAGATGGTGGTTTTTCGGACCTACCACTGGTGGTAAGGCGGAAGTTGGCTTTGGGTAGCCCACCCAGGCGCCTTTAGTAAGAAAACGGGTTAGATTACCTGACTGGTTCAGCCATTTGGTATGAATGGTAGCCTTGAAAATAGGGCTATGCCTGCAGTAACTTGTTTTACTGGCTTCCGTGATTCTAGCATAGAGTATATACCAAGTTTTCTGGATAGCAAAGAATAGGGTTAGAAAAACTTATTCTTCGCACAGTTACACACAAAATTGTATGATCTGCCACAATTTTCAGACATAGCTAGATGCTGAGCTTTCTCTTGTAGATTCAACCTGCATTATACTTTGGCCAAATGTGTGTCTTTTTATTTTTTATTAATCTGCCAGTTTTGCAAACAGAGGACTTCTTCACTTGTGTTTCTCCTTAGGATGTTCTTATCTTCTGGCACTTGCACTTCATTTTCTTCAATTCCTGAGGAATTGGAGTGAACTCTTCTCCCCTCACCCTCATATAGTTTTCAGTGCATATGTGTGTTTCTAGGTAGCACGGGGGCGGGGGGGACATACCCAAGGAGTAAAATACAAGAAATCATGGGAACATTGGTAGGAAGAGGTCATGGTGAACTGCAAATTTGGAGGAAGCTGCTATAAGCCAAGAGTAAAATTCTGACCAAAGATAGAGAGGATTTGGTACTAATATTAGGACTGGTTTCCTTTTATTTTAGTTTTGAAGATCATTTATAAAATTAGCAGCATTGTTGTGGAGCAGCATCAATCATTGTTTCTGCTTCAGCATCACACATACTGAATGTCTTAAAGTTAGTATCAATTTGAATTTGTTTTGATCCCATTTTACTGTAGTTGCATTAATTATATGTAGAGACTGAGAGCAGCTAGGGCAAGGCAATTCTAGTTCTGTTTCCCCAAAACTGACCTGTCAATGTGCTTACTTAAACATCTTTGACACAGTAGTCAAAGCTTAGGCAAATCTGCCTTTTCTGAGAAAAGGGGATCCCAGCAATGATAGGATTTGAGGGTGTTCTGGTCAGTGTTGTGGAAGGAATAGTAAATATTCCTGGAACTCAGTCTAAATCTAGCTAAATGGTAAGAAGCAGTCTGGGTAAGTGATGAGAAATTATATACTAAAATTCTGTGGGCAGCTTCTGTCTTCTCTGAAGATGAAGGGATAGGGCATCTATGGGATAGGGAAAGGTTTTAATTTAGTTAGTTTGGATGGTCACTGAGCACTGAGCCCAGTAGGTTTTTGAGCAGCGGTAGTGAATCTCGGGCCCTCCAAGACTCTCTGGACCTTGGAACCTTCCCTTGTCCACATCCCTCACCAACACTTCTTGTGTGCTTCTCAAGTGCTGTTGCCTGAGGGGGGGATGTATGTTTGAATTGTGATAATGGCTCTTGCTTGCCTGGATAGAGGTTGGTGTTTGGGTGTGTAGAAAGCTGACTTTTGCATGGCTGAAATGTAATCTACTGAAAGGGGTAACGAGTCACAGCCACTGCTCTGCTGACTTTTGCCTACATTCCCACTCAGTTTTGCATCTGGGTGCATGCACCATTGACATGTTGCCTGCCTCCCAAGGTTGCCCATGAGAGAATGTGGCCTTCATGGAGAGAGAGGTTCTTCACCCCAATGTAGAACATTCATGAAGGGAATTCTCAAATCTATATTGTCTCTCCCCCGGCAAAAAAAACCTACGGTATATGCAGTTTCATTTAAAACAGTTCTGTGTCACCTTCCTACTGCGAAGCCTTCAAGGTGACCTATAAAAATTCAAATGCAACCATAATGGAACCCACAACAAAATTACCATTTATGAATTATACCCAGTTGTGCCTGTCTGTGTGTGGAATGCTTGCCCAACAGGACTTCCTCATTCTTCCATTCCTCCTGCAGCCTCTCACACTTCCATTTCGCTGCTTCTGCTTGTTTCAGTTTTTAAGCAATCAAGATGAAATTGCACTGTCTGATTACTAGAGTGACCCCTGGTCACAATTTTCCCAGATTAATTTGATATGCATATTTGTTCGGAGTGTTCAGTAATTGGAGTACTTCATCCACACTGAGATCAGAATGAGTCATAAGGTAGTTTTGACAATGCCATATAGTACACAATTCAGATTCTTCAGTAACTAATAAACTAGAACGTAATTTTAATTTTAATGATAAGCCACTTTACTCAGTGAAATAATAAAAGAGTTAAATATTGTTTTTAGGGCTGACAGGTGTTGTGAAGGAACCAACATTGTATTTCAGATCAGGGAGATGCCTTGAGTGGGGTCGTTGTGAACTAGGTATGTATATACAGGCCCAGGATCCACAAGGCTACTGCAACACATGTGGAAAGTAGGAGGAGATAGGTTCTCATATGTGTAAGGGAAGAAGCTTCTTAATTGCATGGGTGATGTTTTTTGGAAGGTCTTTCCACTATTATGGGTATTGGGCTTCTTTACTCAAGCACAGTTCAGTTTGGAAAGCAAGCGTGATTACCTTCCTCTTTATCTCAGCAACTACTAGATGCAGAAGCCTATGAAGCCTATCCTAAGTTCTGTCGCTTCCTTCCTCCCAATTTTGGTTTGTTGCAAAGTTCTGTTTGAGGTTACTGGCTGCCTTCTGCCACCTTTCTTCTGCGTTTACATGTATATATTTCTCACAGTTTCTCTATTAAAAATGGATCCTTTGAATGATGGTGGCATTGAGGTTGGCTGTTTTGTGAGTATTAAGGGGAAGATACATCTAGGTTTTTCATTTTATAAAAATCTTTGGGCAAGAAACCTGAAATAATGGTTACCAGGTGAAGGGAGAAAATCTGCCATGAAATGATAACACCAGTTTCTTCTTGCTAAGTCTTAGTTAAGCTGAACCTCCTTTGTTGCTTTAGTATTATAAGATATTTATTTGACCCAATCCTGCTAGTGTTATCTACGTATCTCTAGATGGCTGGAGAACTGGGGATATATACAAGCCATGTTCTTCAGCTAGTCTGCATTAAAATATTAAAATTTCACCAGTCAGCTGTTAGGAGAGAGCAGGAAGCTGAATTTACCTGCTACCCCTCTTTCCTGCCAAACAGCTGGTCAGCAGAATCTTACCAATTTTGAAACAGCTCTGCACACAATCCTTGAGATGGGGATGACTGACTTTGTTTCAGTATTGTTATTTGGAATGCATATTAGCTTTCAGTATGATTAATTCTTTTTTTCCCTCCTCTGTTTACTAGACAAATTATGAAAACAGAATATACAGCTTGAAAGTAGAGTGTGGGCCTAAATATCCAGAAGCACCTCCAACAGTTAGATTCGTAACTAAAATTAATATGAATGGAATAAATAATTCCAATGGAATGGTAAGATGGAATGCAAGATGATCAAGCCAGTTTATTTTTTGCAGAAAAGCTGATAAGGATTCTGTTTCTTTTTTTGTAAATTGTGCTGTCATATTATGTGTTGGTGGTACCTATGGTCAAGGGGTTGCATCCACATTTAGTCATTTTTAGAGCAGACCCATTGAAATTAGTGAAACTTAAGTTTGTCATGATGACTTTGCCCCATTGATTTCAGTGGGGTTTATTCTGACCAAGTCTGGATCCATACCAAAGTTATAAAGTCACAGTAAAAACAAGAGGCTTAATCAATTTTATGTGGTGTGAAATAGTTAAAGGAATGGAAAGCATTTTTTAAAAATTGTGACTGCCAACATTATCAACTTCTTACATTAGTAAACATTTTGTGTATAGGAACGTGCCAAAGCCACAAATCTCTTTCTCTGTGTAGGAGATTCATCTAGGAAATGTGTAATGTTTGGCATGCCCTTGGGTCCACATATTATAATTTTACAATTGGAGCCATAATTTGGAGTACTGCAAATTAAAGGAAATCTATTCATCAATTATAGTTTGCCTTTGCTGTCATGTTAAATAATTAAATTTTACAAACTTAGTCCTTTTAGCTCCCATTTTTCTATTATGATCAATCCAACTAAAGCTGCAGAAGTTGCCCAGTGAAAATGACTCTTTGAGTCTCTCTCAGTCAAGTACAGGAATAAATTTAAAGCAACAGCACATCTGTTGTCTGTGCTTGCTCTGTATCAGTTGTGTTGGTTTCTCCCCCAGTTGAGTAGGCCATTGATTTCTGTGTAATGGACTGAAAATCCATTAAATGGGAGCTGTAGACTTGCAAGTAGGTTGCTGATTTGTGAGTGAACAGTCAGGTAAAAACTGAACTGATGAATCCCAAACAAACTTAAAGTTATATTGGAATTTTTTTAGGAAGAACTGTGATCTAGCTCTAAAATATTCTGTATGGATCAGGGGTGGCTAACATTTTTGGGGGTTTGTGTGTCATCCAAGATCTACATTTGCTCTTGGCCAACACTCTGGAGGCTGAATGTCAGCAGGTGGTGTGGCTGCTCACACTCACACATGCATGCACAAATGTACAGGGCCCACTGCTCCTGTGGGTCTGATTCGTGCCATCTGATTGAGAAAGGGCTCTCTTGCCCCTTCCCTGCTCATCAGATGATTGAGACTACTGTGAGACTGCTGGGGTGGGCAGAGAGGTTTACCCATCCTCCGCAGCCCCTTGTCACATTTATTTTTATTTTTAATTATGGACTTGGCAATGTGGGGGACAGCGGCAGAAATTTACTTGGTGGCCAGTGGCTAGCCACCCTCAATACAGACCCTCTATAGAATGTCCTGTAGTATAAAAATTCATTGTGGAAGTACTGTGAGATCTTGACTGTTGTATATCCCAGACCTATAAACACATTTTCTGGGGTTGCTTTTTTTTCATGGCCTTTAGGGGTTTCATACATTCTTTACTTATTAAAGAAACAGTATTCTTTGTTACCTTGCTGATTCATCACAATAGTTTCTGTTTTATATTCCAACAGCTGCAAGTGTATATTCTAAGCTCCTTGAATTGTATCCAAACTCAAATTATTCATAAGAGACAGAATAGTTGGCCTGTTTTTCTAAGGATGAATTCATAGAGAGGTTAAATCGCTTCCGCTCTATCCAATAATTAATTAGTTGATGCATGCTGACATTTACATGTTTCTGTTGACTATGTTGCTAAGCTAAAATGGTCAGTTTTTACTAACCTATCCATGAGATATGACAAAACATTATTTTCACCTGCCTTCCTCCTCTTGAATTGTTTAACAGGAGATGCCAAATGTTTTGAAAACTTTCCCTGAATAGCTATAAAAACTAAAAAATCTTCAAAAGGAGCCACAAATTCTCATCCTTGACATTTGTATCCATAGTGGTTTATGATGAGTCACAGTGATAATTAAGGCCTCAATCCTACCACTTCTGTACTAGTGCAGCTAGTGTTAGCACCAGACCATAAGAGCAGGTGGCTGGTGTTTAGGTTGTCTGAAAACTCAATGCAAGCATGCTACTACAGTTATGGAATTGGTTATTTTATGTGCCTTACTTAAATGTACACTTTCTTTCCTTACAGGTGGATGCACGAAGCATACCAGTGTTAGCAAAATGGCAAAATTCTTATAGCATTAAAGTTGTACTTCAAGAGCTAAGGCGTCTAATGATGTCCAAAGAAAATATGAAGCTTCCACAACCTCCAGAAGGACAAACTTATAACAATTAATTTTAGCTGAATCCCAAACTTGTCTTAAACAACTTCTACTTATGTTTAATGTCTTGATTCAATCTCACAATGCAAACCACCCACACATTAAGAGTTTCTGCTGGTGTACGTGATCTGGACATTTGAAAGAATATATATATGTATATGTATGCCCCATATGTTTTCAGGCACAAGCAGAGAAAAAAAAAGGCAGCACAATTATTTTTCCTCTTTACCAAGGCACTATAATTTTAAGCATAAACCTGAAGTAGCCTAAAATTGGAGCTCCGGTGTTTCAAGACGAAAGCATGACAGGAAGTGTCAGGTTGCTGTGGAATAATGTTTCAGAAAACTTTTTCTCAAGAAGAAAAAAAACAAATGGCATGCTTTATCCATCTTGCTTTAGTAAAAGAGCTGCAGATAAAATTGTTTCAGTAGCAGGTACTGCAAATACCATTGCTCAACTTGTTTAATTTTTGCAAAGGTGTGGGTGCTGACTGCTAGTAGTGTCACAGAATACGGTCAGGATTGTTTTGATACTTGTATTTATAAAATGGGGAAATGATTTTCTTTTAAGCGGCTCCTGTGTGTTACATGTAATGGACATTGCAAATATTTGTTTACAGTCTTTGTTCTAATAAACCATGCATTTAAGTTTTAGTGAAGCAAAACAAAAAAGGAAAATAGGTGTATGGATATGTGATTGAGAATAAAATTAGTCTTCAAATGTAAATAAAATGTGGAAAGTATTTGAGGCTGTGCTTATCTCTCTGTTTAAGTTGTGCCAGTAGTACCTTGCAGCACTAAGAGGTCAGATGTTGCTCCTAATCTATGGCAGTGTTCCACTCACTTACTTTATATCTTAGGCTGTTGAAGTGATTTCAGCCAAGCCAGATCCTTAGTCTAGGCACAAGTTAGGTTCTACATGTGTAATACTTTTTAAGACAAAACACAAAATATTGATGACAGAATGGATATCCAGTTGTAACTTTACTGCTTTCATAACTGCTCATGCCCATGTATTTCATATTATTGCGATGCTTTATTGCTTTTTTTAAAAGCAGGTTTGCTATTAAAAACGATGGGTTATATTCCACAGTGTCACTTAGGCTGACACTACAACTTCTGTTAGTTGAATGATTAGGGGAGCAATTTTGGGCTTGGTTAGGGACCCTCCAAATCAGATGTAGGGGGAACACATGAAGCGTCAGGGGGAAATCACTGAAAATTGCTTCTCCTTATTCCAATGACTGAAGCCTTATACTCAGCTATCAAATACAACCCTGTGAGAATAGGAGAAAAGAAAACTGTTGGTAAGCATTTCAGTGCTATCTTAAAGTACTTTGGTGTTGCTGCTAGAAGGTTCGGGAGGTTTAGAGGAGCAGGATTGCAGTTCTTGGATTGGCTGCCCTAAAATAATCATTTAAAAAATATATCCAGTTGCATGGACAGGTGCACAGATGACCTCTCTTCAGCAAAAAGAACATACCAGTGGAAGGCTGCAGTGTGGATAATTTGCAAGAGAAGACCCTTTTAGAATGAAAAGTTACCTGGAGCTTGCATATATACACTTGCTAGGCATGCTGTGGTCACTGTATTGACCAGTCTCTGCATTATGAGTGCAATCTTTTCCCTTCCTTGAGCCATTAGAATAGGTGTGGGAGACCTTTGACTCATGGGCAAACTTGGCCCTCTAGGTCTCCTCTCCTCGTGTAACTGACATTACTGCAAAGGGATAATCAAGCTTAAAGTGAGCTCCTGATTATTCATTTGCTGGAGCAAGATATGTTCCCATCATTGTGAGCTCATGGGTAAGGGGAACGCAGCTCTGATAGCACCAAGCTAGACCTTTCCATGTTAGCAGTTTCAAAGGAAACAACTTGAGTGTTGTTGGAATAAATTGCCCCCTCCTTTCACTTCCCCATCATCGCACCTCAGCCTTTTGAGAGCACCCCAGTTCTTCCTGCCAATGAATTGCTGCCTGTAATCCTGTTTTGAAGCTTTTAACAAAGCAATAAAATGGTCTGGGACCCATCCTCTGGTATCACCTGTTACCTGCTCCTGTGCCTATACATATGCACATGTGAACCTGCATCTTACAGGCATGTTCAGTTGGGGGGATCTTTACTAGAGGTGATCTACATCTACTGTGGCTTGAACCATTAGTAAAGAAAAAGCAAGATGGTTGTAAGTTACACAGGCTACCCCATGGCCTGGACCATAAGCTGAAACACTTCCTATCACAGAATGCTATTGCAGCTAGTAGTCACTTCTGAAAATTAGGGAAACTCAAATGGGTTGCTCTTGAGTCCTGCTTTTGGGATTTTCATAGGCACCCATAGGCTATATCCAGCTGGACTCTTCTTGTGTTCCTATGAGAGCTTTCCTTACATGGATTATGTTGTGTAGTCATTTAGTCGTGTCCAACTCTTCGTGACCCCATGGACCAGAGCACACCAGGCACTCCTGTCTTCCGCTGCCTCCCGCAGTTTAGTCAAACTCGTGCTGGTAGCTTCGAGAACACTGTCCAACCATCTCGTCCTCTGTCGTCCCCTTCTCCTTGTGCCCTCCATCTTTCCCAAAATCAGGGGCTTTTCCAGGGAGTCTTCTCTTCTCATGAGGTGGCCAAAGTATTGGAGCCTCAACTTCACGATCTGTCCTTCCAGTGAGCACTCAGGGCTGATTTCCTTAAGAATGGATAGGTTTGATCTTGCAGTCCATGGAACTCTCAAGAGTCTCTTCCAGCACCATAATTCAAAAGCATCAATTATAGGTGGGCACTAAGGAGCCAGACTGTATGCAGTGGAGGTCTAAAGCCACCAGGGGGAGAAGCTCAAATGGAAATAACAGATTTTGTGTATGTAGAGATCAGGAAAATGAGAAAGGCACAGAGAAGAAGCAAGATCCTACAATTACCTGTCCTGTGGGATGAAGGGCAGAGAGAAGTCTGAATTTCACTGTGACTTATACATGCACTGTCATGACTAGATTAAGAGTTATTGGCAAAGGCTAAGCAGTGGAGGGCTAATCTTCCTGGATGTCTGATGCATTCAGTTTTCTAGGCTCAAGCTATTGATAAGGTGGTTGAAGATAAGGTAGCATTTGTAGGTCATCCTTGAGCTAAATCTGCTCAACTCTGGGTTCTTTGGGACCCTCCAAAAAAGTTCAAAAATTTTAAAAAGGGTTTTGGGGGCAATAATGGTAATTTGTGCTGTTTGAAATAGTTCTGACTGACCTGAAGAGAAAACTAACTGCTGAGAAGCAAAGGAATGGAGCAGGGAGGCAGGGGTGTAAGGGGCCTAGCTTGGTTGAAGAAGTCTCGCTTCTGCAAGTATCTATGGAGTGAGCGCAAGCTTGGAAAAGGATGGTGCAGAAAACACTTCTGGAGGATCTCCAAAACGTAGATCAGTGTCCTGGGTAGGATGCTGAACAATGTGGGAACTGAGAGGTGCCTAATTATAGGAATTAAGCTTCCTAACTGGCATTAAATAAATAATGCCAGTTATTTATATATAAATAAAACAAATTAGCTCCAACGCAAAGACCAGGGCAGGACTGGACAGAAGGGACTTTTAAAAGATACAAGTAGTAAATTGTCAACAAGTCAATCACATGTCACAGCCAGGTGATTAGAAATGTTTCAGAGGAAATGCATATTTAGAGACTTAATCCAGTTACAGGGGAAGATGTCCGGTGGAGGATGCCTCTTTCTAGGTTCTTAGTAAGAAATAAGAGTGTTTGCATTAGATACAGAAGTTCAGGATATATAATTAACCTTTTTGCCATTAATTTTATGACTTGTGCAAAGGCTGTTTGAGAATTGAATTACCGTAAGCCGCTACAGCTTCCCCTCATGGGACTGACCTTATACCACTGTCTCTGTTTATTTGCAATAGTACTGCACTCTTTTACACAGAACAAAGCCAAAATAAATGTTTAGTTTCAGGGCATATGCAGAGTTCCAGTTGAAGTGATATTCTTGGCAATGTGCCACTACCAGCTTTCATGTTTCTGCAACCTCTTTATTGTGTTCTAATCGTATTAAATATCACCCCAGTACTTATTAGTAAATGATTTTAAAGCTAAAGCTGTCAAACTCTTATCTGTGTGCTGGTTATGATGGAAGATTCAATGTTTGTGTCCCTAAGTATCCTCAGGTTTGCCGTATTTATTCTGAAGTAAAAATTAAGATGGAGCTTCTACTGTATCTCTTTCTCCCTCTCCCCCCTAACATAGCTGAGAAGCCCATATTCCCACGGCAGCATGCCTAAAGGAAAAATTGTTTTGCACAACATAACACAGGTACTCTGAAAGTTTTGTGTAAATCACAAAACTTGTGTTTCTTAAGAAAGGTCAAGGGGTTAGGAGTGGCTGTTAAAGGCCACACCCTTCCATTTCCCCCATAATTCAAGGGCTGCCTGAAAGGTAACTGCAAGATGGCCACGGAGACTGTGGATCTCCGTCGTGTTGTTCAGTCTGAACCGTTGCATCATTCCTCTATTGTTTTCCTACTGTATAAACAGCCAGGCTGCTGGAAAGCTGTGGAACTCGAATCTAAGGCCCTGTATGTAAACATGCAGTATTGTTACTGTTTTTCAGTTTACAGTAAACATAGAGCTGCAATACGATGCAGGGGATATTCAGTATTCCTGCCCTCAGAGAATACGTAGATAAAATATCTATTGAGTAGATTCAGAGGTGTTTCCCCAACTATGATTTGTCTCCTCTCTACTACCCCAAGTGTATATTAGCATGGCAGCACCTGTGCTGTGGAACTCCCTGCCTCTTGACATTAAGCAGGTGCCTTTACTGTACTGTTTTAGACAGCTGTTGAAAACCTTTCTGTTCTAGTAAGCCTATCCAGACACATTTGTTTCATTTTTTTATTCTGCTTTGTTTTTAATGATAGCTTTCTTCATGTTTGTTTTTATTGGTTTCTTCATTTTAACCATCCATTATATATAACAGAATCTGCACACTGCTTGGACTTTTTTTTTTAGGAAGCAGTTTATATTTTCCCCTAAATAATAACAATAATAATCAAAAATAGTAAATGATTATAATGTGAATACATTGAATGCCACCCATATCCAAAAGTATATATGAAGCACTACCTATCCATGCATTGTTCCCTGTCTCTTAAGATGAAGCAATAATGTCCTGTTATTAAACCAAAGTAATAATGACCTTATTGCTTTGAAGCGTCAAGGTTAGGTAGGTGGGCTGTTTTCTTTTGTCACCTTCCTGCTTCAGACACTGATTTGGGGGAACCTCTAGATAAAATTTCCTGTGCCACTCCCCACCTGAGAGCACACACCACCTTCTTATAACCTTTTCCCACTGCCTATTTGTTTGCCTCCTTCTCTTGAGACCAATCCACAGCACATCCCAGAGAGAGGACAAGTTGTAAACCATGAATTTGTCACTATGCCTTCTTTTTGCTCTGTTCACTTACCCAATCACTTGTTTAGGGGTAGTAGGTAAACAGGCAACAGCAAGAGCCGGAAACTCCAGATATTGGCAGTGGGCCCAGGCTATGGGTATCATTAGATGCCAGATGATGCCAGCTCTGTAGTGCCTGCCTTGGTGCTAATCATTGTTATTAGTGCCCTTTGCAGCCTTTGTCTTTGCTTGTTGCTTGAATTTTGACTTTGCACAGGGCACTGCTGAAATTTGAGACCCCGAGGTCTGCCAATGTGGCCAGCCATTATGTAAACATAACATTACAATATTGCATTATGTATGAAAAATGTTAGAAATTTTAAAACACACAACGGTTTAAGCAGCAACGTAGGCTAAGCAATGAGGTTCCCTCCTGATGTTGTTTAACTACAGTACCCATCAGCCCAGCCAGTAAGGCTAATGATAAGGATGATGGGAGTTGTAGTTCAAAAACACTAAGGATACCCCATTGACTAGCCTTGCTTTTAAATACAGTTGGTCCAGCATAAACATTTTTTTAAACAGTCCAATAAAAGCACATAAAAGGCATTTGGGAGTGGAGTTTTTAGCCATTTTAAATCCTAAGCAGAAGGGTCAACTATACCTCTATTGGGAGTTCCACAGAGTAGGGGTGCCACTCCTGAAAAAGCCCTGTCCTAGTGCCTGCCCATCTAATCAATCTTAAAGGCATATTACTTGACCAGGGCCTTCGATGCTGAACTTGGGACATAAGCAGTTACAGATAGCCTTGGCCGTAAGCCATTTAGGGCTTTTAACACTCAAGACCCATGCTTTGAAATGGACATGGGAACACACTAGTTACCAGTTCAACTGATACAGCATTGTTGCAATGTGTTCAGAACGCTTAGCACCTGATATAAATTTTTACATTAAGTGGCTGGGAAGTATGATGACCAAACCCTCCGCAATCGCCACTTGATTTTAAACCCTAAGTCTTCACATTCTCTGTTGTTCAGGAAAGACTCTGTGTTCAGTTGGCTGCCTGCCCAACCTTTTGGTGGGAAAGTCACCTATGAAACAAAAATCTGGTTCTGACAGGTTCTGGGTGACACAAACACGCAGGATCTGTGTGGTGCTGCTACTGAAGCAACCCAACCCACAACATAAGTCAGTGAGCCCTTGTTGCACAGCAGTCAGTAAGTCCTCTCCAGGTGCATTTGTCAACCATTGATTTGCAGGCAGAGGTCTGAGGTCTTCTGCTGCCACTTGTGATTCTTCAAAATGGCAACCCTCCTTTCTTGCAAGAGATGCACAGATGATGGTGAAGAGGAGATGCTGCTAGCCGAAGATCGGCCAGATTTGATTGAGTCTCTTGATTCCAGATGCAACAGCAACAGAAGCTGCTCAGGAGGGGCGAACTTCCTCCAAGAGAAAGAAAGGGAACGCCTATCTGTCCACGAGAGTCTGGATTATTTGCCTTCCCACAGCAGCGTTTACAAGAAGTGGCTGCAGGGACAAAACTACAGGTAATAAGCAACCTCTTTTTGTACACACTGGAAATTAGCACTGAATTAGTAACACCGAGTTGGAACCCCATTTGAAATTCACATGAAAGGGAAAATAAGCAATGGGAGTTGTAAGGGAGTTTGGAGTCGGGGATGCACACCTTACGATTTATGCAACTTTCCCTCACTCCAGCATAAGGGATCTGCCTACTTCAATAGGCCTTTGCAGAACAGGCATGAAGAGGGCATGCCCACTATGCTGGGACCCCTGTTTTAAGAAATCAGCAGGAGTTGGGATATTGGAGTTCAGGGATGAGTGCCAGCACCTGTGCATCCCCTTACCCCTCTTTTCTTCCCAGGAGGTTGAAAGGGAAGCAAACGGAAATAACAGGAACCCAGTTTACAGAGGGCTTGGAGGTGTATTCTGCTGCCACGCCATCCAGTGTAGTTAGGCAGGTAATTAGTTATTAGTTTTAGCGTCATTTTGTGTTAAATGGTAAGCTGTATTGCTTTAAAATGGGGTGAGGCCTTGTACAAATGGGGCTACCTCTGTTCAGCCCTGGACTTCTGCTCCAAAGTCCTGTTGCAATGGCACCACCTATACCACCAGAGTTACAGTGCAGCAGGAAGGCAGTACACGTGTGCAGCCTGTGATTTTTTTTCTTTATTAAAAAGTCCATGGGTATATAGAAATGATACCTTTGGGTCTGGGTTTTGCTGTTATATACCAGTTAGCATGGGGTCAGCTGCTTCTGTCTTAGAGTGAGTTATATAATTAATGCTCAATTGTATACATTAGGATTTCCTGACAAAACACATGTTTGTTCTTGCTTTGATTTAAACTTTATGAGAGTCAGTGATATCGAGCACCAGCAGAGAGTTCCATAATAGAAATGGCTTTGGAATAAATATTTCTCATTAGCTTCAAGCTTGATGCAACAAACTTTGTAGTGATCAGCTTTAGCTTTGGGCAAAGATATCCAAACCGATCAAACTAAAGTTTGTTGGTCTGGTTTCATGTTGCTTAACTTCTCCCAACTCCTTTATCGCACTGATTAAGAAAACATTTTCTATAATTAAGTGTGCTGTTCACTCAAAGTAAAGTATTTTTAAAATCTGACCACACGCTTACCTCTCTTGTTCAAATCAATGGCATGCAGATGTACCAAAATATGGGTGGTGGTGGGGAACATGCCCTAATTTTCCTCAGCTCGTACAATAATTTATGTAAGAGTCAGATAATTTAAACCTGCATTTTTCTTAGTCCTCAACATGATGACCAGCAGAGACAAAATAATGGGTCAAATATATTTCAAATGGACATGGTGAAAAATATCATTTTGTAGCTTAAGTATTAAAAGCACATCAAGAACACCTGGGCTTTCTACCTGTTCCTAGAAAGATAATTGAAGTGAGTTGCAGGCCATGAAATAGTACTGTCTTCACTTGGCTCACTCCACTTGCACATGGAGGATTCTGCCCCCCCCCAAGCTTTCACAGGTTAAACATATTTTCCTTTATTTCCTCTTTGCGCATATGACTATAAAGTATTATTACATCGAGTGATAAACTTAAACCAAAGTGTTTTGGTGCCACCTATTGGGAACAGTGAAGAGTGCACTCAGATGTTTAGGGGAAAATGCGCTGTTAGGGACCAATGAGGAACTGCCACATTCTGAAGAGATGCAAAACACAGGAAACTCTGCTGGCAGGTTAGAGCAATTTCCAAATCCACAGTGGGGCAAGACCTTCATTTGTACCAATCTGAATGCCACAAAATACAGCAGGGAGGGAAAAGGTACCAGGAACATCCTAAGCATGTCTTCTTAGGAGCAGTTTATAAAAACATAAAACTTGGTAATACACAGTATTGCTGCAAAAGTGCAGGTTACACATCTATAATTATTATAAGAAAGAGAGTCCACTGTGACCATGAAAGGTTGCAGTCTACATTGGACGGATTGATTACAGACTGAGTTTCTTGCTCTTGCTGCAGACTCTTTCTCCAGCGAATAACTAGGTCTGGGATTCTTGGAAATGTTAAATAGACCCAATTTCCAGTGGGAAGTGGATCCTTGGATCTATTGTTACATTCTTGCATCAGAGCAGTCATAAGAGACATCACACCTGCTTATTTTAGCTGTTAAGGCAGCTGTAGCGGATAATCAGAAGAGCTAAATGCAGCATATTTGTTACCAGTAAACGATATCTTGAAAGTTTATGCTTGTATTTCTCAACTGTTGTGTCTGGATTAAATTATGAAAATTAAGTCAATTTGCTCTTGTTGCAATTTGTTTTGCAGAACTTAAGATTTAGATCAGGGACAATTCAAAGGGCCAAATTAGAGATGTAGGCAATACTTGCCTAGGGATATGGACTTGAAGCTTTGGGGAAGAAAGAACAAGGCAAATGGGTGGAACAAAGAAGTCTCAATCCTTCACTTCTGAGTCATTAGTTAAAGAAAATCATGACTGAAAGACATGAACACCGTTCAATCACAATTCTTCTGAGAGATACCCAGAAGAAACTGAGAGCTCTTCATCTCAAAAACTGAGATTCCAGATTAACTGTTTAGCATTTTAGATGCATTACCAAAAGGCTACTTATTAACATTCTGAGGTTACTGCAACTGATACCAATTCCCTTTTATTTTTATTTTTTAGAATGGACTGGGATCGATGGTTGGTGATGGGCATCATTGGAATAATAGTAGGAACAGTGGGTTTCCTGATCCATCAAATAATTGATTATCTCATCAAACTGAAATGGGAACTGGTGAAGAACTACATTCAGGTAACATGGCAGAAAATAATAATCTCTTTGTTCAAATTACTTTGGGGGAAGTAATAAAGTCCAAGTAAGATTTTGTTACCTGATATTGGCATCATGCCACCTCTGTCCCTGATGACCTCTCTTTCTACAGACACTGAATGACATACTCGGGTAAAGTGTGCATAACAATGCACAGATTTCTGAAAATAACATACAAATAATCTTCATTAGGGGAGACTGCTTTGCAATAAAAATTATATTAGTGAAGATTGAATGCAAATTGTGTATATTAAGAGAAATTTGCACTAAAATGCTGATGAATTATATATATTATAATATTTATATTATATGTATTTATTATATATATATTTGTAGGGTTTTTTAAAAACCCTATGAATTGCTGCAAAAATGTGGAGAACAGAATTTAAGATTGGAAACATAAGGAACCAAGGTACTGTAATTGAAATTGACAGATTCATACATCCCCACTTAGGAAGAACAGTTTTTGATAAAGCTAAGCTAACCTGAACTTGGTCATAGCATGGGAGCCCTTTGTAAGCCACAGTGAACTATGACCCTGGCTACCCACATGTCTTACTTTTAGGTTTCCCAGAGGCATCTGGTTGTGGGAAACAGGCTGCTAGATGCGATAGACCTTTGGTCTACTCCAAAATCACCTTTTATTCTTGCTTGGACATAACTGTAACAATTAAAGCATTGTGAAAGGGAGGCTTGAAGAATGCTGGAGTCTAGAATCATGCTGTAGTGGACTCACCCTGCTAATTGCCCCCAATTAAATATAGTGGACTGACTGCAAAATACGCCAATTAAACAAATTTCTACAATTTATCACAGGCTATCTTGTGTGAGGGAAAACTTAGTGATTTAGAGTCTCAAGCAGGAGTTCATCAAATAAGAAAAGTTTTATTTACAAAAAGAGGTTGGTGAAACCAAGTTGGGTCAGGAGATGCGTTCTTTCAGGTAGAAGTTAACTTATTAGTTAAACGAAATATAAAGATGTCACAGGCTTAAACACAGAAGTCTATGCCCAGCTTTTCTTAAACTTCAGTTGCTAAAAATCAGTTGTTATGCTTCAGGTAGATGTTCAGGTTTCTAGAATTGGTGGTAAAATGCTTAACTCAGTTTCTGTTCCTTTACTTAGCTATGACAGGTGTTACAGTTAAATACTTTTGACACAGCACAGCTTCCTTCACAGATTAATATTTTGGTTCATGAGTGAGGGGCACTTTTAGTCAGTTACCCACTCTTTGAGCAATCCCACACCTGAGGCATTCTAATTAGTATACCAGACCCAGGGGATCACCTCATCACTTGTTACTGGCTTGGAAGTCTTCTGTACCTAGAAGAACTATCCCCTCCTGGCTATACTGAGGCCCAGGTAGTCTGTATTCCCACAGCTGCTACCTTCCCTGGTTCAGACTCAGTCCTTCACTTAACTCCAGTTAACTGTATTCTGTCCCAAGACACTTAACACGGTCTTACTTTCTAAGCTACAACGGCGCTTAGATATTAGCTATAGATATTTTCCTCAGAACAGATGTTAAACGCAAATTTGAACCAACTCTCTCAGACAAACCCTATCCTAATCACTGTCTCCCATCTCAAATTAAGCCCTATCTAAAACAAAAAACAAAAAACCACCAACTCCCTCAGAAACTGCTCCTTTTATTCTCCCTCCAGAGAGGCTCCAGCACTCTGGTAGGATTCTGAGGGACTGCATCACCAGTCTCTGGTCTGGCTCTGCTGCCTGTCACACATGCCACATCTACATCATACATAGTAAACTCTTATATCACTTTATATCAATTTGTGCTTCTCACAAAGGATCCCAGGAACTGTAATTTAAGGATGCTATAGGTTGTTAGGTGACCCCCTCAATGAGCTACAATTCCCAGCACCCTTGCAAAACTACAGTTCCCGGAGTTCTTAGGTGGCAGCCATTATTGTTATGGTGTGGATATGATAAGTAATAACATGTTAAAGAATGAAGTCACAAAGTATATTTACATTTTTATTTGTTGTAAAAATGGGAATAACAACTACCATGAGTGCACCACACAGGGGTGCATTATATATTAACTATAGTCCCATGGTTGTAGCAAAGACCCCAAGTCAGTTTTTAAACACTACACTACACCACACCAGTTTTGTGTTCTCCAAGAGAGACTCCAAGAGAACTGCTACTTTCTTAGATAGGCAACTGAAATAACAGAAATTGTCAGTGGATTTAATAATGTTCCCTCGGTGTTTATAGCTGATGTGACAGGCCCAATACTCGGCCTGTGGTACACACACAGCTTAGTTTCTATTTTCTTTAGATTGAGGCCCATAATAAATTGGTATGCTGACTGCTTGAGCAGTCTGTACAGAATGTGCATCTTGTTGAGTCTGTTGACAATAAGAACGCAGTTGTCAACAGAGAGGACATCAAGGTTCAGTCAGTCCATCTGGTCTTATTTTAATGTGGCAGAAGTTAACAGCATCACCATCAAGGTAAAAACAAATGGAGACTAACCATTATACTTAAGGCTGCATCTAGCACAGCATGGAAGGATCTAAGAAGGAATAACCATAGAGGGCATCTCCTTATAGTACCAGTTGCAACATCTTCTTCCATGGGTGTAGCCAAGATTTTTGCTGGGGGGGGGAAGGCTTTTGTTGGGGGGGCAGAACCTCAGATTTGTATTGATTTAGGGGGGCAGCTGCTCCCCTTGCCCCCCCAACTACACCCGTGCCTTCATCTCTTTGTTACACATGCTCTTGTTGACATCCGTCTGCCTTGAGAGACAATGGAGGAGTGTGACTTTGAGGTTGATGTCAAGCTGTTGGAAGGTTGCAGCCCCTGCTGTAGCTGTAGAGACTGATGTAGGAGAGACATGTTTTGTTGCAGCTGGGGCATAATAGCCAGTTGTCAACTGTCTTTGATACACTCAGTTGTCTTGTCTGAGATTTCAGGCTCAGAGCAACCGAAGAATAGAAGGTAGGCAACAAAATTGGGAAGAGACCTTTGACAAAAACTTGACATTACAAGTCACATGTAAGCAAACTTCAGGTAATCAGAGGAGAAGATTCCAATATAAATTATGTCTATCCCTTTAGTTTGCAAAGAGGTTGACCCAAATTGCATGTATCTGGTCTTCCTGGATGACTGCAGAGTAAGCACATGTTTGCAATTTACCGTCAAACATCTGACCTGAGGCCAAGACAGGAAATCTGTGGTAGCTTGCTGAGCCATTTAAATTTGGGAAACAAAAACAGCATCTTTGACTTACAGGCACAAGAGAATCCAATCTCAACAAAATGACTTTTTTTCTTGCAAATTTGTGGGAGTCAATTTACTTGCAAAGGGCAGTGGAGACAACATGATTCTGGCTAACCCAAACACAAACAGTTCAAAATGGAATGGGATGACAGTCAGACAAAATTGGTGGAATGGAAGGCATATTTTATAACTTTCTATAATAATTCTATAAGGTATTCACTAAGAAAACTGTATAGCCTTTGTTAATTGGATATTGGGATATATGGGTAGTTATGGTATTATTCAGGAAGAGCATTTTGATGAGCATTTGCCTTGAGAAAGATGAGGGTGCAAAATTTTAAAATAATTAATAGTCCAAATTACATTTTAAGCAATATTAAAATAAAGTTTGTTCTAAATAGGAATCCACACAAAATCCTATAGATGCCCAATAGTAAATTCCATTGATTTGAATCAGAATTTTTCCTAGGCATTGTAACCTCAGCTAGGCATGCAGTAAAAGGGATTTCTTGAAAATAAAGTAAGTTGTATTTACCGGTATGTCAAGTGACACTAAAAGTGCCTTTTTTGTCTTTAATCCTTTAAAATAAATGTGAATATAGTTAATTAATATGCAATATATGTTACGGTTGCCATATTTCAAGAAGTAAAGATCTGGACACCCTCAAAGTTGTTGAGGAATAATGAAGATCCAGGACAAACTGCTGCCTGGATATTCCCCCCGGACGTCACTTCCGCCTTTGAAATCCCAGTAATGTCCGGGAAATCCTGGACGTATGGCAGCCCTAATATATGTGACATGGGATCTTGCTATTTTCAGCTCAGACAATGCTCCCTGTTTAATGGCTATTTCATTCAAGTGATCAATTTCAAATATTGTAAAACAGAGAGCATAAATCCACATGATGACTTCCTTCTATGAACATGTGTTCTTTAAAGACACGTATTCAGCTAAGTGTACTCAGAGCAGACCCATTGAAATTAATGGATCTAGCTTAGTCATGCTCATTCTTTTCAATAGGTCTGCTCTACATAAAACTTAGTTGTAAAAAAACATTTTTACCAAGAGCTGTAATGGCTGGTGAGGTGGTTTGGTAGCTGAAACTGCTGGCATCTGCTATATGACAATTGTATGTGTGTGTTGGAGGGGGGTCCTGTCCATATATTTTAGCAATGGGAGAAGTTGATGGGGGCAGATGGTGCTGTACTCATCACTGTGCACAGGATGCTGGACAAGATGGGCAATTGGTCTGATCTTTAAGGCTCTTACGTTCTTCTAATATGTGGATTGACAATGTATTTGTTTGGCAAATGAATATCCTACCATATTAAGCAGTTTTTCTACCAATAACTATTTATTTTGTAAAACTGGCAGAAAGGCAACTTTCATATGACCTGGTTATATATACTTGGAATTGGACTGGCTATGATCATTGTATCCTCAGGACTGGTTGTGGTAAGTACTGAACACCTGCTTCTTGCTCAGTTTTTAAAATATCAGGATATGATATGTTTGCCTGGCTGGAATGTGTTCCGTGATAATGCTTGTTGCTTGCCTATGTGGAAGATAGAAAAGGTGTGTGTATTTGTGTTTTGTGTGTGTAGAAACTAGCCTACTGTAGAAGGTAAAATTCATATTAACTTTTCTGTCCAATTTTGCCCCTGGTCCCACCTACCCCTAGCATGTGGCCCCTGGAAGGTTGCCTCAGGCTGAAAAAGTTCTTACACTCCTGATTTAGGCATGTTTACCTGATAATCCAGGACACGGGTGGCGTTGTGGGTTAAACCACAGAGCCTAGGGCTTGCCAATCAGAAGGTCGGTGGTTCGAATGCCCGTGACTGGGTGAGCTCCTGTTGCTTGGTCCCAGCTCCTGCCCACCTAGCAGTTCGAAAGCATGTCAAAGTGCAAGTAGATAAATAGGTACCGCTCCAGCGGGAAGGTAAACGGCATTTCCGTTCGCTGCTCTGATTCGTCAGAAGTGGCTTAGTCATGCTGGCCACATGACCTGGAAGCTGTACGCTAGCTCCCTCGGCCAATAAAGTCAGATGAGCGCCGCAACCCCAGAGTTGTCTGCTACTGGACCTAATGGTCAAGGGTCCCTTTATGTTTTTACCTGATAATCCTGTTGACTGACGAATCATGACTTGATATTGGATAACATTTGATTCGAGCTGTGCTATGTGAGCTTATGTGGCTGCTACAATAATATTGCCTTTTCCTTTTCCCAGTTCTTTTGTCCAACAGGCGCACCAAGTGGATTACCGGAAGTCATAGGTTTTCTGAACGGAGCTTCTATTCAGCACATTTTTAATATCAGAACTTTTGTGGGAACTTTTGTTTCTTGTGTTCTGGCTGTGGCATCTGGGCTCTTCTGTGGACCAGAAGGTCCCATGATTCACTTGGGGTGAGAAATCAATATTTTAAAAGTTACAGATTTTAAAGAAAATAGGGATAGGAAGAATGGAATGGAGAATATTGGGAAAAGGCATTAGATGACTGGCACCCTGAATAAGCACACTTCCTACTGCAATATTTTGTTGCATGCCCACTCATATATATATAAAACACATAGATAAAATCTTATGAGTATAATCCATAATATAAAGAATGAATTTAATTTGTCATTGCTATTATATTAAAAATATTGGTCACTTTTTCTCACCGAGCAACTCAAAGCAGCTTGCAACCAACTAGTTTTGCATGCCTTCTGCCATCTGGTTATTTGATTTTTTAAATTTGAAACTTTGTAAATCAGAAAATTAAATATACCATTAATTTTTCACAATACTTTCCCCAGTGCAATAATAGGATATGGATTGAGCCAGTCCAAGCCAAAGATCCTTGGAATGAATCTCCCCTCCTTCACCAGATTTTGGAACTCAGCTGACAAGTAAGAGACCTTATCAAATAAGTATGCAATAGTTAACTAAAAAGGGTTACTGGCTGCCTTAATTTAGGTAACATGTAAAATAACAATAGAAACACGTAACTGTAATGGTGTCTTCAGTGGAAACATAGAGTTGCGTATCCGGTGCTATCAAACAGTTCAATGGGACTTTACATTCTTCTCTGCCATTTGGCAATCTCCACAGATTTGGGGAGAGCCTGAGGGCTGCAGGAGGAAAGAATAGAAGTAGAAGTTTGCTTGTGCAATGTTGGACTCAGCTCATAAGGGCTATACTGCTGAAGAATTGTATGGACGCTTTCTTTAGGAGAAACAAGGGTCCGTTTTGGATGCAAAAATCCAGACAGCTTTCCTCCTAAATCATGCCTCCACAGCAGCAAATACAGCATTTCAAACAGCAGTTCACAGTGCAATGTATATGTGTTTACCTGGAAGTAAGACAAAAGGTGGTCATCGCGGCTTAATGCTGTGTGGTGTGAGTGTGGAGCAGAATCCACATCCACATGTGTTTGTCTTGACTGGTGAAGCTTGATTAGTGAAACCTGGTTATGTTGCACTTTTGAGCACCATCATTATGAAGCATACAGCTGCCAAATAGAATATGGTAAAGCTGCTACGTTGAATGCATAGAATAAATGAGGTTTAAGGCTTCTCATCTGATTTTTAATTGCCTTCTCACGTATGTTTCAATAGTGGCTTACTCATTTACAGAGCATGAACAAAACAGAACTTTCAGGTCAAAATGGTCAGGGGATTTTTAAATGGATGTTGCTCACATGAAATGACTTCATGCAATGTGACATGGAGAATGCTACTTCTGTATAAAATAACATATTTTCAAGATACTTGGATGCGATAAATCACCAGATCTTGCAGTATGGACATGAATCACAAACACTTTATCTTCTATTTGTGAAATGCTGGCATTTGCAAATGCATGGGGTGCCCTGTAAGATCTTACTTTAAACAGGATCTATTATACCAGTGTTATTGTTCATGTCAAGCCTGCATTTGGAAAGCTTTGAATGATCAAGTTCCATAGCCTTAAAACAGTGGATTATAAAAATATGTAAATAAAACATGTGCCTTTGACCGTACTGTTTGTTGTATCTCCAAACAAAAAGCCATTACAAACTATCTGTGGCTCAAGGATAACCAGACAGCCCAAATAAACATGATACATTTTGCTTTTTAACTTGCCTCAACAATTAGTGAAATAACTTAGAGATGTGTTTGTTAAGCTGTTACTTATGGAAGAAATTTGCCCCGTGACCAATGGCACATATTTCTGAAGTATTTTTGCATGTTCATTAAAATCCCCATGGCAGTTTGAATCCACCTGATACGGGTCACAACCAAATACATTGGCCCTTGAGGTCTATCTAGTAATAGAGGACTTGGGTTAATTCAGTTTGACAAGAGTTGGCTAGATTGCTGTTGCATAGCTTGCTATGGGCATTTCCAGATGACCTGTTCATCCTGATTTGTTTGCAGGGAGATAGGACAATGTTGGCTGCTCAGAGAGCATTCACCAGTAGTGGCTGGTGAGGCAGTAGGTGTAGGGTACCCAACACAGCAGGACGCGGGTGGCGCTGTGGGTAAAACCTCAGTGCCTAGGACTTGCTGATCGCAAGGTCGGCGGTTTGAATCCCCGCGGCGGGGTGAGCTCCCGTCATTCGGTCCCAGCTCCTGCCCACCTAGCAGTTCGAAAGCACCCCTAAGTGCAAGTAGATAAATAGGTACCGCTTTATAGCGGGAAGGTAAACGGCGTTTCCGTGTGCGGCGCTGGTGCTGGCTCGCCAGATGCCGCTTTGTCACACTGGCCACGTGACCCGGAAGTGTCTCCGGACAGCGCTGGCTCCTGGCCTCTTGAGCGAGATGAGCGCGCAACCCTAGAGTTGGACACGACTGGCCCGTACGGGCAGGGGTACCTTTACCTTTACCTTACCCAACACAGCAGGTTTCTGAGAAGCAGAGGGGCAGCTATGAGGAGCTTGGCATAGTGCAGCGCATGGTGGCAGAGCCAATCCAACACTCCTGCCTGTATGCACCACACTGAGCTCCCTGAATTGGGGCCCTTCCTGTCTCTATACACAGCAGCAACCCGGTGGGTTGGGAAGCCAGGAGAGCAACACAGCCCCCCTCACCCCCACTAGTGCCTTACCAGCTGCTACTGGTATTCAGTCTTGCAGGAAGGTTAGTTGACTATGCAAGTGTTAGCCTACACTTTCTGGTACCTTTCCCAGTCACTTTCCTCATTGCAAAAAGTCTGAACTTTTGGAGAAGTGGATTTGTTTCACAAGCCCTCCTAATCAAAAACAGTTGTGACATTTGAATTTTTGTTGCGGAATTGAATCCCACCTGAAAATAGCAAGTCTGGAAGTGCCATATGCACCATTCAAAAGCAGGTATCATTTTGACTTTATTTTGCTCTGAGAAAATATATAAAGTTGGCACTTATTTCAAGCTCATGACAAAGTAATTAATTATGCATGCTGTTTTGTGAACTAAAGATGAAGAAACAAAATAAAAAAATCCTTCCAGTAGCACCTTAGAGACCAACCAAGTTTGTTATTGGTATGAACTGAATCTGAAGAAGTGTGCATGCACACAAAAGCTCATACCAATAACAAACTTACCGTAGTTGGTCTCTAAGGTGCTACTGGAAGGATTTTTAAAATTTTGTTTCGACTATAGCAGGCCAACACAGCTACTAAAGATGAAGAGTATATCTTACTTAAAAAAGTAATGGGATTATCCTGAAACTCTGTTCTCTCCTCTCCCCCCACCCCACACTCCTCTTTGTTACAGGAGGAATTTTGTTACGGCTGGTGCTGGAGCAGGGATTGCCTCTGTGTTCCATGCTCCAGTGGGTGGACTTCTATTCACACTGGAGGAGGTGGCCTCTTTCTGGGATATCAAGCTAGCCTGGCAAACGTTCTTCTGCTGCATGACGGCTGCCTTCACCACAGATCTCATCTCCTCTTCTCTCTGTGGGTTTGTCTACAGGGGCCAATTTGGATTTTTCAAAGCAGAGATGAGGATTTTATTTTGGGTATGTACTACATCCACACTAAATTAAGCCAAGGCCATGTGTGTATTTCGCTGTGCCTGTTTATTTAAAATATTCATATTCCACTTCACCTTATGTTCAAGGTTGCTTATCCTATGAGGAAAAGCTGCCACATTGGGGGCTTTTTAAAGTTTAAAGAAAAGGTGAATAAGAGGTGGCCTGATAGACGTGTATAAATTTATGAGTGACCTGGACAAAGTGGATGGAAGAAAACCTTCCCGTCCCTTCTCATAACACTAGAACTCATTGTCATCCAATGAAATTGAATGTCGGAGGATTCAGGCAAGCAAAAGAAAGTACTTCTCCATGCAGCACATAGTTCAGGGGTAGGCAACCTAAGGCCCGTGGGCCAGATGCGGCCCAATCGCCTTCTCAATCCAGCCTGCGGACGGTTCGGGAATCAGTGTGTTTTTACATGAGTAGAATGTGTGCTTTTATTTAAAATGCATCTCTAGGTTATTTGTGGGGCATAGGAATTTGTTCATTTTTTTATTCAAAATATAGTCCGGCCCACCACATGGTCTGAGAGTTGGTGGCTGAAAAAGATTGCTGACCCCTGATATAGTTAAACAGAAGAATTTGCTCCCATAGGAGGCAGCAGCAACCCCCAACTTACGGTAGATGGCTCTGAAAGTAGATTAGACAAATTCGTGGAGGATAAGGCTATCAATAGCAACTAGCCATGATGGCTGTGCTCTGGCTCTACAGTCAGAGGCAGGAAGAAGAAGAAGAAGGGGAGTCTGGATTTGATATCCTGCCTTATCACTACCCGAAGGAGTCTCAAAGCGGCTAACATTCTCCTTTCCCTTCCTCCCCCACCACAAACACTCTGTGAGGTGAGTGAGGCTGAGAGACTTCAAAGAAGTGTGACTAGCCCAAGGTCACCCAGCAGTTGCATGTGGAGGATCGGAGACACGAACCCGGCTCCCCAGATTACGAGTCTACTGCTCTTAACCACTACACCACACTGGCTCTCAGTGCTTTTAAATACCAGTTGCTGGTAACCACAGGAGGGGAGAGGGCTCTTGTGCGCAGGTCCTGCTTGCAGACTTCCCATTGGCATCTGGTTGGCCACTGTGAGAACAGGATGCTGGACTAGATGGGCCATTGGCCTGATCCAGCAGGTTCTGCTTATATTTTTTTAGAATCATAATTAAAATTCCATAAAACAGAATTACAAATAAGTTGAACATCTAAAACAGCAGTAATAAACACCCAGCTCAACTGATTTCAGCTTCCAAACACCATCCTGAATAAAAAAACCTTGCAGACTCTTAACATTTTTTAAAAATTAAATTTATATACAACACTTCATCTGAAGATCATAGGGTAGTTTACAACATAAAAACATTCTTCTGAAAATGATCACAAGTGTGCTTTGGTTAACTTTCTCTGGAAGGCCATTCCACAACCCTGAACAATCATCCCCCAAAAAGCTCAAATCTTTGCTGAGGTTGACTTGACCTCAAACAATGATGGAACACTGAACAGGGCACCAGATCAGGTGGGAATAAATCATTCTGTTAGGTGTGCATGTCTAAGACCATAAAGAGCTTTAAAGATTAAGAACAGTGAGTGGTATCCAATGCAAATTGTACTCAGAGCAGACCCATTCAAATGAATGAACATGACTAACGTAGGGCCATTAATTTCAATGGGTCTACCTTGAGTAAAACTATTGGGCTATAACTCAGTGTCTTGAATTGTTAGCAGATGGCTCCTGCCTCCCCATTATCACCAGGACAATATCAGAAGATTATGGGTAACATTCATCCTGGTTTTAGTGAATACTCTGGGCAGGAGCAGATGCATCTTAGGAATCCTGCAGAGCAGGAAACAGCTTTGAGGCAATTCAGGGGGTGAGAATCATGTGTGGGGAACCCAGGCTGCTTCTCCCTTCTATATTTCCCCACTTTGAAACTGATTTCTTTAAAATAAGGAAGTTCCTACAATGTGCCTTTGACCCTCTTTTAACTTGCTTGCTCCATATGTGGATCTTAATATGGGAAACACCACAGTTTCGACTGATTTAAGGCATATGCCACTTCATACTTCTCATGTGAATATGCCATAAAACACAGGAGACTGTTTTATAAACTGGAGAGTAATCCAAACAAAGATTGAGGCGAAACATAGTTGGGGACAAGTAATACCTTCATAATATCGGTGTTCTTGGCAAGATTGGAGACTTACGGAGAGAACTGAGTGAGAGAAACCTTTTGCAGAACAATCTTGTTTTATAGCAGTGCTTTGAACAATCCTAAAAACTGACTAGAAGCACCAATATAGTTTTCCATTTCATGTTTGAATTCTTTATCTCATATGATTTCTTGCAGGCTCTTCTTTAGTATTCCTTTGTGGACTCATCTTCTTTCTCATCTGATCCTCAACCAGATGTATGATAAGGGAATTTAGCAAATATAATTGAATGTGGATGTAATGGAAAAGTGGGTAGGAGGGAGAGAAAACTCTTAAGAAATAGGCTCATGGAAACACACTTATCTGTCCAAGAATGTCCTCCTGAGCAATTTAGGGACTAGCTACTCATTTTTTTTATTTTTTGCAAAACATATTACAATGACGTCATCATTATGTGTCCAGAGCACTGCCTAGTCCTATGTTGTTAGATAAGTTTCAATTCTTAAGCCCCAAGAATGTGGACAAGGTGCTTGAATTGGTCAGGGTGACCACTTGTGCTCTGGACCCTTGCCCCTCTTGGCTGATAAAAACTAGCTGGGCCAGGGAGGTGATTTATGCCTCCTTGTGAGAGTGAATGGTCCCTGCCTGCTTGAAGGAGGCAGTAGTAAAATCATTCCTTAAGAAATCCTCACTGGATTGGGAAAATCAAAGTTATTACCGACCAGTTGCCAATCTTCCCTCCTTGGCGAAGGTTCTTGAGCAGGTGGTCGCAGACCAGATCCAGGCACTCTTGGAGGAAACTGATTTTCTAGTTACATTTCAATTGAGGTTTAGGCTTAGTTTTGGAGCAGAAACTGTTTCAGTTGTAAACTGTCCTATGGGCGTAGTCAAGGAGGGGCAGGGAGGGGCAGCTGCCCCCACCCCAGATCAAGTGAAACAATAGGAATACTTAACTAACTGACCAATCACGTCAGTTCTGTCCCTTAACAAAAGTCCTGTCCCCCCCAACAAAGTCTTGCCCCCCCTAACAAAAATCCTGGCTACACCCATGAACTGACCTGTGACCCTCATATGAAGGGCTGTATAGAAATTAAATAAACAAATAAATAAATAAATAAATAAAACAAGTTAGTTTTAGTAACTTGCATACATATTTTGGCACATCTATGGCATGGTTTCCATACTTGAGCAAACAAAGTTTCTGCAGGCATAACAAATAACAAAAGTATGTTCAAAATGAGTACCTTTTAATGTTACATTCTAGGCCCAAGGACAGGCAGGGGGTAAGCAATTGACCAATAAACTGTGGTCCTTGGCATCTTCAGTTTTCCCATATATGTAGGATAATGATACTTGACACATTGTTTTGCCCACTGAAGTAACTTTTAAGTGCTGTTAACCTGAGAAGATAATTCTCTTCTGGCTAGACAGGATAAAACTGGCACAAACTCCTGTCTTCTGGATTTGTGCTAAGCCACCTTACTGTAACAAAGGGGCACAGACCTTGGCAGATATAATGAAAAGAGAGTTGAAACTTTGGATTGTATTACAACACCTGCCGTAGGAAAGTTAGCCTAATAATGCTACATTTGTGAACAATTCATTTTTATCAGATAGCGTTTACAAAGAACTGCTGTTCCTTCGTGGATAGTTTGATAAAAGAATGTAGGCCAGCATACCTTTGGTACTTTATAATATCTATTAACTTAATATTGATAGCAAAAGAGATTACTCATGGATTTGCCAGACATAAACACAAGCAGTTCTACTGCGTCCGATCAGACCAACAGCTTAGCTCAGACTTAACTACATGCTTGGGAGACATTTCCAAAAGAAGCTATTATGTCACCCTCCACCAGGGCCCTGGTTACCAGAGCTATTAGCCACTGTTACAGAAGAAGAAAAGATGTGGCAGGTTTTTGTTTAATTCCACTCAAACTCAGACCTTGGGATTTTGGGTGATTTCAGAAGGGTCAAGAATAAAAGGCAAAAATGAACGGAAGATGTCCAAAGGTGCTGTAGAAGTCAAGACTCACTTTATTTTTAGAAAGTTGTTTGACACATTTCAAGCTGTGCAGCTTTTTCTTTCCAAGGGTATTTCCCTTGTGCAACTCTTTGCAGAGAAAGCAACGTTCTTTTTGCACTTGCCTTGTTTAGGTGAAGAGACAGGTGGTAAATGGTGGGGGAGAGAACTTGCTCTCTCTGGAAAGGGTCTTGCAAGAAAACACATTTTCAAGGGTATTTAAAGCCCTAGTTAGCTCATTTTGGGGCTGTGTACACATTACCAGTTTAAAACTTAACTAGGCCTGCCCCTCCTCAGTTTGGATTAAAACTGGTTTGGGTGAAAACACGTCAAAATGCAGCATTTTATAGGAAACAACAGAATAGATACAGGATTGTCGCTTACATTGTGCATATACCACTTGTGCATCTATGATCAGAAACAGGTACTTGTTGGTAGTGGCACCTGGTTGGGTTTATGGAACATCTTCCTTTGAGGAAGTTTTTACTCAACATGAAGAAAAGCCACTTTGCCACAATTGCCATACAGAACAATACAGTGGATTATAATGACTTCCGCCTTGAGTTACAGTTTATAGTCCTTTATAAGTTTATTTAGGATATTTCACAAAAGAGCAATTGATTTTGACTCCCACTCTCCTGGAGGAACTGTTGCCAGTGTGGTTTCTACCACAGCTTCACTGGTTTTTTTTTGCTTGCCAGCTAGGCTACTTAATCAAATGCTTTCATTTCATTTAGTGTGGGGCTCCAGGGAAATCTGGCTGCTTTCATGTTTTATAGCCAAACTCTGAGCAGAGAGCTTGTGGGTTATGTCAAGAAAAAAACCAACATTTATTTTCTTCAGTTTATGCTGAATGTAATGTAAAGAAGTCTTAAGACCCTTGATTTTCCAAGGGTAGGATTTTATGGAAGTCTGAATTTATTATTTATAATTTCTGCAGTACTATGCACACTTAACCTGGGAATAAGCGTGCATAGGACCAAGCAGCACAACTTGCTACTACTCAGAACAAAGTGTAGTTCATCTTGGTTGGATTTAAGTTTTAAAGAGCAGGAAAAATGTGAAATGTACTCAAGTAGGAACTATGAACCAAGATAAATCTTATGAACTCATGCTGCAAATGTAATGCACACTGTGTTAGAAGAAACATGTTAGAAGACAAAAATAAATTATATATAATGCATATTTCACTTGTAATAGCTTATGGTTCAGCTTCAGTTATATCATGCAGGTTCTTTTTTTCTTTTGGAGAAAGCTATATGTAGCAGAATCAAGGGGCGACTCTTTGCTGGAGGTATGCCAGCCAAGTAGCTATAGGGCAGTGCGGGGGAACAAAATTAAAATGTTCATTACCGCTCCACCCACTTTCTACCTCTGGCCCCACACAGCGTTGACATATGAACCACATAAGTTTGCCCAAAAGGAATGCAGCCCACAGGCTGAAAGAGGTTCCACACCCCTGCTATAGGATATGGTGGAAGCTCCCTATATCTGGTGCAACACCCAATATGCCACTGCTGTTGCTTATTCACTGGTACAACTCTCCAGATATGCTGGCTGAGCACTCCATCAGTACATCTGTTCCTGGAGCCACTGGAAGCCATATGAAATTGTTTCTGGCATATGGCGGCCCCCAAACCCAATCCTGAGCAGGCAAATACAAGTTATAAGCAATTGAGCAAGTGCTTCTGTTTTAGGGAAATAGGATTGTATGGGATTACTTGCATCCTTTAAAAAATCATTTCTGTTGGTATGCATGTGTTTGATGGAGAGCAGTGCAAATGTGTAGTAAGGCTCTGCTGGTTTTACAGACCTGTAGAAGATGTACATCTGCTGTTAGGACGTTCAGAAGGTCAACAATGTAGTCTTCTGTACTAAAGTACCCAGCAGTCTCTGTAAGGCTGCAGTCCCCAACATGGTACATAGGAACACCATGTTGCCCTTGGCACCCACCAAGTCTCCCTTTCTTCCATTTTTTAAATGTTCCCCCTTTTTGGAGACTTGGTAGTTTTAGCTGTTCCTGTACTTATTTGGGGTTTGTGTTTTGCCTGTTTTAGGGGAGGTGGCTTCTGAGTATTGTCATTCTATGAAATGGGTATTTTGTGGTGCCCACAACAGTTTCTGAGATTTAAAAATATGCCCCTCGGGATCCCCTGCTTCTTAGGGACATATAGGAAGTAAAAGGAATCAGGAAGCAATGAGCTTGCCATGGAATTAAAGAAGAGTTCTAGATTGTGATACAGTAGCAAAAAATGCTAATGCTTTTCTAGGCTGTATGAACAGAAGTATAGTGTCCAGATCAAGGGAAGTAATAGTACCGCTCTATTATGCCTTGGCCAGACCATACCTGGAATCCTGTCCAATTTTGGGCACCACAATTTAAGAGGGATGTTGACAAACAGGAATGTGTGCAGAGGTGGGCAACCAAGTTGATCAAGGGTCTGGAAACCAAGCTTTATGAGGAACTGTTAAAAGAGCTGGGTATGTTTAGCCTAGAAAAGAGGAAGCTGAGAAGATATATATATATATATTTAAATAATATTTATTGAAAGTTTTTTAGAATTACAGAAAAAAACACAGCAGAAAAAGAAAAAAGAGAAAACAAAAAGAAAACAAACCACATCAAACAATGTAGATTCAAAAAACAAAAATACACCACAAACAGATAAAAACAAATCCATCATTCTCTAATCCTCAACTTTCATTATCTTCTTTCTTTGACCTCCTCCTCCTCCCTTTTTTTGTATCCTAGTTATTAAATATCGCAGCAAATCCTTTCCATATTTCATAATATTCTGTCATTACATTCCCTTAATCTATTTTCATCTTATCTTATAGAAAACCTTAAAACTTAAATCTTATTTTTACCAACTTCTCATAACCATAATATTCTTACCTAATTCTTTAGACATTTTTGCTAGAGCCAAGTAATTTCGTTCCAACATTTTTCTAACATTCATCAATTTTATAAAACAATCCTAGTAATAAAAGAAATAAAAACAATCCAATCTTCATCCAGCGTCCCTTCCTCCTGGTCCCGGGTTTTGTCAGTCCTCTTTATCTCATTGATCTAGCACATTAACCTGGTAACCTTATATCCGAGGCCCTTAAGTCTCTTCCATGTCCCTTCCGCAGCTCTTCTTCATATTGTCCTTTCACTCGTGGGAACTCCAGCTTGGTAATGTTTTTGACCCTTTTCAACAAATCAGCCCCTTTTCCAAAGTCCAGACTAAACTCCATGTGGTATTTAAAAACATGTTTCAGAATCCCTCCAAGATTAAGAGCCCCCACAGCCCCAAACCTCTCACAGCCCATTGCTAGACTTGGAAAGTCCAAACATGCCTGCATAGGGGGGTCTATCCAACCCCCCATTTCCAAACCAGTCCAAACCTTATCTTTCCAAATCTGGCTTTTTCCAAGTTCATTTGTCAAATCCAAAGGCTCATGTTCCTGCAGGGCCACAGCTCCCTCCATCTCTGGCGCCCAAGATTCAGCAACATCCTCTTCTCTCATCTGTTCTGCCAGGGCACACTCCTGATTTAATTCCTGGGTGGGCTCCATATAGTTTCCCAGTGCCTGTTCAAAAATTCTGACCGCATTAGTCATCAAATCCGTATTCTCATTTAACTGTTCCAGTAGGGCATTTGTTTTACAGAGAGCACACAACAGAGCTTCTGAATACATTGTCCTGCAAGGTCACAAGTCTATTCCCACGACTGTAATCTGTAACAGCTGCAAGCTCCCTGGAATTAGTTACAGTTTTACAGGCTCCCTCTAGGGGGGAAACTTCTATTTGTTCTTTCTTTTAAAGACGAATCTAGCAACAAAGTTTCCTTTTTGAGATATTTTGTCAATATTTGTTCCTTTAAAATGCGAAAGGGAACAGTGGAATCTCTATGTTTCTCTTCTTTTAGCTATCTGTCAAAAGCGTTTGTCTCTGGTCAATGAGCTTCAAACGTCAGTCCTGACACCCCGCTCCAGGATCAGGACGGTGGAAAGTTACTTTACTTTAAACTCACTTCTGCAGGTTTAAACAGTCCGAAAAAGATCCCCCTTCTTCTCCTGCTTCCGAAGGGGGGTTCAACAATTTTAAATGATGAAAGTTAATCTTTTAGCGATTTTCTAAGCTCTAGTTTACGTTGTCTTTGCTTTATTCTGTCTACAAAGAAACGGAAGGCTGACTTCCTGTTTAGACCTTCCCGTTTCAGTGCCAAATTGAAGTAAATTTTTAAGTCCAATTCCTTTCTGCTCGCAAGTCCTTATTTAAAGTCCAATTGTCCGAAATTTAAGTACTCATGGGTGATTATTTTAGAAGCCAAATTGTCCCAGGAAAAAGGCAGCGCTCTCCAGCAACGGCTATGCGGCTTCGCTCCACGGAAAAAGCAGTTGACTCTCAGCACCGCGCCACTTCCCCCTCTTCGCTTCAGAGCCCGTTAGTGGGTTCCTTTGCGGGTTGGGGGGGTGCTAAGGGTGCCCGCCGAGTCCCATGGTCACAGGCTTCATCCGCCTGTGATTTTCGAAAGGGTCCCCGCTTCGCCGTAGCGGAAAAGACCCGTTTCGCGCGGAGCTAGTCCCTCCAGATCAGAGGGAGTCCGCCATTGCCGATGGCGCCACCCCGGAAGTCGAAGCTGAAAAGATATATGATAGCCATCTTCAATTATCTCAAAGGCTGTCACATGAAAGAGGGAACAAGCATTGTAGGGTAGGACTCGAACCAATTGGCTTCAAGTTATAATAAAGGAGATTCTGACTAAACATATGGAGAAAATTCTGACAGTAAGAATTGTTTGACAGCAGAATATTCTCTCTCAAGAGGTTGTGGACTCTCCTTGCTTGGAGGTTTTTAAGCAGAGGTTAGATGGCCATCTGTCATGAATATTTTAGTTGAGATTCCTGCATTGCAGGGGGTGATCCTTGGGATCCTGTCCAACTCTACAATTCTATGATTCTATGAAATTAAAGAACTACAACAGGAATAAAATTGATTAAAACAACTCAATGTCTGAAAAGATTTCCTTGATAGAGAAACCTCAAGGATATATACAGCATGACAAGTTCTTTGGGAGGCACTGGCAAAACTTAGAATTTCAAGGGAAAACATGCTGTTGATTCTTAAATAATAACTGGCCATCCAACAAAGGTAGAAGACAGCATCAGATAAAATAAAGAATCTGGCATGAGGTCCTTGGCTATGATCCATAAGCTATTACAAGTACAACCTGCATTTTCTACATCTAATTTCTGCTTCTTTGAGTTGTTGTATCACACCTCTTTTAACAGAGTGGCTGCTGCATGTCAACTAAAATGGCAAAATTAACAGAACATATTGTTTCTTTCCTCTTCAATGCAGGTTAAGAACTTACTGGACATGAGTGTGTTGGCCTTCGTTCCAGCCATTTTCCTTGGAATACTTGGAGGACTTTTAGGAGCTCTTTTTGTTTTTCTGAATATAAGAATTAATAGATTACGCATGTGGTTCTTCAACACAATTCCAAAAACATCCCTCAGAAAAACAGCTAAGCTCCTAGAATCTGTGCTGGTTCTTGTAAGTACTTAATGGTGTTTTGCCAAGTGTTCCAAAGTTACAACTGTGCTAGCTAGAATTAAGACCTAAGTCTGAAAACATAAAGGTTACTAGAACAATGGAAGGTGCTAAGTTGCCACATAGAACTGGCAGAATAACAGCAGATACTCAGAGGCCCTGAATCTATCTCCTACCAATATTTTCCAGTCTTTCTGAATTATGCAGAAGTCTAGTCATTAACAATCAGGTTAGGATTGTAATTTACAACAGTTATTGTTGATACTGCTACATAATACATTGTTTGGGAATATATCCATAATTCATAAATTTATGTTCAGCTGTTCAGACATATTTTGATCTTATCACATGCATACAAATTTAAACAGAGACTTTGGGGTTAGGGACCCACATATATGGAAATAAAGCAGATAGGAAACAAGGTAACTCTGAGTACCTTCCTGCTAAGAAGCTGCTGATCTCTAGGCTATGAAATGAGAGGTCCTTCCATGCAATAAATAAAAGATTATTTCTTCACTGTATTTTTTATAACAACTAGCTTAATTAACTATTGGAACATTATTATTATTAGTAGTAGTAGCATTTATTTAATTTCTATACTGTCCTTCATTTAAAGATCACAGGCCGGTTTACAATATAAAAATGCAACAATACACACCATAACAACAAACAAAAAACAATAACATGGAAAGATTACTTCAAAAAGTTTAAAACAAACAACAAAGCTTGCATTAGAATTTTGCTTAAGAATGGAGATTGGCAAATGCAGTTGATGCATGAATAAGGATTCTGAGTGCAGGGATCTTTGAAGCATTGATTCATGGGATTCCACGTCAGCATCTATGCTTCTTGGCCTGACTTTAATAATTTCTTTTGTAATTAAGGAATTTCCCCTTATTGTTCTTCAATACACTCACACATTTCTCCTCTGACTGACTGCTCTCACCACCATGTGAAAACTCAGTAGGTCACACATGGTAAATATTACTGGCAAAATGAGTGTTTATAGAATAGGCAAGTCCTTGCATAATGAGCAACATTGTCTATTGTTTGGATGCACTTGAAAAATATGGGTCAAGGCACAAAAAAAGCATTTGGGTAGAGTTCTTGCACACAGATCAAACCCACCATACTCATCTACCCTCCTTAACTTCCTCATAGTTCCTTCCCTAGCCAAGCAGCAAGAGAAAGTGGGCAGACATCATGCACCTGTTAATTCTCCTGTGCGATATACTTAAAACATAGAACACTTATTACAGGTACCTATTGCCTACTGTAGGAAGGTGGGAGAGTGGGCAGTGGGTCCAGTGAACTGCCTCTTGCTTTGGAGTAATGTGGCTTCAGTCCCTGCCTGCTTTAGCAACAGAAGAAAAGCAGTAATAGCATGCTCCCCTGTCCTTCACTGACTTGTCTCCACCTCCAGGATGTGGTGAGTTTAGCCCTTGCTGCCTTAATGAATAGAAGGCAGGACCACAACAATCATGGCTAGCTCGATCGAGGATTCTGCACAGCGTTAGGGCTCGCCCACACTTCCGCTTGTCTTATACCTAGAAAGCAAAGGTCTGAGAGGTTATCTGCTTGTCCTGTGCTTTTAAAGTACAAGTTCAAGTAGCTTTTCATCTGTTCCATTGCTTACCCTGGGAAAACCTTCTGTTTACTACTGAATCAGAACCAACATCAATCTGCAGACAAACTGACATTTTTTTCTGATTAGCGGTAAACAAGTAGGAATGCTAGATATCTTGAAGAAATGTTCCAGTAACTAACGGAAGACAATTCCAATCCTAAAACCAGTACAAAAGAAGTCAGAATTGTAGTCATGGATTGCTGGATTGTGAACTTTGATATTAGACCTTTCAAGAGCTTAGATACACCTTTCTTATATGAACGTGAACTTGAGTGGGTGTGTATAAGGGTAAATTTGTTTATTTTATATTCAACATTTCTCTCTTATGTATTTTTAAAAACATGTACAGGTTTTGACCATTACTGCAACGGTCTACTTGCCATATTTCTTTCACTGTACTCCAGTCAAGAACCTGCCAGAATTTGAACCATCTACTAAGCCAGAGAAGTAAGTAGTGAAAAGAGAAATGCAGGCATCTTTATAAGTGCCACTGGCTTCTTCATTTTCAGAATTGGTCCCTTCACGAAGCTTAAGTGCAACTTCATAAGTTGTGGTGCCAGACCAACAATTTGCTTGAATATGGGAGCCCAGGAAATGAAACGTTTCCATCCACCCATTCCATCCATCCATCCACTCACCCATCCACGCACCCATCCATCCCAACCTTCCTATCCATCCTATTCTGATGTTTCTATTTAAGAAACCTTTCAGAATGATGTCATGGAATCATAGAAACAGTTGGTTGTAAGGAAATCACAGAAATAATCCCCTTGGGTAATTCTCAAATGATGCATCTAAAGTAAATTTCAATAACACAGTACCTGTGGGTACTAGTGTGTCCACCCCTCTTTATATGGCACGTATGAAAGGTAAATGCTTCCTCACAAATCAGTGCATGAGATATTGTTAGCTCTTCCTCCTCAATTCCTGTTTGCACTATCTTAGCCTCTCCTACACCTCTCCTATAGCAGCCATTTTGTGTTATGCCACACCCCTACAGCAGCCATTGTGCGACCCCCACTGGTTAGCACAGCACTTTATTAAAATTCCATATGTGCCCCCTGGTCCCAAAAGATAAGTGACCTCGCATCTAGAGTTATCAGTGGGCTATAGGCTCTTTTGTGACCGGATTGCTCCCCATTATACACATTGCAACACAAGGGCTTAAAAAGGAGAGCTGTCTTCTGAATAAAGAGATGGAGGCTAACTGCTTAAGTACAGAACATATGCACGATGTCAGTCATATAAACACAAAGCTAACTCCTCTTCCTAAACTAAGTTTAGTTTCAAATTTAAAGATATAGAAGTGAAACACTTTACCAAATCATTGAATACTTTAAAAAGAACCAAACAAGCACCAATCCTAGAGTTATTCAATGGATAATAAATATTTTGGAGAGATATTGAGGACTTCAGATACTCACACATGTGTTGAAAGAACATGTGAGGGGGAGTTGTGGGTCCACATGGGCTAGTCCCACCCCTAACTGGTCTTTGCTGGATGGTGAACTTTGATATTAGATCTTTCAAGGACTTAAATACACCTTTCTTATATTTAGTTGGTTTGTTATGGGGCTCTACATGTGTACTTTCCCTTTATGAAAGGGAGAATACAGATTGGGTGAGGATTATGAAAGGGAGAATACAGATTGGGTGCATATAGTGTTCTATGCACTTACATGCTCCTCTGTTGCATTTGGAGCTGGGAGGAAGATATGTCTATCGAGGATGGTGATGAGTGGCCCAGTCTGCTTGCTCTGCCTCACATGTTATTCAATACATGTAGTATGTCTGAACCCCCTTTTGCAGTATGTATTCTACTCATGAATACAATGTTGTTTCTTTTATTTTTGATTTTTCAAGTATAAGCCAGCCTACGTGGCACATTTCAGAATATAACTGTCCCCTGGGAACAATCCAGACTGGACCAGATGGAGCGAACTATTCCAACCGATCCTTTAATGAAGGTATGCAGGAGGGTGGGTGGGGAGTAGAACTAGGAATAGGAATGACCAGCATTCATGTAACTGCATTTCTCCAACTATGCTGTTTCTCTCCAGAACACAATTTGACCAAAGTCTTTGATTTCACTGTTACTTGGGGTTGAATAACAAACTAGAAACAGTTTCTGAGGCATTCAAGGAGATCAGATGCTTCTTAACCGTGTTATGCTCTTCTACACTTTTCTAGAGACTTTGGTAGCTCAGCCCTATTTAGGACTTTGGTCACAGGACATGATAGCTTAGGTGGATAGGCAGCAATACTAAAAGGACTTGCCTTGCCTATCTGCCCAATGAATCTTGAGTTGGAAGATGTGGCATAACAAACAGCAACCACAGTCACAATGATCCATCAGCATCAGTGTCCTTGGTGCTCTGTAGAGTTTAACAAGCAAAAGCAAATCTAGACAGGCCTCCTCCACATCATCCTTCTAATCTATAATAGACAATGGAAAAAACAGAAGGTGGCATGGAAGTAGAGAGGGGAAGGGAAGGTAGCAAGGGATGGATCTGAACAACTTACATGTCCTTAATTGTGGTTTACAATTGCCAATTGAGACTGAACAGTTAAGCCATTGGTTTTGTGAAAAAAGTAATTTTGAGACCTGTGCAGATGCAACTGTACACAGAAGCCTGTTTGATAAACTATCTGGACATTAGAGCCCTTCTGCTTGTTCTTTCTCTCACCTCCCACCTTTCCAATCTCATTTAAAGCTGCTGCTCTCTTGGCTGAGAATGGGATGAGAGGAATCACGTACTTATTCAGACGTGGAACTCACGAGGAATTTGGATATGCTTCTCTTTTTACGGCACTTGTATTCTACTTCTTGCTTTCCTGCTTGACAGCAGGCTCTGCCATTGCAAGTGGTTTGGTTATACCTATGCTGTAAGTATTGCATTCATTTTATGCTACTATAGGATGCAGGTATCTCTATGGAAATCCACAATATGGTGAAAGTCACTCAGTACATTCCACTTACACCACACATTTTCAACATTGCAACTGCCTACATGTAAACCAAAGAGGTTAGTTATTTACTACATATGGTGATGGGTAAAAATAGTCATGTATACCATCCACCTCTTATTCTGGACAAAATAGACTTGCATTTATGTCTCATATAAGAAAAGTGGGTCAGCTGCCTTCAGAAAAATGCTTAACAAGTGGCTGAAAAGAGCAGGCAGATCTAATGATTTATCAGAGCCTTTCTGTCTTTGCATCTCAGGTTGGTTGGGCACCTCTAGGCTGGTACTTTCTTGCAGGTGTGTTGTGAAATGTATTATTGGCACAGTAATAGCACATTAGTGGTGGATTTATTCTGCTTTATTATTTCTGCAATGCTTCCCCAATGTTATCACATTATGGTTGTCTAGTGGGACTATGGTACAACAAAAGCAGGACACCTCCACCCCTCAGAACATCTGTAGTATGTAAAGCAATGGCAAGTTACAGGATGGGCACTGATTGGAAATGAAGCAGTGTGACCACCCCAAAACTTTGGCAGGTGTAAATAGTATTGAAAGTGGGAATGATAGCAGCATGACCACAAATCACCGTGCCTGTGCAATAAAAAGGATGCCTGGAGATATTATTTTGAGTTTGTTTGAGATATATCTGACACTCTATTGCCAAAACTTAGCTTTTCTTTTCAGGTGATTTTTAAAAAAATCAATATGCAGCTTCTACTTATATGTCATGCAGTAATCAGAGACCTTTCCTCAAGATGCTGCTCCTGTTTATGGGGAAAAAATCACAAACATTTCAATTTCAAATGCTGTGGGGTATGTGGCTGTGTGTATGTCAGAGGCATCTGTTGACTAATGCTTGGGACATCACTAGAGATTAGCAACACACAGCTCCTACCAAACCATTATGAGAACTTTTATGAGAACTTGTATCCAATGTAGCATGAAGTCACTTGTTTGGCAAGTGCAAGGAATTATCATTGCAAAGTGAAATTTCCACCATTCTTCTCTCCCTGGGCACTACCTAAATCTGCTCTGGAGATTCCTCCAACCTCTCCTTCTCAGAGAAGAGTTTCATCTCACCAGGGTAAATTTTTGCACTCATAGAATGAGTGCATTGGATGCCACCTTTAAAGTTCAATTAAAATAATTGATTTGATGTCTAAGAGTGTTGAATGCTGCTCTGCTGTTCCACATCAGTGTTGGAGGGCACATATTGTCTTTTAACAGGAAATGTGGAAAACACCAGACTATCACCTCCCACTGAAGCAGGGGTTCTTTTTTTATTTAGTTCATTGAAGGCTTCATGCTTCCCTCTCCTGTGCTACTTGCCTGTGATTTTATCTAACATCACTGGCAAGCAAGCAAGCAAGCAAGCCAGCCAATTTCTCAGAGCATAGCTGGCCCACCCTTTCAGCAAGACAATCCCCTTCTATAATTCAGAGACAGGTTGTCATGCTATAGTGCCAGATCTCTGCTAGCACAGTTACCAAGAGAAAATGAAAACCATTTATCTGCCCAGACAAGTGTCTTTACTGTCTTCTTTTCCTTTGCAGGTACACAGGTGCATTATATGGCAGGATAGTTGGCTTGATACTGGTTTCCATTTTGGGGGTTCAGACTGATGAACACAGTGCATGGATTGATCCAGGGTTGTTTGCCGCAGTTGGAGCTGCTTCTTTCTTCAGTGGTGTTTCAAGGCTAACCATCTCCCTAACAGTTATAATGGTATGCAATAAACTAACTTGTATGCTGTTTCGCCATTGGCCGCCATGATGTTACCAAATGCCTCAAAAGCATATTTGGTATTTTGGTCTCTGAGTAGTAGACTGGCAGTGTGGAGGAGCACAGTGGAAATTAGCAGCAGTTTGCCCTGCTTCAGAAAGCTCTGTGGTAGAAAAACTGGAGCCCTGCCAGAATCCTTGGAGCACGTGGGCAGAGGTTCGTTGTCCTTTTCACATGGTCAGCAACTGAGTAAGGTGAAGAATGAGGAGGTTGCTCTGTACATCTTTACAGGCAAGCATGTAGGACCCCCTTCCCCTGGGCTGGTGATGTGGAGCCCTGATTGTGTTAGTAAAATGTGATATCTGAAAAGCAAAACAAAACCAACAAATCCCTGTCTGAACATTTTCTAGTCTCTGTGTTGAAAGCTGTGTCCAGCATTATTGACTTTTAATAATAAAAAGGTCAGAAACAGTACAGCTACCACAGAAAAGCTGTAACTCAGAGTACGCAGAAATCATGGCACCATTAAGAAAATTAAAAAAGCTGAAGGGTCTGCAGTAATGTTGGCTACTCTTCAATATTCCTTTTTGAGATGAAAAAAGGACTTGGACGTGACAATGCAAAAACATAGTTAAAAGGTGGTGACCTTGAATTGTAAAGTGCATACATTTTTCCAATACCGTTTGATAGGTTCCAAAATAATTTTGGAATGTTTGCTTTGGCTGTCTATGCAGTCTTCCATTTGGAAAGAGTTATATGGTGGTGATGAACAGGTTAGTAAAATGGTTTTAAAAAAGAAATACCAGACCCCACAGGCTTTTGCCCACTTCTTCGTTCTTGGCTGCCTCCCTTTTCCATGTTGATACTCAGCATTCTGCCTTTCCTTTTTGCTGAAAGTACTAGGTCTGATGGTAACATTTCCACATGCTCCTATTCCAGTATGGAGAAAAGTCCACTTCATCCAAGTTAAATAACTGTGCTTAAGCCCATGCAACTCTATATGAGGCTTAAGACTGTTTGTTTAAGTATTCTATAATATCCTAATTAATTAAATTAGCTATTGCTTGATGGCCAAAAGGGCTTCTCAGTGGTTTACACTTTATAAAATCAATGTAAAAAAATATAGCCATACATAATTAAAGTACACAATAAAACACTTCTATCAAAATATTAAAATAAGCACCCACAATTAAAATGCATAACAAAACAAGCTCATTGAAACAGCATAAAAATTAAAAAAAGCAATTAAAACAATTAAACAGGAGGTTCAAGCCAGGAAATCAGGGGAATGCTTGTTTAAGCAGCTGTGACTTCAAGAACCAGCAGAATGCCAATACAGACAGGTTAAAATATTTTATGTTGAGGGACAAGCTTCAGTTAAGTACATTTGTATTTGCAGATGCAACTATATGGAGACATGCTTTACAAACAGATTATTCAGCTATTGCAAACGGCATGCAATATGCAGTGTGGCAGGAAATAAAATGAATGAGATCAAGGGCACTTCCAGACTATCACTATTTTGGGGTGGGATTCATACACATACTGGCAAATTCAGTATGCACAATTATAGTTGATTAGGAGTTCTTGCACAGCAAATCTACTTCCCAAAAGCGATGGAAAAATGTACTGGAAAGTGCGGGATAACACTTGCATTGACTGAACATCTTTTGACCTGCCCACCAACAAATCAGAATGAATGTTAATAAAATAGCCAATGTTCTCTAATCTCCCTGCAAGCAAATTGGGATGAATGCCCAATAAATAGGTCATCTGGAAGTGCCCCAAGAGTCCATTGGCCAGGCTGTCTCTACTGTCCACTGAAATATCTCCTCAGGCAGAGGATCTTGGATGACAAAAATTATTGCAATGACCCTTATATGGCCCAGAAACAGGAGTGGTTGGAAATCCTCTACTCAGCCTCTTAAATTGTACTATAGCTAATAAAGTGCTCAAAGACCACTTCTGATTAAATCTTGGTATGAACCATTCACATTGTCTCTTTTGGGAAGCCCAAATGGAATAAAAGTAGAATGCTGTTGGTTCTTTAGGCAGCAATAACTTAAACATTGCTGGCTCAAGTGCAAACCTTACAGCTGTAGGTGCACATCCAGCCGGAAACTAGTAGTAATCTCCTCATGCAGATGGTAAGAACTGGCTTTGGATGATAAAATGGAACGAAATCTGAATTGGAGAAAGATACAATTGTACGTCTCAAGAGCCAAATACAGTTGCAGCCAAAAGTAACAGCTGGCCTTATTTGTGAAGGGAGTGACAAGCCAGTAGTGAGGATTGGGAGGGCAATGGTTTCTTTTGCTAGATGGGAACAGTTTTAGAGCAGTCACTAGGATAGACAGAAGCAGAATCACAATGACAGTCCTGTGTACAACCAGAAGTGCAGCTGGTGCTCCAAATACCTTCAGCCAATGTATGCAGCTACAGCTATTGCTCATGCTCTAGGATGAACTGTCTCAGTAGTTGCTCATGGTTAAAGCATGACTTCAGTTTCTTTGTATCACGACACTGGATCACAACCTTGCTGACATTTCCTCTTGGGAAAGGAAAATAAATTTCTAAAAGGTTTCCATCTGTTACAAAAACCCACCAAAACATCTGTCAGCGTCATTAAGCGCTTTTCTGGCTGTGCTCGACATACACTAGCGGCAGCAATTTCAGAGTGGAAGTGTTCTGTTGAGCAAGCAAAACGGGCAAGTGCACCAACCTTTTTCTTAAACATCATTGTTCAGAGACTTCTGATGGTTGTACCAACCTTTACGCTGTGATTTGAGTAACATGGCTAGAACCAACATGTTAGCTAACTGAGTCTGCCCTCAGATTCCAAGCATACCTTGAGTAGAGTGAAACATGAACATGAATTCTATATGGTCCCAAGCTCTAACACTTCTTTATAACCCCTCCACTCTGGCACTTGAGAATTGCAAGTATCAATTTTATGTATCCCTTCAATGTAGGAACATCTAATGTAGGCCTGTTAAAGGTGAAGTTGGAAGAAATGCCTGCATCACTTTGTCTACATTGGAAACATAGTGAAAGTATGAACTATGCAGTATCCCATAGTATGTAGAGCAATCTGGAGTTGGAAGTGAAAAGGAGAAGATTAACAGAGCAAGGGATATGTGTGTGCGTGGTGGTGATGGTGGGGTGAAGATTAACAGAAAACTGATTTAAAAAACCAACCTTCTCTGTTCTTAGGACTGCAAAATTATCTGGGCTAGTCTGTCTTCCAGGCTTCAAGTGTATGCTGTACTGTTTGTTATAAATGAAAACCAATACAATGTCTTTTAAAATCTCCAAAACTCCAGTGATAACAAGATGCTAGCATAGTGATGCAGCCCTCTAGAGTTAGTAAAAATATAAAAAACTCAGAATTATTAGAGTTGTGCATCCTTGGTGTAAATCACTTTTGTAAAGTGTGTTAGACAGTTCTGAGCTGGATTATGCGGTATCTTTTTCAAGAAGAGAAAGGGAACTTGGTGAGGAAGGCAGCTGTTAGGTTTTTAGGAAAGTTCACATTTACCACAAGCCACTTGCCTTTTTATGAATGTAAATATAAATGGTGCCCTCTTTGCCTTTACAATTTTTTTTTTTTGCACCTAATGACTTCGTTTTTAACTAGATTCTCCCCTCCAATGAATTCGAGTAAAAAAGATCGTCAGTAAAAGTCTGCTGTATCAGCAGGCCCAACTTTAATGAGGTTCCATTTTGACTACATTTTCAAAACCAAAAGCCAAACCGAGAAACAAGTTAACCATGGTGTGACTAAGAATGAGGGCCAGGGCTTTTATCAGTAGTTTTATGTAAAATGTGTCTTTTGAATTTCCTGGGCAGCTGCCCTCCTCTCTTTGATGTGCCATGCCTTGTTGATGCTCTTAATGAAATGCATAAGTATGTGTTATGTAATAAAACTATAATAATAGACAGGGGGCCAACTAGTTATAATGATGTGGGGTATACATCACTGTAGGGCTTACAGAAAAATTGCACCAGTGACTAAAGTAAGGTTGGTTTTTTCTAAAAGCCTCTGAAGCATTCCACTAAGCGTGCAATTATGTATGAGGTAAGCAAAGTGAAACTAATTTGCTGATTTATGAATTATAAATCTGCCTATTAATGGTATTTTTCCTTAATCCATTAGCAGTGCTGGCTGTATAGGAGCAGGAACCCTAAAGGCAAGTCGTCTTTAGCATGGCCTGTTACCTCTATAAGACCTAAATTACATAAGATAGCGAAATCAAGCATAGCTAGTAAATCTTTCCTTGTGATCTGCCCCCTAAGTGCACTTTACATTGCACATGATTAAAAGATAAAATTTACTGGCTGTTAAGCTGTTTTTCCTGTTTTTCTTTCTCTTCCTTTTCTTCCATTTTTTTTTTAAAAAAAATCTTAGCACCAATTTGTCTACTTCTTATATCTGTCCCTTCAGTGTAAGTTCTGTTTCTACAAGGTATAGGGCTAGGGGAAGTTTTACCTATTATGAGCAGCCCAAATCAAGTAGCAAGTTTTCTTGAGGTGGGGTCTTTTCAGATTATCAGTTTATAGAGCAGCAGGTGTGCTCTTTTCCATTCTTTTTTTTGCTTGAGATCTAGTTCTATTTGAGGATACAGTGTTTCCCCAGAAGCCAAACCTTATTGGAGAATTTGAGTCTTTCCCCAGTTAGTGCGGCTGTTATGATTTAGAGAACTGTTCAGAATTATATTGTTTCTGTATCATTATTTGTGGTGTCACCACTGCACACTATACTTGACTTACTAACAGCCAAGAGAAAGATCACTGTCCTGAGGAGACTACAATCTAAAATAGTTAAGATTATATTTATACATAAATGTAGTTATAAGGAATGAAATTAACATGTGTGTTACATAGTTAAATTACATTTGAAGAATAGGATCCAGATAGGAGCTCCCATATTTAAAAACATAAAAAAGCAACTGTGCACCATTCTGATTTGGGAGAAGGTTAGCTGTTCACTCTTTCACTCTTTGCTATTTTTCTGATTAAAATTGCCCCTTGTTAAGTTGCTGCTTGACCCACAGGGAGAAATGTACAGATATATCATGCGTACTTGCAAGTTTCTTCCGATGGGACAATTAATAGCTTTAGTGAGAATAATTTCAATCAGGAAAATGGCATAGAGGGAAAGCTTTAAGCCTCTTCCATGGTGCTTTTGTACTGTTCCAAACTGCCCATTCCATTGCAGCTACATTTAAGTGTTGAAACACAGGTGATTTTGTACATGGCTCTCCCTTACCATGTCTAGATTGGTCCATGAACATCTACCTGAGAGTAGCTGTGACATCCATGATGATGGGTAGCACAATTCCACCCCTCTGTTGCATCCTATATTGTGCCTTGTACTCAGGGGAACCACATAGCTGCTGAAGCTGACTAATCTCACGGCAAAGTGTGAAGAAATATGTCTTGACAGTTTCACATGCAGTACCTAATAATTTAAGACTTCATCTTCAGTGGCTGCTGAGGTGAAACATTCAAGTGGATTCTTTACACTTGCTTTGTAACAGTCTTATTATCTGTGTGAGTCTCCTCTTTGCAGGTTCAGTGCTCTCTCTTTCACACACCTCATGTGCTGGAGCACACATAATTCACCTATTATTGAATAAGGGCAGCAAGGCTATGTCAGTTGCCACACATCAAGGTTATTGGAAGAGTAGTGAGGCAACCACCCATCTATTATAAATGGGCTGGATGTTGTAGAATTACCTTTGAAAGAAGACATGCAAGACGTTCTGACCAAGGTTAAATACAGATAGGGCAGTTATTATTTTTCTTTACAATGTCCATGGGTGGGACTGCATAGAATCATGGAATTTTTGAGTTGAAAGGGACACTAAAGGTCATCTAGTCCAACCTCCTGCAATGCAAGAATCATGCCCACAGCCATCTCTGGGTGGGTTCGAACCATCAACCATCTGGTTAACATCCAGATACCCTAACCCACTGTGGCACCAGCCCTACCTGTCATGTTAGCCTGTCTCTGATCACTCCCAGGGACATCTGCAACCCCATTTTTATCCTGCTTTGCTACCCAGACTTTCCAGCCACTTCAAGATGGTCTTACCTGTTCAGGGGTGGGGGAGAGACTTTAAAACATCAAGTCAATCCTTCGACTACCTTGTAAAAAGCTTTTAAGTATTTTAAAATGCATTTTAGTGATGTTCAACACAAAGGGTAAAGGGAGGGAATGGATGGAGAAGGAATAAAAGTGAAAGTTACACGGACCAGGAATTGACTGAATTGTCCATCTTTATCTGTGACCCCAAAGTAGCGATTACTGGACAGCAAAAAAGCTCTAAAACGCATCTGAGAAATGCATAGTGTTTCTGTTTGGGCTGGTTAGGAAAAGTCTTTTTTTTCTTCTGGCAGCTTCTTAGCAGAATGCTTCCTTGCTTTGAGAATCCATACTTTAGTGGGTCCTCCATATTTTAGTGGATACTGGTTTTTTCTTCTTCTTTTGAGCCTGTGAGCACATCAGGCATGCTTAGAAAGTGCTGTAGGCATCAGTTTCAGAATGGCTGCAATGGAGTGCAGGCGTGACCTTAACTGAAAGGGAGTTCCATAAAATTTGGCCCACAATACTCTCAACTCTCAACCAATGCTATTCAAAAAGTGCTGAAAATGGCTGTTAATTGTAACATCATGTTGCAGTTATTTCTTAGTTTGGAGCATAAAGCCTACAGTATTTTGTTTAACAGAATTTTTGTACCATGTAATTGTAAATAAAACATCTAACCGGTTTCTTTAAACAGATGACCTCTAATTATCAACAACACACTTCTTTTCTAGTAACGCATGTTCTCATTTCCCTGCTACTTTAGGTAGAGATCACAAATGATGTACAGTCCTTGCTACTCATCATGCTGGCAGTCATGCTAGCCAAAATGGTTGGTGACTGGTTTAACATGTCTCTATACAGTTCTTTACTGAAGCTGAAATCCATTCCCTACTTAGATGCTGAACCATTTGTTTGCCATAGGAAAAAATGGTGAGTGTATTCTTATTTTCCTATTGTGGCTGTTCTATGAGTTAGTGTAAAATGACTGGATGTCTTTAATTTGCTGATTTAGAGATTGATTTGGCCATAACGTGTGATTTCTTTTGAGTTAGGGACAAACAGAAACCTGGAAGGAACCTAGTTCAACTTCTGGCTGCATCAGAAAAAACCAAACAAGATAGGAAAATATAGTAAATGCAGAATCATGTCCCTTGAAAACATAAAATGCATAGCAAAGCTATCTCCATGTATATATCAGATGAAGACTTATCTGCAATTGCCTCCTAACACAAGAAGCAAAATGAGTTTTGTTCTAGTATCACAAGAAACTGCTTAAATTATAGTGAGTGTTGGCATTGCAGCATTTTGGCAAGGAAAGAAGAGCTATACTTCTGGCCCACTAATCTAATTTCTAGAGAAGAGACATTTTAAGTGTGTGTCTCTTTTCTGATACAAACTTCTGATATATAGTGATGGGAAAGAGGTAATATATTCATTGTGGCCTTTTTCAGCCAAGGCTGGGCATAATCCCCAAATGTTGAATAGGCTTCCCATTAATAAACCAATGAACAATGGGAACAAAGTTTCTATTCTTTTTTCTTTTCTTTTAGCACATCATAGATATTCACTTTTGCTTGTAAAAAGTTATGTCAGATCATACAGTGTGTTATGTTCTAGATACTGGATGATTAAGCTGTGTCTAACAGAGGGATGCACTGTGACTTCTAGTTATGCTGCATACCACCATAAATTGTCCCCTCCCTGTTATAAAAGCTAGCTAACTGGAACACTCAGAGCTGCTGGCTGCCAGGGAGTGCTTTTTAATGAGGGCAAGAGTACTCAAACACTTCTATAACTTGGCAACTCTTCCTGCTTTTATAAGCCACTATACACTTCAGAAAGAAAATATCTTACAGCCTACTTTTTAATGGGACAAGTTAAGTGCTGAGTGAATCTGGTGCTTGTTCTGTTCTAGCTTAACGTTAGCCTTGTCAAAATTCTCTGTGTTTCTGCATGATATGCCACATAAAACTGATTTGAGGAGCCAAGAAATCAGGCTATGATAAAGTAATTGTATATTGTTTTAAATAAAAGCATGTTGGAAAGTGGCATTACATTAAATAGTTGATTGTATTGCATAGTTGAGCTTTTGATATTGCTGACTTGGATTTTCTGAAGTGGGAGTTTGTACATTTTTAATTGGAGTGAAATGAACTTATAGAGAAATCACTCTGAAAATTCGCATGTTGAAACTGTCACCTTGAAATTAAATGGGTTGGTTTTGTGTGTATGTGTGTGACTAAGAAAGAGAGAGAGGCCCGGCTCACACATCACATTAACAAGAGTTAAAATAAACTGTGGTTTAATATGAGCAAGCAGCATGCTGGTTTTTCTGTTGCTCCTCCCACATTCTGGCTGCTGTTGTGTTGCTGGAGAAAGCCTTGGTCTGGCTTGTGTTGTCTGATCCCAGGCTCATGGTTTCTTGTCCCTAAACAAACTACATGTCACAATCCAAGAAGAAACTTTGGCTTCTGGACATGCTTTGTTGGGAAAGCAACAAACCATGAACCTGGGTTGGGATTACCCAACAAGATAGACCATGGTTTGTCTCCTGGTAGTACAGCAGTAGCAGGAGTTGGGGAGGAGCAAAGTGACTGCAGTTTCAACAATGTGCACCAGCACGTCCTTGTTCACATTAAACCATAATTTATTTTAACTATGGTGCAGTGTGATGTGCAAACCAGGCCAATAAGAAAATCAGTGTGACCAGACACAAGTTTCATGGAAAGAAGGTGTTGGCATGGCTGTCACGATACTGGTGCATACCTCTCCATATTGTGGTGTGATGTTGTGGCATGACTTTCTGTACTATTTGGAATCCTTTTTTAAAGGTACTAATCATGACCCATCTTTTCTTTAGTCTCCCTTGGCCCTTCAGTATTTTTGGAAAACATTTTTGGCTAAATACTTTTTAATGACTTATATCTTACTATTTAACTTACATGATAACCTTTGTTTCCTTCAGTCATAAGTGTATTCTATTTCCTCAAAAGTAGACACTCATTTCTGAATTAATAAAGAATAATAAGCCAGCTGGCAAAGCAGAGGAACCCCGTCTTGTATGCACAGCTTTGGCAGAACAATAGGATTGCTAGTCACAATTTATTTATTAGTTCTAACACTGACCCATCTTATGGGGTCTTGTAAACATTACTGAGATAATGATGTGAAACACCTTTAACATACTAGCTAAGTTATTATTGTTATGATTTGAAGCTTAGCACAACAATCCTTACACCAGAGGATCAGATTTCTCTGCTTAATTCCCCAATGTGATGATTTATAAGCCTGGGAGTTTTATGAAGGACGAGGGCATAAATCTATAAAATGAAATAACAGTTGCTTTTTCTTTTAAAATCTTCCATGTGACACAGTTGCAACCACGTTCCTGGGTATAAACAAATTTTAAATAAGCAAGTGGAGTCTGCAACCAAATGAATCAGTGTGGAGTGCTTCTGTTCAGGATTCTAGCCACTCTATTCCATTCTCCTCCTCACAGTTTTGTTTCTTTTGCCCAATAGTTAATCAACATTATGTGCCCACTGAACATGCTCAATCCTCATTGGGCTCCTTTGGGGGAGCACACTGGTGCCTAGTCTGAGCTACATTAAACTCTTGGATATCTTGATTGATTACTATATGCAGCTTTCACTTTCATTCCTGGAGACATTTAGAACATTCCCAGTGAGAAGCAGGAAAGGGCTTATGAAATAGTTCTCCACCCTTTGCATAGGCCTCATCTGCACCAGAGTGCCTTCCCTATGAAGGAAGGTTAATTAATATCAACAGGCAAACTACTTCCATGATTGCCACCTAGTGAATTTTCTGTACGATTCAGAGTTAAAAACTTAATGTGGCTGCCTAAATGTTACTGACAACCATCATGAAAATAAAACCATCCAAAAAGCAAGCTCTTGAAATGTATTTATATAAGGTCCAATGTTACTTATCATAATAAAACAATGGTTTACAAGAAGCCCAGCTAAAATCCATTGTTGTTTTGAAAAAAACCCTTCATTTAGTCAATAGATAAACATTCCCACCAAGTGATGCGAATGATCTGAGTGAGGTTTACTTAGATAAATGCAACCATCCAGTAGGGAAAGATGTGAATGAGCAGAGCTGCCTGTTTTCTCATGCTGATTTCCACGAGCATGTCTGCTTATAACTGTAAAATGTTCTTCAGGAAGAATATTGTCATGGGTTTAATTAAGTTTCAACCTAAGGTATCACTCTAATCCAGGGGTGGTGTGTTGGGATACTGCTAGGGAGACAAAGATGACCAGCCATCGGGCAGGCCTCCACGTTATCTCCAGACAATCCATCGATCTCCCGTAGAACAGCATCAGTCAATTAGCGACACGAGCCTCAGACACAGAAGATGCACCCAGAAGAGCATATTTACAACTTTATTCAGCGTTGGTCAGAACAAAGGAAAAACATGACTGCTGCCTTCGTGTCAAGGCAACAGACAGAAACAAAAGCTATATACAAAACAGAAACTTCCTGTGAGCAGGAAGTACGCAGGCTTGGGACACACAACAGCCTGCTCCCTTTTTAAGGAGGAATGGAAATATCCTAACATGGTGAACCTGTAGGTTGCAGGCTGGACCAGGCCACAAAACCATTATTCCCCACCACAGTCCTAGGTTGGGAGGAGAGCCTTTCTTCTCTTGTGCAAGTTAATGGAGAGATTGCTTTTGCCATTAACTTGCCTTGGGTGGGGTTGGGGAGAAAGAGTACACTCCCTGAAATGGTTGTTGGGGGAGAGAATCTATCTCACCCCTCAAGGATCCTGTTACCTCAAGGGTCATTGAGTTTCTCTCCCTACCAGCCATTTTTGAGGCTGTAACTCCTGCCCCCTGCAAGTTTATGGAGAAAGAGCCTTTGCTATTAATATGTGTGTGTGTGTGTGTGTGTGTGTGTGTGTGTGTGATTGCCCTTCTCACAGTGCTGAGTTTCAACCTCCCCTCTCAGCCCAGCAATGTAAGAAAATGTGTGTGTGTGTGAGAGAGAAAGAAAAGTGCTTTGTGTGTGTATGGTTGTGGTTTCCATATGTGGTGAGTGTGCAGTCGTGGACTTCATGAGTGGTGACTAACTATGATGCATACATGCAAGAGAGAGGGTGTGTTTTCTGGCTTACAATCACCACTGGAGTGTGGCCCTTGGAGACTTGACCAATCTTGAATGGACAAAAAAGTCAGCCAGCCAGCTCTAATTCCAACAAACAGTGCATGAAGTGGTAACTTTGTTTCTAGAGGGTACCATTCAAGGTGGTAGATGGCTGAATGGTCCTTTGTACAGAAATTCACTGCATGTAGAAAAATGGCATTATCAGAAAGAAGAGTATAATGTTTTCCCAGATATTTACCGGTAGTTTTCTATGTGCACAGATTTTTCTTTTTTGTATGGAGGACTATTAAATCATGGGATTTGCCACCTGCAGTTTGAAGTGGTGCAACCAGATAAAGGCTAATCACCACAATTGTCACTTGTTAGAAGTAAACTAAGACTAGATGCTACTACTTGGTATAGTAATCCCATCTGTATTCAATAATTTTGTAGTCCCAAGAAATAAAACACTGCCTTTCACCAAGGGCCATATTCCTACTCTGCATGAAGCTCACTGAGTGACATTGGGTCAGTCACTATCTCTTTGCCTACTGTAGCACACAGTGTTGTTAAAGGGGAGAAGCATGTCCAATGTCCTGAGCTCCTTGGAGCAAGAGTGTTGAAATCCTCTAGTGACACCAGATTTTCTCTTAAAATTTATACTGTGCCAACATGCCTCTACAGAATGTTCATGGTGGCCAACCAAGCTTTATAAACAACACTTAAAATAATATAAATAGAACAGATGTGGTACAGATGTTCTCTGATATCTGTACAACATGACCAGAGTAGTTGTTAATGTTTCATATATCTCCAAGAGGTCATCAGTGATCACAGCAGCTTATTGAGCTTGGTGAACAATTGGTGAGAACCATTTTAACTGTTATGTTGTTATGAAAGTTTTATTTCTTCTTTACATTCTCCTCCTAGTTCCAAGAACTTTTTGTAATCTGAACATAATTTTCTGGGGATTTCATTTTGAATTAAAACATTTTTTAAAAAGCAGAAAAACTCATGGAAACTGATTAATGGTTCTTATCTTCTCTTAGAAAACTAATGCTTACATCTGGTTGGTTTTATCAAGCATCTTACTCATAGGCAGGAAAGTCTTGATAATGACTTTATTGGTTAATTACATTTGAAACAACATATTCACAAAATAAAAACAATTTATTTGCAGCTTGAAGTAATTCACCAGCACATTATAAAGTCATCAAACACTCATGTGGTACGGTGTGCCTTGTTCCTTGTTTACTAAATAAATTGTTGGCTGTCTGCTTTATGTCTTTCAGGTTAAACCTGGAATTGTTTGCTGCCAGAGATGTCATGAAGCTTCATGTCAGGGTTCTCCATGTAAGAGAAAACATTGCTTTCTTGGCTCAACTCCTTGCCAACACCAGCCATAGCGGATTCCCAGTGGTTTACAAATCTAAGCCAGATCAGGCAGAGGTGTTCCTGGGAACAATTACGAGGTAAGAAGCCACTACATTCTTCCCAGAAGATAAGTGGCCCCTAAGGCCAATATTTAGAACAAAGAATGAAGGCCTTAGCATACTGTATTAATGAGAAAACATGTCATGAAGTAGAGGGCTTGTGATCTGCAACAGTTTTCTCTTTAAAGTTTGGAACAACTTTTGCCAGTGCGTGTTTGCATAAACCACTCTGTGTGTTCCTCTGTGTTAACTGTGCAATATTCCTTTAGAAACAGGCACACACCTCAAGGCACTTGGAGGCTTATGAGAACAATGAATCAGAAGGATGTGTGTTATCAAATTGATCACAATTTTTATTTATTTAAAATATCATTGGCAAACTTCCCTTTGTTTACTCTTACTCAAGTTCACCTCTTTCAAGATAAAACATGTCAGAATTCGGATGAAACAGCAAAGTCTCTAATGCTTGTGATGGCTTGCTTCAGTAAACAGGAAATAAAGCCAGCAAGCACTTCCACTCCAAGAGAACAGAACATACATGGCTTTGTTTTCTGGCCTCACAATAACTTGGTTTGTAGTGCTATGGTACACAATTGTCTCCAATCCTTCAATAACTTGTATCAAAGCTGACATTTGTTCTTAGTGAGTTGTCAGTCTGTAGACAGAAAGAGCCTTTTGTGAATTTAATGTTAAAAACAACAACCCTACCTTTGTCCACAACTACAGATAAGCAGGAATCTTTATAAATAGCAGATTTTTTCTATATAACCCAGGTTTTTCATTTATTAAAAAAAGTTACTCAAGCCACTGTGTAAAGCAGCATATGAATTATTTAAATAAAAAATATGGACATATGAAATGTTTAGTAGTCATACAAGAGCACAAATAATCTAAAGATAGGCCATGTTTTATGATGAAAGCTACTGCCTTTTTTTAGTGCAACAGTTACCTGTTTAGAGGGAAATTCTGGATGTTATGGAGGCCAGATGTGCTTCATCAGAAAAGAGACCAAGCAACACGAGAGAGGAAGTTGGGAAACCCGCCTTAAATGCCCTCTATAACGGAGGATTGCATCCTGTGTTTGTACACAGTTGTGGTTGTTTTGGCACAGCTGGGCTCTTCCTAGGAATGCTTGGCAATAATTTCCAGTTTCTGTTTTCTTTTCATGTTTTTAAAAATATCTCAGAGAGATTACATAACTACTCATTCCTCCTGCTGTTCTCTATTTTTTAAAGAACAGAGCACATTTACAACTCAAATTTGTACAATATCAAGAAAAAGACAATGGAGTAGCAATGCTGCTGCTTTTAAAATTCTCATTGAACAGAGAACTCAGTTGTTGATATTGACCTTGGGTATCTGGTGCATGCAATCTAGCTCTTTAGAGTAAGTGGAGGGAGTCACAGTTGAGAAAAGAAAGTAAGGATGAGAAAGCAGTAGATATGGGAAAGGCCAAGTGTTAATGGTCATGGGCATCACTCAGCTCTATAGGGAGACCAATGACTACTTATTATAGCTACTCATATGCTAACAATTTCCAGGGAATGATGGCATCTAAATATAACTGCTAGGGTGGCATGTCCTCTGTGATAGTGGTTTTGAGGTAACTTTGCAGCAACTAGCAATTTGGCAGCTTGCAAACTAATTGGGAATTGCTGATCCCCACCATAACATTTGCTGTCCCACTCTTGCTGTTTGGGTGGAAGCCAGTTTGGAAACTATTGGTAAATACTGAGGATACAAATGTTGGTAAGCGTAAGCAAGCTTCCTTTGAAAAACTTTCTAGTCAAAGACACTGCATTTTCCTGTTGTACTGCTCTGTCCATAAGCTTTAATGAGCTTTTTTATTACATAATTTTAAGAAGAATAAAACATGGAAGTCATGTTATTAAGCAAATGGTCAGATTCACATGTTTGACTCAACTATTGTTAATTATGTAGCCCTTGTTTCCTGTTGTTTGGTCCAGTGCAAAACATTGCTGTTCTGCTCATCCCTTACTGATATCTATAATAGATTATTTCACAAACAAGCAAACCATACAAATAGCCTCTATCCCATCATGGTATTTCAATCAAAAAAGAAAGCAGCAACAACAACCTGTTCTTGGGGGAATATCCCAATATTATAACCTTTGGCTTAGTTTTGATGAGCAAACAACAAGAAGATGTGTGCTTACATGGGTGGGTGTATGACATATATAAGAAATTGGACACATTTAGAACAAAACACCCTACCTTTTTGCCGTCTAGACAACTGTTTCCTTGCTCACCCCCAACCATTAATGCATTTTTCCCAAGAAAAATTTAGAAATAGTTGGAATGTAAGCAGGGACCTCTTTACTCAGTTAAACCTGAAAACCTGGAGATGATGGACTATGAATATCCACTTGCTCACATAATTTGGGCATTTCAGAAGAATAAAAAAACAGTTCCTTAAGATGAGTCACTTGATTTGAAATCTATACAAGTTATCAGAGTGTAATCCATGATGTGCATATTTGGGTGAAGTAATATGAATTTCATTTCAGTTTCATCAAATTTTAAACCCTTGTGATAATTTCCCCCAATGTTCCTTGTCACACACGGCAGTTTCACATATTGTGAAGGGCAAACAAGATTCTCCTATTGAGTCAGCCAATCAAGACTTCTTGATAAGTGTATCTATATGATGCACTTGTACCTATATGAATATTTTTAACATTCATACTTTAAAATGTTGCATTTGTACTGTATGCCTACAAACAAAATAGGTTGGATCCAGGTTCAGTTAACAAGTTGTTGTTGCTGCTGTTGCTGCTGCTGCTACTGTTGTTGTTGTTGTTTCTTACGCGTCTGCACCATAAGATCCCAAGGTGGGTTGCAGCGATATAGCAACCTAAGAACCTGCCTTATGCCATGTCAAATCATTAGTCCATCTAGCTCAATATTGCCTATATTGACTGGCAGAAACTCTGCATGTTTCTACACAAGAGTCCCTCCCAGCCCTTCCTGGGGATTTCAGGGATTGAATCAGATACTTTCTGCATGCAAAGCAGATAATCTGTGGTCCCATCCCTAAATACAATATTTAAAATTGTTTAGAACCAGTTACTAAAACATGGCTTACTGTGACTGCATGAATACGTGGGCTTCTGGAGAGAGGCTTGCAATCACTTTGCTCCTGCTTGGTCCTTTTTGCTCACACACCACGCTGAGCTAAGGCAAGGTTTAGCTTAGCATGTTGTCTGAACTTGGATGTATGGTTAAGCTCTGTCCTTGCTACCTATGACCTGTAACAATGGTATGATTAGCAAAGGGAGAGGGTTTAACCACAAGTCCTGGTTTGGCTTAGCGCAGTGTATGACGAAGGAGCAAAAAGCAACAGGGAGGAGCAAATCAGTTGCGTGTGTGCATTTGTGTGGCCAAGATAAGCCATGGTTTGGCTTACTGTGTCATGTGAACCAGGCCACTGGGACTTAAGTCATGACCCATTAACTTCAATGGATCCTAAATTCAATGAATGTTTGGATCCAACCCAAAGTGTGAAGAGACCAACATATATTCTTATAATGTTTTTCTGTCATTGTCCTGCTGCTTCCGTTAAATGATATTAAAAAGCATACGAGAAACCACAGAACTACACTGCTCATGGCTCGCAAACTATGGTGTCCGCCAGGTTGAATATGTTACATTAAATAAACATAACCCACTCATTTATTTCCCAGCTGTCCACTGCAATAAAACCAGAACTGATGCTAATAAATGATCAAGCCAAAATGCTTGTCTCATTCTTTCCCTTGTTAACTTGCCCATACCATTTTGAACTTCCCATCACTTGCCAATTGTGAGAGAGTGTCTGATAGTTGTAAAATACCGCACTAAATCACAAAACAATGGGAATAAAAAGTGAAGGTGTCTGCCACATCTTCACCTGAATCAGAAAGGGATGAGAACCCAACAGTACTAGGCACTGTGAAAAATGTGTTATCTGTTTGTTTGAGAAGTAGGAAGCCTAAGGACTGTGTTCAATGTTATTCCTATGCACAGCAGACCCCACCAAACAGGTCCATTAATTGAAATGAATCTACTCTGAGTATAATTTAGCTGAAAACATCCCTATCGTTTCTACATTTTAACAGTTCTGCAAACCTGTACCACACTACAGTTTTTGGAGTTCCTATCAGAAAACTGTGACAATTTTACAGTTCAGATGTAATGATAAACTATGGTTTCTTGACCCAAAAATGAACCATGTGTCCAGGTACTCTTGTCTCTTTTTTTTTGTATGCCTTGCTTTATATTATGTCGTTTTAAAGGAGTTTTCCTTGATGACTGAACCGGAACACTGTGGTCGTAACTATGTTTGCATGGGACGTGCATTCTATATATGCCCGGCATCTACATTTCCATGTCCAGGGAACTAGCCCTTCAGGACCACAAATAACTAAGAGTGAATACTTTAGTGCTAGGAGAATCTTTCCCCTGTAGGCCTGGCTGTATTCTGACAGGCTTCTCTCAGGTCTGATAGAGCTGATCCAAAAACTAGCTTTATTTCTTTTTTATCCACAATATATAGTAGCACAGTGTGTGTAATTTTAGGGGTATTGTTCTGGGTTTGGGTTAGAGTATCCTCACAACTATTATTCCTCACAATTATTATTATTCATTTATTATCACCATTTGTGGTTCACAAGACACCTGAGAAGGCAAGGCCAGAGATTTTTTCCAGAAAAAGGTGAAGCTAACTTACAGAAGGCTTGTCCCAGAAGTGGGGGAGTGAAAGATTAGGCAAAAGTGAGCTGTGAGTGGCTGCATGGTGTGGTGCTTCAGTTTAGGAAGCAGGGGGAAGAAAGGGGGATGCTGTGGAAGCTGGGAAGCTAGAAAGAGGGGGAAATCAAAGGAAGGGAGGCTATAATCAAAGGAAGGACATATTGCAATAGGTTTGACTGAAAACACTTCAAAGGGAGGGTGAATGGGGGTCCTCAACATTGGGGTGAAGAGCAGGTGTGGCCTGGCAAGGCTTTACCAACAAGGATTGCAGGACAATGGAGTGAGAGATCGGCCCCCAAAACTGGGAGTTCCATGAATCTGTCACACTGCATGTGTGCCTGCAAGAGTGCTCTCTTTAAATCAAGCTGAGTTCAGGGGGCCAAAACCAGTTATAGCCTTAAAAAGACAGAAACTGGCAGCAGCTCAGGTGGCAACAGAAATAAAGATTTCCAGATGAAAAAGGGAGGTTGATGGCCTGTGCTTTACTGAATAGACTCATGCTTCAGGCTAGGTGAGTGCATTTCAGTACTATTTGGAAGAACTCTGGGCTGTGAATAGTCACTTGGTAAGTGGTAAGGGGTTTTCCTGATTGCGTTATGATCTGGGGAACTTTTGCCTTTTGTGCATTCAAGAACTCCTTAGCCTAAGGCACAGAGGAACTGGAAGCTCTCTTGTTCATGGTGACTAGTGCTGCAAACACACTTTGTCCTGGCATGCCAGCTTTTGCCAGCTAGTTGTTAACACGCAAGAGGGGGATTATGAGCCAAGGTGTTCGGATGGGGACAAAATGGAGACAATCTTGTGCTCTCTTGGTAACATGCTGATTAGCGATCAAGATAAGAAACCAGGATCTGTTTTTGAACTGAGGTTGTTACATCTTAGCCAGACCTAAAGATAATATAGTTAGGATATAACTCTTTTCTCTCTGTGGAGCCAGTGTCTCTCACCCACCTTATTTTCATAGAACCATAGAATTGTAGAGTTGGAAGGGACCACAAGGGTCATCTAGTCCAACCCCCTGCAATGCAGGAATTTTGATACCACTTTTCCAAATGAATGTCAAAAGCAGCTTCTGAGACTGAGTGACAAACTAAAGAGACCTTTTAAAAAAGTATTAGCTTACTGCCTTTGAAGATAGTTTGGAAATTGTAGCTAGTGCAGTATGTGGCCACCTAATTCAATCAATCTCCTTTGTTGGCATCGTATACATTGATCAGAACACAACACAGTTGACAAAACATAGTAGGATATACATTAGGATAAAACTGTCCAGACATCATAAGGTATGAAGATGGCTCTTATGACCTATGGTGATGTAATTTCATAGTGTCACTCAAAAATATTGCCACATTCTCCACAATGTCATGCTTTGGTATCCAGAGCCATAAGCCATATGGTATCCAGCCATATGGCACACAGTTAGGCAGCCCCAGGATTTGGCACCGAAATTTGGATTGAATGCATTCCAACAATTGGTTAACTGCACCAATCCATAATGGAACACCGTACAGGAGTTGGGGGGCTACTTTGGCGTTAAAGACCTTTAGTGAAGCTGGGAGCTGTTAGAGAAAAGATGGGTGATAGACAGAGCTAGAGTATCCTCTCTGTTAAGTGCAAGCTTACAATGGTATTTCCAGGAAGCATTATATAGGATGCCTAGGTATTTAAAGTTTTCAACCTGTTCCAATGGGTTTCCACTGATCTCCCACCTACGAGGCTTCGAAGATCTTGAGAAAACAAGCACTTTAGATTTTGTGAAGTTCAGTTCTGGTCTGTTGGCTATACAATATTCCTGGCTGCTGCACACCTAATTGTTGACAGGCTCAAGATGAGCAGATCATATAACACTAATCTTGACACAGCTGTGCAGGATGCCTGCAAGTTTCTAGGCCCAATTCAAAGTGCTGGCTTTAGCCTTTAAAGCCCTATATAGCTTAGGACCCCAATATCTTTTGCAGCAACTCTTGCTGTATGAACCTAACCAAACCCTTCAGTCCTCTTCTGAAGCCTTTCTTCAGGTCCCCCGTCTGAGGTAGGTTTGGAAGATGGTAACAAGGGAGAAGGCCTTTTTAGCTATGGTTTCCCAGCTATGAAACACTCTCCCCAGTGAGCTCCACCTAGCACCATGATGAACATCATTTCAGTGTCAGGTTAAAAGCTATCTCTTCTCCAGGCATTTGATGGATTATAATGACAAGCTGGTTGATGGGCTATTGAATGAAATGTCCTTGCTGGAGACTTCTGGGTTGGCGTCATCGGTAATGGCGGACTCCCTCTGAGTTTCAAAGGGACCAGCTCCGCGGGATCGGGTCTGACCGCTGCGGCGAAGTGGGGACCCTTTAAAAATCACAGGCGGGTGAAGCCTGTGAACGTGGGGACTCGGCGGGCACCTTTTGCGCCCCCCCAAACTGTGAAGGGACCCTTTTAAGGGCTCCGGAGCGAGACGGGGTGAGCGGCGCAGTGCTGAGAGTCGACTGCTTCTTCCGCGGAGTGAAGCCGCATAGCCGTTATCGGAGAGCGCTGACTTTTTCCTGAGACAATCTGACTTTGAAAGCAACTACCCGTGAGTAGGATTAAATTGGATTTAAAGGGAAAAACAAGTTAATTCGGCACCGAAGCGGGAAGGTATAAACAGGAAGTCTGCCTTCCTTTCTTGTAAATAGATCAAAGCAAAGAGACTGTAAGCGGAAACTCTGAAAGACGTTTGAAAAAAGATTTAAATCTCAACATCAGGAAAGTGATCTCCCCTCCGGATTGCAGGAGAGGAGGGGGGAAAGGTTTGAACTGTATTTATCTGCAAAAAAAAGGGGGGAAAGGAGCTAAAATCCACCGCCTAAAACCTGGGAACGGACTGCCCCGAGATAAGAAATGCCGCTCTGTGGAAAGCCTATCGGTAAGCAGAGGACTTTTGACAGCTGACTCTGCAAAAGAGATACAGTGTTTCTGAACTTCTCCTGGCTTTAAAGTAATTGATTAAGTGCAACTGAAACTGTTGTTTTTATGTGAATTGGGGGACTTATAAGGACTATTTTCTTTTCTTAAAGTTGCAAGCCTTGGCTGTTACTGTGTCCCCCTAGAGGAGGCTTGACATTGCTACAATAACTGGGCTAGAGGAATTTTTCATTTCAAAACAAATTCCAGCCGTGGGATCGACCTTGGACTCTCATGAGAGTGTTATGGCAGATGGAAGAGGAAAGTTAAAGTTGACGCAGGAAAAAACTGCTAGGTCTGGCAGACCCTATCGGACAGATACTGCGTTGCAGCGAAGGGCTTCAACATCTGGTCCTTCTGGACCATCTGGAATACCAGGGGCTGCACCTCCACAAGTTAAACCAAAAGTTATGTCGTCCGAAGATGTTTTGGCTCAGGCACTTGGTAAAATTAATGAATCTTTGGAAAATTTAGCTAAATAAGTAGCTGAAACAAATAAACAAGTAGCCGAAGCATCAGTTAAAATTGACCAAAATACTACAAGCATTAATAATTTGGGACAGAAGGTGAATACCAACACAGAGTCTATTGAAAAATTACTACAGGAATCTGCTTCGACCCGAAAGACAGCTGAAGAAGCAAAAGATATAGCAACTGCTACTCAAGAGAAGATACCACCGATATATAGGCAACTTGAGGACCACGGTTTGACGTTGTCTATGATTGAATTGAAGGAGAAACAAAGAAATTTAAGAATCAGGGCTGTACCAGAACGTGAGAAAGATAATTTGGCTGATTTTCTTACGCAGGAATTTGCAGATTTCTGGCAACAGGATTTGGGGAAGGAAGAATTTAAGATAGTGAGTGCATTTAGACTTGGAAGAGGAGGAAGGAAGAACAAGGTGAGAGACTGCTTGATCACCCTTCGAACAAAAGAGGAGAGAGACAAAATCTTGAATCTGCATTACCAAAAGACTCTAGAAATTTACGACTCAAGTGTGGAGATATTTAAGGATATTCCAAAACATCTTTTGGATTTAAGGCTTAATTACGGAGATCTGGTTGCCCTGTTGAGAAGTAACAGAATTATCTTTAGGTGGGAATTTCCTCAAGGCCTGTCCTTTAAATATAAAGGAAGAAAGATAAAAATAAGATGAGTCAGTGACAAGGATAGGTTTTGAAGGATCACGGAGAAGATCTACAGAAAGAAGTGGAATCTGGAGAAGAGCCAAAAGCACTGGAAAAAGGAATACTAGATATAGCAAACCTATCTTTTGGATTGCATGGTCCAGAGAAAGTGACACCACTGACAGAACAAGAACAGACACTTGGCGCAGTTGGGGGTAAAGCGAAGTAACCCCATCATGGCTTTGCAACTGTTAAGTTGGAATTGTAATGGTCTAAACTCTCCTCGGAAGAGAAAAAGTGTTTTCATTTACTAAAAAAGGAACAATTGGACTTGATTTGTCTACAAGAAACACATGTAACAAGGTTACACAGGAAACTACTGATTAACAAGAGATTGGGACAGGAGTTTATTTCATCTGACAAAGTTAAAAAAAGAGGGGTTGTGATTTATGCAAAGGAGAGACTATCACCGAAATTTATTTTTAAAGACGACTAAGGAAGATTTCTGGCAATTGAAATTCAAGTTCAAGGAGAGAAATTTTTGATAGTAGGAATTTACGCACCGAATGAGGGGAAATCTGAATTCTTTAAAAAGTTGCATGAGACCTTAATGGACTATTTGGATTACAATCTGATTTTGATGGGGGATATGAATGGAGTAGTATCTACAAACATGGATAAGGCACAAAGACAGGTAGTTACCAAGGATGGTAGACTACCGAAAACATTCTTCGAGATGACAGATAATTTGGACTTAGTTGATACTTGGATAACAAAGAACCCCTTGGGAAGAGAGGGAACCTTCTTTTCTGAAGCCAAGATGACATGGACTAGAATTGACCAAATATGGGTAACTAGAGGAATGGCATCAAAGATAAAGAAAGTGGAAATCTGCCCAAAAACCTGCTCCGACCATAATGCTGTAAGGATGGAGTTGAAACTAATATCAACTGGCCCCTTCAGATGGAGGATGAATGACACCTTATTCAGAGATGAAGAAGTGTATAAAAAGGCCCAAAAAACCTTGAGAGACTATTTTGAAATAAATATGAATACTAATGTAGAAAAAAGAGTAATCTGGGACGCAAGCAAAGCTGTCATGAGAGGGTTTCTGATACAACAGAATGCAATAAAGAAGAGAAGTCAAAATGAGAAGAAAGATAAAATTTTGGGGAAAATAAAAGAAAGTGAAAAGAAATTGAGAGCAAAACCAAAGTCGCAGGAGATTTTGAGAGAAATAAAGTTATATCAAGTACAATATATGGAAATGAGGAACCAGGAAATAGAATGGAAAATCAAACAAATGAGACAAAAAACATTTGAATCTGCTAACAAATGTGGGAAATTGCTGGCCTGGCAAATGAAAAAAAGACAAAAATTAAACACTATTACAAATTTAGAAGTGGAAGGAAAGAATATACACAACCCAACTGAGATTAGAAACTGTTTCCAGAGGTATTTTAAACAACTATATACACAAGGGCCACAGAAAGAAATGGACATAGACCGATTTCTGAAGACAAATGGATTACAAAAATCTCCCAAGAAAGTAAACTAATGTTGAACTATAAAATATCTGAACAGGAAGTAGAAGGTGCCATTCAAAACATGCAATTAGGCAAATCTCCAGGACCAGATGGGCTGACTTCTAGATATTATAGATCTTTGAAAGAGTGGTTATTACAACCTTTAAAGGAAGTCTGCAATGAAATATTGGAAGGGAAAAGGGCACCAGAGTCGTGGAAAGAGGCGTACATTACACTTATACCGAAGACAGAGACTGAAAAGACTCAGCTTAAGAACTACCGCCCCATATCATTACTTAATGTGGATTACAAAATTTTTGCAGACATTTTGGCCAAGAGATTGAAAAAAGTATTGATGGAAGAGATTCATAAAGACCAAGCAGGCTTTCTCCCGGGAAGACACTTGTCCGATAATTTGAGGAATATAATCAATATTTTGGAAAAACTAGCAGTGAATATAAATACTAAAGCAGTTTTGATATTTGTGGACGCGGAGAAAGCTTTTGATAATATCTCTTGGAGTTTTATGAAGAAGAATCTACAGGGGATGGGGGTAGGCCAAGGTTTTGAAAACGGTATAAGTGCAATTTATTCAGAACAAAAGGCTAAACTAATAGTAAATAATGTGGTGACGGAAGAATTTAGGATAGAAAAAGGGACAAGACAAGGTTGCCCAATTTCCCCATTGCTTTTTATATAGGTCCTGGAGGTTCTGCTGAATATGATTAGAAGGGACCGGTTGGTTAAAGGTATACAGGTCGGAGTCAAACAGTACAAATTGAGAGCATTTGCAGATGACTTAGTATTGACGTTACAGGAGCCAGAATCTAGTACTAAAAGAGTTTTAGAACTGATTCAAGAATTTGGTCAAGTTGCAGGATTTAAATTGAATAAGTTAAAGACCAAGGTTTTAGAGAAAAATTTAACACCAATGGAGAGAGAGAGGTTTCAGAATGAGACAGGTTTAACAGTGGTTAAGAAAGTTAAATACTTGGGGATTAACATGACAGCAAAAAATGGGAATTTATTTAAAGACAACTATGAAAAATGTTGGGCTGAAGTGAAAAAAGATTTAGAAATTTGGTCAAATTTGAAGCTTTCACTGCTGGGCCGTATTGCTGCGGTGAAAATGAATGTATTGCCTAGAATGTTGTTTTTGTTTCAAACATTGCAAATTGTGGACAAAATGGACTGTTTCAAGAGGTGGCAGAGAGATATTTCTAGATTTGTCTGGCAGGGCAAGAAGCCTAGAATAAAATTTAAAATATTAACAGATGCAAAGGAAAGAGGTGGATTTGCCCTGCCAGACTTTAAACTTTACTATGAATCAGCAGCTTTTTGCTGGTTGAAAGAATGGTTGCTTCTTGAAAACACTGACATTTTGGATCTAGAAGGTTTTAACAATGTATTTGGATGGCATGCATATCTGTGGTATGATAGGGTCAAAGCACATAAAGCATTTAAAAACCATATTGTCAGGAAAGCATTGTTTAATGTCTGGATAAGATACAAGGACTTATTGGAAAATAAAACCCCAAGGTGGTTGTCACCGATGGAAGCAAAAGCTCTGAAAAAGCTCAATATGGAGGCCAAATGGCCGAAATATTGGGAAATTTTGGAACAAGACGGAGATAGACTGAAATTGCAGAGTTTTGAGAAATTAAAAAACAAAGTGCGAGACTGGCTTCATTATTATCAGATAATGGAGGCATATAATTTGGACAAGAAAATTGGTTTCCAGGTGGAAAAATCAAAATTAGAAACAGAACTGTTAGAACCCAAAACTAAGATTTTGTCAAAGATGTATAACTTGTTGTTGAAATGGAATACTCAGGATGAAACGGTGAAATCTGCTATGATTAAATGGGCACAAGATGTTGGACAGAACATAATGATGGCTGACTGGGAACAGTTATGGACCACAGGTATGAAGTTTACGGCATGTAATGCCTTAAGAGAGAATATTATGAAAATGATATACAGGTGGTACATGACCCCAGTCAAGCTTGCAAAAATTTATCATTTGCCCGATAATAAATGCTGGAAATGTAAAGAAACTGAAGGTACATTCTTTCACCTTTGGTGGACGTGCCCAAGGATTAAGGCTTTCTGGGAGATGATATATAATGAATTGAAAAAGGTATTTAAATATACCTTCTTGAAGAAACCAGAGGCCTTTCTCCTAGGCATAGTTGGCCAATTGGTGCCAAAGAAGGACAGAACTTTTTTTATGTATGCCACAACAGCAGCAAGAATACTCATTGCAAAGTATTGGAAGACACAAGATCTACCCACTCTGGAAGAATGGCAGATGAAGCTGATGGACTATATGGAACTGGCAGAAATGACTGGCAGAATCTGAGACCAGGGAGAAGAGTTGGTGGAAGAAGATTGGAAGAAATTCAAAGACTATCTACAGAAATATTGTAAAATTAATGAATGTTAGAATGATGTTGGATAGAAATTAAGTGGTTTCCAGCTGTAATGCTTTAAGGGAATATGAAAAATGGGTTGTTAATACGTAAAAATCTAACGTTACTATTTTAAGACCAAAGATTAGGATAAACAAAGAGGGTAAGGATTTGCTGAACCAACAAATTGAACTGGAATACAAAAAAGGGAGGTATGAGGAGGTCCGGGAAACAAGCTAAGGAAAAATAAGTAATGGAAAAATTTAGTGGTTTTTAATCATTTTTATTTTGTATTTTGTATTTTTTCTTTTTTTTCTTTTCCCCCTTTTTCATTTTTATATTGTAACATTTGGAAAATCTCAATAAATATCTTATAAAAAAAAATAATGAAATGTCCTTGCTGCAGGAGCTTTTGTTTTTCGCTTGCTGGATTTGTGTATGGGTTATTGGAATGGTTTTATTAAAATGTATTGCTTTATATGTTATGCCTTTTGGCTTTTAACCTTTTTTTGTAAGTCTCTTAGGGACTTTTGTGGTAAGTGTCTTATAAATAAAGAGAGAGAGAGAATTGTTGTTATATGGGCACTGGAGGGTCCAAGTTCAAATGGCTGACTGGCAGGAGGGAAAGGATTGCCATTGGTCTGCTCAAAACTGTCCTCCCCAACCAGCTTGTCTCTCTCCCTCTTTGGTTGTGAAGAGGGAAAATAAAGTAATTTTGAGGGGACAAACAACGGGAAAGGAAAGGGCTGAGAAATCCGTCTTCTTAAGCACAGAAACTGTTTTCCAGTAAAAATAAGAACAAATTTTCCCCGTAGACATACTGCCTCTGCATCTCTCATGTAACATTACATCTTGTTTGGCTCTCTCACAAGACATTTTGTATTTTTTTATTGCGGCTCAGTCTTTGGGTCATTGAATTTTGCTATTCAAAGACTCCTGCTATAATAAGCACATTTGTTAAGCTTTTGTATCAATTTGTGAAAGGTTTGAGAAGTAATTACCAAGGAACTGTTCTGTTTTCTTTGCATTTAGTTGTTGTTTAGTCTTTGTAATGTAGACAGGAACCTGTTATTGACCAGGCAGAAATATGGACAAATCTGTCAATTTTTGGTTGCTCTCAGTTTCTTGTTTTTCAGTTCACTTCATCCTGTCTCCATATCAACTGAACAGTGGGAGGTTCAGGACAGAAAAAAGGAGGTATTTCTTCACACAGCACGTAGTTAAATCACAGAATTCACTACTGCAAGCTGTAGTGATGGTAGGGGTGTATGAATAAAATTCTCTTATGAAAATTTGTCAGTATCTTAGTGTGAATTTCTCCTATTTAATATGCTTCTGTGTAGTTTTGACAAATAGTCACGTTTTTGCAAGCAATTTCCTCTAATGCAACACATTTTTGTGTTACTTTAACTAATGTTTGACTTTTGATGCGATGCAAACTTTCCCCTAATGTATGCATTTTGTACATGTCTTTTGACTGGAGAACTGCATTGCAAAATTTGGAGAAAAACAAATTTCAAAGGGGAGCTGTGTTTCAGTTTGCATGTTGGTTTGACAAGCACAAATTGGGTAGTTTCTCATTAAAATGGCAACAGAATTGAATTTCTCCCCCATCCTTGTGCGATGGCTACCATCTTGGATGACTTTAAAAAGCCTTTAGACAAATTAATGGAGGGTAAGGCTATCAATGGCTACTTGCCACAATGGCTGTGTACTACCTTCAGCATACTGTGGGAGCACAAGCGCTTGTGCTTCCCACAGGCATCTGGTTAATCACCATGACAACAGTCACTGCAAGAGCAGTGCTCTTTTTCTGTTCTGAACAATGCAGTAAATCTGTTGTTGCTTGTTTGTCTTGTCTGCCTTTCAACAAAAGGAAATATTTTCGATTTACCTGTATTTAGCAGAACAGAAAAAGGTGATTAACCAGAAACCATAATGCTGTATCGTGTCTGTACAAATGTCCAACACTTTGCCTGTAAAGATAAACTAGTGAAAACCTTGTATTGCTGGTTTAGCAAATAAGAAACTTCTGGCAGTTTACCTGCGTTTCTGTGTAATTTCATCACTGAAGCAGCTCCTTCTCCTCCCATCCTCGGAGCTTACTGAAATTTCAGTGGTTGTTAGAAATTGGTAGTCTTCAGGCTAAACCGTTTTGCAAAAGAGTGGGCATTGCCAGAAACGTATTCAACCTGAAACTGACAGTAAGCCAACATAAAAGTGGGGAGGGAAATTCTGCCAGTTCACTTGGGTGGCAGATATTTTTTGCTCATTTTTTGATAGTCTGACATTAATAAGCCAGCATAGTTTGTGCCCTGTATTGGTTGCTCATGCATTTTTTTAAAATTTAAAATTTAAAAGTTCAGCCTAAGCATTTCCTCTACTGCTAAAAAATATGGCCTTAGGCAATGAATTGTCACTAGCTAGCAGTCTGTGAGTTTATTCATTCATTCATTCATTCATTCATTCCTGCCTTTCCAAACTGGTGGATTCAATTTCTCAGGATTCATTCTGACAACAGAGTTATTTGAAGCTCAGCTATTTTTGCAAACGGAGGCTTGTTTCTGGTGCCCCAGGAAATAAGGCATTGTAATTAGATGACTTCAAAATGTTGCCACACTCCACATTAGAATTCTACTAATGTGTGAATGGTTCTCTAGCAGCTATCTTGGAACTCCTATGAATTCTCATACTGCATACTTAGAAGTGAAAGTGTGAAGTGCTGGTAGTACCCACACAAGTAGTAGCAAAACATCTCTGTAAGGAAAAGTCAATGTACCCTCTTAGTTTTATTGACACTGTTTTCAAAAAGAATAATAAGTTACATTTATTATTAATTTGCATAGTGAGATTGCTCAAACCCATAGCTTGTTGGTTACGAACATAAGAATGCCACCTTATACTGAATCAGAACTTTGGTCCATCTAGCACAGTATTGTCTACACTGACTGACAGTTGCTCTCCAGGATTCCAGGCAGGGGACATTTCTACCAGGGATTGCATCTGAGATTGGGTTGCCATACATCTGGAATTTTCCAGACATACCCTGAATACTGTTGCTGGAAGAAGTGTCTGGGTGGAAATTGGGAAAATGTCAGGAAAATCTGGACATATGGCAACCCATGTCAGCAGTGCCATTTGGGGTGTGATTTTACTTTTTAAAACGCTCCAAAACATCCCCCCTCTCTCTTTTGCTATTTTGCCCAAAAAGCTCAACAACTTTGCCAAAAAAGCTCACTAACTTTTGTTTCACTTTTTGAAATATGGCGACACTAACTCGAGACCTACTTGCAAAGCAGATGCTTCTGCTACTGAGCTATAATCCTTCCTTAGTTTCGCTGTGATAGCAGACTATGGTTTGCTCATAACAGGAACTCATCAATTAAGTTCTGTGTGTGAGAGGAGTGGTGAGGAAGGGGGCGCTTTTGAGCCAGTTACTTGTTAAAATTCATCAAATCTATAATCTGGAAGATTGTTCGAAAACATCCATAGTCTTGAATTAGTTTCTCTGGTAAGAAATGGCTCTTGTGTTAGAAAGCAATGGCAGAGCAGATGTACTCAGTAACAATAATGACACCACTGACGAGACAAACACTTTCATGATGATGCATGGGAACACTAACTCCAAACTGCATTGTTTAGCTAATGCATGCTTTCACTCCAGTAAAGTGCAGTGTCACATAACTGAAAGTAAATCGAAGAGATCATAGTTTAGAAAATATGACAAAGTTGAAAACTTAAAGCTGCATTATGCAGTAATATCCTTTTAGAGATAAATAATTGATCCAAAAGACTACGTCTGTGTTATTATATGTTTATTAGGTATACTTTTTCCTCTGGTTGGCAAACGAAATCAAAAACTTGCTAAGCCAACATTTGCTTGGGGACACATGTGTTTCATCAGTGTAACCATATGTTTTGAGTATGTGCTGCTTAAGAAAGAGAATACAATGAGATGATACATTGACCTATTTTGGCCATTCAACAGGGAAAATTTCAGTGGGTTTTATCCAATTCTTTGGAGTACATCCATTCAAATCCATGAACCTAAGCTAGTCATGCTCATTAACTTCAGTGGGCCTACTCTGTGTAGGACTAGCGTTGGATACAACCCAATGTCATAATTGCTTTCAAGGCCTTCCTTCACTATAAGTGTATTGCACAAAAAAATGTGCATTAGTTTCTCATTTGTTCTAATCAGATTTCCTATTCTCCCTCAGCTTCTCCACCGGACTATTTCAGCTTCTGAGTAGCAAAAGCACAATATGCTCAGTTAAAACATTAATTGCTATTGTCATTTCTGTGTATAATTTAATTACTTGAATGTCACAGGCATCTAGAATACTTTATATCTATTGTAATACTTTGGAAAGTATGCCGTCCCCTGCAGCACAATTAGAGTGTAGGAGTGCTCTTTTAACTATGTAGATTTTTGAAGCAAATCACAGTCAGGATTTGCCTCCTCTGTTTCTCTGGCATATAGCCCATGGTTTTGTTGAGTGCATGTGTGTGTACACACACATATTTTTCAAACATTTTTCAAACATTTACCTTCCACTATGCTAGAGCATATATCTATTACTGTTTTTAGAGGAGCAAGGAACACTATTTAGTCTATGTTTAAAATAGAATAATTCTTTCTTTTCACAAGAAGGCTGTTCCTATCCTTTACACATACTGACAGGATATTATGCTGTTCTCAATGAAAGGGTTTATCATGCAAAGACTAAGGGCTTACTTTTATTGATCATGTAGAAAGCCACTTAAGTGACAGGAATGCAGATTTACCCAAGTCAGGTGTATAAACAATAGTCACAGGAACAGTATCTTCTATAGACCAGTTGAGGGTCACTATCCAGTTCCTCCTCCACCTTCAGAACTAATTTTTCCCATTCATATGCAAATTTAAGTGATTAATGAAAACTCATACGACTGATCAACTAAATATAGTGAAATGGCCTTAGTGCTTGTATGCAAAAGGTTCCCTCCTGAAAATCTGATCAAAGTACAAATAAAAATAAAAATATTCAGATAAAAAACAAACAAATAGATGATCATCCTGCTCAAAAGAAAATGTCCAGTGCAGTTTTCAAATCTTTCTTCTTTGCGGCTTTGAAAGAAAACTCTGAGAAATAAACTTTCTAAGAGGCTACATTTTTCCAAGATTAGCACAATTAAAAAGAGTCGTTCTCTAAGAAGAGTGCTTAATACAGTAAGTGGGGTACTTTTTTAACTGAATATTTTGTTCCATTTGTGATTTATTCGGAGCACATTTAAGTTTATCTTCCCATACTTAGGTGTTTGGTGCCTGAATAAGTGCATGAAGTGTGTGTGTGTAGGTCAGAACATGTAGGATAGTACTTACCCTTGGAGGCCATGTTCCAGCCATGACTCGCTTCTGCTGCATATTTGGTAGGGAGCCAGTATGGGTACAGATGTATGTATGTAGGGCTATTCCATAAGGGTGGGAATGCCGACTGTCCAGGATTCTCATCTCCATAGAATGTCACGGAACCTGCAGCATCAGGAATGTGGCTGGTGTGTTTGTTGGTATACAGGGAATGAGTCTAACTTGTGTGTTCTTGTTAGGCATCCATGTCTACCAGATATTTGAATAGGCTTCTGTCTGTCTTTTAGACCATGTACCTTTAGCACCAAGGACAGCACAGCATTTTTAGCTGACTATCATTTTCTGCTTTGTTGTTGCTGTCGTCTGGTTGTTTCCCACCATCTCCTAGCTTCTTCTTTGAGAAACCCAGTCCTCAGAAGTATCACCTCTCCTGATATGTCTAGGATTAAACCAAATGAATGAGAGCCATGGGATAAATTTTGTGAGACTGGAATAAACAACATGAGACACTCTGTATTTCTTAAATAAGAACTATGGATTGTTACAAACTGTCCAGAAAATGAAGGCCAAACACCTAGACTGGTGCAATACCAAAATGTTGAACATTTTACCTCAGTTTGCCTTTGGAACCTTGCTCCCTCCTAAGCCTATGAGATGATGAGGCAAGTACGAACTACTGCCTGAAAGCAGAGTGTATATATGATTTATTGAGGGTGGCATCTGATTATGTCATAGTCAGAGAAGACCCATTAAAATAATGACTAACTTAAACCCATTAATTTCAGTGGGTATACTCTGAGTATCACTAAGTCACATGCTGCCCTTTATCATAGTGCTGTTAAAACTGCAGTAAATAACTGAACACAGTAGCGTTGACATTCTTCCATAAATCGCTGCTGCTAAAAATGTAGTAAGGCACAATAGGGAATTTGAAACAGAGCAAAGGGAATGGGAAAATGTCTGACGTGATACACGATGTGTAGCTTCCAAGCCTGTATTGTAATCTGACCTCGCTAAACGTGAACATATGCAGTCTACAAAGATGATAATGTTGGGAAGTTATAAGATTATAATTTAAATAGCAGTACAGGGGTACCTCTGGTTACGTACTTAATTCGTTCTGGAGGTCCCTTCTTAACCTGAAACTGATCTTAACCTGAAGCACCACTTTAGCTAATGGGGCCTCCCGCTGCTGCCGCACTGCCTAAGCACGATTTCTGTTCTCATCCTGAAGCAAAGTTCTTAACCCGAGGTATTATTTCTGGGTTAGCGGAGTCTGTAACCTGAAGCGCATGTAACCTGAAGCATATGTAACCCGAGGTACCACTGTATCTAAATGCAAATAATCTCTTAGTCTATACATGAATAATTTCTATATAGTTATTTTTTCTTTGTGCAGTTTTTTCTAGATCACTCTAAGGCAGCTGTCTGGAGCATAGTGTAAAATGTCTGTGCCGAAGAACGCCATCATTTCACATTGTTTAAAAAGTAAAGGGTTTGCTTTGTTGCACAGATAGCTGTACAGGTGTACAAAGCTCTTTCAGAATGAGCTGGAGTGATGTAGTGTGTGAATTATAATTCTGAAAGGCAAATGAAAAACATATGTAGCCAAACTACAGCCTGTGGGTGGCTTTGAGGTAAGTATATGATGTTAACAGCTAGATTCAAATATGGTCATGATGGGAATGTTAATATGTATGGAAAGACTGATCATATATTTGTCCTATAGTGCAAGTATGTGATGGAGTCATCTGCAATTGAAAGTTAGCTAGGTTCATTATAAACATTTTTTTTTTTTTTTTACAATACCACATCTTGGAAAAAGAGATGCAAGAACCTCTTCAGGGAATTTTGTTCAGTTTCATAACCAGGCACAGCAATTAAAATCCTCTTAAACATTTCTATTTCTGATCACCCAGCAAGAACAAAAGTGACATGGAAAGGTTGAAAGTGTACTTTGAAAGAGCAAAATAATTTGTGTATTTGACAAAACTTACTACCTTTATCATCTAGCAATTTCACTGATATCTCCTGGCTAGGTTTAGCTTTGGATGTATTTAAATGCATTTTTATATTTTATTTCATTTCTTCAGCTATTGGTTCTTTGGATTCCTTCTTCACTTGTTTTACTATCAATTTACACTGGCTTTGTCAGAGTGTATGTTCTCCTTCACATCAGTTTACACCAGTTGTTTAGTTGTAAAAATATTTCTTTCTGCCTTTTATGGTTTTTGTTGGCTACCATTTAACCACATTGTCATAATCTTGGACCTGTTTGCACTCTTTCTAATTTGTACTCCACCCAGAGGAAGGATCATTGTTGATGTGTGTAATGAGTATGGGTTGCTCGTGCGTAAGTTGCCGCCTCTCCTGGCTTTGTTGCCTTGTTAAACCTCTCAGTCTGGACAGCCCTGCACTTTGTGACTGCCTCAGTCGCTAGCAGAATCCGTCAGTGGGCGTTTCTTAAACCTTTTCCAACATAAAAGTTGTTTGACACCCAGTCTCCTCCTACTCTCTCTGCGTGGAAGTCTTCTGCGCAGGGAGGGCGTGGGTAGCGGAGGACCCGTGCTCTCCCCGCTGGTGTCCGGTGAAGAGTCTGGGAGCCCTCTCGCCGATTCCCCCATCTGCCCCCCTTTATTCCTGGTGTTGCGCTGATTTGCTTCCCCATCTGCTGAGCTGCCTCTCTCCCTGCTGGGCCCTTCTCCAGCATCATTTGAGAGCCTTCCCTCCGCCTCTAGCTCCGATGTCAGTTCCCTGACAATGTGTTTTTTTGAAAAAATATAAATGAATGCAAGAATGCTGCATTTTCTTTATAACAGGGTAATTTTGTGTTTTTGTTTTGTGCCCAATGGAATGATTTATTATGTGACTCCACCCTGTGCTCCAAAAAGGAGGAAGGCTGGAGTAGAATGACATCACATGAATAAAAATAAAGCTAACTTTGCTCCCCCCCCCATATAATAGTTCTACATGTTTCTATTCTTCCTTGGGTGCAGTGCTAAATAATGAAGCTCCAGCAGCAGCTATAGAGTACTGAAGAAAAGCGAGTATCTTTGGCTGAAAATTATCCCCTTATTAGAGGGTCTGGGGCCTTGAGAGTTGTGGAGGATGATGCTCGGGATCAGGAAAAACTTAATGCAGCCATTGCATTGTCTGAGAACTCAGTTTGAAGGCTGCTTCATTGTCTTTCTCTACTCTGTCATATGTAAACCTCATTGACCAGGCACTTCCAACAGGTAGATCATGATCTACCGGTAGATCACTGGACATCTGTGGTAGATCACTGGTAGATCACTAAAAAAGGTAAAGGACCCTGACAGTTAAGTCCAGTCGCAGACGACTCTGGGGTTATGTCGCTCATCTCGCTTTACTGGCCGAGGAAGCCAGCGTTTATCCCAGACAGTTTTTCCAGGTCATGTGGCCAGCATGACTAAGCTGCTTCTGGTGAAACCAGAGCAGCACACGGAAATGCTGTTTACCTTCCCACCAAAGCGGTACCTATTTATCTACTTGCATTTTTGGCATGCTTTCGAACTGCTGGGTTGGTAGGAGCTGGGACAGAGCAACGGGAGCTCACCCTGTCGTGGGGATTCGAACTGCCAGCCTTCTGATCAGCAAGCCCAAGAAGCTCAGTGGTTCAGACCACTGCGCCACCCAAAGAAGCTCAACATTTTTTTCCTGCACCCCCCCAAAATGCGGCTTTCCTCCTCCCTAAAAGAAGCTCAACAACTTTGACCTGAACCCCCCAAAAGCAGGTAGATCACTGCCAGTTTTTAACTCTGTGAGCAGATTGCAGTCTCTTGGGAGTTGGCCACCCCTGAATTCGACTAATCACATCAATTGGCTTTGCAACATATTCTGGTTGAATCAGTGGCATAGCGTGGGTTGTCAGCACCCGGGGCAAGGCAAGTAATTTGCGCCCCCTAACTCGTGGATTTGCGCCCCCTAACCTGTGGATTTGCGCCCCTAACCCTAACCCCCAGATGTTGCGCCCGGTGCGGCTGGCCCCCCTGCACCCCCCACGCTACGCCACTGGGTTGAATAAGTTGTAGCTGCACGGAGTCAGTTACTGTTCTTGGAAAGATATTTATAATCAAGTTATATAATTTTGCCACTCACAGGATTGTATTCGGTGCTTTCAGTCTATGGGTGCAATGTCTCTTGTGCTAACAGAGGTCCATTTATAAATGTTGGGCAACAGAAGAATCCATCACAACAGGTCGACTTGTGAAATAATTGTGCAACAGCCTGTATGTACATACAAATAACACTTTCCTGCTTGTGGAACCTTCTGCACAAGAAGATCTGCCTGACTCCATTCAATTTCGTTCTTCATTGGATGTACAGTGGTACCTCTGGTTGCGAACTTCTCTGGTTACGAGCTCTGCTAACCTGGAAGTAGCTGCTCCTGGTTGCAAACTTTGCCCCAGGATGCGAACGGAAATCACACACTGGAGGCCCCATTAGTGAAAGCGTGCCTCAGGATAAGAATGCTTTCAGCTTAAGAACAGACCTCCGGAACGAATTAAGTTCGTAACAAGAGGTACCACTGTATACCTCATATTCTTAGACACATTTCCGTAAAGTCAAATGTAGACAATAAAATGCAGGATGAAATGTGATGTATGGATTATCTCACCCATAATATAATTGCTTGGACTTCTTCTTCTTCTTCTTCTTCTTCTTCTTCTTCTTCTTCTTCTTCTTCTTCTTCTTTTATTAGAATGTACCCCCACAACAATTGCTTAATCTACATTGAGTGCATTTTGTAACTATTTTGTCAGGGATAATAATAATAATAATAATAATAATAATATGTCTGCCAGTTCACTAATGTGTAGAATTTTCTATATCCACAGAGAAAGAAATTTTTGCGCAAGGGTGGGGTACAAGACCTTTCCCATTCTGATAGCTTTAGCATAGTGCTCAAGAATGAATAGTATCTAAGGTGGGGCCTTTGGGTACAAATGGGCAATCTTAAATGTGTATCTTTATGATGCCTGTTTCATAGCGAATATCATAAATTAAAAATGCTCTAAGGCCTTGCCAGGCTACCTTTGAAAAGAGGTTCTTTCCTAAAGGGGTTTCTTCCTTTCTAAATAAATAAAGAGCAGAGTAACAATTGCCAGTTCACCGTCTGATCTCTAGAACTTCCTGTTAAGCCCAAAATATAGTGCAAGAAACATGCTTGGGCTGCTGTTTTAGAGACTTGATGATGTGATAGGAAGGATATGTGCAACATCAAAGAATGATCTTGTTATACTTCTGAAGCATGACTTCTGCAAGTCCAAGTGAAATAATGGGTGCTCATTTTTCTCTTGAATGTGGCAAGTTTAATAGCCTTGGATTGTTTTTCATTAGTGGTGTTCCAAAACTTTCCTTCATCGTACTTGCGGCATAGATGTATTGCGTGTCCATGTGCCTTTTTCATTATCCGGATTTTTCTTTCATTTCTCAAAGCCTAGCTCCTATGTGATTCCCTGCTGGTTTATTTCAGGCCAAAGCTGAATAATTTGGAATATGATCAAACTTACCAGCTAGACACGGGTGGCAAACAAATGTTCCTTTTCTTTTGTATTGTGCTAAATGGGACATTTGTTTTACTCCTAAAAAACACAGCTAGTATGGGCTTGTTTTAGGAAAATAACAAACTCCAGGTCAGAACCAAAACAGGGTGATTTTCATTTTTGGCAAAACACCATTATTGCTGTTTTTGTTTCTTATAGCTTTTTATGGTGATCAGATATCTAATCTTCAATTGCCTTTCAATAAAGTAGGTGAAATAATTCTCTTTGGAGCAGCAGATGCACAGAAATTGGCACCATATGTATCTAATCCACCTGACAGCACAGCTTTTTATAAGCTTCCAGCAGCCATCCTTACTAACATTTCAGGCAGCAAATTCCAGAGAAGGTGTCATTTTCTTGCACCCAGACTCCATCTCTCTGTATCCTGAACAATGAGCATTGTACAGTGGTCCAAGGGGCCCTGTTTGGAGTTTTTGCTTCAGGTGTGAAAATGGCTTGTTACATCACGGCTGCTGCTATGTTCTACCTCTGCTAACAGAGGCAATAGACCTTTGAATACCAGTTGCTGAGAATCATAGGTGGGCAGTGTTGCTGTGCTCAGGTCATGTTTGCTGTCATCTAACAGGCATTGGGTAGCCACCGTGAGAACAGAAGGCTGGACCATTGGCCGGATTCAACAAGCTGTTCTTATGTTCTTATGTTATGAAGCAGAGTATGGAGCACAATTCAATTCAGAGCTATTATTTAAGAATACCAGATAAAGCATGTTCATGCTTGGGGAATTCCTAAACCCTTTATTGCCTGAAGAGGAAAACAAAGTGGCATGGATAGTTTCCAGAAGGGTAACTGTGTGAGTCTGTGGCAGCAAAAACAATGAAGTCTTCATGGGATCTTAAAGACTAACACATTTATTGTGGCATAAGCTTTCCTGGATATGAGTCAGTGAATTCTTATGCCATAATAGATTTGTTAGTTTGCACAGTGCCACAAAGACTTTCTGTTGGAATTGATAGATATATTGAACACACGCCATATTTCTATAAACTGCCTTTGAAACACCGTAACTCCGAAGCTTCCTTTGCATGTAGCCTGAATGGTGTAGCTAGTCCCTCACTGACCTCCACTTACATGATACCTTTTACAGTGGCTTTGATTGCATAGCAAGCTGTACTCTACTGGCTCTTTACATGAACCTCAACTGGTGTAGGAACAAAGTCAAGTTAGGTAGAAGTATTGACTTGTGTCTGGGATAAGTCAGAGCAGTCAGCCTCATGGGAGCCTTTTAGTGACACCTGATCTGGGTTTAAAGACTGCTCAAATGTGAGGGGAGCAATCTTGTAATAGCCAGACCCACCCACAACTGATACACATTTTTCTGAATGTCAGAAGTGAGCTCATATATGTGTAAGGGGGGGCGTGTAGGCTCTTTTCAGGCTCTGTTCATGTCAAACAAAGATGCATAGGTCAGGGGATGGCAATGTAACACCCATTCATCCAACATGAATATGTTCATTCTACTCGGATCTAATGTCTGTAAATGGCTCATGTATGTCAGTACTGAAAAAGTTGTCTAATGTGTGAACATGAAACAGCTGTCACTCTTTTCAGGCTCATAGTTTTAATGAAATTTAACAGTGTCTAGAAAAAGTCAACTCATAACAGACTTGAATGGTAGGTATAAATGAGATTTCAGATGGCCAAATGGGAAGAGGCCAATGGCTAAGATTCCAAATGTAAAACTGGCATTGTAATGAGCTATCTCATGGGATTTGTACGAGGATAAATATCATAACGCTCTTTGCACATTTACAACCAGATAATAATTTCGCATTGGCTCCTGCTGTTTACATTAACAAAACGCCTATTACCTATTAAACCTCCACTTGAATGAACTAGAGAGTAACTGAATACAACCTTGCTCAGCTTGTGTTTAGATTGCATGTCAAGTCTTCCGCAAGGTATCATTTGATATATCTGTTAAACCAATTCTGTTTCTCTGTGAGGCAATTTCTTTCAAACAGACCCATAATAACAGCTATTTGAAAATTGAATCAGGTTGCAGATATATATGGTTTCGAGTACAGCTGCTGTTTAAACCATAATATCTTGATTTAATACAAAACATGATGCAAGATGGATGTATAATAATTTATATACCATAGATAAAGGAAGGCTGTGTGAGAGATGAAAAATTCTGGATAAAAAAATAATCTTGGTCTCATAGCTATTTTGGAGTGGTCATTTGGTCTGCTGATGAATGTATTCTTCATGAAATTAGGCTTGAGCTCTGTGTGCTATTGGAAAACGAAGCCGTCTTTGAAAAGGAGACTACAGAAGACTCTGAATCTTGTGCACCTCTTCTTTCCTATCAAAAGGTAATAAATGCCCTTTTATTTATCTTACACACACACACACACACACACACACACACACGGAACAGGGAACACTTCTGGATCTGAGGACCAGGGTGGGCATTTACTGAGGCTTACCCCTTAGCAAAGGACCCACTGATTTTCCCTGGAGCCGCCCAGATTTTGCTGTTTCTCCTCCTCCCTATTGCTGTCTGTTCACTTGTTCCTTTTAAGTGAGCAAAGAACAGCACTTTCCAATCCTCATATCTTCTCATGCTAAGTGGCTCTATGAATTAGGCCTAATGGAAAAGGGCAGGTGAAAGGGCTGTAGATACAGGAATGTGAAGGACATGGGTCCACTCAGAGAGGGACCCCACTCTGGGCATCTTGCCCAAGGACCTGCCAAAACCTGACGCTGGCCCTCCTGGAGATCATAGTGCTAGTTTTGAAAGAAGTGGTTGGTAAATACTACATACATGTTATACACCCCTCTTTCCCCTGCTTCCTGATTGTAGTAGCCTAGCTTTATTGGTTATTCTATTCCCAGAGTGGAATTTTTTGCTGCAAAAGGCTGGTAAGAATGTGAGTGACTGTTTTTTCCTGTGTTCAGATGTAACAATTTCAAAGTAGTGGAACACTATGGTAGTGCTTCAAGCAATATTTCTAGGAAAATCCAGTTCTACAAGGGAGATGATTGCGTAGAAGTTTGTAGGGCTGATTATTATTGATTGTTGAAATAGTTTATTCTGTGATTTTGATAATTTCTAGTTTTGTAATAAAACTGTAATGGAATATATTGTTGTATTTGTATCTGTTGTGAACCCATGCTGAGTTGGGGCATTGCAGAAAAGTGGAATATAAATCAATCTGCCATGAGTTGCCTCTCCCAGATCTCAATCTGCTGTTTTTGTTAGCATCTGTCTGTCTCAAGAGACAGTGGAGTATGCTTCTTTAAGTCAAACCACTGCATTAGCAGCCCCAAAGTGACTTCCCTAGGGTGCAAGCCTGGCCAATGTGTATGGAGGTCCTGGGTTGCCTGTACAACAAGATGTGGTCCAAAAGAAAGCAGAGCAATACAGTAAGCACCAGTTTGGCTGCAGGAGTTGCTGGAAGGAGGCATACAGGGTGCCATCCTCCATCTTAAGGACTCCACTCCATATTTGTGTAGGGTTTACTCCTTAGTCTTTTCTTCTCCCAAAGATCCACAAGGCAGCAGAGGTTTAAGATCAGAGTTTTCCTTCTCCCATATGGGCTACCCTCCCAGGGTAGGGAAGCTCTATCTGCTCTCACCTTGCACTACAGCATGTACTGAAACTATCACCTTGACCTGCTGAATTTAGATGTCTTTTTCCCCCTCAAGGACCTTTGTCCCATAGGGTAAAGAACTTCAGTGAATTTTTCTGTGCTAATAGGTTTCCTTGCTAGAAATTGAACCTGGTTGCATTGCACTGCACAAAATAATAGTGATGCATCTTGTCTATTGCAGATCAGAGTTGAAAAACTGCCTAATCAGCAACGGATGACCATGTTGTTGGGTCGCTACACTACGGACCCTCAGTATCAGCAACGCTTCATCAATCTGGTAAGAGCGGAGCCAGCTCTGAAAACAAACATTTCCTCCACGAACAATGTGTTTGTTATATTTTCTCTTCTGTTTATGACGGCTCTGTCAGCTACACTGATTTACATAAACACTGCCAATCCCGGGACGCTACACTCTCAACAAAAGTAGCCGAGTACAAACAGCATTCCTGAGTTTTAATTCATATTATATAAACATAACAGATGTTGATACGATGAGCCAACAAGAAAATACAACAAAGGCAACCATTTCAAGGGGGTTTGCGATTAAAACACGTTCCAGATTGGCGAAAAGATCCAGTGTTAATGGAACAAATCATTTAAATGTCAGTGTTTGACTCCTATGGAATTGCAAAGACACAATGTATAGCGAAGCTCTTGAGTTTTCCCTGCTCTCAAACAGCACAAGGAAAAACTTATTTTCCTGTCTCTGTATTCCCATATATATTTTCATATTTCACTGCTGTGTTGGAAAGCTAAAGTGAGAGGCAGCTTTGTTTGGATCTCTCATAAAGTGACTAGAAGAATAGCAGCAGCAGCACTGTGTTGTCTGTGAATGACAATATTTTATTTATCAGTAGCTGGAGGACAACCTAAGGACTCCCTTATGTCTTTCTACAAGCATTGTCTCCTACCTATGGCACACATGCAGCAACCTCATTAAGGTGATTTTGGTTAACCTTGTGGATGTGATATAAGAGAGGTGGAAGATGTTGGATCCAAGTGATTGGGGGCTTTCTGGTTGAGGGCTTTCCAGTTTGTGTCGAGGACCATCTGGAACCAATATGCAGATCACACTGAGCAGTGCTGTGTACATTTCCAGTGGAGCAATTCATCAGGGGCAACCATCAACATGAGTTGAAGCTTCTGAGCAGTTGTCAGGGAAACCCCAGCAAGAGTGTTTTGCAGCAATCTAGCCTGGGAACTATAAAAATGTGAGTGAGTGTCACCAAGTGAGAATGTTTCTTTGACTTGGGGTGTTTGTTTTTAGTTTAGGAATTGTGTATCTGCATTAAACTTTCTTCTGTGACAATTCAGCAAATGTAGAAACAATGGATTTAACCTCAAGGCCACTTCATACCTGATGTTTCCTTGACCATGAGATCACCTCTCTGCACATCAGCTTCCTGACTGGCATGGTTGTGGCAAAATACACTTGTGCTGTGCGTCTAGCTTTTCCTACACAGAAATAATCTCCGTAGCTTTTTGTGTGAAACCCTGACTCCGCTTTATGGAACCCATCTCCATGTAAGAAGAACACCCTATGTCAGCGGTTCTCAACCTGTGGGTCCCCAGATGTTGTTGGACTACAACTCCCATCATCCCTGAGCTCTGGCCTTGCTAGCTAGGGGTGATGGGAGTTATAGTTCAACAATATCTGGGGACCCACAGGTTGAAGTGACCCTTTCTTTGCTTGTAGCAAAACTGGTGGCTGCAGTGGTTCTTCAGCCAAATTACCTTGTATTCTGAGTGCCAGAGTGGTATTTAAAATTGCCTTCTTAGAAATAGATAAATTTTATTTCCCCTTTTTGTTCTTTCGTTTTTTCTTTCTGCAAGCATCTGCTGTGGAATGCTGTAGGATGTCATTAAGAGCAATGTTATAAAACGTATTTGGTTTAACAAACTGCCACATGCCTATCAAAGCCACGCAGAACTCTTGAATGTACCACTGGAGTTTAGCTTTAACTGCCCTTCCCTGTATGATCTGTGTAGATTCCTGTATCAATATGAAATTCGAGTGAAAAATGAAACCCCCATTATACCATGTTTTTTTTTAAAAGAAATAGTTTGAATGTACAAGTAAGATAAAACAACAACAACTACAGCATTGTGCTCTTCTTTCATTTGGGAATTAAGATATGATAAGGTTACACCTGTTTTCTCTTAGTGTGTCCTTTACTTTATCTTGCAGGAGCCCTACATAAACAAATCTGCAGTGTCGGTTCAAGCCCATTTCTCACTGCAACGCACATACATCATATTTCGGTCTCTGGGCCTTCGGCACCTGACAGTTGTTGATTTGCAGAACCAGGTTGTTGGGATAATCACCAGAAAAGATCTGATATCTTTGCAGTTGGAAGAGAAGCTGGGACTCCAGCAGTCGTCGAATCAGCTTCACTCTGATGATGAGCTTTTAGACTAGGAAGCAGTCTGAACAGGGAATGCTCAATTTAATTTCATAATGAACAAGTATGTATGTTCTTCTTTGAATTTGGATGTGTGTGTATTACAGTGTATCCTCTGCATATCAAATGGATAAGCATTGCCTAATTCTCCCAGTTACCAAATCAAAAAATAGGGACAAATAGATTATCCAGGCTTTGAGTTCATACAATTGGGATCTCATTCCCAACTCACACAGTTCTTTCTCATTCCAATCTCAGATAGGATATAATAATAACATATAAGGTGCAAACAGCAATCATTTTTTTTGATTTATGTATTGACTGTTTTATTGCTTTATTTTGTGGAAATTTTTATATTGCAATGTTAACATCTTGTGTAAATCACATAGGGGTGATGTGTCTTAAATGGTATAAACACATCATTAATAATTAAGTATTCCTACCTAAAATCATAATAAGTGTGCTATTTCTTCCTTACAAGATGGTACTAAGGGCCAAACTATATGCAACTTTAGTCACATACTATAGTCCTGTTCTTAATTGCAGGTTTCTTCCTCTCTCTCTCTCTCTGCCCCTCTCCCTCTCTCTGTCTCTCCCCACCCTAGCCATTGCAGGCCTCCCAATCCAGGTGACTGAATGGCTTTAACACACACTCTCTCTCTCTCTCTCTCTCTCTCTCTCTCTCTCTCTCTCTCTCGGCTGTCTTTACCTGGGAGTGCAAGGGCTGTGGGGCACCCCGGCACCAAATTCTGGGGAGCGCCAAATGTATTCTGGGGGAGTCAAATGTATTCTGGGGGAGTCAAATGTATACTTACTGTATACCAGTCCCTCTCGAAAGTCCCCGTCCCCCTCCTCCGTCGCTCTGTTACTCCATAGCGTCAAATATTCCCAACGAGTCAGGAAACAAAAGCATTTATTTCTGCTGCGTCGTTGTTACAGGTGAGTGATTTTCCTCCCCCCAAAAAGGTCAACAACTTTGACCCTCTAAAAAGATTTGGGGGTGGCTAAAGTAAATTTGGGGGCGCTGGGTGAATCTTTGCACCCCGGCGGCGCATATGCTAAAGACGGCCCTGCTCTCTCTCCACCCCCACCCCCGGTGTGCTCAGGCATGGACTGGCCTCCTGCATTGCAGGGGGTTGGACTAGATGACCCTTGTGGTCCCTTCCAATTCAATGATTTGACTCATATATTCAATGAGTCTATGAATATGATAGTAAGATTCTATGAATGTGTATTATGAACTTTCACAATGAGTAAAAGTACCACGTCTGTAAAGGAACAGGCTGTAGTACATCTAAAACTCTGTTCACTGGTTCTTTCATTTCCCCTTCCTTTTCATGTTTTATACTATGTGATTTGTACCAATAAATGAATAAAGATGCTGCTCATATATGAGAAATAAAGAGTAATGATCACCCTGAGTGGTACATGGACACTAGAAGAACAGGATAGAAATGTGTATATTCATTACCATAAGTTTATTAAAGGATTTTCACTAGTATAAATGATAAAAATATTGCATTTTTTAAAAATAAGCAAGGTTGGTGAGTATGGCATTTTATGCTAAAATATTAACATCAGCAGATTGCTGAGATCTTCATAGGATAGTTCTAATGTGGACAGTACTTCTGCTGGTTGGGTTGCAAGTACATTATCATAGAACAGAAACTTTCCTGCTAGTGCTACAACTCTGAAACTCTCTTCACAGATTGGCCCACATCACTATTATTTTGGACACCAAGTAAAGATTTCCTTGCTTTGAACACATTATTTTGGATAGAACTGTCTCTCAGCTTACTGCTGTTTTTCTTCATTTTTTCCCCTGTTTTCCCTCTTACAATTTGTCATTTGCCCTCTTAAGCATCTGTTTGACTGTAATGGCTATATAGACATTATTAAAAGAAGTTCAATTATTTTGAGGTGGATCACTTACTCAAATGGTGGGGCCAATTTTGATTCCAGGTTCTACACAAATACATCTACAGTGTTACCTCGGGTTACATACGCTTCAGGTTACATACGCTTCAGGTTACAGACTCTGCTAACCCAGAAATAGTGCTTCAGGTTAAGAACTTTGCTTCAGGATGAGAACAGAAATCGTGCTCCGGCAGCGCGGCAGCAGCAGGAGGCCCCATTAGCTAAAGTGGTGCTTCAGGTTAAGAACAGTTTCAGGTTAAGTACGGACCTCTGGAACGAATTAAGTACTTAAGCCGAGGTACCACTGTATTTGTTGCTTGTTCTATCAAATTTACATAAAACGCACTGTGAAATGTATTATGCAAAATAAAAAAGGTATAGCAAACAGAAAGATAAATTTTAACTTAAGAAAACAGGCAAAATCCTTTACATCACCAGATTTTGAACTTCTCTCTATTTTTTTCCAGCCTGGTTGAGATGGTACCAGCCTTCACGTTGGTGGAATTTTCTCCCTAGGTAAATGGGTTCAGCCTGTAGCATTGTTGTGCAACATTTATGACTAGAATCTTTTCCATTTTACTAGTAAATAAAAACCTGAATAAGAGCTGTTTGATCACATCCCAGTGTACAAACACAGAAAACCATTTAAAAGCTTCTCTGCCACGACACTACTGGAATATCTGATTCATCCTATGAATAATTTTATTAGATTTTATGCAAGCAAAGTAATAAGGGAAAAAACTCCTCAAGAAGTAGATGGGCACAGATTATTCAGACAAAAGATAGGAGGACTATCAAGTTGGGCAGTGATCTCATGCTAGACACAGAATTACTAGTAGGTAAATATTGAGGTTTTTAATTAGCATTGCTTGATGAAGTCTTCCATCACTGTGATCTTTTCCTGAATTTTGTTGCAAAATTCAAGAAAAGTCTGAGAAAATAAATTGCTTGTTACACTTTAAAACAACAACAACAACAACAGCAACAACAACAACAACAAAAACCCTCGAGTTTCAAAATGGGGGTAAATGGTTTCTTCAGGACCCTGATTCTCAAATTCATTTTGGGCAGGGGAGCACTGAAGACATAAATCCTTGGAGAAAAATGGTAGTAATGGGGAAAAGGAGAAGTGCAGAAGTAGGCCTTGGGCACACACAGTCCAAATATCTAGGCTTAGTCCTGTTTTCCATTTATGGGTGGCAGTTTATTTTTCCAGTTTCTCAGAATCGTTGATTTATTAACCAGCTTTGCAGCAGATCAGCACTGTGGCTGTCCTTTCATTCATGCTCCTTTCATAAGGTTGCCAACTTATTTTCTTAAATGTTTGCCAGAGACGCCACATGTCACTGAAGATCCTCAGCTGTGCTGTCTCTAATAGGCAGACAGGCTTTAGAGCTAAAAAGCGAATGCCTTAATGCTTTTGGCAGTCTGGTCTGCAACCCTTCATAGGCTCCTCCGTGAATTGTACATGTTTGTGTGCGCACATATGCAGAAAGTAATGTATTGGTTAAATGCCTGCAGCTTCTTTTTGTTAGACATTTCCACAATCAGTATTGTTCAATTGAAAAAGGAATGAGACAATCTTCAAATATCAATCAGAACTTAAAAAAAAATCTGATGATTGATTGCTGACATGATACATCTCATCTGATTCCTACGAAGTTAGTCTCCGCCAGCAAGTAGGTTCGTGACAATAATTCATTCAATTGCTTTAGTGTAAGGTTTGTTGCCATTGGCATCCAAATATGTGAGATGATGCCAAACAAAAGGGTGTGCATGCAAATGCAAAACAAAATGGCATACTGACACCTTAGCACCAACCCATAATTAGGAATAAAGTGAGCAGAGCCTGAATATAGTTAGTAAATTTAACATACCACATTGATTATAAATTGGAATGTTAAGTCTTAAGTGTATACATGATCTTGGATGGCAAGTCCACGGGAACTGTGGATAATCTGAAAACAGTATGGGAGCAAGATATAGAAAGAAAAATAGACCCTATAGTATGGAAAGCAATGTGGTCAGAAAAGCCATTCAAATAACTGTTGGCACATGTACAAGAAATCTCCCTCAGTGTTTTACATAGATGGCACTTCACCCCACTAATCCTGACTCATGATGTCATGAATGGGCAGGACAACTGAGAGGAGGAAGGGGATCTCGGTGAGGGATGTAGCCACAACTGGTTCACACTGGGGCAAAGCTGGGGGGGGGGGAGGAGGAGAGGTTAGGGGCATAGAAAGTACTCATGCGGTGACAGGGGATGGGGGGGGTCAGTGCACAGGAACCAGGGCTAGAAGGACCCATCACCAGAGCCAGAGGAGCCCCCATTTCCATGAACATGGTGGGCTCTGAGGTGTAGGGAGCAGAGGGAGCTGAGGCAAGCAAGGGCCCACAGCCCAGCTCCCTAGCTGGCCAGGTGGGGCTCGTTAGTTCTGGTAGGAGCTATGTGATTCCTCAGCTGGAGTAGGCTTGGAACAGGTGAGGGTCACATGCCTCGTCAAGCCCAGATGCTGCAACTAAGAGTCAAGGGGCGAAAGGATAAGCAGAGCTGAGGTGCTATGTCTGCTTAACTTTCCATATTGATAGGCCACAGCTTGGGTGTCCTAGAAATTCCATGGGACTGTGCTTTTCGGGACTTAACTCCAGGTTCCCTGACCAATTGGACTACTGGACTACTTGCTAGCATGTACCCTTGGGACTGTATACACCAGCAGGACCAGTTGCCAGGGGTTCAAGACACATTGATCAGGAGGTAAGGTCTCTTGTTGGAAATTGTCTTGTTGGACAATTATAGATGTTGGAGAGGATGTGGGAGTAAAGGGTCTTTCTACTATTTGTTAGGTTATGGCAAAAAGGCAACTAATATTTTTGGTGGAAGCATTATTGGAAATGTCAGAACTTACAGGTTAAATTATTGCATGTAGACCTAATGCTAGCCTTGCTACTCACCTATGACAGAAAATTAAAACCTATGACATGCAGAACTGCTTACCTTTAGACTAAAGACCAGAAGACTGGAAATGGCGAGGCAATGGAAAATGATGTATAAACTTTCTGTGGTCAGGTGGTACCAGCAACTATGTTGCAAGAAGGC